TCTGGATCTCCTTTCAAGGGTGGCGGTCTTCTTACCCAAGGTTTGTTTTTCACTTGGGCTAGGATTTGATGTATAGGGATAGTGAACTTGGTGTAGTTCTCTCCTGCCTTAGCATCCTCTTGTGGGTGTGACCTGCGTTTATCCTTATTCTTGTTGCTAAATCCATCGCTTCTTGGTCTGCCGATCTCCCTGCTCAGTGGACTTCTTCGCGGCAATTCGATCGTCATCCCAGAGCGCGTAGCGTTCTGCGGTCGCGAAGACCTCTGCTAAAGTCTGGCTGGGAGTGATAGTCAGCTCGCGGTATAACTCGTGTTCTGCTGGAAGACCTTTCTTGAAGGCAGATGATGCGATTCGGTCGTCGCACCCTACGATGTTGGCTTTTTCTGCTTTGAATCTCTTGATGTAATCTCGAATGGATTCGTCGGGCTTCTTGCGCAGATTGAACAGATGATCTGGGTTCTTCTTGATCGTTCGATAAGAAGTGTATTCTTTAGTGAAGACATAGGCAAGCTCCTTGAAACTGTTGATCGACCCAGATGGCAGGGTGTGGAACCAGTCCTGAGCTGCTCCTCGCAATGTCATTGGAAACGCCTTGCACATCAGTGCGTCGTCGGCCTTGTGGAGGATCATGACACTTTTGAAGTGTTTTAGGTGGCTCTCGGGATCGGAATCTCCCTTGAAATGCGTAAAAGAAGGCGTTGAGAATCGCTTCGGGGGAGCAGCCTGCTCGATTTCAGGGGTGAAAGGAGTAGAGATCGCCTGGTCCATCTCCTTACGTAGTGCATCCTCGAGGTTCCCGCTAGTCTTCAAGTCTCGAAGTCGGTCATTCACAAGCTTCTCAACGTCTTCCACGCGCAGTGCTGGTCGATCACGTTGGCGCCTTTTGCGATTCGAGCGACGCTGATTGACCTCCTCGTTGGTCTGCAAGGGTCGGTCCTCTCGTTCGCGCTGCCTAGGAGGGGTGTTGGTGGACTGCGAAAGTTCACTTTAGCTATTTCACCGGTTTGTAGCCCTCTTTTAGGGGCAATCTATGTTCCACTAGGCTTCTATCGAGCCCTGGCATCTCGTGGTAGTGCCATGCAAAACAATCCTTGAACTCCTCTAGAAGGGCGATCAGCTCTGTTCGTATGGTTTGCTAGAGAAGACCACTGATGAATGTTGGCCTTGGATCTTCTTCAGTTCCTAAATTGACTTCCTCGAGAGGGACTTGAACTTTCGGAGGAGTTTGACTTAACTTGGTAGGTGCAAGTTGGATTTCTTCTTCCCCTCTGATTGTTTCGGTCCAAGCTTCTTCTAAAATGAATTCTGCCATGTAATTGGCGGAGTTTGTTTATGATGTTTGTTCTTCTTTCCCTTGTGGGTCTTCTTTAATCATGACACTGAGTGAATGTTAGGCCCTGTTGGAGGAACTTCTGGGCCATCACTGTTTGTGCAAATAATCTCACGGGAGAATATTCGCTTCTAGATCCTTCAACCTTCGATCTTCCTTCTCTCTCTTCCTCGATTCCTGTAAAATAGATTGGAGTAAATAGACCACACCCGGGGGGTGTTGGCCAAAGGCCCTCCGATGCCTAAGTTAGTTCGAGTGTTTGTAGAAAAACAATAGCTAAGCAAAGGGTACGGAGTAGTGTTTATGTAGGGTGTGAACCGGGCGGCCGGAGCCGTGTGTGGTGGCCGGAGCCGTGTGGAGAAAATATGGAGAGTGGAGAGGGAGAAAGAGAGAGCTTCGGGTATTGTTCTCGGGTATAAGGAGTAGGTTTAGATGTACCTTGAATGATGAATGAAGTCATCTATTTATAGGAGCCTCGGGGCTAGGGTTTCGTGGAGAATATGCTGAGTTTATTCTCTACCCAAATTCGTAGGGATCGAGTCGGACTGAGATAATATCTGATTTAATGATATTATCTCTTTTTATGGAGATAATATCTGAATTAAATGATATTATCTCCTTTTATGAAGATAATATATGAGATAATGACATTATCTTCTCTTTAATAGGATAATATCTTAATTAATGATATTATCTTATTAAATAAAGATAATATCATGTTAATTAAGATGTTTATCCCAATTAATTAATTGGCCAGATAAACTGGTTCAATTAATTAATTAAAAGAGATAATCTTCTTTTCCACGTGGCGCGCTGTGATTGGAGACGAAAATATTTGCTCCCACAATCACTACAGGAGAGTGGCCGTTCTTGATTAGTTCGGGCACAGTGAGGGGAGCAATATCCTCATTGAAGAATCTTGCATCAACATTGTTGGCCGATGGTAAGAAAGGCTTTGGATCTGCCTTGATCATTTCATAATCCTCTATCTCCTCATCCCACATTAACAATTCCTGCTGAAGGGAGGAAGGTATGGACATGCTTTGATGTATCCAGTCTCTACCCATCAGTGCGTGGTAGGAAGGTGTGCTGTCAACTACCAAATAAGACACCATCAAATTTTTCGGGCTGACTTTGAATTCACCAATTAGAATTCCATGTGTCGCAGTGATAGTCCCTGCAAAATTTGAGACGGTTAATTCAGTGGGGATGAGATCATATTTACCTTTTCCGAGCTTTTCCAATCTTTTAAAAGGAAGAATGTTGACAGCTACCCCTCTGTCAATCAGGACTTTTTTGAAAGGTACGCCATTGATTATGGCGGAGATGAACAAAGGTCTCAGATGCCGTGTCATTGACCTAGTTGGTCTACTGAAGAACACTTGAGGGGTATCTTTCTTTGAGGATTCTAAGCCTTTGCCACTTAGGCCCTAATCATTAATTTGCAGAACGTTAGGTCTTTCATCATAATCGTCTGGTATCCTGATTAAAGCAGTGGCATGCTCTTCGATCAGGATATCGCCCTCCATATTGCATGGTTGGCCCTCTATTGATCTATAAAAGGCCGGAAGGACGTATACCATATTTATTGGCATGATACTCTGCGAAGTAGCCTTTTCTTTATATTCGATGGCCTAATTCATTGAAGGTTCTTTTTCAAACTCTGCCTTCATAAGTTCATGTTGAATTGCTGATTCTTCAATCGCCACGGCAGGTTTTTCAATTGTTGACTCGCCAACTTCTTCTATGGTCCCGAACATTCTGGTTGGAATGTGATTACGCTGGCTTTCCTCGAGTGCTTGACTATCCTCATCTTTGGCCCTTAGTCCCAAGGCTACTTTGAATTCTTCACGATTGAGCTCATAGTTCAACCAATCGTCGTTATCATCTTTGGACATATTATCTGCCTCTTCTTCTTCTATAGCTAAACTGGCTCGTTGCAACTTCTGGGGGGTTGTGACTCGCAGATTTGGTCTAGCCAATCTTTCTTCATATTCTGGGAAGGTGGTCTTGTTATGTTCCTCGGTAGAGCCTTTCTGGCCATCTATCAGTGGTGGCCGCTTCAAAAAAGTTTTGCCTATTCCTAGTTTTGGCATCTTCGGACAGGATGGTTGTGCCCCTTGGCCCAACTTGTGAGATAGTTCATGCCTCATTTCTTCTATTGCTTTTCTACTTTCCAGAAATGGTCTTAGTTCGGTCTTCTCTGACCGGGGAGCAAATTCAGGCGCAAATTTAGGCCTGAGCATTCCTACCGTTGATCTCCCCCTATTCTGAGATTCGCACCTGGTATATTGGTGAGACTTCTGTGGACTTGATTGGACTGTTTGGTTCTCCATTTCCCTTCTGGCCTTCCCATACTGCCTTTTGGTTCGCCTGGCCTGGGTATTAGTTAATTCTCTCCCCGACTTGCCACCTTTCCCAACTAAATACCACTTCCCATCTTGCACCATTGCTGGCTTTATTGGCCCAGATGGCCTGACATTGGTTGAATTGGATGTGCTAGAGGGCCTGCTGCAACCGACTACTTCATGTGGATATGTTGGAAAAACCCTAGACTCGGGCTGTTTCAGTCTTGTCCACCATTTGTCTCTCTCTTTCAGTTTTGTGAACTCAAAAGGCCTTTGACGAAAGTTCTCGTTTGCAGTTTGCTTGTCTATCTTTCGGAACATCTCGTAAGACTTATTCGGGCCCTCTTTCGGGCTGAATGGTCTATTCGATTGGGTTGCCATCTTGCTGAGATGTCGTTCAGTTTCTCTTCCTGTCTAGATTAATTGCTCATCAATCTTTGTTCCTATGGCAGGTATCTCTAACTCGCATTCACGCTTGCACCTGCTACACATTACAATTCCGGCTGTAATGGTGGCTTTCAACTTCTCAGGTGCGGCTATAGTAACTTTCCTGGCTCCTTCTTCTCCGACATCTACAACAATCTTCCTTTTGTTACGTCTTTCGGGCCAGTTGACGCCAATCATATGTGCAGGAAAAGGTTCATTGTCCACTCTCATGGTGGTTGGTTTGTCTACGAGGATCTTGCCTTCGACGATGAGGTCCTGAATGACATCCCTAAAGTGAACACAGTTGTTAATAGCATGTGAAAAGGAATTATGCCACTTACAGAACATTTTGTTTTTCAACTCTTCTGGCTTAGGGAATATGTGCTTTTCGTCGAGCTTGATTGCCTCTCCCCGCAGCAACTCGTCAAAGATGTTTTCGGCCTTTGACAAATCGAAAGAGTACGATTTGCGCTTTTGCTTGTATGGAATGAATCCTCCCGTTGGGGCAGGGATATGTCGCTGCTCCTTCCCTGGCCTTACTACCGCTTTACAGGTGATTGGAGTGTTCATTACTTCTATTTGATGAATTGGATTTTTATACTATGCAGGTTTGGAGTTATTTTTCCTTTGGATTTCTTCCCTGAGCAACAATTCGTACTTGCCAGCTCGTTGGGCCACATCCTGCAAATCCATGAATTCTATATCATCAAACTTTTTCTGAAGAGATAGTCTGAGGGCATTCTATGCCACTTTTATGAAATGTTTTTCATCCATAGGAATTTTGGACTTCATTTTGAGCTTTTTAAAACGTGTGATGAAATCTTGCACTGTTTCATGATCCCCCTGTTTCTATCTATGAGATCATTGATGGTAATCTCAGGTTCGGGCCTATAATACTATTCCATAAAAGCTCCTTCCATCTCTGCCCATCCGAGTATGGAATTCGGGCTAAGGTTGGAATACCAAATAAAAGCTTGACTTGACAAAGAACTACCAAATAATCTCAACTTTAAGAGGGGTTGGGTTTCTATGGATATGCATTGGGCTGAGAACCGCCCTATATGTTCCAATACTAATGCATATAGGTCTTCTCCGTTGAATAAGCTAAAACTTGGGACTTTGAAGCCTCTTCGGAAAGGTAAATCATCAATGTAAGCAGGATCAGGCTTCTGGTAAGTAAGCCCGGTTGGTCTTTGAATACCGGCCTGACCATTATAGACGAGTTGCCTTAATGCTTCCATCTCATTACAAATATCCATATCTGGATGGTTTCTAGGTGCAGGTTCGGCACCAACTGGGGGAGCCTGCCCTACATCTTCTTTCTCATTGGATTCTTGGATTTGCTCGGGTACCCGTGCATTGTTTTGTCTTCCTTGTCCGTTCCCTCCGTTATTACCATTGTTATGCGCGATATGCACGTTGAACCCTGCTGGCTCTCGCCATCTATCGGCATGCATATTCCTTCGGACTGGCTCCGGAGGCAGGGCGGGTTCGCTAATTTTTGGAGCCTGGTATTTGGATGGTGTTCCGAACGGAGCAAAATGTTGACTAGCAACATCCTTGGGAGGTGAAATCACCTTTAGCACATGTTGTGTCGCCGTGGTGACATTAAACCCCGTGGGCTGATCTACCTAATAAGATGATCTGAGATAGTCTTTGGTAGCCATCTCCGTTGGTGTTGATTGGGCATGACCACTTGTTTGCCCTGCAAAGTACCCTTGTATCAATAAGGGTGTTTCGGCATTCAGTGGTCTCTCATCTTCTTTTCGGACCATTCTATCTTCTTGTTCTGCCTGCATGGCCCGTTCGAAGAGGTGGCCTAAATATGGCCTCGTCTCATTCCCTTGTAGGGTCGTGTTCATATGTCCTCTCTCAACGGTCTGAACGACGCTTTGAGATAAGTGATCCATAGAGCTGGTCATTGCCTGGAAACCCTCTCTCATGACTTTTTCAAGTCGTTCGAAAGGTACTTCCGAAGATGATTCTATTGAATCAGATTCTGATATTTCTTTGTTCTTCTCGTAGCTGGCTTGGGTGGAATCAGCCATGTATACCTTCTTTCTGGTCTTTCTCACCATACATGGAGAAAGGTCCCACTAGGCGTGCCAAAATTATGTTGGTCCTTTTTTCCGTCTATCATCCTTTTACTAACCGCAGGGGTCAGTTCAGCTCTGAGGGACAAGGAGTTGTTGGATCAACACCAATGCCCCGATCGGATGGTGCTTCTTGACTCGCAGAGAGAACTCTTTCAACTTCTGGACAAAATTGAAAGTTGAATCAGTTTATCAGAAGCGGACGGGTCCGATTATGACCATTTTTGTCACTTCTTCTTGATAATGATTGTTGTTGTTGCGTAGGCATGCCACTACTGGATTTATAACCAGGCCAATAGATCTGGTGCAGAGATAAGTGATTGATGCTGGATGATCTTGCGCCTTTGTTCTGGACTTCTTACCAAGCCATTGTGCTCCAGGGGGGTACTGGCCTGGATTGATTCTTTTCTATGCCTCGATTAAGAGGACTTCGACATTCTTTCCTTCGTGAATATTACCCTGATAAGTATGAGCAATACCTGAACGAGCAACAAAGTAAGACCAAGTTTGTGATTAGTAAAGACCCTACCTGGGCTCTATTAACCTGTTTCAATGTTTTTCTCGTCCTCGGGCTAAATTGGTGATTAATTTGGGCCTAATAATGTAATGTTCGGGCCCAACTCAACTCCCTATTTTTTTTCTTTACTGTATCGTTCGGGCCCCTATCCCCTTTGGGCCTGAATATCAATTCTTCTGGGCTTTTCAAAGAGTAGGAAGGCGGGAATCCAATTTTAAGTATTAAAATTATCCATAGCTTGTTTTATTAGATGATTAATTGAAATCTAACTACGGAGGATCTTCTGCAATTTATATTTTACCTAGAACTTCAAATTAAACAACATGAGATTCTTTGATTAATTCATCAATTTATTCTTAAATTCAAGCTATAGAGCAAAGAAAAAGGATCTTGAGATTTCTCAATCCAGTCCAGAGATTACATGAATTGAAACAACATACATTTTAAAAGAAAATCATACCATGGACATGGCAGAGCTACGAGAGATAAACACAAGATTCGTCGACTGGTTATCTTAATGACAAAGTAGGCAGATTATTATCTTGAGAGTGTTTTTGGAGACTTTGCATCTGGTTTTGGAGAGAGAGTCCTCTTTCTCTAAAATAGACCCTTATTATTTATAGAGGGGGATAAACTCGTAATGATAGAAACTGCGACAAGACCTTTGGCTTGTGGTTCAAGGTCAGCTGCTAGTTTGTTGATCTTAACCAGTTCATAGAGGGAATGATGGGAGGATTTCTGGCAATGATCGTCGATTTTCTTTGTGGAGTTTTCTTGATTTGACTTCCTGTACTTAAAATCCTGGCTGGCAATTTTGATCTTCTGGTTTTGGGGGCTTCAGTACGACTTGCTTTCTTGCTGGGCGAGCAAGAGGTCAATTCGTCATTAAATGCGATAATCTCCTTCGGCCTACCACGTGGGTTCAGAAAACACGCTTATCAATTTCTGACGTGTAGTGTGAGATAGAGGTCTGACTTTCCTGAACCCGGGCCTTTTTATTCATCCCTTCAAAGAGGCCCAATCGTTAGAAGGATGGTCTTTCTGAGACAAACAAGTGCTAATGGGCCTGACTCTATCTTTTAAAATATCTTTTCAAACCGTGCGATCATTTTTGGCCTGTCTACCAAAATTGGGTACAAACAACTATGTTAGCAACGCAAAAGCATGCATGATACGATGGTGCCATTCAAAGAACCAAAATTCCTTCCCACACTAGAAAGGACTTGCTCCCCCAACAAAAAAAAAAAAAAAAAAAAAAAAAAAAAAGTAGAGTGTTCGCAAACAATAATATGAACGATATACTATTTGTGCCCATCAAGATTTCATGTTCTCATATGCAATATATTATACTTCAGAAAATTTAGGTATAGGTACCCATTTAAATATTGCATCTCAAAATAAAGGAAGCAAGCTGATTAAAAAGATCAGATCCAGTAGATTTCTTTTTACCTAAAATGCAAGAACCAGTAGATTGCTTGTCTTTTGTAGGTCTATGGCAATGACCAAGTGTAATAAGTTCCAACTGTAAACCTCGCCAGGTGCATTATGTCTCCTTCTAGCTTCATTATTTGCAGGCCGATTTGATTTATGATGACATGATTTTCCATATAAAGTAGGGCAGGGGAACTAGGGACTTTGTTCATCTTCTCTGGTGTTTAAAGGGATCAAGCCACAACATTTCTTCCGCAACGTCATCAATTCCCTTGATTGAACAAGCTCCATTCACATCAATAGGTGAGATCTGCAACAAGATCAAAATGCAGTCGTCTTTCACATCAGCAAACACCATATATTAAAATTCAAAGATATCATTCAACATTTAATGGATTTACATACTTTGCTCCTCATCAATATCAATATGCCTCCGCTTTGGATGATCTGCTGGTTCTGAAAACAAGGTAAGGTATTGCTCTTCATGATCAACGTTAGGACCATGATTATCAACTGCGATGGTATCTGATCCATGAGGCCTCTTCCCAACACCACTCGTTGATGCTAAAGACAAGGAAACCAATTCATCTTGGTACTGACGATGGATATCATCGTCAACTACCATGATCCCAGTCTCACTGACATCACCAACCTGGTGGCCTACTAGGTGGACCCCACACCTTGTCATCGGCCCTGCACCGTTGTAGTAAAATATAACTTGACACATATTACCCTGTTGCAACCGCCTTGGTCCTTCCACCATGTTCTTGTTCGGATCCAATAATGGACTACAGTTGAGCCAAACATGAGTTTCCTCTAACTTAATAGCATACTCAGCCCAAATCCATATCTCGTTGACCTGTTTTCCATTTATGAGAGTCTTGGCGAAAAACTGACAACCATTATACGTCATGAGATCGAAAACAGCACATAGAGCCAATCTTGACGTCTCCCATTCTAAATTTGGAGGAATTTCAAAACAAACTTCACATTCAGCAAAGTATTCCCCTTTATTATCTGAAAAAGGATTTTCAAATACTGTTGCCTCTTTACAACAGCTAAACCACTTTGGAACTTCAGTTCCTGGGACTATAATTTCGATTGTAGAACTCTGAGAAGATGCCTAGAATAGTTACAACAATCATTGACTTAAAACGTGTGTGTGTATATATATATATATATAGAGAGAGAGAGAGAGAGAGAGAGAGAGAGAGACCTGATTCAACAAAATGTTTTCTGTGATGTCACAGCCACATAGTCTAAAGCAATTAGTCAAATACAAATGCTGAAGCCCTGGTGACAGTTTTGGAAATTTTTCCAATGACGTGCAACTATTCATGGTTACTGAAGTTAATTTTGGTGGAAGCACTTCTGGAATTTCCCGAAGCCTCTTGCAACCACACAATCTAAGGCTGAGCAAGCTGACAAATTTGCTAATGCATTCCGGAAGACTGACAAAATTGTTTCCGGAAAGATCAAGTTCTTCTAATGTGGACCAGCAATCGAGAGGTGGGAGGAAATCACTTTCTGATAAATTGCATCCTCCGAGAAAAAAGAAACGTAGCCTGGGAAGCGCTAATGAGTTAGAGTTGTCATCCGAAAAATTTGAGCTATTTGAAAGCAGCTGTAATTCAGTGTAGCTGGATGAAACTTCAAAGTTAATTTCATTGCCAAATGTAAGGAGTTTTCGACACCCTTTGACACTAAGCTCACCGAGACGTTGCAATCCATATATACGATGTAATGACACATTTGAAAGGTTCTCGCAATAATCAGCTTTTAATACTTCAAGACCAGTAAGATATGCAATTGATGAAGGCAATTCTCTTATGCCACTTCCTTCCATATCCAAAATGATTAGCGATTCCATCTTGTCCTCTATTTCTGGGAAACTCTCAAGCCTTTTACAATCACACAGATAAAGTCTTTCTAAGGATTTCAATCTAAGTCTTGTTCCAAACCTTGTAAGCTGAAAGCATTCTCTGAGATCCAATTCAACAAGTTTATCAAGGAATCCAACAGAACTATCGACCTCAACCAAACGTTTACACTCACTTAGATTCAAGTACTTCAAATTTGGGATTCCAGATAAGTCAACGATTTTTTCTAAGAATTGGCAACCACTTAAATTTATAGATGTCAACTTTGGGAATTTCTGTGAGAAAAATACACAAAATAGGAAATGATCAACCACACGCCAAATGTAAGGAGTTTTGAACACCTGATGACACTAAGCTCAAAGAAATATATTTGAGATAATAATAGATGAAAATAATTTGAAGTGCGTACCTTAAATCCCTCCAATTGTCTGATATCACTGCATAGCATATTGAACACAACAAGATGCCTTGCATGAAAATTGGATGGCAATAATTGTAACTGGCATCTACCCCAATCAATGAACCTCAACTCGTTGGGTAGATATTCAACATATCCAGATAGAACTGCATTACAGTTTATGAAAATTTCAAGATTTACCATCCCGAAGAAGCTTTTTGCATTCAAGGGTATCTCATCTGGCTTGGGAAACTTCACCATGATGCCTTTAATTTTTCTTGTTCCCTGAGATGAAAAGATAATAATATTAAGAAACCAAGTCGTTCTTCAAAGCAAAATGCAAGTCCATTTTGTTAAGAAAATTATTGGTTACAACAGGTACTATTTCAGATTGAATATAAGGACATATATTATACTTACGCTATTTTCTGTTAGAACACGGTAGACATCCTCATGAAACCACAATCTACTACGCTTGCCAGGCTCAATGGGGCACTCTTCGTGAACTATATCCTTACCCAATTTTTCTAGCAAGTCATGCATCAAAATCCGATTATATTGAATAGTTATCATTGCCTTCTCAACCAGGACTTCAATACAATCTTGGGAAGCCTTGTGCTTAGAACTTAGTATTTGCATCACATTGTCCTTATCTTCACCCTTGAAGAAACACGCCATGTCTAGAAAAACTTGTTGCACTGAATTATCTAATGCATCATAACTTTTTCGAAGTATTTTCTGTATACCTGTATAAGGTTCTCCTTCATAACCATCTAATACGGCTTACCAACGATGTATACCTTTATTACGAAGATGAGAACCTAAAAGTGTTAAAGCTAGTGGAAGGCCTTGAGCATAGGCTATTGCTCGTTTTGCGAGTTCCAAATAATCATTTGGAGGTTCATTTCTTCCGAAGGCATTCAAACTGAAAAGCTCAAGAGCTTGGTTGTCATATAACTTATGGACCTCGTATATCAACTCAATTCCATAACATTTTAGCAATCCGCTATCTTGTGTAGTTATGATGACTCTACTACCCTCACCGAACCAACCAACTCCAGCCAAGTTGTCTAATTGCTCCAATTGATTCACATCATCAAGAATTAAGAGAATCCTTTTATGCCTTAGCAATTTATGTATAATAGAGATACCTTTATCAGCACTAACAATTTTCAACTTTTTGCCACCTAGAATCTCTTGAAGAAGAGTCTCCTGCAGTTGGATTAAGCCTCCATGTGGCATTGAATTTTCTCTAACATCTGCCAAGAAACAACACCCTTCGAACTTATGAGCAATTGCATTATAAACAGCTTTCGCAATTGTTGTCTTGCCTATTCCAGATGTCCCCCATATCCCAACTATGCGGCGACCATCCCCACCAGCACATAAAAGCATTTCCACAGCTCTTACACAAGAGTGAATTCCAATTGGGTACTTTGCCACATTCAAATATGTGCGGTTCAGCACTAGGACTACAATCTCTTCAACGATGTGGTTGATAAATGTAGCTTCAGACCTACCATTTAAAAAATTTGACACATTTAAGGAATAAAATGTAAACATGCAAGCACGCAATTAACACAAGGTAGTATTCAGCCGACTGCCCTATTCCACCGAGTTTGGTTGGATAGTCTGCTAAAGTAATGTTCCGTTTGGATGAAGGGATTTAAAAGAAGGGATTTGGATTTGAGAATAATACTAAATTTGCTGCAAAAACAAGAACGATATTAGAATGAAGGAATTTGGAATAACTAGATGTCGTGCCTTTAAAATAGATTTGAAATTGACTACATGTAAGGAATAATTTGAAATCCATTTATCTTCTTCATTTCTCTCTTGTTCAAATCTTAACCTACATGAATTTTACTCATCTAAACAAACAAGTTTACCTTATAATTTCATCTAAATCCATCAATTGGAATCCTTCCATCCAAATGGAGCCTAATAGTTCTTTTTTTCGTTACATTGGTAGGAAAGACCATGGGGATTCGATCCTGGGTGCCAAGCAACCGGGAAGGGGGAGGGCCACCACTGTGGTACCCCTGCTTGACGAGCCTAATAGTTCTTTAACTAAAAACAATATTGACTAATATATATGGGTTTTGAATCTTCTCCCAACAGCTATTGAGAAAAATATTCTGCCTACAGTTTTCTATTTTTATCAAAACAGTACTTTTTTGAATGAGTAACAATTAAATATACCGAAGGAAAAAGGAGAGAAACCATTAAACTTGAAAAAGATAGAAGACCCTGAAATATAGAATCAAGCCACTAAATTAACCATATATATATGTGCACTATAGAGGGTAGAAATATACTCTCCCGCCTTGCAAGTATATCCCTTCAAACTTGCTGCTTCTCTAAGAGCGCTCCTCCACCTTAGCACCTTCTCCGTATTATCCTTAAATCTGCAGTTCATGTCAGCAAATGCATCTCCAAAACTATTTGTTTGGTTCCGTACATGCGAAGGGTCCACTTTGTAAATTATGGGCCAAACTATTTGATTCATTGAGCTTTTGCATCGAAGGATCTCAACGAGTTCGTCCAAGCACCACCTTGAGGATGCATAGTTTTCAGAGAATACAATGAGAGAAATCCGTGACTCTTCAATTGCTTCAAGAAGGGCCGGTGAGATTTTTTCTCCTCCTATAAGCTCACGATCAATGAAGGTGTAGATCCCCTTATCGGACAAGGCCTTGTACAAATGATCTGTAAAATTGGTGCGCGTATCCTTACCTCTAAAACTCACAAACACATCATATGTCCATGGATCTTGAGTTACAGAAGAAGAAGAAGAAGAAGAATGTCCTTGTTGGTTGGTCATAGGAGCCATACTCAGACCAAAGACTAAGTTGTTGGTCGCAGTTGTGAATGTGATGAAGTTTAAGAGGAGGAGAGGAACTTCCAGTTTCTGACTGGTTTGTCTTTTTCAGTGTTTGTAAACTCAATGGGCCTCACCTTCCTTCTCCCTGCTGTGCAAGGATGTGGTCCAAATTTACCTCCGTTAGATATTTCTAAGGACGCCTAACTTTGCAACAACCAACAAATCCTTTTACTGTACTTAAACGCATTAGATTATGTTATCTTTACAACGACTCTTTGACTCAGTAGATTCGTGTGTTGATATTGGAGGGAATGATTTTCCCCACGAGAATATTCGTCAAAGATTCCTTCGTCTTCTCCGCTTCTCTTTCTCTCTGCAAAACAAATCGGAGTAAAAGGACCACACCCGGGGGGTGTTGGCCAAGGGCCCTCCGATGCCTAAGTTAGGTAAGGTATTTCAAGGAAAACCGGGTGGCCGGAGCCGTGTGTGGTGGCCGGAGCCTTGTGTAAGGGAGAGAAAGAAAGTGGTGGCTAGGGTTTGTGAGAAATGATTTCTGCAGAGTTTCAGTAGGAATTTAGACGTACCTCCACCCATTGTGTGTGGCTATGCTTTTATAATGGTCTTGGAGGCTAGGGTTTCAGAGGAATAATTCCGTAGATGGAAGGGAATTATTCCTCCCCTTTATGGAATTGATTTGATTAATTAGGGATTTGATTTATTAGGGTAAATCAAATCCCTAATTGTGGTAGGTATCAAATCAAATCCTATTCAATTAGGTAACTCCTCATTTAATTGAGAATCGGGGTAGGAATTAGGAATCAATTCTCAACCCAATTAGGTAGTCTTCAATTTAATTGGGTAACCCCCAATTAAATTGAGTAACTCCCAATTAGGTTGATTAATTCCCAATTAGGTCAAATAATCCCCAAATGGAATGAATTATTTGACCTAGGGTTTTGATTTAATTTGGTTACCACAAATGCCCCCCAGCTTCTGCATGGCGCGCGGTGGCATGTAGGAGATGTGAATTATCTGTTGGGCTGTCCAGCTGTAACTGGGCTTCCTTCTTGGATTTGGACTCCTTTTGCAGATTGGGTTCCCAATTGGAGTGAGCCTTTGACTGTTCTTGGAGTTGGGTTCCTAGTAGGAATAGGCTTGCGATTCCTTCTTGACCTAGGATGCCCAACGTGTGTAAATGCATGGCTTCTCTTCACTCTTCTTCACATCGCAAACTTAACTTCTCTACTTTCTAGCTTGAGAGAGATCTTGGAGAATTTGTACTGCTTGTCGAAGAGAGGAGTCGCCGTGCATCCCAAAGTAAGTCGAGCACGTATATTTCTTTTTCTTCGTCTTTTCTTATTTTTTTCGGCGAAGGTTAGTTGGGAGAAGTCCGGCTAGTTGTCATCGTGACATGTGACGGTTAGCAGTAGGCGGCAACTGTGGTGGGGCATGTTTGCGCAGATGGACCAGCTGCTGCCTATCATCGCAGGCCTGGGCTGGAGCATGTTGGGCCTCGTGCGTTGCAGGCCTCGTCAGCTAAGTGGGTATCCAGAGGAAGTTGGTGGTCTGCCCCCTGCCTAGGATATTGAGAGATGGAAGCATAATGGTCCAGACTTGGATGATCTGCTGGCTGGGCAAGATGAGTATTCTGCCGGACTCCCCTTCAAAAAAGAAGGTTGACGTCAAGTCTTCAAGAAATGAAGCTGCGAATTCGCTGGCAAAAGATGTGTCCCCGTTGAGGAAGAAGCCAAGGATCCCTTACGCTGAGAAGACTCAAGTGAGAGCTGTTTCATCATCATCCGCCAGGGTTAAACATCTTGCTTGTGTAGATAGTAGGAGGGTTGGTGAGTGCCAGGGTCCCCCTTGAGGGACTCCGGGCGTGTTTTGCACATCCCTCATGATGGTTTCCCTTAGAAAGTTGGCGAGTGCCAGGATCCCTCTTGAGGGACTCCGGGCGTGTTCTGCACATCCCTTAGGATGGTTTCCCTTAGGAAGTTGGCGAGTGCCAGGGCCCCCCTTAAGAGGCTCCGGGCGTGTCCTGCACATCCCTTAGGATGGTTTTCCTCAGGAAGTTGGCGAGTGCCAGGGCCCCCCTTAAGAGGCTCCGGGCGTGTCCTGCACATCCCTTAGAATGGTTTTCCTCAGGAAGTTGGCGAGTGCCAGGGCCCCCCTTAAGAGGCTCCGGGCGTGTTCTGCACATCCCTTAGGATGGTTTCCCTTAGAAAGTTGGCGAGTGCCAGGGCCCCCCTTAAGAGGCTCCGGGCGTGTCCTGCACATCCCTTAGGATGGTTTCCCTTAGGAAGTTGGCGAGTGCCAGGGCCCCCCCTTAAGAGGCTCCGGGCGTGTGCTGCACATCCCTTAGGATGGCTTGGTCGTCGCCCTGCGTCTCCCGAAGGACGCTGCTTATGGGCAACTGTGTGTCTATCCTGCCTCCCTTAGGAAACGGATAGGAACCTGGATACTTCCCGCAGAAGGCATGGAGACCTCCTTTTAAGAAATTCCTGGCGCACCCTGCGTCTCCCTTAGGACGCTTTTTACGGGCTGCGTCTCCCGAAGGACGCTTTGGTCGTCGCCCTGCGTCTCCCTTAGGACGCTGCTTATGGGCAACTGCGTGTCTATCCTGCCTCCCTTAGGAAACGGATAGGAACCTGGATACTTCCCGCAGAAGGCATGGAGACCTCCTTTTAAAAAATTCCTGGCGCACCCTGCGTCTCCCTTAGGACGCTTCTTACGGGCTGCGTCTCCCGAAGGACGCTTTGGTCGTCGCCCTGCGTCTCCCTTAGGACGCTGCTTATGGGCGACTGATTTGTGGTGATCTGCCTGCCAATGGATTGTGAGCTGTTGTCAGTGGCCAGCGATTGTGGGCAGCCAAACCGGCAGATGATGTTTCTCCAGATGAATCGCTCCACATCGGCTTCTTTAATAGAGGATAGAGCTTCTGCCTCGATCCATTTAGTAAAGTAGTCGGTGGCGACGATCATCCATGTCCTTCTTGTCGGGCACGGGTGGCAAGAGACCCACTAAGTCAATGACTCATTGCATGAATCGCCATGGACTATTTTGCAGATGGTCAACTTCGGCAGGCAGGTTAGGGATCGGCTTGTATCGCTGGCAGCGATCACACTTTTTGACATATTCAGCGAAGTCGTGGCGCATGGTAGGCCAGAAGTAGCCTATGTTTAGAGCCTTCTAGGCGAGTGATTTGCCCCTAGAGTGGTTGCCACACTCGCCGCCGTGAATTTTGTAGAGGACCTCAAGTGTTTGAGGGTATTTTATGCAGGCGAGATGAGGACCGGAATATGATCTGCGAATGAGCTTGCTGTCGTGCATATAGTATCTCGCGGCCTTCTACTGGACCTTCCTAGCTTCGGACTTGTCCGTTGGTAGGTTCCCACTCGCTAAGTAGTCAATGATAGGGTCTTGCCAGTTGGGGTCCTCGTCAATTTGCATTATGTCGATTGGCTATATTTCTTCAATGCTTGGTCGGTCAAGGTGTTCGACCAGGATGGAGCATCTGAACTAGGCATCCAGTGCTGACCCTAGGCTGGCTAGTGCGTCTGCATACGCGTTCTCTGCCCGGGGAACTTGTTGGATGGTGAAGGTAGGGAACGCCTTCAACAACTCCTGGACATTGTCAAGGTACAAAATCATCCTTGGGTGCTTCGCCATGTATTCACCTGACGCTTGATTCGTGATCAGCTGGGAATCTGAGTAGATGGCTAGCTTCTTGATTGCGAGTTCCTTTGCCAAGCGCAGGCCGGCGAGCAGTGCCTCGTATTCTGCCTCGTTGTTCGAGGCCGGGAAGCCAAGCGTGATAGCTTGCTCCAACAAGGTTCCATCCGGGGTGATGATGACGACACCCGCTCCAGCTCCTTTTTGGTTTGACGCTCCGTCTACCCGCAACTGCCACGTGTCTCTAGGTTGGCTAGGTTCAGCGGAGGTCCCGTCTGCTTTTGAACTTTCCTTCTTTTCGTTGACCATTTTCTCTTCTTCGGCCGATGGGGTGAACTCTGCTACGAAGTCAGCTAAAGCCTGGGCTTTTATTGCAGCTTTTGGCCGGTAGAGGAGGTCATATTGGCTTAGCTCTATAGCCCACTTCATGAGTCGCTGAGAAGCATCAGGGCTATGAAGGATTGATCTCAAAGGAAAGTCGGTCATGACGATGACTCGATGAGCTTGGTAGTAGGGTCGTAGCTTTCTCGCGGAAACTACAAGAGCCAAAATGAGTTTCTCCAATTTTGGGTAACAAGTCTCTGCATCGAGGAGAGCTTTTGACGTGTAGAATACCGGATGTTGGGCCCCCAGCTCTTCTCTGATGAGAGCTGAGCTGACAGCTGAGTTGGACACTGCCAGGTACATGAACAAGTCCTCACCAGGGACTGGCTTTGAAAGCAGGGGAGGTGAAGTGAGATAAGCCTTCAGACTCTGGAAAGCTACTTCGCACTCCTCATCCCATTTGTCTCTTTGTCCTTTCTTCAAAGCTTTGAAGAATGGTTTGCACTTGTCGGTTGATCTTGAGAGGAACCAGTTGAGGGCCGTTGCTCTGCCCGTCAGACTTTGTATTTCCTTCACTGTGGAAGGCGACTTCATCTCGAGAATAGCTTTGATCTGACGTGGGTGTGCCTCGATACCTCGTTGTGTGACTAAGTATCCCAAGAATCGGCCGGAGGATACACCAAATGTGCATTTACTTGGGTTCAACTTCATGCGATACTGGCGGAGCAGGCCGAATGCCTCAGCGAGGTTTTTGAGGTGATCTGCACGTTTTGGGGCCTTGACCAGCATGTCGTCCATGTACACCTCCATAGTTTTGCCAATCTGCTCCTTGAAGATTTTGTTCACCAGTCTTTGGTAGGTTGCTCCGGCGTTTTTCAGCCCAAAAGGCATGACCTTGTAGCAGTAGGTCCCTCTCTCGATGATGAAAGAAGTTTTCGCCTTGTCATCCTCGTGCATCAAGATTTGGTTGTAGCCGGAGTAGGCGTCCATAAAGCTAAGTAGCTGATTGCCAGAAGTGGAATCCACTAGTTGGTCGATTCTTTGCAATGGAAAGTTGTCTTTTGGGCACGCTTTGTTGAGGTCGGTGTAATCGACGCAGACTCTCCACTTTCCCTTCTCTTGTTTTGCCACTAGAACAACATTAGCGAGCCACTCCGAGTAGGAGACCTCTTCAATGAAGCCGGCGGCTAGGAGTTTATCAATCTCGGCTTCGATGATGGCGACCCGCTCGGGTGCGAAGTTGCGCCTCTTCTGCGCCACTGGTTTGCAGGCAGGGTTGACGTGGAGTCGGTGACATATGATGTTCGGGTCGATACCAGGCATGTCTGACGGCGACCATGCGAACATATCTTTGTTGTTCTGGAGGAAAGTGGTAAGTTCCACCTTCTCGTCTGGGCTTAGGCGCGAGCCGATCCGCGCTTTTTTGTCTGGCTGGTCAGGATCCAAGGGTATTAACTCGATGTCCTCCTCGGGCTTCCATCCTTCTTCAGGAAAGACCTCTGGACGGATTTCCTCGGCTTGGTCCTGACGCTTTGATTGCTATAAGATAGCATGGTTCGATTGTTCCACCTCCTTCAGATCTGCCTGGCTTACTGGGAGGAACTGCGCTTGCTTGCTTTTCTTCAGCCCTTGGGCGGAGCACTTCCTCGCCATTGCCTGATCGCTGTTGATTTGTCCAACACCGCCCCCAGGGATTGGGTACCGAATTTTCTGATGTGTGGCAGAGGTGATGGCGTTGATCATGCCGATCCATGGCCTGCCCAGAATGCCGTTGTAGGGTGAGACCTCATTAATGACCATGAACGTTTGCAAGCAGACTACAGGTGGGGAGTAGACGTCAAGGTCTATTGTGCCCACGGTAACCGTTGTTGCGCCATTGAAGCCGGTCAGCGATCTGGCTGATTTGTTGATCTTTGCCTCCAAGCCCATCTGCTGGATGACAGCCAGTTGCAGGATATTGGCTGCGCTGCCCTCGTCTGCATGGATTCGGTCGACCATGGCCTGAGCGATTTGTATGCTGATGACAAGGGCATCGTTATGTGGCATGTCGAGGCCGATCAGATCTTTCTTTTGGAAGCCGATTATAGGATCGTCTTCTGTTGGTAGAAGGTCAGTCGAGACTTGGGAGATCATAGTGGCCTGTTTGATCTTCCTCTTCTTTTCCTTGCTGGTCAGTCCTGACTCCTTGGCGTCGGCTAGGATTGTGTTAATCCTTATGACCTTCTGGGGCGGTTCCTTGGCGGTGTCTCGATCTTCAATCCGCTGGATGGCCTGCTTCGCGATGAACTCCGTGCAATGACCCTCTTTCACGAGTTCTTCAAGGTGTGCTTTCCAAGCGAGGCAGTTATTGGTAGTGTGCCCGTGTGTCCCATGGAAGGCACAGTACTTGTTTGTATCCCTCTTGTCTGGATCTCCTTTCAAGGGTGGCGGTCTTCTTACCCAAGGTTTGTTTTTCACTTGGGCTAAGATTTGATGTATGGGGATGGTGAACTTGGTGTAGTTCTCTCCTGCTGTAGCGTCTCCTTGTGGGTGTGACCTGCGCCTATCCTTGTTCTTGTTGCTAAATCCATCGCTTCTTTGACCTGCCCGCTTAGTCGGTTGATCTTCATGCTTAGTAGACTTTTTTGCGGCGATTCGATCGTCATCCCAGAGCGCGTAGCGTTCCGCGGTCGCATAGACCTCTGCCAGAGTCTGGCTGGGAGTGATAGTCAGCTCGCGGTACAAGTCGTGTTCAGCTGGGAGGCCTTTCTTGAAAGCAGATGATGCGATCCGGTCGTCACATCCTACAATGTTGGCCTTTTCTGCTTTGAATCTCTTGATGTAATCTCGAAGGGATTCGTCGGACTTCTTGCGCAGGTTGTACAGGTGGTCAGGGTTCTTCTTGATCGTCCGGTAAGAGGTGTACTCTTTGGTGAAGACGTAAGCCAACTCCTTGAAGCTGTTGATCGACCCAGATGGCAGGGTGTGGAACCAATCTTGGGCTGCTCCTCGCAAGGTCACTACGAATACCTTGCACATCAACGCGTCGTCGGCCTTGTGGAGGATCATGACACTTTTGAAGTGTTTTAGGTGACTCTCGGGATCGGAGTCCCCTTTGAAGTGTGTAAACGAAGGTGTGGAGAATCGCTTTGGGGGAGCAGCCTGCTCGATTTCGGCAGTGAAAGGTGTGGAGCTTGCATGGTCGATCTCCTTGCGTAGTGCATCGTCGAGGTTCCCACCAGTCTTCAGATCTCGAAGTCGGTCATTCATAAGCTTCTCGACGTCCTCTATGCACATTGTTGGTCGATCACGTTGGCGACCATCGCGATTCGGGCGACGTTGACTGACCTCCTCCTGGGTCTGCGAGTGTCGACCTTCTCGTCTGCGCTGCCTAGGCGGAGTGTTGGTGGACTGCGCTTGCGAGAGATTCTCCGTAGTTGGTCGACGAGAGCCGTCTCTTCGTGAGTGAGCAGCGGAGCGTCTTTCTTCGCGGTCCTCATTGTGAGGATTATCCGGTTGACCACCCTGGGGACGTAGCCTCTCGTGAATGTTCGTCTGCGAGTGGACAGCTGAGCGTCTTTCTTCACGATCCTCGTTGCGATGGTTGTCTGATTGTCCTCCCTGGGGGCCTAGCCTTTGAAGTACATTTCCCTGCGGTCCCAAGCGGGCGTGGACGTCAAGTCGTGGGCCTAGCCTCTCGCGCACGTTGTTCCTCGAACTTAATCTGCTCCGAGTGGGGCTCGCGGATGCTTGTGACATGTCGGTAGGCCGATCAAGTTGTTGTCCCTCGCCTTGTCTGCCTACTCCTGCTTGACCTGCTGGGTACCCGTTGAGTTGCCTGCCGGTGCGTTCGTCCATCCTTCTCTCTTCGCCTAGTCGTCCAAGGCCAAGGTTTTGAGCCAAGCTTATTTGGTGGAGGAGTTGCCTCATCAGATCGCTTTGGTCGTCCATTCTCTGAGCTAGCTGGTCAACTCTCAGACTAAGGTCTGCTTGACTTCGTGGATCAGGAGGAGAGAAGTGTGTGGAGCCCAATTGCACACGGGCTAGGGTTTCATTGGAGGTGTGCGCGGGAGCGTGTGTCGAGCGTGGAGGCAATGAAGGGATCGCTTGAAGTTGCTCCAAGATCGGGCCTAAGTCAGCGGTGGTAACAAGCCCACCTTGATAGGAGGTTCCACCATGTTCGGCGGCGGTGGCCGGTGCGGTGGTGAGAGGTGGTGGGGCCACCATGTCGATCGCGGGATCGTGGGCGGAGTGGCTTTGGGCCGTCGCGGATTTAGCCATCGCGGGTTTTGCCTCTCGTCTTCATGCTTCCAACCATGGTTGTTTGGAAGGCTTCGGTGGATTGGAAAATAGGAGGAACGGATTCCTTGAGCACGCGTTGAGTATAACTCGTGCTCTCAATGAAAGCACCAATTTGGAGGGAATGATTTTCCCCACGAGAATATTCGTCAAAGATTCCTTCGTCTTCTCCGCTTCTCTTTCTCTCTGCAAAACAAATCGGAGTAAAAGGACCACACCCGGGGGGTGTTGGCCAAGGGCCCTCCGATGCCTAAGTTAGGTAAGGTATTTCAAGGAAAACCGGGTGGCCGGAGCCGTGTGTGGTGGCCGGAGCCTTGTGTAAGGGAGAGAAAGAAAGTGGTGGCTAGGGTTTGTGAGAAATGATTTCTGCAGAGTTTCAGTAGGAATTTAGACGTACCTCCACCATTGTGTGTGGCTATGCTTTTATAATGGTCTTGGAGGCTAGGGTTTCAGAGGAATAATTCCGTAGATGGAAGGGAATTATTCCTCCCCTTTATGGAATTGATTTGATTAATTAGGGATTTGATTTATTAGGGTAAATCAAATCCCTAATTGTGGTAGGTATCAAATCAAATCCTATTTCAATTAGGTAACTCCTCATTTAATTGAGAATCGGGGTAGGAATTAGGAATCAATTCTCAACCCAATTAGGTAGTCTTCAATTTAATTGGGTAACCCCCAATTAAATTGAGTAACTCCCAATTAGGTTGATTAATTCCCAATTAGGTCAAATAATCCCCAAATGGAATGAATTATTTGACCTAGGGTTTTGATTTAATTTGGTTACCACAGATATAATTTACAGGTGCAGGTGCCTAGTCCCATCCGCTACAGAAAACCAATAATATTCAACATTCAGTTCGGAGATGAGATCTGTAGCTTTGTGCATTAATCAGTGATAGGATTCTCAGGGTTAATATGGTCTTTTTGTATGTTAGCTGAGCTGGCAAGGTTTTGTTAGGCAATTGGTTAGCTAGCTGGCAATTTGTTTTGTTAGTTGACAGCTATTATTTGCTTAACTGGGAAGCGATTATATTAGTGGGCTTATGCTCATTCTAGGGCATGTAATTGTAAATCCAGTTTTAATAAGAAATAAGGCCTAGTTTGGTGGGCTAGCTTGAATTGGTTAAGATGGACTTCGAAGCGTTGGATTGGTCTGGCTTGCACTGGCTACGCTTTGAGTCCAATCCAATTTATTTTTGCACCAAACAACAGACTTGAATTATTATTTTTTTAATAAATCAGATTTTTATTTTATTTTTTATTAACAATTCAAAATTCTAACTTTTTTCCCCCAGATTGAAGAAAAAACCTTGGAATCATATCCAAAATCCTAAACAAATCAAGAAGACAACTCATAACATCACCCAAAAATTAAAAGAAAATCAAACTCATATAAAGATTTAAAAAAATATAGAAAATTAAACTCATATAAAGTTTTGAAAAACAGAAAAGAAAAGAAAATATAATCTATTGCTAGTTGTTTTCCTTCTTCATCTTTGTTTTCTCTTATTCCTGCGGCTATTGGGCTTTGTTTGATTTTGTTTTCGAAGTGGATTTATACATAGGTACCAGGTTAGTCAACATGGTAGACAACTGAGATTTCTTCAAATTTTAGACTGCTCCGGCGATGCCCTGCAAGAGAGAGCATACCACAGAGTCGATGACTCCAGCGATGGGTAGAAGGTGGTGGAATAGAGAGAGAGACCAACGAGATTGGACAGAAGATAGAGGAGAGAGAGAGAGAGAGAGAGAGAGAGAGAGAGAGAATAGAGGATATAAAATAAGAGAATATAGAAGAAGGCAACGAGATGGATGGGAAGGAGAGATATGGCGGCAGAGGTTTCACTGTAAACCCACATCTGGGGTTGGGTTTCATAAACCCAGTTATTTGGGACATGGATCCGAAGGCCATATCCAATCTGAGATACATTTATGTCCACCAAAAAATGGTTAGGATCCATGTCCATTTTAATTGGAAATATCTCATCCAATCTAGCCCACCAAACAGGGCCTAATAGTTCTGATTCTTTGACATTGGATTAAGGTTGAAGGGTTTCTATCAATCAACAGCACTTGAATGAAGCTTCTTGGTAATACTAATTAGGATGAAGAATGAATACTTTGCAAGAGAGAAAAAACTCAAGAATCCTCGTTTTTTTATATAGCATAACTTAACTGAAGTTTCTTCAGAACACTTATTATCCTAAGAGTGCTGCTAAACGAACCCTAAAATTACTGAGTACACCCTATGATCTAAGTACACCTTAATATTTAAATCAAAATGTAAAATTAACTAAGTACACCCTATTTAACTACCAAAAATACCCTTCGTACACCCTAATACACTCTATCACACAACACCCTAATACCAATCTAGGTTTCTCTTTTTACATGAATTCGTGCCCTCTATTTAAATTTTGGGTTTGCATCAAAATCTTTAATTTCGTAAGCTATTGTTGGAATAGATTTGCTATCTCCTGCAATTCAAAGTTTGAATCTTGTAAATCCTTATGATTTTCTTTATTTATTTCTTAATTTGTGGATTGAACTTGTTGCCCTCCAAACCAACCCATCCTCCTCAAAATCCCATCTAAATAGAGAAAACCCACCTCCAAAATCTCAAAATCCTGAAATTGAAACCAACCCATCTCCACCAGAACCCCATACAAATGGCGAAGGACACAATTTGCCCCTAGATCATGTATGGCTTCCTTTTGGCCATTGTAATTGGTGTCCTTAGTTACAGTCAGCGCATCCACCCAAAGCTCATCTTAGTCCTTCATTGTTTGTATATATATAGAGAAATCCAACTAATCATTGTAGCAACCCTCGCTTGGAGCCATTTGGGTTTAGATCTCAAATCCCATTTCAACGAGGCATACCTCTCCACTTCTCTGCAAAACTTCTGGGGTAGAAGATGGAACCTCGTGGTCACCCATATATATCTTACACCCATCCATAAACGAGTCCAAAAGGCCAGGAGGAGAGGAATGTCAATTTTTAAGAAGGGTGGTGAGGGTATATGCATTGGGTTAAAGTGATGAGCAAGAATGTTCCTTTGATTAGGGTTGAATATGGTCATTAGTCGGGTGTACTTATTAATATTTCACAATTCAATATATCATTTTTGGTCATTTTATATTAGGGTAAATTAGTAATTCAATAAGTAGTTCGATAGTAGGGTGTACTTGGTTAATTTTAGGGTTAGTTTAGCAGCACTCTTATCCTAAGCCCACAATTAAACACAACTTAAACATGTGCTTAGCTTCATCAAAAAAAAAAATATATATATATATATATATTTATGTGTGTGTGTGTTTAGCTTGACCATGCTTCTTGTGAATAAATATAAATGCAATTATAGTAAAGCAGAGTTATTGTAGTTGATAAACGCATAACCAGGGCTAGAGCCCATGTCACTTTCTTTCCTCTAGCCCAAAAAATGAAAAATATTTCTTAAAATGTAACTTTTGTAACCAACTTGTGTCGATCTTGTTGCATTCCCCACTAGAGAATTAGAGACTCAACTAACAATATATATTAGGGTAAATTAATAATTCAATAAATAGTTTGGTAATAAGGTGTATTCAATTAATTTTAGGTTTTGTTTAATAGCACCCTTTGGGTAATTATTTAACATGCTCCCATATTTATTGCTTCATATAATTTCCATAGATTGAGTCACTGTTGTGTTCTAATTTTTTTTCCCGTTCCCCTCATTGCTGTGATAAGTTGTTTATGTCAAAATATTATTGTGTGGCGATGGCGCCATGTGAGGGGAGCGGATCCACTGTCCCCAAAATTGAGTGTTCCCTCATGTCCCCCTACTAGTTTGTTGACACATGTCAGCTAACTTAACAGTTAACTTTTTCATTTTTCAATTAAAAATAATATATAAAAAAACGAAAATACGCTCGTGTCTTCTCCATCATCGTTGCACAAACTCACATCTCCACAGCTTCCTCTTTGGGTATGGGTAATGGCAATCACAGGTGGAAGATCTCCATTTCTTGGTCCTCATCTCTTCGGGTCAGACCTTCGAGTGCCACTCCAACCAAGTATGTCGCAAATTCGGCTTCTCACCAAGCTCGAAGATGGGTGGTGACCCAATTTCTCCACCATGATTTCCAACTTAGTCATCAAATCCACCATCGAAAGAGAGTTGCGGAAAGGGATGGCTGGATGCTGGAACTCAAAAATAACTGAAAGCTTGAAGCTATTGAAATAAAAAACTGGAAAATACTCATTCCTGAATGAAACAAGATTACAACTTAATTAGAATTGATCTAGGCTGAACGTTAAACACTAACTCAACTTGTGCAGATTTTGTGGAACTAAATGAAAGCAATGGAACACTTCTAACTGTGGTGCACAACCTCAACCAGGACTTCGAAAAACAAGGAATCCTACTTCACTTGGACTCTGAGTTACCAAGTCAGCTTTATTTAATTAAAACTTAATTAAACATAACTAAATAACTCTTAATATTCTCCCTTCAACGGATTCTACTGAAAACAATTTAGGATTTGTTGACCACCACATAGTCTTCTTCATCTGCAGTTTCTCCTTGATCAATACTTTGAAATGAGCAAACTCTAAGCATGTTCCTCAACTTCTCTAACAGAAGTTGCTTCAGTGGCTTTGTCATAATATCTGCAACATTTTCTCCACCCTTACAATATTGCAATTCATTCTTTCCATTCTTGCACAGATCTCTCAGAAAATGAAAGCTAACATCAATATGTTTACTCCTCTCATGCATAACTGGATTCCTTGACAGCTTGATGGTTGACATGTTATCATAATAGATGATTGTTGGACCCTTTTGCTCATCACCAAGTACTTCTAACATCTTTCTAAGCCACACAACTTGACAAGAGCTTGAAGCTGCTGCCACAAATTCAGCTAATTTAGTTGTGGAAAGTGTCACTATCTGCTGTTTCTTAGAGGACCACAATATTGCACCAGAATTTAGCATAAATACATGACCTGATGTGCTCTTACGATCATCTATATCACCTGCACAATCACTATTTGTATAACCAACAAAACTAGCACCATCGGCCTTTTTATAAACAAGCCATAATCAACTCTCCCCTTCACATATTTGAGCACTCTTCTAGCTACATCAAAGTGCATCTCAGATGGTTTTCCATGTATCGACTAATCAAACTCACTGCATACATGATATCAGGTCTCGTGGAGGTTAAATACATGAGACCACCAATTATTTGCTTAAAGAAAGTGTTGTCGACCTACACAACTTTAAACCATACTCAATTGATGTTCCAAGAATGTCTTGTGCATACTTCCTCTGATAAATAAATAAAATTACCATTAGTAGTTTGAATGACTTCAAATCCAAGAAAATAATGCATTAATCCCATATCAGTCATTTCAAACTTCTCCAACATTGACTTCTTAAACTCAGCAAACATCTTAATATCATTACTAGTGAATATCAAGTCATCAAGATACAAACAGACAATGAGCAATTTACCTCCTTTTTCTATCTTAACTTAAAAAGTGTGCTCCAAGGGACATTTGTGAAATCCCAGCTTGGCAAAGTGAGCATCTATGCGACTGTACCAAGCTCTTGGTGCTTGTTTTAGTCCATGGAGTGCTTTCTTGAATCGGTACACCTTTTTCTTCCTTCCTTTTCTTCTCATAACTAGATGGCTGGTCACTATACACTTCCTCTTGCAAAACACCATGCAAGAATGCTAACTTCACATCTAACTGAAAGATTGACCATGAATTTTGTGTTGCTGGTGAAATCACCAACCTAATTGTATCTTGCCTTGCAACTGGTGCAAACACTTCCTTGTAATCAATGCCATGCTTCTGCTTATAACTCTTTGCCACCAATCGAGCTTTGTGCTTATCGATGTCTCCTTTTTCATTCATCTTTGTCCTGAAAACCCATTTAACACCAATGGTTTTTTGTCCCTTAGGCAAGTCAGTTAGCTCCCAAGTGTGATTCTTCTCAGTGGACTTTATTTCATTGTCCATTACTTTCCTCCATTTCTTTTCTTTAATGACCTCATCATATGTAATTGGATCACTGTCTACAAACAATGCAAAATGAGCATTATCATCATCAGAACTTGAATTACTTACATCATAATCCATCATCCACGTTGGCTTTTTTTTCGTATTTTCATCCCTCAAATTATAACCACTTTCTTCTTCTAATTGTTGATGAGGTTGAGCCATAGGTTGGAGTGATTGTTGCTCTTGAATATCAGGAACTTCCTCTATGTCACAATCTGATGCATCATTATCTAGTATTGGATTTTGAATTGAGTTGCCATCAGTCCAATTCCACATGGTTTCTTCTTCAAACACCACGTCTCTGCTTATTACAACCTTCTTTGTCACCAGATTGAATAACTTGTAAGCGTTTGGAGTTTCACTTACACCGAGAAATACACACTTCTCTCTTTTGTCATTGAGTTTCTTTCTTCTTTGATCACGTACATGTGCATATACAATGCACCTAAACATCTTGAAATGATCAACTAAAGGCTTCTTCCCATTCCATGCTTCTTGTGGTGTCATGTTCTGCACTACAATCGTTGGATTTCGGTTTAAAATGTGAATTGACCACAACACTGCTTCTAGCTAGAATTGTTTTGGAACCCCTCTTATAGCTATCAAACTTCAAACCATGTTGAGAATGGTTCTATTCTTCCTTTCACACACACCATTTTGTTGTGGTGTGTATGAATCAATCAAATGTCTTCTTATGTCATTTGCTTCACAATATGCTTCAAACTCATTAGAACAAAACTCTCCTCCTCTGTTAGTTCTAAGAGTTTTAATCTTCTTCTCAGTTTCGTTTGCAACAAGAGCCTTGAAACTCTTGAATGCATGGAAGGCTTCTGATTTTTCCTGCAAGAAATACACCCATGTCTTTCTACTAAAATCATCAATAAAAGATATAAAGTATTTCTTATTACCATTTGATGTTTCTCAATGACACATTTTTCGCAGCTTTGTGATGAAGGAGAGATTGTTGGGAGATGTGTAACCATTTGGCTCTAATAAAGGGTCTTTAAGCCATTAAAATTTAAATGGCCATACCTATAATGTCATTTCCACGATGAGTCATCTTCCTTAGCAAGCAAGCAATTTTGCATTGTCTTGATCTTCAAGGGAAATAATCTGTTTGAAGACATTTTAATCACGACAATGGAAATAAGTCAAACGTAGATAAATAAGTCATTCAAAACGGGACTTCTCTCGTTATAAATTTGGTTCAGCAAAAGCCAAGACAAGCAGAGTTTGAGTTTTCACAAATATGAAAACCTCAACAAATTTATGGAGAGCCCTGATCAAGCAGAACAAGTACTATAGTGCAATTCTAGCTCAGCAAGTCCTCAAATCCAGCCACTTCTGCCCCTTCAGACTAAAAGGCCGCAGTTCTGTCCGTTCGAAAGCCTCCCAAGACTTGTAGTAGATTAAAGCTCTGCCAAAATTGAACTTCGGTATTGATTTACAGCTGAAGCTAAGCAGTTGAAGTTGTTGACAGTTCAGTCCAGCACAGACATACCCAGTTCTACCTAAAAACAATCCACTCTATTATCATTTATTCTGGACAGAACTACCAATCTTGTACTGAGATAAATTGTGAAGTCCTCACCATTCTGAGGGAGGAAAAGAACTTACTTGGGAGATATTTCTCACCCAAATTTACAATCGCTTGTTTAGAAATCAGTAACTTGGGGCGCAAGTTATCTATTTTAAAGAAGTCTGCTAGGATTTCTCATTGCTAGCAGTGGCACACTCGCATACTAAAGAAAGTTGACTTATTGACTAGTCAATGGTTTTCAAGGCAATGAGGAACTTTACCCTTCCATCACATGAGCAAACACAAAATGGGTGAACAATTTGGCACGCCTAGTGGGACTTCTCAGTATACATACTCTGACAGAAATTTTCTAAAGTATATGAATATTGGAAGCTCTAGCCAGAACCCTCCTTCTAACACCATGGAAAGAAATCAGGTAGTTCTCCGAGAATGATTGGAGTCAGAAGAAAGTGATGCCAGACACTCAGCTCATGGCAGTAACAGAAGCAGACGTTCTAGGACCAGCACTGGGAGGTTGAATCAAATACAGGAAGCTGTATTCCGACATGAGGCTACAACACAAAGAGCTAGGATACTCTGAGCAACGTGACAGCCATGAGGTAATGGCAAGTTAACAGACAGTTCAGGAAGGACCGTGAGGCCGCCATGGCCAAAATTCCAAACCCAGATATTGTAGTCCAGTAGCTAGACCTCCCTTATGGCCCTCCACCAGGATTGGCATGGCCATACCAAGAGAATCCTCTCATTGCATAGATAGCTGGAATACCAGGGCATGGAGAGATCCAAGCTGGATAGAGGGGATGAGCCCTTCCCATTCAAAAGCAGGAAGGTCTAGTTCGGCCAGAAGGCCCTGCACCAATTCAGGTTCCACAAAATCAACCAGAACCTCCACTTATTCCACAACTCGTGGCCCCACGTGATCAACCCTTGGCAATTCTGCCTAAGGCACCAGTTGTGTTGCCTTACAGACCCAGAAGGATGGATCTCAATCCATTCCCTTCACCGGCAAGAGGCAGAAAAGGCAGAGGGGGAATCAACCCCTTTGCCAACAATGATAGGAACAGACCGGGGGCAAACTGGAGGAATCATCCAGATTTTTAAGAAGACGAAGTTCTGCCCAGGCCATACAGAATGGAGCACAGGATTGACCACATCCAGACAGAACAGGGACGAAATCTACACCCTGTCAGTGCTTTAAATGACATGGGGGCACTACAGAGAATTATCAGGGAGATGATGGAGCCTGAAGCCAGAAAAGGAGAGAGGCCCACTTACAGAAAGCCATATCCAGCTTATATTGATCAAATCCCTCTATCCCCGGGTTTCAAGGTACTAAACTTCACCTTGTTCAACGGAGAAGATCCTCATGCTTCATCAGTTGAGCATATAGGCAGGTTTTTTGTCTAGTGCATAGCCATAGAAAATAACCCTCTGTTAAAGTTAAGGCTTTTTGGGAATTCTCTTTCTGGACAAGCCTTCACCTAGTACACCAGTCTACTAGCCAATTCTGTTCAAACTTGGGAGCATATGGAAAACGTTTTCCATGACTACTATTTCAGGATCTAGCCAGAATTCACAATCAGTGATCTTGCTGACCTCAAACAGAGTGAAGATGAACCTGCTCAAGACTTCATAACCAGGTTCAGAAAGCTCAAAATGAAATGTCGAATCCCTATGGAAGAAAGGCACTTCATCCAGATGGCTCAAGCTGCTCTCAAAATCTCTATGAGAAAAAGATTTGACGAAATGTTATTTGGAGACCTGGCAGAACTGGCAGACAAGGCGTCTAAGTATGAGGAGCTACTTAGGGAATAACAGCAGAAGAGGAACTCCTCCAAAGGCACATACTACAAGTCCCCTTCTTCTTCAATACATCTGATTGAGGTAGAATCAGAAGAAGGTACAGAAGGCTCGGAGGAAAGAGAAATTGTAGTAGCATAAATGGCGAAACTAAAACATCCCATCAGTTGCAAGGTTCCTACAAAGCCACCACAGGAGGGTTTGTTCCAAACAAACCAACTCAGAACAAAGTCTATTCCTTCGATCTAACCAAGGTGGATGCTTTTTTTGATGAGATGCTGCTATAAAAGGCAATAAAGACACCCCACAGGTTGCCCAAGCCAGAGGAACTCAAGGGCAGACAGTATTGCAGATGACACAACTCTTGGAACCATTCCATCAATAGTTGTGTTGTTTTCAGGGATGTTATACAGGAGGGAATAACAGCAGGAAGGTTAAAGCTGGCGGAGAAACCTTCATCAGTTACAACAGATCCCTTTCCCCAGCCTCAAGTCAACATGGTCAACTTAAATTGGCTAGAACAGAAGAGAAACAAACCCACAACAGAGGCTGGCTCCAGCAAAGGCAGAAGAGTCACGAGGGAGGCTAGTCAGAGGCCCAAGGCAACTATGTCAGCTGAGGTAGTGTTGTGCAGCAAGTGCAAGTGCGAGAGTGAGCTAGAAGTGATTCTAGACAGGCAGAATCAGCCTACACCTAGTGTTTTTGACAGGATTGGAACGTCATGCCACCAGCAATGCCCAATTCTGATTCCATCTCGAGATAGAGCCAGACAGAAAGACTATCTTAGACCTGCTCAGTGCAGCAGAAGAATGGCAGAGCAGCCCAAGAAGGAGATACCTATTAAGATGCTTGGGAATGAAAAACCCTTGGCAACTATCATATAAGACAGATGGTATTCTGTGGGGAAAAATGGTAGACCAACTCTGGAGTTAACTAGAACTCAGAAGATGAGGGTTCAAAGGCAGTACTGCACATTCCTCAAAAACAGGGACGACATACAGGTACTTCCAGAGACCAGTTCTGCCAGAAAAGGGAAGAAACCAGAAGCACCTCCTCTGGCAGAAAAAACAGCTTGCCAGCCACAAAAGCTGATAAAGCTGATAAAGCTAGAAGTCATCCTCAGCCAACCAGCTTGAACCTTCACAGATACAAGGAGAACCCAAAACTATTCCAGTAGAAGGACACGAAGACTGGATTGAAGAATATGAAGAGGAGCAGTTGGACTATGAACCATCGGCAGATGACCAAAATGGACTCCTCGAAGCAGGAAGACTAGATAGAAGAGTATGGGGAAGAACAAATGGAATCCGATGGAGAATTAGATGGGGAAACTGAGGCTTTTGGTGCAGAATTAGAAAGCCTGTTGCAAGGTGATCTGGGCATCAACATGGTGTTCGTTTTGCTAAAGAAGTTCAGAACCGTAGAAGGACAAGAAAACACTTTGGAATGGGACGTTTTCTCCTAGGAAAGTTTTGAATGCAGATTAGCAGAGGTAGAAGAGGTGCCAGAACAACAAACACCTACTGCCAAGATAGGCGGAACTGCCCTGAAACTGGCTGCAGAATAGCTTTGCTTCTCCAAACCAACCAAGGAGATGGCCAATCACCTTAGACCTCTGTTCATAACAACAAACTTTGGGGATATTCCTATTCCCAAGGTGATGGTAGATGGAGGTGCAGCCATTAATCTTTTACCCTACAGATTGCTGAGCAAGATGGGCAGAATAGAGAAGGATTTGATTCCAACACGCTTAACTGTCACCAACTTTGCTGGGGGCATCACTAAAACTCCTGGAATCCTGGATGTGGATGTCATAGTTGGAACCAAGAGCTAAAGATTGCATTCTTTGTGGTAAACACCACGTCTACCACTTACAATGCATTACTTGGCAGGGACTGGATTCACCAAAGCTTATGTGTTCCTTCCACTCTGCATCAGCAACTAGCCCTATGGAATGAATAGGGTTACATGGAGATAGTAGAGGCCGATCCACGGCTATTTTTGCCCTCTGCCATGTGTTTTGAGGCAAGGTATTATCATGATGACCTTGGACCTTTCACTTTCCTTGGAGTCAACCAGAACGGCCGCCCCCATGGTGTTACAGCCCAAAGACTCATTGAAGATGGTTTAGGCAGTTCTCTAGAAGATTGGAATAGACTTTTTGTTCTAAACCTCCAGAACTCTGATGTTTAGTCCCAATCAATAGGAAAAAGATCGAGCTGCAATAATCTGATCCATTACAAAAAGATCATTGATATATTGGGAAGAAATGAAGCTTTTCATGCAAAATCCAGCTGTTAACATGGCAGAATTCACCCATGAGAGCATGGAAGAACAAGAAGAACAGAGTTTACAAGAGGAAGTACTAGATTTTGCACCAGCAGCACTGGATGACTCTTTGCCATAAGTGGAAGATCCATTACAGGAGATAAACTTAGGGATAAAATAGGATCCAAGACCAACTTTCATTAGCGCACTGTTGAAAGAGCCACTCAGGAGTGAAATCATTGCACTTTTGTATGATTTTAGAGATTGTTTTGCTTGACATTATCATGAGATGCCTGGACTGGACAGAAGACTGGTGGAACACAAGCTGCCAATCAAAAAAGATTATCTTCCAGTCAAACAGGCCAAAAGAAGGATGTTTATGGACACTGAACTGAAGGTCAAGGAAGAGATAGAAAGATTGCTCAAAGCAGGATTCATCAGACCAATCATTTATGCTGATTGGCTAGCCAATATTGTGCCAGTTCTGAAGAGAAAAACAGGGGCAGTTAGGATCTGTGTGGATTACAGGAATCTAAATGAAGCATCCCCCAAGAACGAATATCCTATGCCAATGGCAGATATGCTAGTAGATGGAGTTGCTCATAACCAAATGCTATCTTTCATGGATGGCAATGCAGGTTACAATCAGATTATGGTAGCAGAAGAAGATATTCACAAGACAACCTTCATGTGCCCAGGACATATAGGTGTTTTTGAATACACTATAATGCCTTTTGGTTTAAGAAATGCAGGAGCCACTTATCAAAAAGCAATGAATTTTGTTTTCCATGATATGATAGGACATTCTCTAGAGGTATACATAGATGATGTGGTGATTAAATCCCCAGAAGAAGGAGATCATGTGTCAAATCTAAATAGGGCATTCCTAAGAATGAGATAACATAAGTTAAAAATGAATCCCAAGAAATGTGTCTTTAGAGTTCAGGCAGGAAATTTCTTAGGTTTCTTGGTCCACCAAAGAGGCATAGAGATTGATAAAAACAAAGGAAAATCCTTCATAGAAGCTCTACCACCTCAAAACAAGAAAGAACTGCATAGTCTCCTAGGAAAAAGTAATTTTCTAAGGAGATTCATATCCAATTATGTAGGAAAGATCCAGCATTTCTCCTCCTTGTTAAGGTTGAAACAGGAACAAACGTTCAAGTGGGAAGAACAGCACCAACAAGCTTTTAAGGAACTCAAGCATTACCTCTCAAATCCCCCAGTTCTATCACCACCAAAGAGAGGTAGACCACTCAAACTCTATGTGTCTGCATCAGAAGTGTCCATTGGGAGTCTGTTAATCCAAGATAACAAGGGAACAAACAGGCAATCTACTATCTGAGCAAAACTCTGACAGAAGTAGAAATGAAATATTCTGCAATTGAAAGTCTTTGTCTAGCCTTATATTTCACTGCTGTGAAACTCCGACATTACATACTGCCATTCACCATCTACATCATTGCCAAGACAAACCTGATCAAATACATGCTAACAAGGCCAATGTTGAGAGGCAGAATTGGAAAATGGACTCTGACTTAGACAGAATTTGCTTTCAGATATGTTCCTCAGAAAGCTGTCAAAGGGCAAGCTGTAGCAGACTTTCTAGCAGATCATCCAGGGGAGGAGATTGAAAACATGGACTCTTTAGACATAGCAAACACAGATTTGCTGACTAGAGCTCATACTTGCCTGAACAACCCCATCTATTCAATTCACCTCACACCTTGGAAGCTGTACTTTGATGGACCAAAACTGATATAGCTTCTAGGGCAAGGATTGTTTTAGAAGAACCACTAGGGATCAGACATTGTTATTCTTTCCAGTTAGATTTCCAATGCACCAACAACAGGGTTGAATATGAAGCTTTAATCATTGGCCTAGAAATTCTGGTGGAATTAGGGATCCAATCTGTGGAAATCCTGGGAGATTCTATGCTTGTATTGAAACAGATTGCTGGAGAATACAAGTGTCTAAGTCCTTCCTTAGCTGTCTATCTAGTGGTAGCTAGAAACCTTTTGACAGAATTCAGGGAAGCTACTTGGGAACATATCTCAAGAGAAGAAAACTTTGCAGCCAATGAATTGGCTCAGGTAGCAACAGGTATACAAATGCCTGAAGACTGTGTGCAAAGGATCATCAAGGTAGGAAAGAAAAGTCTACCATCTATTCTAACTAGAAGGATGGAGGTAGATGTCAATTCTACCATAATCACTGAAGATGATTGGAGAAATCCTATCATAAATTACTTACAATATCCAACCCTGCCTTCTGAGAAGAGAGTCGGAATCATGGCTTTAAACTACCTTATGTGGAATGGAGATTTGGTCCGGAAAAGCAAGGATGAGGTACTATTGAGGTGCCTTGGAAAGCAGGAATACATGAAGGTCATAGGAGAAACTCATGAAGGAATCTGTGGAGCTCATCAAGGAGGAAGAAAAATGTGCTAGTTAATTAAGAGATATGGCTACTTCTGGCCAACTAGGATGAATGATTGCATTGACTATTCCAAAGGGTGTGAGGCTTGTCAAAGGCACAGCCCAATCCAGCAGGCTCCTTCAGTTCCCATGAATCCAGTGGTAAAGCCATGGCCTTTCAGAGGATGGGCAATGGGTCTCATTGGCAAGATCTATCCAGCCAGTAGCAAGCAACACTGTTTTATCATTGTAGCTACAGACTATTTCACCAAATGGGTGGAAGCCAAGCTTGTTAAATCCACTACATCTCAAGAGATCATCACTTTCATAGAAGAGCAGATCATACAAAGGTTTGGCATTCCAAAATCAATCACAACTGACAGGGGATCTTCTTTCATATTTGGAGAAATGCTAGATATGGCATAGGCATTCAAATTTAAGCTACTCCAATCCACTCCTTACTATGCTCAAGCTAATGGACGGGCAGAATCAAGTAACCAGGTGATCATCAACAATATCAGAAAAATGCTTGAGAAAAATCCAAAGCAATGGCATAAGAAGTTATCAGAAACTCTATGAGCATATAGGACTTCAAAAAGATAGGCAACTGGCATGACCCCATATGCTCTAACCTATGGCCATGATGCAATTCTGCCTATGGAGATAGCAGTCCAATCTCTTAGAATTGCTCATCAACACAATTTGGTTGGAGAAGACTACTCTTAAGCCATGCTGCTAGAACTGGAAAGATTGGATGCAAGTAGGATTGATACCCTCAACAAGCTCTTAGCAGGAAAGCAAGCTGTATCAAGGGCCTACAACAAAAGTGTTAAAAACAAGAGTTTTGAAGAGGGAGAAATAGTCTGGAAAGAAGTTTTGCCCCTTAGAACACATATAGCTGGTTATGGAAAGTGATCACCTACATGGGAAGGTCCTTTCATAATTAAGCAAATCCCTGGAATGGGGGCATACAGATTAATGGCAAGTGGTTGAAGAAATGGAGATGTTCATACTGCACCCATTAATGGCAAGTAGTTGAAGAAATTCTATCCAACCATGTGGGATTCACAAGCTGTGCAAACAGATCCTAGAATAAAGAGGCAGCAAAATGAAACTGTTGTTTAAAAAGTTTTGCTCAAAATTTACTTTTGTTGTAATATGTTAAGTATGTTTGTTACTATTTCTGTTTTCTCTTTGTCAAGGAAAACCAAAATTCCACAAAATTCCACAAAATTTAAGCTGTTTATTACAAAGTCTAAATTTGAAATCTAAAACCCTAATTTCCTAAGAGTTTCTTGCAAATTGTTCTTCTTGGTCAGAAGTTCCTTTTGAAGTAGCACTCCCTGGTGGATTGAAGCTTCTGCAATCTCCAAAGCTGGCCTGGAAGCTGAGACCATGCTCTGCACAAGGAAGGTAGCCTTGGTCTTGGAACTCAGTCCAACCCCAAGCTTATTCTGCACCTCCCTGCATTCTGCCAATTGCTTTTAAAGCTCCTCAATCTGCTTCTCCAGCCTGTCTGTAGTGGTCCAGTTCTGCCTTCTGTTTCGCATAATCAGCCAAGTTGGCTTCATGAGTGGCTTTGCAGAACTCAGAGGTTTTGAAGGTAGGCTTGAGATCCTCATAACGATCGTGAAGGTTGAGCACATCTCTGGCCAAACCAAGGCTTATCTCAAGTAGAGGTTTGGGAGCCATGTTCTGTCTGTGCAAAAGGTCCAGATCCTTCATCAATTGATCAACAACTTCCCTATCCTCATCCAGCTCCAACTCAGTGGATTGCCAAATCTTCAACCTCTCCATGGCCTCTTTCACTGCCTTGAATTTTGCCTTGCCAGGAGTAGAGCTGAGCTTCTCCAGTTTGTCCAGCTGGGCATCTAGATCCATGGCTTCAAACTCTGCCAATTTCGAATCAGCAAAAGAAGCCGTAGTAGATGAACCCGGGAAATAATGGATGGGCATCTGCAAAACAAATTCAAGTCAACTTTCAGATAAAGTCAGAACAGGAAAAGAAGGGAGGGCACAAAAATACTCACAGCCACAATGGGAGGTTTGAAAGGACTGGTCATCACAGCCAAAACCACAGTAGTTCTGGGCACTTCTAACTGGAAAGACTAATGATTAGAGAAACAAGGACAAGACAGAATTACAAAAAACAGATAAAGATGAAATTAAAACAGAAAATTACCACAAGTCCAGGAACAACAGCAGTTAGCTCCACTTTAGGTTCTGAGGCTGCAACAGGAAGTTCTGCCTGCTCCACAGGCTCTGATACAGACTGCTCCGCCTATTCCTCAGGTGCCAGAACAGCAGTGGAGTGCTCTGCCTCTGCATCCTCAAAAAGAGCCGACTCTGAACTAGTCAGCTCTGCCCTTGGGCCCTCCTGCTGTTTCTGCACCAAGGCGATTCTCTCTGCAATCACTTCAGCAGGGATTTCCTCCTGCAAATAGGCAGAAATTAGAAACAGAAGAAATAAAAAGACAGAAATTGCTAGTACAGTCAGGAAACAATACTCACCTCCTCTTCCACTTCTTTTTCCTTTTCTTGAGGTCCTTCTTCTTCCAGCTCTTTCTCCTTCCCTACTGCCTCAAAGGCCTCTCTCAGCTCTTCATCTGTCCCAGAAGTGTTGGTGGGAGCTGCTCTAGGTTCCTCCATGGCCACATATTCCACCACAATCCTCTTTCTAAGTCTTTTTGACTTAGTAGAAGGAGGAGGAGGAGGAGGACTTTCAGCTACAAAGAACAGGCAACAAATGATTAGAACGTATAAAACTAAACAAAGGCAGGGCAGAACAGGATCAAGAAAGATCGGAACTCTAAAAAAACAAATTACCAAAGGCTTCAAGATGAGCAGCACTGTCCTGAGCAAAAGCAATTTCTTTCTTTTTCCTTCTGGCAGAAGGAGTGGCCTCAACAGTTGGTTGTTCTGCCAGAATTTCATCTTCTTCCTCTCCAGAGGGAAGCTCCAGATCTCCAACAGCAATGACAGAAGTGAGTACACAAGAGACAAACGTCAGGAACTAATCCAGCAGAAGAAAATGGAAGGAACAAAATGACAAAAGGCTTACCAATCACTTCTCCAATCTGGATAGACTGTCCACCTATGTTTTTCATCAGAGAAGGATTTGTTGCAGACATAACAAAACATTAGGAATCATCACAAAGGCAGAATCAAGAATTCACCTTCTATAACTTGAGCATTAATGCCTTTTATGGTCTGCACCATAAATTATTGAGTCTCCTCTCCTGCGTGAACAACCCAGGAATCCTAGCCATCAAAAAGCACCTTGAGTACAATCCTGGAGGCAGGCAGACCCTGAAACCTGGCTTTCCACCAAGCATCAAACTCGGCAGAACTGTAGGAATTAGGCTCCCAGGATGTATAAAGGGCATCTGCACTATTGTTGATCTTGTTTACTACGCACCTAGCATCCTTGTGCACTCCCAAGTCATCTGAATTTCTCCAGGAAGTGGCTCGATTTCAGCTTCTATAAGATTTGAGCGGAATGAGTTGGGGGCAACCAAGTTGCCTGGCACAGAAGTTGGGATGATAGACTTCTGCCCTTAAATTATAATTTGGAGGCTTTCCACCGCCATGGGGCAGGTCTCTGGGCAGGGTTACACTCAGAAATTTCTTCCTGAAATCAATTCTGGCCACTTCTTCCTCTAGTTCCTTCTTAAACAGCCGGTATCCGGGCTGAAACCAAGGATAAGTCCTTCTGAGTACCACCTGCCACTGAGCTACAGATCTCTTAGTGTAGTGCCTGAAGAACATCAGATACTCTTCAATGGACCGCTTGGGCACTTCTGCTGATATCAAGGGAAGAGCCAGAACTTGCTCTTCAGGCAGAACTATGTCTGGAAACCTTAACTAAGGGAAATACACCTGCAGCTAGATCTGGATCATCCAAAATGCACAAGGAGCTTATAGATTCAGAGGATTCTCCAGCGTGGCCGTATGCAGATTCTTGAATAAATGGGCCAGAACCGTGGGTCCAAGCCCCACATCAGTGTGGTTGTGCAGAGCCTCAGCCAAATGTATGTACTCAAGCAAAACTACTGAAGAACGGTTGGGAAATACAAATCTGTTCAGCCAGTATAGGAGGAATAGCATATGCAACTGATCCATATCCTTCTCAGCACTGAACTTCCTAAGGTAGTTGGAGAAGGAGCAGTTCTGGTTGATTGTTGCAGGAGCAGTTCTGGTTGATTGTTGCAGGAGTAGTACTGATCCATATCCATATCCTTCTCCTGGTTCTTCTTCCTATGGTAATCACTCACTGCATCCACAGGGTGACCATGAGGTCTAAATCCAAAGATTTGGGCCATGTCCAGCAGGGTTGGAGCCATGGGGCCCACACGAAAATCAAATGTGTTGCTACCAGAATTCCAAAAGCAAAGGGCGGCAGCCAAAAGACTTTCATCTCTATTAATAGACTGCTTGAATAGAAGGATGGCGTCATAAATACCAGCCCTCTTACAATGAGCTCCATACCGCGGGAAGAGCCTGTCAATCCAGTCAGCCCACTTCACTAGACTGTTCCTCACTTCGCTCGAGGGGAATGAGCAGCTCAGATTCTTGCTAACCCAAGTATGGGAAGCCAGGGCAGAAGAACTCTGGAAACACAGAGGAGCTTCAGCATCGTTCTTGAACAGCTCTACCATTTCAGCAGGAACATGGCCAAACCAGTGAGGTCCTAGAACCAGGGTGTTCTCAAACAAATGGAGGACATTTTAGTCCAAATTTCTCTGGGCAAATGGGTGGAGCTTACTCCGAGCCTCGATAGCATGGTTGTCCACTCCAGCCCCAGTAATGTAGGCAGGAGGAACATAAGAGGAAGATTGAGCACGAGTTTTTGGAGAAGACATGTTCAGAAGTTTTGAGCTGGAAAAAAAGAAAATAGCAAGGAAGGCAGGGTCTGGTCGAAGAAAAGAGTGGGAATTATGAAAAACTGAGAAAATCGAGGTCTAAAAGCTAGGTTTCTGAATGAACAGGAACTTTAAGTTTGAATTTCTTTTAAACGGCTCGAAATTGGAGAAGAAGAAGACGATGCGATTGTTGGTTCAATTCCTAACAACTAAAATGAGTTATTAAAAACAGCAACTTTAATTCTCGCAAGTGTACGAACCGTTTGTAGTATAGCTTATGTAAATACGAGGTCGATCCCACGGAGAATGGTAACTTGGTTCCAAGTTAAATTACTTAGAATGCTAGAAAAACATAGAACAAGGAAACTGACTAACTAGCTAAAGGCAAGGTCGAATTCAACAATGCCTCTTGCTAATCACTCAAGGTCTAGGACAGAATCCTAGCACCACACACGCACTCAAAATAGGGGGTTTTGTTGTTGAAATGAAAAGAAGAAAGTGAAATGAAAGTGCTCGAAAGTAAACACTGGACAGATTGTGAAATAATAATTGAGAGGTGTTAGAGCCTTGGAATCCACCACTAGTTTTCCTATCCAAGTTATGAATGCATAGAAATTGACTCAAGCTTCATCAACAATAGATTATCGCATACAAGCCTATGGTATCTAGGTGCAGGACGCATGATTCTCCTAAGGCATGTAATTGTGCATGGTATCTACACAACACGTGATCTCTAATATGCAACCTAAGCATGGTATCTACTTAGAATAAAGCATACAAGAGTCATTAAGCTCCTTGAGAATATGATAATCACACAAGTCCTAGAACATGGTATCTGTCCTAGTCAACCTATGGTTATTAACCCCTTGAATGATTCTTAGGCCATTCATGTGTTGCTTGTGAAAGGAGAGTAGAATTGGTGAATCTAAACCCCTTCCCAACCTGTGCTAGATGCATAAAATCCTAGTTAGCTACTCTAAGAAAACATACATCAAGCACATAATAAACTGGAGATTAACAACTTGATAATGAAACCAAGGAAATCAATTAACTATAAAATCATCCATAACATTGAATATTCATGACTAGGGCTTCATCCTAAGCCCTAACTAAATGGATTAGTTAGACATAACTATGAATACAGAAAATAAGAAATACATAGATAGGATAAAGAGAGGAGAAGAACTAGATGATGGCAGCAAGGAATTCCCAGGACAACTCCAAGCTCTCTTCTCTCTTTGTGGTGAATCTGAATTTGTGTATGAGAGTAATGGGTGAAGTGAAAATGTGTATCTGACTCTCTATCCCTTTGAATGAGTGTGCAGCCCTCTATTTATAGAGTGCAATTTCGTCCTCCCCTTTGGCTGGTGAAGCACACCTCTCTTAGCTGCTCCCAACAACTCCAGCAGCCCATACTTGCCACCTGCTCCAGATGCCCATACTTGCCACCTGCTCCAGCTGCCAAATACATGCTTTGGTATGGTTTTTTAATGGAAAACTTGACTTTTGTTCATCATTCTGAGTTTCTGAACTGATTTGACTCCCATGTGTGGCTGCCCATACTTAGCACATGGCTCTAGGGATGTAGATGTGATGGCAGCCAATCATGACATTTCTGTGAACTTGGTTCAGTCTTTGACGTGCTGAAGGCTCCAGATTTATCCAATTGTGCTGAAATTTGGATATGTTATAATAGACACCCATTGGAACAACTTCTATCAAGGATGTCTCCTCATCCGACCTGCGTAAGTTGCTGAAATGAGGACTGCAAGATGACCCACGAAACTGGACTGACAAAAAGTGTGGCCCAAATCGGGTTTGCCTTTAAGCTCATATTCCTCTTATCCCAATCAGCCCTTAATAATCATGGAATGCATCAAATGTGATCCCTTGCTGTCTTAACCTACAAAACAAACAAAAAGAGGTAAGTGACTCAAAATAAAGAGAAACTAAGCAAAGTCACTAAGTAAAGAAGTCATGCGAATGTATGAAATTATGAACTTATCAGCGACACCTGATGATGACTAGCTAAAAAACTAGCTAGTAACTAAACACTTTCCCATGAAGTTTAGTTCGTGGTAGGCAGACGTGGAAAATGTGGATTAACTGAAGAAACTGGCGCGCACAAATTAATGGCCAATTCATTTAAGTTTGAAACCGTTCCAAAAACGATTCAGACTTAGGGGGCATTGTTTGGGCTCAATTTGGTACACCCAGCCCAAAATCACAAGGCCCATGCCAATTTTTGGTAGCCACCGACATTCCTTTGAAATTAGGCCAAGATTACACACTCAGCCCAACATTGAAGGCCCTAGCCCAGGATCTATCCAAACATAAAAACTTGGGCCTCGGAAAAACAGAGAAATGAAGAAATCAGCCCATAGCCCTCGGAAAATTCAAACTGGGCTCAGCAGCATTAAAGAGAAGAGAACCCCAAAGAGAGGCAGACCCACGTGAATGTCTGAAATAAACTTTGAAAAGTAAATATTTTCAACTGGGTTGATGAAGAGTTAACAAAAGCAGGCAATTAGGAAGAGACATCTCTAAATCTCTGCCATAAGAAGATCAAATCCCTTTTATATATTTAGAGATATTGTTCCTACTCCAAAAAAGGCACCATCTTTTAAGGGATATGCAGGCTATGTTCTCAAAAAAAGATAAGCAAGAAAACAGGGAGTTGTTCAAACTGGAAAATCAAACTAACCATCATGGTTTGAGCTCTCACAAGGGGCAGTTGGAATTAAAGAGGGATTAGGTTCTCTTTCAAAAAACAGGGTAGTGATTGTCTTAAGAACTGACCATTGAGGGCTTATCTACCAGAACTGATAAAACCCCCTTTTTCTTTGCATTTAAAATGAAAGATCTTTTGAGAATTTTGCCGCCCATTATTAAAAGAAAGAAATCCTACTCCAAAACATTTATTATAAATATAGGAGAGAGTGAACAGAGCAGAGGACACTCAATTCAACAATCAATCAAACAATCAAAAATCAACCAGAGGCAAAAACTCAAATGATCACTTGATCACTGAGAACCTTCAAAACAAACTGGAGCAACCAAAAGCTCATTTGAGCCACAAAAGAAGTCAGCTATAGATCAAAACTTCCGAGTTCAGACTTAGAGAAATAAGTCATTCAAAACGAGACTTCTCTCGTTACAAATTTGGTTCAGCAAAAGCCAAGACAAGCAGAGTTTGAGTTTTCACAAATATGAAAACCTCAACAAATTTATGGAGAGCCCTAATCAAGCAGAACAGGTACTACAGTGCAATTCCAGCTCAGTAAGTCCTCAAATTCAGCCACTTCTGCCCCTTCAGACTGAAAAGGCCACAGTTCTGCCCATTCAAAAGCCTCCCAAGGCTTGCAGTAGATTAAAGCTCTGCCAAAATTGAATTTTGGTATCGATTTATAGCTGAAGCTAAGCAGTAGAAGTTGTTGACAGTTCAATCCAGCACAGACATACCCAGTCCAACACGGAATCATAAGCTTCTATCCAGGCAGAAATGGAATTTCAGCCATCTTTTTGTCTTTCTAGAGTTGATTTTTCCCTTTCTAGTTTTGTAAAAGGCAGTTCTACCAAAAAACATTCCACTCTATTATCATTTATTTTGGATAGAACTACCAATCTTGCACTGAGATAAATTGTGAAGTCCTCACCAGTCTGAGACAGGAAAAGAACTTACTTGGGAGATATTCCTCACCCAAATTCACAATCGCTTGTTTAGAAATCAGTAACTTGGGGGACAAGTTATCTATTTTAAAGATGTCTTCTACGATTTCTCATTGCTAGGAGTGGTACGCTCGCATACTAAAGAAAGTTGACTTGTTGACCAGTCAATGGTTTTCAAGGCAATGAGGAACTTTACCCTTCCATCACAGGAGCAAACACAAAACGCGTGAACAAAGAGATTTTGTTTTCAAATCATTCATATAAAAAATATATGAGATGATTTCAATGAAGTCATTTTTAGTCCTAATTTGAATGTCTCCCTTTCCCATGACATCTACGGTTGATTTGTCCCCAAAGCTCACAATTGAATGAAAACTTTCATAAAGATTTACAAAAGAGGACTTGCATCTACTCATGTGATTACTTCAACCTGTGTCTATGTACCATGTTTCTTGATCAAGCTCCTCCAATGCTTGGAAGGCCATTAAAAGTGTCTCTTCCTACTTTTTTTTTACGCAAGATTGGATTTTTCTCCTTTCTACTTTGGCAGCTTCGTGTAGCACTCACTCTTGTAATGACCAAGGTTGCCACATCTGTATCATTCAATCTTAGACGTGTCATACTGCCCCCTTCCTTTTCCTAGAGAGTCATTATCTCTCTTGGAGGAATGAGATGGATTGCTACCATCTCTATTTCCACGACCTCTTCCACCTCTTTCTCTATCTCTTCCTCTATTGCTTGAGGATTCAGCATGGGTATAGGTTTTGAGAGTTGTTTGCTCCTCCACCTCATTGGCACGGTTGTGCTTTTGTTCATGAACTAACAAAGAACTCTGAAGTTCATCAATGGACATACATTCAACATCCATGGACTCTTCAATTGAGCAGACAATATAATTCATTGAACTTTTTATCTGCCAACACCTTGACTTGTGCATCAATTAGTGTTTCTCCTTCTGCTGGTTCACTCATCCCATTCTCTATAAGATCCCAGTATTCCTTGGACCTCAAGAATTTTTCCATCAACATGCTCCAATGGTCATAATGACCATCGAAGCGAGGGATTGTTGGTTGCACAAAACCATTGCCTTCAAACACCATTTGATCTTGTTGTTGCAAGAGTAAGACTGATGCTTTGTGTTTTGATTAGGCCCAAGTAAAGGAGCTCTGATACCAGATGTTGGAACTCAAAAAAATCTGAAAGCTTGAAGCTATTGAACTTAAAAATTGAAAATACTCATTACTGAATGAAACATGATTACAACTTAAATAGAATTGATCTAGGCTACACGTTAAACACTAACTCAACTTGTGCAGATTTTGTGGAACTAAACGAAAGCAACGGAACACTTCTAACGGTGGTGCACGACCTTACCAAGTCAGCTTTATTTAATTAAAACTTAATTAAACATAACTAGATAACTCTTAACAGAGAGGCCGCTAATTATGTTCACTTAAGCAGCAACCGAGTTGGGCTGCCAAGTTGACCATTTCTACTCGAGCTCGTTAGAAGACTCAGTCGTCATCCCCTCAAAGAGTCCACCAACTCTTCTCCCCTTCGCGACTCCAACGTCGTATTACTCCTTGTCTCCAGCATCTGAAATCATCACCAAGGATGAAATTCGAAACCCTAAATCCCAATGTACGTTTGAGCGAGGGTGAAGAAGACATTGGTACAGTACACATACGCTCGCGTATTTTGAGGTTTTTTTGGCAAATAAAAAGGTTAACAGAGTTAGCTCTCTGTTAAATTAGTTGATATGTGTCAACAAACTAGGGGAGGGACATAGGGGGACATCCAATTTGGGGACAGCGAATCCGCTCCCCCATGTGACAGGCCTTGTCACTTGGTGAATTATAACTTAAAAGTCCAAATGAATTACAGTCAACCCTAATATATTGAAGGTACCCCTTCAAACTTGCTTCTTTTTTACCCCTATTTCAATATAATAATTAAAAAGGAAAAAATAGAAAAGGAAAAAATAGAAAAGGAAAAAAAAACAGCCAGCCACCACCAGACCCCACGGACCACCCACATCCCGTCGTCCGCTGGCAACTCCTCTTCCTTCTCTAACCGCCCACCAGTTAGGTCTCAATCTATCCTCAATCTTACATTAGAGTTATGAACAAGAATGTAGTTACATATTTTAATTACCCATAATGATACGTGCACTGGCGGACCTAGGAATGTTTTAGCGGAGGTGCAATTTTGAAAGACTAAAACTCTTTGTGGATTGAACATCTAAGGTTTTTACCTAGATTGACCTTAGGTCCCTTCATGCATTTATATCATACATGAAAAATTGTTTTATGTAAAAATATTGAGACTAAGTATGAAAAATGGTTTTTCGGAATAATAATTTTTTGAAGATAATTTTTGGCGGCTTTTATTCCTTACACATCAAATAAAAAAAATTTGCTTTTTATGGGATTTAGTATGAAGTATATATTGACTTAATGAGCCATCATTTTTAGCCTAAATTGTTTTTTGCACTAAAACCGATTTTTCGGATTTTGATTTGTTAGGAATTTGATTTTCGAGTATTTTTATTTGAATCCAAATGGGGGTTTTTCCTTATTTACATTGTAAACTTAAGTAAATGTCTTTGTCCGTTTACTTAACGTTAAAAATGAAAATAAGGTAATATATACATCAACTGAGCAAATGAGCAATTTGAAGCACCTATAATGGTTTTTCCTCATAGGTTCCTCCCTTCCTTACTCTTTAGGAGCAAAGGGGCAAAGGACCAATTCCTCATAGGTTCCTCCCTTCCTTACTCTTTAAAGTAAGCAAGTAAAGTACCTGACCGGGTGGGCAATCTTCTGCCTTCACCTCCCGCCCAGTGACCCTTTTCTTTACCTTCTTAATTTTTTAAATTAAAGAAAAACGTATCACATCATACCAAAGGGAAGAGGCGCACCACGCGGACTCTTTCTCAATCCAAATTTTAGAAAAGAAAAATTACCGAAAAATATGAGCCCAAAACCTGGTTTTGGGCTGCCCTGAATCCTTGTGTCCTCTCAAATAATGTCAACTCCTGGTTTTAGAGAATGCTTCCTCCCAATCCCCCATCTATATGAGTATGTGAAACCCTCACATTAGGTTTCCAAATCAGTACTTTATTTTGGGTGTTTACCTTTTGGTCTCAACAATTTGGTATGGCAACTTGTTTCCTTCAAAACCAACCACTCTGCCATTTATGGCATCACCTTTCACACTTTACTTGCAGTACAAACCCCAGAAACCTTTGTAATATATATTTACCAAGCCTCTCTCTGAAGGCGCGCGTAAGCTATTTTATGGAAACCTTCTTCACCACATAGGAATTCCCTCTAATGCCCTTTCTATCTTTCAAAATGATCCATTATTTATTAAACATTTAAACAGTGAATGGCAAACACTGTTTCTTTAAGTGTTCAAGGATGCTCAACAAGTAAAAGCCTCCGGACTAGAATTTCTATCGACAGTTTAAGTACCAAAAGTCTGGGACAATTACTTTCCGTATCCTATGCATTTAAGAAGATTGCTAACAAAATGTTTCTTGAATCCTTAGAATAAGCCTTCTAACACATCAATCCCAGATGGCTGGGTTTCATGAGTTTGCATGCAGAGAGATTTTATATAGGAAAAATAACCCATATAAGGGAAAGTAAACTATGCAATTTCATAGAAGGAAAAGTAAGCTATGCAAGCATGTCTCCACTAAAAATGAAAGATAAACAACATAAAAGTTCAAAAACATATAAACATGAGGGAGATTCCAAACTTTTCAACCAGGATCATGTTTGTCTGCACCATGATTGCCTGTTTCTGGAACCTAAACCATCGACCCCACATTGAAATATAAACAACAACAAAGTCACAGTTACGCTAAGTTCAAAACATTTAAACATGATGACGTTCCAAACTTACTAGCCAGGACTCTGTTTCTTGGCACCATAGCTGTCTGTTTTAGAACCTACACAATCAACCAAAGTAACCCCGGCATTTTGATGATCCACATAAGCATTTATTTTTCCGATGGGGTCCATTGTCATTGTCGGCTTCACTAGAGCTTGAATTGCCATAATCATATGTCAACTCTGTCATAGGTGGAATGTGTCTGATGGCAAAAAAAGCAATATGAAGAGAGGACTGATTGTTGTGTTCATATAGAACCGGTTGCCAAAAAACATTTGGTGAGCAACTGTGATTAATGAACCGTGATACATTTCCAACATTCTTGGCACTTATGATTAGGCGATATGGGATGTTGTAATCCTCATTTATGTCATTAGAAGTCTCCTCTTCTAGTAGTCCTGGTTCATAATTCCACTTAAATGAGTCATAATTACGGCCTGTATCAAAAATATATTCATCGTCTTCACCTGCATGCCCTTTCTGCTTTAACTTCACTTCATCAATAACTTCACCAGCATACTCACAAATAAAAGAACCAGCCCGAATAGAATCCCACGACCGGAGGCCCCAGCCCCTATCCTTTGTCTTAAACACTTCCAAGCGCAATTTTACACCAGTTTGGGATACTCGGTTTTTGCAGTTGGGAGAGCAAGGACATGTAGGACCACATTCATGTAACAATTGCTTTCGGCTGACTAGGATCCCATTGCCAGTATAAGGAAAAGAACCTCCATTTTTCTGAATGCAAGAGCAATTCATATCACCTGGGAGGCATGCATTATGGCAATTGCAGCCAAAAGAAGGCGGCATTAAAGTGAAAGATTTAGAATATTTGAGTTTAGGAAAATAAGTGAAAGAAGCCAGCGCCTTCTCGTTATCAACCTCATTTACAAGGGAAACAGGTATAGATTCAGTCCCTGAAGTGAGATCTTGAAGAACAAGTCCAGCCCTTGACGAAAAACCATCCTTCCACTTACGAATAGTTTGCCAAACTGCAAAAGCACCAGGCTGCCCAGGCACCCTCGCTAACTTGTACTTGAATATATTGCAACCAGATTTCCCCCTCTCTGTCCATGACTCATGGACTTTATATAGGCCATCATAGACATAGACCTTTGTTGTTGAATTAACCTCATCTCTCACACCCCGAATAACTCGTACTTCATTGCCATGATTCAAGCTTCTCTCAAGAGCAAGATTACCCCTTTCAAGCTTCTGATCAGCCACCTGCTTGTCTTTGTTGTTATTATTCCCACCCTGGCCACTATATATCAAGACATCGCTGTCCTCTGTGTCATCATCATACCCTCCTGAAGAGACAATGCTTAAGGCCACTGGATCTTTTTCAGCATCACCCTTCCCAGTCATGTAGTCAATTCCAGCCATTGACGGAGCATGCAATCCCACTGCACACATTTCCATTCGGAAATAGAAAACGTCGCCAATCTCAACTCCAGGCACAACCCCAATTCTCCTTCTCATGTTCGTTCGAACCTTTTTGGTCATCAAAATGTTACCAGCTTTCAAATCTGCACGCTTAATAATCCCATTTTTAGATTCCTTGGCATCTTCAATTTGGCAGATCCTTCTCCGCAGTGAATCAAAATTCATAAGTACATAGTTAACCAACTCCCTATTACCATCTTCAACTTGAAACGGACTCATAACCGAAACAAAGTTCACTCCCGACCCATTGTTTGTTAATGAATCGCCATCTCCACTTTTCTTTTTCTTCTTTCGAGATGAACTAGCCTTCGTGCTCTTCTTTCTTGATGAACTAGAACCTAGATGAGCATCAAAATACCCATCGTCATCTTCTGCCCCACCCATTGATGACCCTCTTTCTCCATTAGACTCCTCCGGAAAGTCATGGGGCAGTGCCCCAGATGGCGCGGGGGCTCTATATGACCGAATTGGAGCAGGCATGGGACCCGTTGGTGTCCTCATTGGGGAAGGACTATTGAGATTAGGCGAGGTTTGAGACCCTTGTGGTTGAAATGGGTAAAATGGAGAATATCCATTAGGGGTTTGGCCGAAGGGAGGCATGCATGGAAAGGGAGGGGCTTGAGACGCAGCTGGAAAGACAGGCATCAAACTACGCAGAGGTTTAACATCCAAAACCCTTGACTTATCAAAACCAGCTGAAGGAGGAACGAAATTGTGACTTGACCCTCCTTCCATTACAAACCCTTTTGTCTACAAAGCAACACAACAAACCCAACAAAACCCACTATTTCTGTTCTTAATTTCTCTTTCTTCAACTTCTGGATGCTTCTGATGGTTATCTAAATCCCAAATTCGTTTTTTTCAGAGAAAGAAAATTTCTCCCTCTAAACATTTTTCTCTGCAAGACAAGATTGCAAACGACGCTACACATCACTGAAAAGATTCATAATTTGAACAGGAAAGCAAAACTCAAGCTGAAATCCAAATATAATCAGATCTAGAAACATGGTAAACAAATCGGTCTTTGGCCAAAGTTGAAATATTAGTTAGAAAAATCAAAATCAAGCAGCACCTTCTACATGCATGATCATTTGGGTAGGAAAACCAGAAGCAAGAAACCATTCTTACCTCTTTGCCTGTTCCTTTGATAACTGGGTATTTCTCCGTTCGAGACTTTCAGGGAGAGAGAGAGAGAGCGCACTGCCGCAGTTCCTGTCTCTGCCTCTGTTCCTGGGTCTAACTTAAAACTGTCCTGTACTTTGCCACATGGGGTCTGTTTAGGCCAAATTACATTTTTAGAAGTTCCCTCATTTTTCACCTGAATTTTAACTCTCTCTCAAATTTAGCTTTGAAATTAACTTTCTGTCTATGCCATCAAAAATAGAAAAAAAGATAAAGAAAACTTTTTTTTGTGTAGCACCTTGAATTTTGTTTAAAATATTAATAGATCTTGTGGGCAATTTTGGTATTTTAATAATATCAATGATATGTGTCCTCAATTATAATAAGGAGTAAAAAAAATGTTTTGTTAAGAATAATAGACAAACAGCTGCCACTTTTGTCGTAAGGGATTCTAAAGGAAATGTTAGCATTGTTTGTCATAAGGGTTTTCCTATTGGTTTTGGGTCTTGTGTTACAAGCTGAAACTATTGCGTTAAGACATACTTTGCTTTGGGCAATAAGGTTAAATTATAATAAGTTCATTTTTAAAGTGATTCTAAGGTTTTAATTGATTTTTTCTTTTGAACAAAAAAATACTTGATTTTTTTTCTAAGGTTAAATTATAATAACTACAAGGGAATGAAGTTTTCCCATAAGGGTTCAAACTTGATACCATCAGTTTGCAAGTCAATACCCTTTTAAACTAGGCAACACCTCATTGGTTTTAATTGATATTCTAAAATGTAGAGAAACTAACAAAATTTTGTGGAGTAAGGATATCATAAAATCATGCAGCGTTATCATCACATAGAGCCTATTATGTACATTATCTATGAATAAAAAATATGTTGTATTTCCATGCCTTGTTTATAATTAAAGTATAACCAAAGGTCGCTCTCTCAAATGCGAGGAGAGCCGTACAAAAAACCTAGGGTTTGCGTCGTCTCGCTTCTTTCCAGTCTTCTCCGTCATCCCTCTTCTTCAGTTTATCGTCTCCAGCACCTTGCATGGGTTGGGGTCTGGCTTTGGATCCCGCGTGGTGCAATTTTGGTGTTGTGACGAGAGGCAGTGTTTGACGCCATCACTGATTCCTTGGTGTGGTTCTCTATGTGGTTGCTTTCTCCTTACTGATGTGCTTTTCCTTCTGATGTGGTTTGGCAAAGAAGACAATCACAATTAGGGTTCTGTCTCCTGGAGTCGTGTAGACCATCTATACCTATACGTATGGAGGCTACAAAGGCTTTAGGACAGCGTCTTAAAGTCTTTGACGTGCTTCGCCATACCAAGCTTGCTTCCATAACCTTAATTTATATTACTTTTATTTACCTATTATTTGTTTATTTAATTTTACTTTACTTTAAAAGACTTTCCAATTTGTTTTATATATTATTTATATTATAAAGGGTTGTTTTTGGATTTTACGAAAAAAGAAAACTATAATTTTGATAACAGTTGGACCCAACTAGATGCCTTAATGGTTTACAAATTATCTATTTTTTTTGTAAGAAAGGCCTATTAATGAAGACTTCAAAAGTAGACGGCTCTTAACTCGTTGAATGGACCACACAACATGTCCCTCAATAGATGGAGACTATATATGTCACAAACTACGCGATTGACAAAAGCAAATTCAAGTCCATAACTTGAACAAAGGCATGGTACCCATTAACTCCGCAATCCTGCCTAATCGATCATACCAGGGAATTGATGGGGGCTAACTAACCTATGTCATACAAGTTCAAATATGTGTTGCCCGTATCTGTCCTGCAACTCATATCTAAGATGAAATTCTAAACAAGGCTAACGGTTCCCATAACTTAGCTCACTATCCATGTCTATCTCATTTACCTGTCCTACAAGTCATATCTAACATAAAATTCTATATTAAGGCGAAGGCATCCCGTAACCTAGCTCTCTATCCATATCTGTCTCCACAAAGCCCTCTTCCTCCTTAGCCAAGTCTCTCTTTGCCACCTCAAGATCTGCCTCTGTAACAGCTAGAGCAGTACTCCGCCTCTTCTTCTCACTATCCAAAATATCCACATCTTCTCTCAGTCTTTTCACTCTCCTTGCCCTTTCCAGGAACTTCTTCTTATCCAAAGCAGAGTGAACATGAGGCTCCAGCCACGCCAAGTCAAACCTGAACATCTCAACATCCTCCCATAAACTTTGAAGGCGCACGCAGGCGTCCTCAGTCATATCCTTCACCCTTGTAGTCTTCAGAAAATGCAAGAGTTCCCCCAAAGCTGTGAATGCACATTCACTAACTTTACGATTTCTCTTATGTAGACACTCGATCAACGAAGGATGCAACGAACAAACTTCCTCCAGCATTGGAACAAAAGCTTTCTCTATTTTTCCTAAACCCATAAATTCCATAAGCTCACCGGTCAGCTCATTGCAAACTTTTTCAGAACTAGGTGTACCCAGGAAAGGAGGCTTCCGTTCAAAAGATGGTGTCTTAGGTGCTGGTGAAGAGTCTGCAGCTTGCACAGAAGTCATGTTTGAAGATTCCTGCCCTTTACGTTCTTTCTTTGTGGACTCCAAAGTTGCATAAACATTACTTCCTTGCTCTCCAATGTTAACAAAGACCTCAACCTTGGCTTCAATAATACATATATCATTCACCAGATAACCTGCACTGCAGTCATAAAGCTCGCAAAGAGGCATGAATGATTTGTAGCCCCACTCCCTCCTTTCTTCTTTGAACTCTTTCGCAATGCCTGTCAAAGAAAAATATCAAGGAACACAAAAGCCATAGTTAAGAATGCAGAGCCCATCACCAGGTAATTAATCAGGTAAAAACAAAGATCAAGAGAATATTGTTTGATGACAAAGTTACATAAATTTAAAAAAAACAAAACAAAAAATTATAAATGACAAGAAAACAGAGAACATGAAGAGCAAAGAGATACCCTGTGTCTGCTTTATTTTTGACTTGCTGCTGTCAAGTTGATTAACCAGGGTGAAGCTAAAGTGTGTATATCTAGCCCACCCCGGTGTCAGTGTTGAAGCATCTGCAACACCCAAATACGTGGACAACTGGTCTACGACATCAGATTCAGGGTCGTGTGATCCCTTTGGACGTATAAGGATCCGCCTGAGAAAAAACCAACCAAACCCAGTAAAAATCCCAATAACAGAAATTATGGGCCAAGTTTGAAACTTGAGCTTGTTACTTAAACAGCCATGGTTGAATGAAAGCAATAGCTACATCAAAACTTTCCTTTTATGATTTGAGCTTCAAAATGCCATTTTTGAAGATGGGTTTTTCTCAAAAAAAAAAAAAAAAGAACGAAAGGAATGGCAACATAAAATAAAACGTACCATTTGAAGCCACCGATGGTGAAAACGTCAGAGTAATGTTTGTCGGTCTTGAGCTTGGAGAAGTTGTCGATGACCCATGTGAATGTCCCAGACACAACATCTTCCTCCTCCTTTTTGTTCTTCATTCTAAAGTGACAACAATTCCAAATAAAACCCATAAATCAGAACCCAAAAAATAAAAATAAAAAGTGCCCATAACACCGAGTAATATCACACTAAACGAACGATGTTTAAGACTTGAGAGACTTGCCTTCTTTCCACTCTACAAGCCTAGGATCCGAGAGAGAGAGAGAGAGAGAGAGAGAGTTTGGATGAAAAGAAATTGGAAAAACCCAACAAAGCCACAGCACTACTACAGTAGCACTTGATGCAGTGAAAGGCTCCAACTTTATTTGTCCGCAAAGCATTATGGGGCTTTTTCATTTTTATTTTTACTTTTAAAGGTCAAAATGGTGCTTTTTATTTTTTATTATTTAAAAAACATACTGATAGTGTTTTTTTTTTTTTTTTTTTTTTTTTTTTTTTTTTTTTTATCTGATATTCTTTTTTTAAAGTTTTAAAATGATTTTGCCGAGTATAGGACTCAACTTAAGTTTGAAGAATAATTAGACTTTAATGTTTTAAAGGATTTCTATATATAAAATTAAAGGAAAATACTTAGCTCCTTACATATAACGAGTATTTCATTTTTAAAATTGGACACGTGTCTATAAACTTTTTTGTTCTTTATGTGTAAGTGTATGTGTTTGTAGTAGACAGAGATAAAGTTTGGTTGAAATATCATTGACAATAGTATTTGAATAAATAAGAAAAAAAAACCCAAAAAAAATTATGTGATATGGTTATGCTAGAGAGAGAGAGAGAGAGAGAGAGAGAGAGAGAGAGAGTCCTGCTCTGAAGGCCCATAAATAACATTGGCATGTCTTGAATGTATTGTAGCCAATTAAAGCCCCGCCTGAGTCCTCGCCGGGCGAGGCAGCTAAGATATTTCTAATTCCATGCAAACCACATTCATGGTGGTCTGAGTATCTTTTAACCATTTTAGAGAAAATTTGGATTCCACTATTTCATTATCACTGATAACACAACCTGTCCGCAACAGGTAGCCAGCTAGCTAGCTCTTCACGTGATGCTTGAAATAATATGATGAAACAAAAACAAAAACAAAAACAAAAAAAACTGGACTTAACCTAATGTGCAGTATCGGAATTTTGTGCCCCAAATCTAAATTTGGAGTCAGTCCCCAAAAAAAAATACAAATTTATAAATAAACCCAATTCTAGACATGTATTTATAAAAAAACTCAAACACTATTTAAACATAGAAACAAACCCAAAATCAACCCCAAAGTCAACTTTTTAGGTGTGTTTATAAATGGGTTTTGAGTGTCTGTAATGATGGATTTTGGGTGTGTTTATATGTTTAAATAGTGCTTGAGTTTTTTTATAATTTCAACCCCCATTTTGGGTGTTTTAGTGAAACTCCCAAAAAAAATCCTCTAAATTTGGGGCCATGTGGTTGGGGCCAACAAATAAACCACTCTCAAATGAGTGCAACCTTTTCATTATATTGCGCATGCTTTTTATTTATTTACCTTTTCTCATTATATGCTTGAAATAATCTATAGATATTGATATGCATATGTATTGGCTGACCTATGAAGGCATAAGGAGGTGTAGTTGCACCTCCTCTCACTAGAAAACACAGGTTAGGTGCTGCATATTACACCTTTAGATATGGTTTTAATCACATACCCTTAAAAAACGAGTCACATAACCAAATTCGACAAAATATTAAAAGAATTTGACGATAGTGACTACTTTAATGTATGGTTGTACCAAATATGTCATTAATCAATTTTGAATGTCAATGAGCAAATTGATGACTTTTGAACCATTTTCCTCGTCCAAGACAAAGTTTTCACATGCTACAATAGATTTAGGAAAATTATATCCAAATGACGTCCCTCTTCATAATAAAATGCCATTAAGTACCTCGTCTTACAAATATATAACAAGAAGCGTGCGTACCACAGTAGAAAGTCGATGTGGTGTGCAATTATTAGTCAGGTTTCAACTCCCTCTAGTGTAAAAGTTTTTAATATATTTGGGTATTTTCATTGGGGGCTGGTTCGATTTGGTTCTAATTACTCTACTAATAAAAATAAATAAATAAAATGGAATTATATTCTGCAAATATATAGCTCAAGTGAATAAATGATAAATCATGCAATGAACAAAAGATGACAAAGCAGAACTGCAACCTCAATAAGCTAGACCACTCTTCAAAAGAAACTACAAGATTTTTACATAATTCTTAACATTATATAACGTACAGACAGGTAATTCAAGTGTTTCATAAGTTTCAAAATTCCTAGTCATGCAAGTGGTAAATATATATTGCAGACATGCCTCCTATAAATCGTACTCGGATCTTGGAGAAAACTCCCCATTAAAACTAAGGCCTCTCATAACCCATCTCACTATCCATGTCAATCCCATTGAAGTCTTCTTCCACCTTTGCCAAGTCTACCTTTGCTACCTGAAGATCTACCTCTGCAACAGCAAGTGTAGCCCTCTGCCTCTGAACTTCAGTCTCCAAAACAACTACATTGTGCCTCCGCCTCTTAATTTCATTCTCCAAATCATTTACATCTTCTCTTAGCCTCTTCCTTCTTCCTGCCCTCTGCACCAATCTCTTCACACCAAGGGCATATTGAACTCGAGGCTCCAGCCATCCCAAGTCAAATCTGAAGGTCTCAAGCTCCTCCCAGAAAAGCTGAAGGCGTTCACAAGATTCCTGTGTCATATCCTTGACCTTTGTAGTCTTGAGAAAATACAGCACTCGTCCCAAAGCATTGAATGCAGAGTTAGCAAACAAATTACTACTTTTCAGTTGGCATTGAATCAATGAAGGATGCCATGTACAGACTTCCTCTAGTAGTGGAAGAAAAACTTTCTCTATCCGTCCAAAACCCTTAAAATCCACATGTTCGCCTGATAGGTCGGTGGGGACTTCCATAGGTACCTTGTTTAGAGAAGGTTCAACAGGGCTATCATTAGTAGGGTTAACAGTAAAAGCTTTTCCAGAACCTGGCGTATCTTGCAAAGCTAGCACCAGTTCAGAACAAGGTGTCTTAGGTGCAACTAAAGAGTCTGGGATTTGCACAGAATTCACATTTGAAGGCTCCAACGATTTCTGTTCTTTCTTAATTGAGGACTTGATAGTTACAGAAATGCCAGGTCTATGATCTTGACTCTTAATTGGGATATCAACCTTGGCTTCAACAATACATATATCATTCACAAGATAACCTGCATTGCAATCATAAAGCTCACTACAAGGCATAAATGATCTGAAGCCCCACTCACTTGAGCCCTTTTTGAACACTAGTCGAACAGTGCCTGTGAAATTCAAGGAACAGAATAACTATAATTTAGAATGCAAAGCACATTGCCAAATTATAAAGAAACAACAACAAATGAACTCTAATTCCAAGTTACTATAGAAGTGTTTCGATATATATATATATATATATATATTTAAGAACTGAACCAACGATAAAAGAACAGTGCTTATAATAGTTCAGATCCAAAAAATACCATAACCAGCAAAGGTTTAAACAGAGAAAAGCTAATCATGATAAAAGGCTAAGTTTACGAAGTGAAACACATTAACTGAGAAACCAAATAGCTTGACTTAACTAAAGTTCCCTCAAGCAATTTTCTTCTCCAAAACTTCTCTCAAGCTGGAAGACAATGATCAGCTTGTTACATAACTAAAGTTCTAAAAGACATAAGGTCAAAAATGGGTTATTTCGTATGCACACAGGACACTAATTAGTCATGGTTCATACTTGTACGTACCATGCCATAACTGAACCAATAGGAACAGATACTCATGTCCTTGGCACGATCATATTGTGCATAGCACCACACGTCGCGTCATTCAAGTTTTAACCAAGTCAGGTTCATGGCATGTTTTTGTCAAGCAAGCTACTATTCACATTGAAAGCATAAAAGAAACTACACAAAAACATGAAAACAAGTTATACTTGTAAGTATACTGATGTGGCCATGCATCCTAGAGCCCCAAATTTGATCCTCAAAACCTATTAAAGTCCATTCCAATCCAAGCCAAACCAGTCCAATCCTAACCAGTCCAGTCCAACCCACCAAACCAGTCCAATCCTAACCAGTCCAGTCCAACCCACCAAACAAGGCCTTATACTCTAAAGCACTTCTCCCTCAAATTTGTAGGGGAATCAATTTGTTATATATTTTAAACCATGATGCCAATTAAGAACATAATTTCTTGCAACATCAACTTAGGCATCCTATTCATTCAAACTGGATGACAAAATATCCCCCGTCAACATGAAGAAATGTGTCATCACAAAATGACTACAGTTCACATCACATGCACGTCCCATCACAAAGGAAATGGATTAGATCCTGTCCAGTGACAGTTGCCATACTATTATGTCCAGAAAAAAAGATATAGGATTAGCAAATTTGCATATTTCCTTTCTTTCCACCAAGTAAAAAATTTTGTAGGGTTCAAATTATTGAAATGATGCTGTTTGAGCCTTCTACAAAAAGTTAAACCGTGTAGAATGGAAACCATCACATATTCAATTCATTGTGCTTTGTCATAAATGACAACACGACAGAGATAAACAAAAACAAAAAAGAAATGAGCAGTAACGAAAAGTACCCTTTGCAGGCTTTGCTATTGACTTGTTGGTGTCAAGTTGATTAACCATGGTCAATCTAAAGTGGGCACATGTAGTCCACCCAGGTGGTAATGTTGAAACATCTGCAACACCCAAATATACTGAGAAGCTCTCTGCCTCTGCTAGGCTTGCGTGAACCTTTGGGTGTAGAAGGATTTGCCTGATCAAAGAAAGGGTTGGTAAAAAACAAATAACAAAGTATAATGGGTCATTTTGGGCCTTGTGGCCTACTATTGGATTATTACAACTGTTCACCAACATTGGGCTATCAAGTTGATGGGTTAACTTTTAGCTTGGTGAAAGAAGCTAAAAGCTTCTAGATAGTTCCTATTTTCATTTTCCTTTCTTTCAATTTGCAGCTTCATAGTTTATAGTGGATCTGAAAATGGGAAAGAAATGCAAGATATACAATCCAAATGGGACACCATTGCATGTTTGGTATCCGAGAAAATGAGTTCCAAAAAACTCAGCAAAAGAGAAAAAAAAATTCAATCTTGAAGAAAATGACATCACCAACTCGAAGAAAATCAACTAAAAAACTCATCTTGGAGGAAATGGCAATGCCTCCTTGAAACCCATCAACTAAAAAAGTAATCTTGGCTACTCTTCTTAGTGACCAAGATGGATTTTCACTAAATAAATTGCACCATGCTAGTCTAAAATGGGTTTTGCTCAGTTTTCAAGATGGGTCTTTTAGCACCCACCAGTAGGGACTTTTGAGTTCTACCAAAAATGAAAAAAGGTTAAGCATATAGTTAAAAATAGGAGAGGATATCAATACCATTTGAGACCACCAATGACGAAAACATCAGAGTAATGCATGTTGTCGTTGTTCAATTTTGAGAAGCCTTCGATTCTCCAAGTGAAAGACCCAGTGAGGAAAATATCATTTTCTACCTTGGTATTCTTCATTCTACTAACAACAAAAAACCCATAAATTTTTTGCAAACAACAACTAGTTCCCAGGAACCAAATATCACATCAGACCCACAATGGTTTTGAGAAAGCTACCTTCCAATGGCGATTTTCTGATCAGACAAAGAGAGAGAATTTTCGGATAAAGACATTGGAAAAAAAGGCCAACTCAAAACTACAGCATTTGTGGCAGCGCGGATTAAAAAGCTTCACGTTTATTTGCCGGGTCAAACACAGGGGAGTCAAAGCCGCTTGTCTTATTTGTTTTATAGCTTCGAAAGCATTTTTTTTCTTGTTTTAATTTCTTTATTTTTGGATAAGAACATGTTTTTATTTTATTTTTTGAAAACTGAAAACATTACTATGCAAGTAATTCACAAATATGTTTTGTTCCACTAATACGAAACTAGAAACAAATGCATTTAGAAACTACTCCAAATGCGACACATCACCGGAAAATAAGAAACAAAATGTATTTAGAAACAATAATATTGTTTGTGAGCAATCGACAATCAACTTATCTTTCAATCCACCACAATTCATACAGTCGATAAGTATTTTTCTTTTTTGTCGAATTTAATAAGTATTTAAGTTAATGATTGATTGTCTATTTTAAAGATAACATGATATACAAATTGACTGAGAAGAAACCAAGTATTATAATGGCCAGGAATCCGAATTGTAATTTCGTGTCATTCTCCAAAACTTTTATTCAGCTGGAGCATAATTAAAAGATATTCAGAGGTGTAAATGGGTTGTGTTCCATTTTAGTTTTAAACTCTGTCAAACAAAGTCCATTTTACACCTAAAAGGAGAAAATAAGATAAACAAAAACATGAAAATCAATTGGGTTTATAATTGTACTGTTACTGTGCTGCCCATGCCTTCCAGAGCCCATGAACATGATCATCATTTTTATAATTGTAGGGGGATATCAACTTAAAACTTGAAAGTATTATTTCCTGCTGCATCAACTTAGGCATCCAATAGAACAAATTGGGCTATGTATGTTAACAATCTATTTCCCAGTTAAGCATGGAAAATGAGGAGAAAAAAAAAGACAAAACAATAAGCCCCTTTCACGGAGGCTAAACCGTGCAATACAGTGTGCAACCACATTAGAAATACGAGGAACATGCTGGACACAAATTTGGGTATTTGACGCAATTAAGCTTCAATCTTGTCACGAGTGATTGCTTAGCCATGAGTGATTGCTTAGCAGAAACTGGACTTGTGCTGGGGTTAAATGATGCAGCTTGACAAAAGAACTCAGATGGACTTTTCTAGAATTGTCAAGAAATGTCATTATCTCCTGTCAATCAAAATACTCCATATCTAGCATTTGCAAACAAGAACTTTGAGAACAGGCTGCAAGAAGAAATGGCATCCATTTCACCATCAATCATTCCTGTCTCGACCTCGACCTCGACCAATTTCCGAAGCTCATCAGGGATTGAATTTTGAGAACCAAACATATGTTGCAACAACAGTGGCATCAGAGACCTCGAGATCAGCTCTGATTCCTTCACCATCTATCTCACTTGCAGGCATCTTCAGAAAAACTGAAAAGAAAATATTATCATGAAAATTCTTTCAGAAGAAAACACCAAATAAACAACAATAAAGGACCAAAGAATACAATATCTATGAATATGCTTGGTCAGATCCTTACATAATCGAACAGTGAAAGGCATTTACAATGAAGTAAGCAGCCAAGCTGACATCAATGATTGAACCATGAGCTTCGACTCTGAAATCATGCATGGGAAAATTTTTTCTCAAGTCTGCAAGTACACATACAACATAAATATTGCATCAAAAGAATCTAAACTACAGCAGCTTGCTTATTTAATACGATGACAGATAAAGAAAATCCCTAAAATAAGAGGATAAAGAGTCCATTAAGGAGCCCAAGAAATGAAGCCTCCCCTCCTCACCCTCTCTCCTTTCAAATCACCAAGGACCCTCACATCCCTACATCAAACAGCCTAGTAAATTGTCATTACATCAAATCTTCCCAAAACCATAGCCCTCATCTTTCCTCCGAAGAGTTTAAACTTCACACACAACAATGCATTACACGACTTAGGGTTAAACCAGCTGAATCTTACCTCCTTAACTGGCCGCAAACATACAGTTAAAGCTACTAGGCAGTGAAGCAGCAGATGGACCAGAGATAGGGCAAAAGTCACCTCCTTTGAACCATGTGACTAGTATAAATTCCTCCATTGTTGAAGAAGAAATCGATCTTTGTGATCAGAATTACAAGAGCATTACATATCTACACAAGCTTCAAGCTGCTAACAGAATAACCAATGGGGAAGGAAGTACGGATGTGAGTTTGTGCCATGCCACCTATGTCAAAGAGTATCAATGAAAACCAATTTTTTTTTATAAGAAACAAAACAGGGGAAAGACAAATGAGAAGGATAGAAAAAATTAAAACATTACAATTTACAAAACAGGGGACAAGTTAACTTTTATCTTACAACTTTAAGCTCACAGGTTATCTATGGACATTGATTACAATCTAAACTACTCAATCTAAATCACTGAGCATTAGAATAATACAAATCAGATTGATTTTTTGTCTAAAGCACAAATTGTTCTTCTTCAAAATGATTTTGATCAGAAAAAAGCATGAGACCAATAAACAGGAGTGCCAAGGTAATTGACAAAAAACGTTAATTGGATTACATACCTGAGTGTGATCCGAGTATGCTTATATCATATCATATGATGATGACTTGGTCATTTATCTTGATGCAAGGAATGTGTGATATCTTGGCCCAATCTTTTCCCGTCTTATTCTGATACCTTTTCTCCAGGGCAGAACATCTGAGGATGTGCAGAAAAGAAAGAGATGGCGGCAAACCCTCCTCTGGCAAGAATTGGAGACTCGGACAGTTCCAAATATGTAGCTTTTGAAGAGAAGTGAGATGTTGAAGTCCCTCTCCTGGCAGGAATTGGAGGTTGTCACACGCGTCAATTCCTAGCGTTTGGAGAGAAGTGAGGTGTTGAAGTCCCTCTCCTTCTCCTGGCAGGACTTGGATACTGTCACACCCACTAATAACTAGATGGCGAAGAGTGGTAGGAAGCAGGTGATCCTTGAGCAATGTCTCCAAGATACTGCCACCAATTACAAAAAATTCAAGGGAGATAAGTCCTTCCAATCCCCAGTACTTTACCACTGGAGCCCTTAGCCTCTCACAACTACGAGTTAACAAATTTCGGATGTTGGGAGGCAAACCCCCTTCTGCAAATGACTCCAGATTTGGAAGATCATCCACCTGCAACAGTCGAAGGGCTGTGAGGGTGTGAATGCCTTCGGGTAATGACTTTAAATTCTTGCAGTCGCCGACTGTAAATTCATTCAAGTTGGGAGTGGGCCATCCTCCCTGACATTGAAAACACATCAAATTTGGACAATCATCGATAAACAATTCTCTGAGATGACTGAGATTCTCATTAACTCCTTCTTCAATGAAGGAAAGGGATTCCAGATTCTCACTACCCCTAATGTCAAGCTTCTTCAATTTGGGAAAAATGCTCACCCGGAAGTTCCTTAGTGAATCACAGCTATTCTCTATCCACAAAGATTCGAGCGATGTCAATTTGGCCAACGTCTCGTCAGGTAGGAATTCTAATCTCTTACAGTTCTTTATATAAAGTGTTGTTAATGTAGTGGGTAACCCATCATTAGGGAACGAAGACAGCGTTGGACAATTCCGGAGACTCAAACGTTGGAGACAATTGCGATTGGGCAAGCATTGTGTGTCAACGAAATTTCCAATTTCCACGAGTAATGATAACAGACCCTTTTGGCATCCACCTTCGATTTCCAACTCTTCAAGAGAACTGTAGTTAAGACTACTGGTTGTTGTAGTATTGGCCCCTTCATCATGTAAAACCTCACACCCAGACACCGTAAGCTTCTTCAAGCAAGGCAGATGACAAGGCAAGCTTCTGCTCAGCTTCGGACAGTTGGCTAGAATCAGCTCTTGGAGACGAGGGAAATCTGGACCATATTCGCTTCCACTTGCACTTGGTACCCATTCCTCCCACTCTGCCATCTCCATAAACTTTAGCTTCTCCAGTGATTGAAATGGCTGAATAAGAGAAGCTCCATTTCTGCCATAGAATTCCACGCCAATCATCTTAACAGACTTCATTCTTTCTATACAGAGCTCTTTGAGAGAGGGTAGCCGCCCAACTGGTGGCAGTGACCAACAATAACTACAATCACTCAGATGCATGACTTGTAAATTAGAGAAGGACGAGTCTCCTAACCAATTCGGGAAGTTGGTTCCACCGTAGAATCGGATGGTTAGTATCTCTATATTCATGCAAGGGTGGAGCTTGTCAAGTACATCTTTCTCCTTTTGGGAATCATCAGCATCCTCTGCACCCCATGCCAACTCTAACTCCTTGAGATCTTTTTTGTCCTTCAAATTGGCTTGCAATGCATCCCTAGCATCAGCTACATTTTGTAGCTTCAAAATTGCAAGTTTTCCTTGAAGCTGCGGGAACTCCCTCAATTCTCCTATGCTTGACCCGGCAGATCTGCCCACAACAAAAGTAGTCAATTGTCTCAAACTTTTCAGCCTTCCCATTTGCACCGGCATCTCTTCAATTTTAGTTCCACTGACATCAAGATGATGCAAATTAATCAACTCCCCCATTCCTGCAGGCAATTTAGTAAGAGAGCTACAACTTGCCAACGTTAATTTTTGTAAATTAATCAATTTTCTGATGTCTGCAGGCAATTCAAGGAGAGAGGAACAATTTGACAATAGTAACGTCTGCAAGTTGTGGAGATTGCAAAGTACCCCAGGTAACCTTTCAATTGCGGTATGGGAAAGATCCAAGTAGCGCAAGTGAATGAGGTTTCCAATAGAATCAGGTAACTCAATGACATTTTGATAACGTGACAATGATAGCACCCGTAAACATCTTAGTGATGGCAACAAATGTTGTAGAACCTTTTTACTTACATAAAATTCTTCATAATATCTATTTTGTTTTAAAGAGGTAGGTAGGAAGGTCCTCAAACACTTAGCCCCATATAATGGCTCAAATTTTGAAGCAACATCAAATTCTCCCCTAGCATATGACAAATGACGAGCTCGTTTAACTTCACGTGATTCCATCCCTTCCAGCCTAAGGCAAAACCCCTTAGAGATGAACATAGCCAAGTCATGAATGAGGTCATGCATTGTGAAACTGAATTCTCTTGACTTTTGAAACAGTGACCGAGATAATAGCTCATCAAAGTATTTTCTAGCCACTGATTCCATAATCTTCCCATTATCAACTTGAGTAACTAAGCCTTCTGCCATCCATAATTGAACTACATCTTCCTTTTCAAACTCATAATCCTTTGGAAAAACTGAACAATAAACAAAGCATCGTTTTAATTGAGCGGGGAGATAATGATAACTCAACCATAGAGCCGGAAGAATGTCAGTTGTACCATAGGGTAGGTACCAAATATTACTATTTAGTATTCTATTCCACTCCTCAGAATCTATATTGCAACGTAACAAACCCCCGAGTGTTTGTGCAGCTAAGGGCAACCCTTTGCACTTGAGTGCAATTTGCTTGCCAATGCCTTCCAAGTTTGAATTTGCACTATAGTTTTCATTTCCAAAAGCATGTTTAGCAAGTAACAACCAGCAGTCTTGATGTGACAATGGTTCCAAGAATTGAATGGGAACATTTTTCATTAAAGATGCCACATTTTTGTTCCGTGTTGTTACAATGACTTTGCTTCCCCTTGCCCCTGAATTAAAAGGAGTTTGGAGGCGCTCCCAATCACCATAATTTTCATTCCACAGATCATCCAACACAAATAAAAATTTCTTTCCCCTCAACTGTTCTCTTAATTCAACTTGAAGCAAATTCAGATCTGTCATGTTACAAGGCTTTGAAGTGACTGACTCAAGAATAGTTTTAGTTATTCTAACAGCATTATAGTCTTCTGAAACACAAGCCCAAGCTTGAAGTGTAAAATGCCCTTTCACCTTATTGTTGTTGTAAAGCATTCGAGCAAGGGTTGTCTTGCCAACCCCACCCATTCCAACAATGGTGAGGACAGACACATCATCCTTGCTTGCATCATCAGATAGCAACACTTTTGATAAATTTTCTTGGACTTCATCTCTACCATATACACAAGGTTCATGAACCAAGGAAGTTGTTGGAGTTCTATGTGAAACCTTCCTCCTAGCAACTTCTCCCAGACCAAGAGCAATTTTCTGTTGTACAAAGTTTTCTAATATTTGCAACAACTCTTGTATCTTAACATTCATGCCTTGATAAAAATGATTACGAGAAGAAGGGAGTAAGTTCCACACCTTATTGGTTAATTTGTGGGTTTGATCCTCACCTTCCAGTTTGCATCGCAAAGCTTCAGTGTCGATCTCATCCAGCAAGTCCTCTGCATCAAAGACAGCATGCTTGAGCTCGTTAAGCCACTCTCTCACAGCAGGGTTCACAATTTGCTTCTCCTCTGCATCATTGAGCACCACGAACAAAGTCAACAGTGTCGTCTTCAAGTTCATGAGGAGTGGTTCGTCGAGTTTCTTCTGCCGAAATAAGTCGATGAACTCAGCTGAAGCAATTCTGTCACACAACACCTCGATAGAAGCAGAGATGAGAGCCTCTCCGATCAAAGCTGCTGCCATTTTTCTCTGCTTTGCAAGGGATTTGGATGAAGTAATACTCCAAGGTTTGCAGAACTTGGAAATACAGGTTCGTGAGGAAGTATGAAAGCCTTTTGAGATTGTAAATAACATGAACTGGTAATTAGCCTGTAAATAAGCTTTGAAAACTCTCTCACTTTGCAGGACTACTGTTCTTTGTGCACTCACATCATGGAACTGTGGCCACCGATGTTAATATGCAAAGTTGGATGCCAAAATATTGCGTACACTGGCCAAAATGGTGCAAGATGCTATCAACTTTTTTTTTCTTTTTCTTTTTGGTCGGACAAAGATGCTATCAACTATCACCAGCAAAATCCAATTTTGAATATTTACAGATGTCATTGTTTGATTGGGTTGGGATTCTTATCTAAGATGGTGACCTATCCCTGGTTAGTACATGGGAAGAAGGGCGGATGAAGAAAGTTGCTAAGCATCCCTGGTCACCAATAAAGCATAAAATGAAAGGTGGGGAAGTTATTGTTAGCTGTAGGATCAACTTAGCAATAGCACAGCAAAGCATAAAATGAAAAGGAAAAGAGAGAAACAAAAAAAAGAAAAAAAAGAGAGGGAACGTATCAATTTGAGCCAATTTTATTGTAAGAATATCAGAACCTATAATATTCTTTTTTATTGTAAGAATATCAAAACCTATAATATTCTTTAACAAAATAAACTTTATGGTGAAACCTACACTAGTGATCCTAAACGAAACAACGAATTTGAGTGAACAACGTTATATTGTGAGTGTTTTTTGTGTGTGTGTTTTTGTGGCTTTATAGTTTTAGTCTCGTTGATCAAATTTTGACATCAACATGTTATATACTTCGTTGTTTCATCTTATAAATATAACTAGCTCCTTGCTACACGCATTAACGTGTGCCAATTGAATATTTTTTGTTCTTATTGTTTTGTTTTTTTAATTGTTAAAAACTGAGTTTATAACTTTTTAAATAAAATATATCCAAAATAGTGTAAATTTTTTAAAGTGGTTATCTCTTAGTTTTATGAGCAACTTTTCTTGTGTTCTTTATTTATTTATTTCAATTTAAACAGATTGTGAATGTATTATTTTATCTTAATTAATGAATTGCATTCTCCTTTAACATTTTTATTAACTATGACAATTTGTGGGATTTTGAATGTTTAACCTTTTTTATTTATTTTTATAATCGGTATATAGATGAGCTTCTTCAAAACTTCAACATAATATCTACGTGACTTGTGTTATGTGTATTATTATTTGTAGATTTCTTTCTTTTCCCCAAGTCCACCATTCCATAAAAAGTGTAATTTCTTAAAACAAGAAATTAATATTTTTAATGACCCACCAAACAATTTATACTAGGAACTAATTCGAAATTCCTCATTGTAAATCATTCCATCCAAAGGGACCAAAATTTGTTACATAACCATAATGTCATCAGAATACTGTTTGATTCCTCAAAAAGGAAACGTGTACAATTTGAAGGGATAACAAATTTCATTTATAGAGTTGACCTTGCCATGAGAAACAGCATCCATTTCACCATCAATCATCCCTGTCACCAATTTCCTTACTAGAGCTTTGCTTCTCAAAGAAAACACAATGTGTACAATTTGAAGGAGTTTTTTTTTCCCCCCCCCCCAACCCAAAAAAAAAAAAAGGGTAAATAATGTGACTCAAAGAAAAACTGGGCTGTATTGTTCTTGTCCTGCCCAAACTAGGTCCAATTAATCCTTGGTAAATAGCGGAAATGCTATAATGAGGGCTTAAAGTGAGGAGGTTATTTGAGGAGGTCAAATCTCACCATCAACAAATGTAAAGAAATCATGGGACTTAAATATTTTAAATGTTTTGACGGTCGGATTGGTCTCCTCAACTAACCTCCTCACTTTAACTCCTCATTGTAGAAGCTCTCGGTAAATAGTGCTCAGATTGTTGGGTAAACCCAAACGGGTCCAACTTAGGCCACGGGGGGGGGGGGGGGGGTGGGAAACCATTTTCCAGCAACAAAGGCTGGCCTGGGCAGGGTGGGGTCCACGTGCCTGGGCTGGCCCGAGGGCGGGGGGAGCCCGAGCTGTAGCCTGAAGGCGCGGCTGAAGTCATTGCTGATGCCAGCGTGACGTCAGTAGGCGCAAATTAAATGTTTTTACCGTTGGCGCGTGATCATTAAAAAAAAATATAAAATAGCTTAAAATGCCACCCTTTTCATAATTTTAACTAAAAATACCACCCTTCCCCAAAATTTTTAAAACTACTACCTATAAATACATTTTTATTGTAAACTGATTGCACCCATATCACATTTTCAGAAATTGGGTTCTCTCTCAACTCTATTGGCTCTGTCTCTCTCTTCAGCCCGTCTGTCTCTGTCGCTGAGCTCTCTCCCTCGTGTAACTCTCTCTCTCTCTCAGACGCAATCATCTTTCTCCCTCAGCGGTGGCTGTTCATCCAATATTAACTCCACCACGAGATACTGTTCATCTAACCCTCAACCATCTGCCAACAACAGGCACACTCCGTCACTTTCATTCATCACTCCGAAACGACGGCGTATCACAGCTCATTCTCATGGTGCCGTACTTAAACTCCAGACTATCTCCTTCCTCCTCCCTCCTCCCTCCTCCTCCTCCTTCTTCTTCCATCTCCGCTAGTGCTGGTTCCCCAGTTTTATAGATTGAAGAAACAGTGTAAAGAGATAGATTGAACAAGTGTACAAGGAAATCAGATTTCTTCCATGGTAGCGTGCCGCCGATACCTTTGCAAGTAAATTAATCAACTTTATTTATTGATTTGAACAATCCATATTTTGTTAATGTTTTGGTAATCTGTCCTGTTCTCCTTCCACTTCATTGAAACTGTATCACCGTAAGTTTCAATTGCTGGAATTATCTAGTAGACAGAAATATTTTGTCAATGGTCATGCACCCGCGGGAAAGATGTTTTCTGTTAGTCATATTTCACACTTAGCTATTTCTTAAGATTGATTGCTTTAATTTAGTTCAGATTAATGACTAATTTTGGCTTCTAGTTTCCACTCACCACATCAACAGAACATAGAGTATATAAGTTAACCTTCCATGAACATCACTTGATATTGAGGTTTGAATAATTTGGTTTTATAAATATACAAGCTCCTTCTCAAGAAATTCTGACATGGCTCCATATTGGGACTTCCTCAGAATATTGACACTTTGTTCTGTTGTGGTGCCAACTTGCCCAGTTGCATCTTTATTTAACATCATGGTGTAGACTATTGATGCATTATTTTGATTTGTTATTTAACATCATATTGATTCTAGTTTGTAACTTTTGTTTTTTTGCTTTTGTTTTCAGTTTTATGATAGTGAAACATTTTACATTTTAGGATTACTTGAAAAATCCATAATGCGTTCTGTCAAAGTAAGCTTTAAACTATACTTTGTAGAGAAATGTTCTCTTGCCAGACAATCTGGCAGCGTAAAATGCTTATGTTGCAAGACTCTGAATTTAGGCCATTTATTATGTTGGTTCTTGTCTTAGTGTGTTATCCAAATTCACAATCTAGCAACATAAGCATCATTAGAGTAGTTTAGAATATTACTTTTGTCAGAGAAAAAAAACATGGCCTTTCATTGGCCAACTGGTCCCATAATGAGAGTTTGTGTCATAGAAGAGCTGGTTTAAATACCAAATAATACATGTTTTGTTTTTTTGTTCTGTTTTTGGTATTGGTTTTGTTTCATTTTCTTTTATTTGAAAAAATGAAAATTAAGCAACCTTTAAACCAGTATTCTTTTTTGGTCAACCAAGGAATTAGAATTGTCAACTTCTCTTCTTTCCTGTATCCTGAAGTTTCAAAAGAAATACTCTGTTACTACATTGGTATTATTAAGCACCAACATCTCATGTAGCTTAAACTCTATGTGCTTGCTTTGTTTAGGAGCGTTATTATCTTGCTTTGAGGCTTTAATTCTTGTCACTTACAGGATTTATATGTACCTACTTTGCAGGAAAATCACTTGTTGGAATGGCAGAGGTTGAAGCAGCCATACAAGAAATGTTCCAGGCACCTCATATTCAAGTGAGTCAGATTATATCTTACAGTCATGATGAAAAATAATTTTTGTTGGTGAAACTTCTTTTATTTAAATGGTATGTTACATCTTAGAAGAGGTAATCAATACCCTTGAGTGAGGCATATGACGCAGTGATTACTACGTTAATATGCATTCCTAATATGAAATACATGAGATCCAGAGAGCTACATAGTTTTTTGGTCGAGTAACAAAGATGAAAATGGTGTCAGTTGGAGTTTGCTAAATCTTATAGGTGCCATTCTTTAAAGGAGTAGCATGGTGAAAAATGGCTTTCAGGACCCAAATTATCTGATGCTGGTTTAAAGTAGTGAATTTCTGCACTAGTACCATTCAACTCCATACAACTTTAGCTGCATAAATTGTTATTGGGTTGAAAGGAAGTTTTGTTTATCTATGTTGTATTTGGAAGAACAAAAAAAATAAAAATAAAAATAAAATAAAAATTCTCTCTACCTTCTTCAGAGATATATTAATGCTAATTCTTTTCTTTGTTTTTTCCTGGCAGGAGATGAAAACTTCTTCCAGGCTAAGTAAAATATTTTTGACTGCCATGGTGTATGAACTCTACAAAACAAGAATGGGGGAAACTACTTTTGAAAAGGTGAACTTCTCAAGCTTTTTCCTGAACAATGTGTGCATTTACTTTTTTTGTATCGTACATTCAGAGTAACTTTGGTTTAAATAATAGTATTTCAGTAACTTCGGTTTAAATAATAGTATTTCAGTAACTTCGGTTTAAATAATAGTATTTCACACTGGAGGTGATGATTATTTTTGGGCCGCAGGCTTGCATTGAAATACTGACTAAAAGAATACTTATTGTTCTTGACTGCTATACTGCATCTCAACTACAAACCAGATTATTTTTATTTTGGTTCACCAGTTTTTTGATGCCTTCACTGTATCTAGCTTTGGAATTATAGTGTTTTCATTGAAGTTATGTTTTTCCTTGCAGTTGGCAATGACAGTCTCATGCCTCTGTACAAGCAACGGAGAAGCATTTCCTGGACATGACATGCTATTAAAAATTGGGTAAGACGTGCGTTGATACTAATAACTTGCTATATGCATGTGTGGAAACATAGTCTATTGATCTCCTCTGCTCCTTGTTGTCTTGTCAAATGGGAGTGTTATGAACCTGAAGAGTGTCACTAGTTTTGGCTTTTGACTAAGAAAATATTGAGTGCTATATAAAATGACTGCTTTGGATTTTACGTGGTTAGTTTTAGGTACTAGAGGAGTGGGATAGGCTGTTTGGATTTTACGTTCCGGTCTTGCCCTGAGAGGAGAGAGGGGGAAGGGGAGAAGGAAAGTGAGATTGGAAGTCTTCTGTGACTAGTAAATTGGAAGCTCGGACTCTTGTTAAGTTTGTGCATTTTCAGAATGAAGAATAATCTGTTTTTAGGCTCAAAAAAAATAACGTGGATTGAATTCTAGGACACCGATGCTACTGTAGATCATAATAGAAGCTTTCTGCTCATGTTCCAGTCAGGGAAACAGAAGTGCAGTATCCAAGATTGTGCTTGATTCGTGAAATTGTTATTAATATTGATTTATGACATTGGTGATTGAGTTGGAGATTTCCAAATTGGACAATTCTTATTGCTTTGCTGATATGGATCCAATATGCTTTGTTTTGACAAAAAGGGTCCTACTTATTGTACATTATTTGTTCTTTTAGACTTGATACGTATAAGTTTAGTTTTATCATATGCTCCTGGCTTGCTTGTTCTAACTGTGGGCACACATAAGGCGGAAAACTTTACACGTAAGGCTTCACTGATGTCTTGAATGATGTCATTCAATAGTGACCTGTTTTTGTTTCTCTGCTTTATAACTACATTTGATATTTGGGGTTATATTGCATGCAGGCAAGCAACCCTAACAAGGTACGAAGTGAATATAAATCATTCTCAGGGTAAAGTGCTGCCTAGTGTAAGAGTTTCATATCCAGGTCTTTTACTTAAACCTAACGAACCAAATTTGGTATGACCTACATCTTTGAATCCCTGATTGCATCTTTGAGGCCAAAGCAGAAAAAATGCTAAACTACATACAGTTTAAAAAAATAATAATAATAAAAAGTCGAGGCTTTATGAATTAGTTTACAATTCTTTTTATTTATTTATTTAATTTTATACTTTTATACTTTTTGTGAAGTCTTTTTCTCAAAAAGTTCCCATAACTTGGCACAGATGCATGTATGCACGTGTGTACTCAGAACACAAACTCCTTTATAACTCAAAAGAACGGTCACAAATGTTAGTTTTTAACTTGGAAAAATAAAATAAAATTGAAAGTTACTTTTGGGAAATGTTGAACTTTTATAATGAATATGTTTTCAGTGCAGAAGGCTTGATAGTAAATAGAAAATCTATATGCTGGGGGTTTTCTGGCTAGCTGAAAATGTGTGAGAAATGATGAATCTATTTGGTTGCAGCCTATTTAATGTTTAATACCTTCATTAAAAAAAGGTTGTTGACAATGCTTTGACTCTCTTGCAGATTATAATGGCAAAACCAGCAGGTGGCCCTAGTAAGAGAGATCAGCCTGCAGGGATGGATGAGGACTAATTTTGTGTGTATGACAATTGACTATCTTTGCTTGTATTGTTCTATGTTAGGGATCTTTTGTTCCATTTTAGTAACAATTTTGTTTAGGAGAAAAAGAAACATATTGCAGTTCATGCTTTGTAAATGCCACTCTTCTGTTACGATGGGCACATGGTATGCCCTTGTTGGGTAGGTTTGGATTGAAACCATGGTCGAGTGCTTGAGCCATGTTTAGTGAGAAGCTTGAATGGATTTTCTTTTCTGTTGTATTTGGCCCTTGTCTTTTCAAGCATGCCAAAAATCATCCCCGTTTTGTAATATGTGGTTTGTGGCCAATTAATTTACTGTGGATCTTGCATTTTTGTACCCAATATTTGATAGCTGCCTTCTTTTGAACGAAGATTCATTGAGGGAGAGAATTACTTTCCTTTTGAATATGAATCGATGTGCAACTCCAACTATCATTTCAAAGGTCAACATCAATTCATGCTAATATAAGGATGGATAACAATTGTCATGCCCATGATTTGAATTCAGGATTACTTTCAATGAAGTGGAGACTTTGTTATTAGACCAAATGGCCATTAACATACAATATAATAGCAATATTAGGCCAATATGTGTACACTATAGAGGCAATATTAGAGCAATATAACCACAATACGATAGCAATAGTATTACAATATCACCTATAAAAATATAATTATTGTCCACTTATTGTTGATTTTTCACATGTTCAGAAATTTTGTTCTCTCTTAGCTCACTCAACTCAATCTCTCTCGCACATCCCTCTTTATCTTTGGTATCTGTCTATCGCAGCTCTCTGTCTCTCTCTTGGCTCTCTGTCTCTGTCTCTCTCTCTCTCTCTCTAGTGCAACTCTCTGTCTCTCTCTTTGCTCTCTTTCTGCAGCGCAGCTTTTTCTCTCTCTGTCTCTCTCTCTAGCTTCGTTCTATCTCTTTCTCCCCCTATTCGCTCTCTTGCTCTCTATCTCTTTATTCATACCTTCCTTTTTTTGTAAATTATTTTTTAGTTGTTATTATTTTTTAAAATAATTTCTTACAATGTATTAAGGTGCAATTATGATGCACCTGACTCCCTGTTTTTGAAAGGCACGTTGTTTCTTTCTCCTCCTCTTCTTCTTTTTGAATGAAGTATGGCCTAAACCATAAACCCATTGATGAGCCGTAGTCAATATACATACAATATAATAGCAATATTAGGCCAATATACATACATTAGAGAATTAATATTAGGGCAATATAATGGCAATACGACAACAATAGCATCACAATATACATGCAATACGGTGGCAATATGCATACAATATGTGTACAATAGATAGGCAATATTAGTACAATACACATGCAATAGGACAGCAATATTAAGTCAATCTACATACAATACACACACATCCATTACAGACTACAATTTAGACATGGAAAATAAATCGCCACCAAATCCTAACAATACTATCTTGCGAAGTTAAAATTATTTCTTTCATAAAACTTGAAAATTCAATTGTTATTACATAGTCAACCAATCTTTCCTCTATTACATACATACTTCCTACCTATAATTATAAATAATGGAGAGCTCACAAATTCTACTAATTTGATCTTAACTTCATCAATTTGTTCTTCGTTGTATGAGTTAGCTCTCCCTTCTTGCACTTTTTCCAAGCTGTTCTATTCTCTTCCCGTGTAGCAATATCAACAACAACAGGTTATCTACAGATCTGAAATCATAACTGCAGATGATTCTCAATGAACAAAGAGGAAAACCATTTTCTTTTATAACTTTGGTTTTGAAATATATAACAAAATGCAAAGACCTTTGCTTCTGAAAAGGAGCAAAAGTTTATCAACCAATTCATAGTAAAAATGAAGAAACTAGTGAACCTAACAAGAGAAATGCTAACTTGCAAAACCAACTCCAATACTTAAACCACAGCATTAATGCTTGAGATTTTCTTCTCATGGATTATGATTAGAGGATTTTCCGATTCCTATCAGCACATACACAAGTTTGAAGATAATCAGCATCAAGCAAAAAGGGACTTGAGGTGCTGCTAACTGCCCTCTAACAGTTTCAAGACACAGTTATCGCTGAGTCAAACTAAAACTTACACATTTCTTATTGTTCTGGTTGGTGATGAAATAAGGGGATATGTAACCCCTGTCTAGCTTCATTCCCTCAACAGCCTCCAACTCACTGTCCAATGTTTTCCCATCCTGCAGAAATTAACATAGCGTGAAGCTTACATGTTTTGGGTATCATTTGGGAATAAAAAACTAAAATAAAATTATTTGCCCTCCAATATATTTCTGTAAAAATTTCATAAGACCCATACATACCTCACTTTAAAACAACAATAAAAAGAGGCTGATATCATCCATATTTCAGCCCTTGCAATACGGTAACTACACTAATATGCCTATGACAAATCTGCTAACTAGAAACAAAACATTGGCAAATAAAGTCACATACCCATCAGCACAACCACTGTCCAGGTCGTGATGAGATACAAGCCAATAGACGACCACCACCAAATTGCTCTTCAATATGTTGGTCAAGGGTGCAAATATGTTGACGCTTCTCCAACTTTCTTACTACATGATTGTTCTTCTTCACCTCCTCAACGACGAAAACAGCAACATCACCTTCCTATCAAACAAATAACACAAAATGCCATCAAAGACAGTAAAGTTCATTGCGCATGTGTGTGTCCAAAAGTAAAGTTCATTACCAGAAAAGCTCCTTTATTTCATTTTGCAGGCATCGTATTCTTGTTGATCAGTAAAATCAGAGGACTTGAGCTGCTCCAGTGGGACTACCACTTACTCAATTCGCCCAAACAAGCAAGCACTATGAGATCCTCTTGGCAAAACTAGACAACCAATAACCATAACACCCAACCCCTGTCATGAGTAGTGACTCTCCAGATTGCATGTGCATTACAGGCCCCTCTCCATTTCAACATGCAGGGAAACTCAACCAATTCTTCCAGCATGTGTACTTTGTCATAGATAGCATCATCCTAGTAGACAGAATCTCATGTGACAATCAAGTTCCATTTTCCAATTTTTTTTCCAATTTTTCATTATATAGCTAGAGACAAGGGGGCAGATCAGTATGCAGGTCCCATAATGGATGACTGGTCTTCGGTGTTGACTGCTGCTTCAGAATCTGGCTTTCCTGGTTTGACCTCTTTATTGAGTGTAAGTTTTATCTTGGGTGACAACCTCTTGACTTCCTCTATTGTATAGATAAAAATCTTCCTTACCATGCTGCAGAACTTACTAGGTGGTCAATAGAAGCTCGTCACAAATTCTACTTAGTGACCATTCTCAAGTATTGGTCACTACAACACAAAGAATTAGTGACTATCAATGTTTGGTCGCTAATAAAAAAGCTATTAGTGACCGCAAATTTGATCACTAAAGAGCTTACAGTGTGGTCACCAAAACATGCATATTGGTCACTAAAACTAGGTCACGTGCCCACATTAGTGACCTACTTGCTTGGTCACTAATGTTTCAAAAAAATTGGTAACTAATTAGGTTTACCACTCCATGTTATTTATTTATTGTATTATTTATTGTATTACAATATGAAATCACAATTAATTTCAAATAATTCATTGCATTCAAAAGCAATCCATATATCTAACATTCTTCCAACAAATTCACAAGATGTCTCAAAAACAAAATGCTAGATATTTAAGTTCAACCTAAATGTCAATTGATTCCCAAAAACAAAGAACATAAGATTCATCACTAGTAGATTGTCTTCTGTTCTCTGTCTTCTGTCCTCTGATATACTAGAAATTTATCCATCAGACCTGCATCAAACAAACAATAATTATTTGCAAAAAGATAATTTCAAATGAAAACAAGAGTTTTACACTACCAACAAAGAAAACAAAAAAATAAAGGAAAAAACAAAACAGCAAAAAGAAAGAGAGAACCATTAAACAAAAAGAAAAATTCATGAGAGACAGAGAGAGAGATAGAGCAGCTGAAAGTTAATATTGAAGATAAAGTCAAGAATTAAAAATAGAAGAATAAAAAAATACCTGGAAACTTCAACCATGCTGACATACTAAAAGAAACTTATCCACCAGACCTGTACCAAACAAAGAATAATTATTTACAAAAATATTTACACTAAACTCTTCTCTATTGTCTACCATACACATATTTAAGCTAAACATGCATATAAAATCACTAACCTACACTACAAGTCTGCATCTTGGATCGGCTAACAGATTCCGTGTATGGATGGCCAATGGTGAAAACGAAAATATAGAACCCGCACACTATCAAGAGAATAAATATAGGACCAGTTAATACTGATTCTTTTATAAGAGAATAAAAAATAAATAACTTTTTTTTATATAGAATCGTTATATTCATGAAACACAAACTGATATAGAAATAAGGCTTAAATGCTACAGTGCCATCTGGAACAGTGGTCAATTCTCACTTTACCCCCTCAAAGTTAAAGTGACCCACTTTACCTCCTTGACCAACGTTTCGTGTTTCACTTAACCACTTTCCATCTACGCCATTCCAAATTCCGTTAAACACCAATGACGTGGCAGGGGTAGTTTGGTCCATTCAACTGAGCCGGGATTTTTCCCACCAATCTGAGGGTGTGACGTGTACATGTGGAGCCCACCTCTCACATCTGATATAGCTCCAACGTTCTAATTGATCTCAGCTGGCTACGGAACCAAAAAAACCCCAAATTAGCTTCCTCTAAAATCCTAGAAATCAGAGGTTGGGTTCCACGAAAATTGAAGATGAAGACTGAAATAGTTGACAGAGGGGAAGAGTTGGATGTGCGAACCCACTTCGAAGATTCCATGTTTGTCCAAACTCATCAGGGGTAAGTTATGTTGTTGAAAGTGTGTGAATCCGGTTAAATTTATTTATTAATTGGTATTAATGTTTGTTGCAGAGGAGGAAAAAATGATGTGGGTTTTTTGTTTGGATGGATGTTGAATTTCCACCTAGAGAGAAGGCTCTGGTGAGTTGGCTACTTTATAAGTGTTTTGTACTTGTTATTTATATATATATATATATATATTGTGTATTATTTAATGTTATCAAACTAACATGTGAATTCATTTGTATAATATTAGGTGAATAAGTTGAAATCATCGAATTCACCCTCTTACAGTGAAGAGTTATATAACTTAGCGTTCGGCCTGATTCGCACTGAATTATTCTCGGGTTGCCATGTTAATGGTGTAAAGTTTTTGGGGACTGCACGAGATGACAAGTTGTGTACGAAAAACAGCGGTGTCCATGTCCCAGGTGGTGGCGAAAGTACTGACATTGATTTCTATGGCAAACTCACAACTGTCGTGCAATTGCTTTACAAAGACCGATACCAAGTGATCATGTTTAAGTGTCGATGGTTTGATACAAACCCAAATAGGCAGGGAAGTGTTAAAATAGACCATGGCTTACTATCAGTGAACATTAACAGAACTTGGTATGATGACGACCCTTACATTTTGGCAAACATGGCAAGACAGATTGTGTATCTAGATGACCCTAAAGCCGGAAGCGGTTGGAAGGTTGCGTCACTGACCAACGATTGGAATCTTCCATGGAAACTGATGCAGAAACACTTCGAGATACAGATGTTATACAAGAACCGTTTCAGCTTCAAGGAGTGTCTTCAATCGAAATACCGATTCAGTCAATTACAATTGACCTCAGTGATCTTCCGTGCTACGAAGTTCCAGTGGGCCCGAACAACGAAAGTGATGAGGAGGAGGATTGGGAGACCGAAACTGATGATAGCGAGGATAACAAAAGTTACTATAGTTCAGATGATGAATAATGCAATTCATTAGCGACTACCCATGTAAAACATAGGAAATGAAATTTGTTGTAATTTAATTATGGTAGTGTAAATATGGCAATCACAAATTAAAATGAAGTTGCACACAAAATTTGCAATCACAAATTAAATTACAACATATAATATATAAATTAAAATTTAGATATATACCTAAATTTGAAAACATATTTGAATATAACACATATATACCTATATTTGAATATATCTATTTGATTTTCAATTGCCATTTATGAATATAAGAATTACGGTTTTCTCTTTTTTGTGTTTAAAATCTTCAAATTGAATGAATACCACATGTAGATGATTTTTTCATTGTGGTTTTGTTTGAAGGATATTATAATATTAAACACTATTGTTATAAATTTATTGTAGAACCATGTATATATATATCCATATAATTTAATCACATAATTTATGTTAAATTTATTTTATCATAATTTATGTTAACATTTTAATCTAACTTACACCTTTCACCCAAAGAAGAATATATATTTTTTGCCAATAGTCTTAAATTAATATACTCCTCTGTTAAAATTAATCTATTGGAAAAAATTTGAGATTTTTGTAGAGAATAACATGTTAACATTTTATTTTTCTTTTTCAAATAGTCTTAAATTAATATACTCTTATGTTTAGCATATGAATATAATGTAATTATAATTAAATTAAAACATATATAACATATATAACACCTATAAACAAAAAATAATGTAGAGAATACTGACATAAAACATATATAACACCTATAAACAAAAAATAATGTAATTATAATTAAATTTTTGGAATTTTCAGAATTTCTGGCGGAATTACAATCTTGCTCGATGAAACAAAAACTTATTCGTCACGCAAAGTTCACAGAACTTGCGCGACGAAACAGTGGTATATTCGTCGCACAATCTCATTCAGCCCTTTTACAAATAGGGAACACTTAGCATAAATTTTTTGCGAGAGGTTTGCACAGAACAAAGACCTGCGCGACGAAACAGTGGTATATTCGTCGCACAATCTCATTCAGCCCTTTTACAAATAGGGAACACTTAGCATAATTTTTTGCGAGAGGTTTGCACATAACAAAGACTTGCGCAACGAATATTATGTTCGTCGCGCACTCTAAACCCTAAACTCTAAACCCTAAACCCCACGGTACACATGGTTGAGATTTATTATCTTTGCGCGACGAATATACTACCTCTTCGTCGCGCAAGATGCTGAGCTCAACAGCTTGCGTGACGAAAACTTCAATTTTTCGTCGCGCAATGTCATTCAATTCTTTTAAAATTGTGCAAAATGTGTATAAAGTGATCAAAATATAGTACCATGTTTAGTACCATGTTTGTTTCATTTAATTATAGTCTTAGATGAGATTGCTAATACCGGGCCCACCAAATTATTACCATATTATTACTACATACACATATACTATAATGTACATATATACACGTATATACACATATACATGTGTATATATATAAACACATATATACATATATAATATATATAAATACATATAGATACATACACGTATATTATAATAATAGCATACATGTATATATGTAATATATATATATTATATTATAATACATATATACGTATATATACATATATGTGTATATATATTATACCCATGTATATATTATAATATACATATACACATGTATATATACATATATATTATATATTATAATATACATATATACACCTATATACACATATATATATGTTTATATTATTTATAATATATAATACATGTATACATGTATATACACATATATGTTATATATATATATATATATTATATGTATATATATACATATACATATATATTATTATATATTTTATAAAATACATATATATATACATATATATATATATAGATATTTTTGAAAAAATAAAAAAAAATCTAGTCCTAGTCCAAGCATGCACCAAACGCAAGATAAGTGTTATCCAACTTAGACCAAGCCAAGACAGTCCCAAAGCATAGTCCATGCCAAGACAGTCCTGACAAACGAGCCCTAAAATTTCTGGCGGCATAACAATCTTGCGCGACGAATACGTTATTTATCCGTCGCGCAAGGTTGTCATACCTTTCAATAAACCCTAAAATTTCTGGCGGCATAACAAGCTTGCGCGACGGTTTTACACATCGTCGTGCAGGGTCTTCAAAATTTGGGCGGAAAACAACCTTGCACGACGGTTTTTTTATTTTTTCGTTGCGCAAGGTTCATTAAAACGGAGTATGCGCGACGCACTATTTCTTTCGTCATGCAAGGTCTTCAAAATTTGGGCGGAATGTAGTAAAAATTTGGGCGGAAAAATTGCTCGACGGTTTTTTTTATTTTTCCGTGGCGCAAGATTCATTAAAACGGAGTATGCGCGACGCATTGTGTCCTTCGTCGCGCAAGATCCGAGAAATTTTCAGAAAAATCGCGACAACCTCCTTTCTTCCTCACTTCCTCTCTCTGCCCTAAACACCCTCTCTCTCCGTCGTCACCCCAGCCCAGTGCTCCGCCGGAAAAAGGACCGGACCGCCACCACCGTCGAAGCCCAGAGGTTCCCCCGCCGTCACCGTCGAAGATTCCGCCGAAAAAAGCTTCGTTTGGCAGATTCTGCGCCGCCTGTTTTGTCTCTCCTCCAGCCACGAATTCCGACGCCTGAGGTATGGTTTCTGGACTACTTCTTATGCTCTAGCTGATGGTTGATTAGGATTTGGATAATTGTGTGAATAGGTGTCTTGAATTTAAACCCTAGGTTTTGGCCGGTTTTTGAATTTAAATTCTGGCCACTTCCGGCCATTTTTTGGGGTAGGTCCAAGAACAAAAGTTCCTCTAAATGATGTTTTAAACCTAGGGTAGGAACCTTGGCACTTAGTTTTTAAAAATTTCCGGCGATTGTTATCGCTTTGGGCACCCACGCGCTGCCAGCGCATGTGGTGGCGCGTGGGGACTATGGCAGTGGGGCATTGGGTCCCAGAGCAATCCCCTTTTGTCACGAGCACGTAGGTGTGGTCGGATTTTGATTTGGTTACCGTTTCAGTCTCGAACGGATTTCGCCTATTGTGTGATTTCCAGGTTTGATATGTTCGGACCGTTGGATCGAACTCAAACTCACGTATGTTGTACCTTGTATTTCTAGGATTGTGTAGGATTCAACGGATTGTGGATTGGAGTTCCGGATACTCCGAAATCGCAAACCCTAGGTTATTCTTGTAATTAATTATTTAAAATTGTTAATGAAATTTTATAACTTATATATTCTAAATTCTATTAATGTGTGTGTGTGTACCCTTTGGAAATTGTGCAGATGTCAGATCTGATTAGACGTCGTAGGTCGGTGACGACTACACCGAGTTCGGAGACCCCGGCTCGGTCGGCATTTGCTACCACTGCTCCAGCACTAATGGACCAACTGCCAGGGGTGTCCCAGGAGCCTGCGTCATCAGCTTCATCAGTGGCGCAGCCTGTTAGCGCTAGGCAGTGGCATCGGCCCGTAAGCACCACTGACACGACGTTGACCGACGGTACTGTTGCCTTGGGGTCACAGCCAGGTATAGATATCCCTTCAACTGTAGTTCTTTTTTTAATTTTTTATATTCTAAATTTTATAGTTACATTTGTTATTTATTGAACATTATTGTCATATCTCATTGCAGCCAAGAAGAACACCCGAGGGCCGTGTCGGCAGCTGAAGACGGCGAAGGTCACCCGGGTGACCAACAGTTGTATTAGCATCGGATATGACGAGCGCCATCGGGCTGCACCGACAGCGGAGTTGCATAGCTCCTTGGCCCACGACATTGGCCACGTCATTCGGACCCATTGCCCGATGCACTGGAAGTCTTGGAAGGTCATGCCTGATGAGATCAAGATGGAGGTTCGCGGCCAGTTGTCGGTATGTACCTACCTTGTAATTTTTTTTCTTTCAAATTTTATATATTTCTATTACTTAATGTATGTAAGTAATTTATTGCAGACGAACTATAAGTTAGAGGACCTCAATGAGGAGTCGTTGGTGTACGTCAACAGACTCTTCGGTAAGAGGTACAAGCAGTGGAAGAGCGACTTGCACCACCATTTTCAGGCGTTTGATGATCCAGAAGTCGCTCTTCGGGAGGGTTGCCCGAAGGAGCTTGAGGGGCGGGAGGATAGTTGGGCATGGCTCTGCACTCATTTTCAAGCGCTCGATTATGTGGTATTTGTTTAATTATTTCATATTTTTTATTAATGTTTATTTCATTATTATTTAATTTTTTATATTTAAACTAATATGTTTTATTTTTTGTATAACATAATAAAACCCAAGTGAATAAGGGCAATAGGAAGAAGAAGATTCTTCTCCACCATTCCGACTCCAGACCCTTCTCATATAAGATGGATGCACGGCGGCGGGTAATAATAATATCATTTCTATTTAATTTTTAATATGTCATTATTATTAATTTATTTTGTTCATACTAATATTTTTCTTTTCTTATTCAATTTAGGGGGGGTTGAAATTCCCAGAGATCGACGTCTTTGGTGACGTTTATGTTCGACCTGGGAATGAGTTGGCCGAGTCCCTTCATGTAAGTATTATTATTTTTTTAAATTTTATGTTACGCGTTCAATTTATATACATGTTTTAATTTATATTTTATGTTATGTTAAACAGACGACGATGGTGGAGAGGAGCCAGTTGGTTCTTCAGGAGTCTGCCTCCCAACTTTCTCCCGAGACTCCGATCGAGTCTGTGGATCCTTCACAGGATGCTGGATTTCAGATCTTGACGGAGACGTTGGATCAGACTCTCGGGAGGAGGCCGGGAACTTATTGTAGAGGGATGGGGAATGCCCGACAGAGGGAACCTCGACCCCGGTCGTCATCGCAGGCAAACAGTTCGGTGACTGTTTTGACATCGCGAGTTGCCGAGCTTGAGGGTCAAATGTCGGTGATTCTGCAGTCCCTCGCGCGGTCAGGCATTCTAATCCCAAATTTTGGTGCGTTGACATCCGAGACTGTCTACCCCAAGCATCCCCAGCAGACCACGGCCCCTGTAGACCCCCTGATCCTCGAGTCGCTTATGCCTGACGACCATGTAGATTTTGGAACATTATTTGATTAGTTTATAATTTTCATAATTATTTTTAAAATATTTCTCTTGTAATCTACATTTATTTTATTTTATATAATAAATGTATTCTTTACAATTCATTTTTGGATTGCAATTTCATTTTATTACCACAAAAAAAAACCAATTTTATTTAACAAAAAAAAAAAAAAAAAAAAAAAAAAAAAAAAAAAATTAAATTTAAATTTAAATCTGTATAAATTTTACGCGACGAAATGTTTCTCGTCGCGCAAACTCACGTTAAAAAAAAAAAGAAAAACCGTGAAAATAATAATTTATACACTTTAATTTATTCTTGCCCGGTGAATGTTTTCGTCGCGCAAGATATGTATGCGCGGCAGATTCTTTTTCGTTGCGCAATACTTTCGTCGCCCCAGGTTTGCACGACAAAGAACCCTTCGTTGTGCCAATTTAGCGCGACAAAGTACTTTCGTCGCGCAAAATAGTGCGATACTAATCTTGCGCAACAAGTTTTCCGTCCGTCGCGCAGTGTTTGCGCGACGAAAAGCCTTTCGTCGCGCAAAAATTCGTGCATCTCACCGTCGTTTTGTCCCTACAACTTTTTTGCCATGAAGGTGCTACGTCGCACCGTTTTGTGTGACGAAGTCAATTATTTGGTCGTGCAAAGTCTTTCTTCACGATCTTTGTGCGACGGAATATGCACGACGAATATTCTGTCGCGCATAATTATGTGCGACGAAATGTTACTTTGCGCGACGAAAGTCCCTTCGTCGCGCAAAGTGTAAAATGTAGTAGTGTTGACGTTATCTTACAACTTTGAGCTCATAGGTTATCCATAGACATTGATTACAATCTAAATTAGCTCAAATGAGACTCAAATACATTCTTATTATGGAAAGAATACCTAAAAATGTTGCGGATTCGATGCCTGCATGTAGGAATGTGTGGCTTGAGATATTCCAGGTAAACCTTTCCTTTTCTCCTCATTTTGACAATTGTTTTGTAGAAAACCAAAGAGCTATATACAATGTTAAATTCTCCTCCGGAATGACACGTAAAGGAACCTTACATATGAAAATCTCTCCAAGAGAGAAGATATGCTGTCCTGCAAAAAGATAGATAATTTCTCAGCATTTGAGAAAGAAATAAAGTAAATAGAACCATAATTAGAATAATACAAATCAGATTGAGTTTTTGTCTAAAGCACAAATTGTTCTTCTTCAAAATGATTTTGATCAGAATAATACAAAACCATAATTGGATTACATACCTGAGTGTGATCATATGATGATGACTTGGTCATTTATCTTGATGCAAGGAATGTGAGATATCTTGGCCCGATCTTTTCCCGTTTTATTCTGATACCTTTTCGCCAGGGCAAAACAATTGTAGATGTGAAGTAAAGAAAGAGCTGGCGGCAAACCCTCTTCTGGCAAGAATTGTATACTGTCACACTTAGAAATATATAGCTCTTGAAGAGAAGTGAAATGTTGAAGTCCCTTTCCTGGCAGGAATTGGAGGTTGGGACACTTGTCAATTTGTAGGAATTGGAGAGAAGTGAGGTGTTGAAGTCCCTCTCCTTCTCCTGGCAGGACTTGGACACTGTGACACTCACTAATAATTAGAGAGCGAAGAGTGGTAGGGAGCAGGTGTTCCTTGAGCAACGTCTCCAAGATACTGCCACCAATTATAAATTATTTAAGGGAGACAAGTCCTTCCGATCTCCAGTACTTTACCACTGAAGCCGTCAGCCTCTCACAACTACGAGTGCACAAACGTCGAATGTTGGGACGCAAACCCCCTTCTGTAAATGACTCCAGATTTGGAAGATCATCCACCTGCAACACTCGAAGGGTTGTGAGGGTGTGAATGCCTTCGGGCAATGACTTTAAATTCTTGCATTCGCCGATTGTAAATTCATTCAAGTTGGGAGTGGGCCATCCTCCCTGACATTGAAAACACATCAAATTTGGACAATCATAGATCAACAATTCTCTGAGATGACTGAGATTCTCATTAACTCCTTCTTCAATGAAGGAAAGGGATTCCAGATTCTCACTACCCCAAATGTGAAGCTTCTTCAATTTGGGAAAAATGCTCACCGGGAAGTTCCTCAGTGAATCACAGCTCTTCTCTATCCACAAAGATTCGAGCGATGTTAATTTGGCCAACATCTCGTCAGGTAGGAATTCTAATCTCTTACAGTTCTCTATATAAAGTGTTGTCAAAGTAGTGGGTAACCCATCTTTAGGGAACAAAGACAGAGTTGGACAATTCCGGAGACTCAAACGTTGAAGACAATTGCGATTGGGCAAGCATTGTATATCAACGAAATTTCCAATTTCCACGAGTAATGATAACAGACCCTTTTGGCATCCACCTTCTATTTCCAACTCTTCAAGAGATCTGTAGTTAAGACTACTGGTTGTTGTAGTATTGGCCCCTTCATCATGTAAAACCTCACACCCAGACACCGTAAGCTTCTTCAAGCAAGGCAGATGACAAGGCAAGCTTCTGCTCAGCTTCGGACAGTTGGTTAGAATCAGCTCTTGGAGACGAGGGAAGTCAGGACCATATTCGCCCCCACTTGCACTTGGTACACATTCCTCCCACTCTGCCATCTCCATAAACTTTAGCTTCTCCAGTGATTGAAATGGCTGAATACGAGAAGCTCCATTTCTGCCATAAAATTCGACGCCAATCATCTTAACAGACTTCATTCTTTCTATACAGAGCTCTTTGAGAGAGGGTAGCCGCCCAACTGGTGGCAGTGACCAACAATAACTACAATCACTCAGATGCATGACTTGTAAATTAGAGAAGGACGAGTCTCCCAACCAATTCGGGAAGTTGGTTCCACCATAGAATCGGATGGTTAGTATCTCCATATTCATGCAAGGGTGGAGCTTGTCAAGCACATCTTTCTCCTTTTGGGAATTATCAGCATCCTCTGCGCCCCATGCAACTCTAACTCCTTGAGATCTTTCTTGTCCTTCAAATTGGCTTGCAATGCATCCCTAGCATCATCTACATTTTGTAGATTAAAAATTGCAAGTTTTCCTTGAAGCGGCGGGAACTCCCTCAGCTCTCCTATGCTTGACCCAGCAGATCTGCCCACAACAAAAGCAGTCAATTGTCTCAAACTTTTCAGCCTTCCCATTTGCACCGGCATCTCTTCAATTTTAGTTCCACTGACATCAAGATGATGCAAATTAACCAACTCCTCCACTCCTGCAGGCAATTTAGTAAGAGAGCTACAGCTTGCCAACGTTAATTTTTGTAAATTAATCAATTTTCTGATGTCAGTAGGCAATTCAATGAGAGAGGAACAATTTGACAATAGTAACGTCTGCAAGTTGGTATGGGAAAGATCCAAGTAGCGCAAGTGAATGAGGTTTCCAATAGAATCAGGTAACTCAGTGACATTTTGATAACATGACAACGATAGCACTCGTAAACGTCATAGTGATGGCAACAAATGTTGTAGAACATTTTTACTTACATAAGAATTTTCATAATATTTAATTTGTTTTAAAGAGCTAGGCAGGAAGGTCCTCAAACACTTAGCCCCATATAATGGCTCAAATTTTGAAGCAACACCAAATTCTCCCCTAGCATATGACAAATGACGCGCTCTTTTAACTTCACGTGAGTCCACCCCTTCCAGCTTAAGGCAAAACCCCTTAGAGATTAACATAGACAAGTCATGAATGAGGTCATGCATTGTGAAACTGAATTCTCTTGACTTTTGACAGTGACCGAGATAATAGCTCATCAAAGTATTTTCTGGCCACTAATTCCATAATCTTCCCATTATCAACTTGAGTAACTAGGCCTTCTACCGTCCATAATTGAACCACATCTTCCTTTTCAAATTCATAATCATTTGGAAAAACTGAACAATAAACAAAGCATCGTTTTAATTGAGCGGGGAGATAATGATAACTCAACCATAGAGCCGAAAGAATGTCAGTTGTACCATAGGGTAGGTACCAAATATTACTATTTAGTATTCTATTCCACTCCTCAAAATCTATATTGCAACGTAACAAACCCCCGAGTGTTTGTGTAGCTAAAGGCAACCCCTTGCACTTGAGTGCAATTTGCTTGCCAATGTCTTCCAAGTTTGAATTTGCACTATAGTTTTCATTTCCAAAAGCATGTTTAGCAAGTAACAACCGGCAGTCTTGATGTGACAATGGTTCCAAGAATTGAATGGGAACATTTTTCATTAAAGATGCTACATTTTTGTTCCGTGTTGTTATAATGACTTTGCTTCCCCTTGCCCCTGAATTAAAAGGAGTTTGGAGGCGCTCACAATCACCATAATTTTCATTCCACAGACCATCCAACACAAATAAAAATTTCTTTCCCCTCAACTGCTCTCTTAATTCAACTTGAAGCAAATTCAGATCGACTGCTCTCTTAATTCTTTCCTCTCAACTGCTCTCTTAATTCAACTTGAAGCGAATTTCTTTCCCATAATTGTCATATTACAAGGCTTTGAAGTGACTGACTCAAGAATAGTTTTAGTTATTCTGAAAGCATTATAGTCTTTTGAAACACAAGCCCAAGCTTGAAGTGTAAAATGCCCTTCCACCTTATTGTTGTTGTAAAGCATTCGACACTACTACATTTTAGGCTTTATTCGTCGCGCAAACATGATTTTAGTCGCACATAATTATGCGCGACAGAAGTTTCGTCGCTCAGAATCCGTCGCGCAATAATCGTGAAGAAAGACTTTGGGCGACGAATTTATGACCTTCGTCGCGCAAAAGAGTGTGACGTAGCACATTCGTTACAAAAAACGTTTCGGTACGACCCGAATGTCCGAGGCACAAACGTTTGCGCGCCGAAAGGCTGTTCGTCGCACCAAGAATGCACATGACTCCTGGATCATTATCACAAAGCCGCTTCCTGAAATTGGAGATCAGATGCGAAACAGAAGACTGTGATTTCTGATAAAAGCAATGAAGCACCATGATGGTGCCATCACCCCACAATAATATTTTGACATAAACAACTTATCACAACGGTGAGGGGAATGAGAAAAAAAATTAGAATACAACAGTGACTCAATCTATTGAAATTATGAGAAGCAATAAATATGGGAGCATGGTAAATAATTACACAAAGGGTGCTATTAAACGAACTTTAAAATTGACTGAATACACCATACTACAAAACTATTTATTAAATTATTAATTTACCCTAATATATATTGTTAGTTGCGTCTCTAATCCTCTAGGTTAAAAAAGTTGCATTTTAAGAAATATTTTTCATTTTTTGGGCTGGTGAAAAGAAAGTGACATGGGATGTAGCCGAGGTTATGCGTTTATCAACTACAATAACTCTGCCTTACTATAACTGCATTTATATTTATTCACAAGAAGCATGGTCAAGCTAAACACATATTATTTGTTTCGATGAAGCTAAGCACATATTTAAGTTGTGTTGAATTGTGGGTTTAGGATAATCATCCTAATTAGTATTACCAAGAAGTTTCATTCAAGTGCTGCTGATTGATAGAAACTCTTCAACCTTAACCCAATGCCAAAGAATCAGAACTATTATTTCTTATTGAAATTGGATTTACAATTACATGCCCTAGAATGAGCATAAGCCCACTATTATAATCGCTTTCCAGTTAAGCAAATAACAACTGTCAATTAACAAAACAAATTGCCAGCTAACTAACCAATTGCCTGACATATGAGCTTCCAGAAACTGAATGTCAAACATTATTGCCAGCTACTATAGTGAATCCTATCACTGATTAATCACAAAGCTACAGATCTCATCTCAGAAACTGAATGTTAAAACACCAACAGCTGTAAATTATATCAATAAATGAATCCACTGAGTCGTTGTATTTAATTACAGTGAAAGGATTTGTTAGGTGTCCTTAGAAATATTTAACGGATGTGGACCACATTGAATTACCCCCTTTTTAAAAATAATTTGGACCACATTGAGTTTACAAAAACTGAAAAAGACAAACCAGTCTTAATATTATTTTATTGAGAAAAAGACAAAAACTGAACTAGGTTGCATTAATTATTGCAAGTTCCTCTCCCCCTCTTAAGCTTCATAGACCTAACCATCTTAGCACCTTCTCTTTATATTCTTCAGTAAAAAAATTCAAACCAAAGTTCCTGACCTACCTTTAACTTAATCACGCATTCACGTTGAAGGTGGTAGGAAACTGATTCGTCAAGCCTCATAAATCTAACCACAGCGCCACTGCCACACCCAATCTTTGAGCTTCTCTTAGTTTTATCTGCATCCCAAGCCTCACAAGATTCTCTCTGCTTCTTCTTCAATTCTTCAATGTTCTTCAAATTCTTATTGAGGTTGATGGGGAGTTGGGTTGCTCCCCCATTGCCAATTGATTCTTGGGTGGAACCTCAACTTCCTTCAGATCTGCCCCCTATGACCACTCAACCAGACTCTTCTTCTCCTTCTTCTTCTTCTTTCACTCATGGTTCATCATGGAAATATGATGTGTTTTTGAGTTTTAGAGGCGAGGATACACGCACCAATTTTACAGATCATTTGTACAAGGCCTTGTGTGATAAGGGCATCTACACCTTCATTGATCGAGAGCTTGTAAGAGGAGAAGAAATATCGCCAGCCCTTGTCGAAGCAATTGAAGAATCAAGAATTTCTCTCATTGTATTCTCTGAAAAATATGCATCTTCGAGGTGGTGCTTGGATGAACTTGTTAAGATCCTTCAATGTAAAGAATCAAAGCAACAAATAGTTTTGCCCATTTTTTACAAGGTGGATCCCTCAGATGTACGACACCAAATAAGTAGTTATGGTGATGCATTTGTTCACCATGAACGCAAATTCAAGGATGACAAGGAGAAAGTGCTCAAATGGAGGAGAGCTCTTAAGGAAGTAGCAAATTTGTCTGGATGGCATTTCGAGGAGGGAGCGTATGTTTCTATCTTTATCATTTTCAAGTTTAATTTTTTTCTCTCTTCTTTCTCATTACAATTTGTTACACATTTAATTGTTACTCATTATTAAAGAAAAGTATCCTTTTGTTAAAATATAAAATTGACAGGACCCGCCCCGGAATTTCTCCCCAAACCGGGGCGGACCCCGTATTGTTGCCGACATCTCACCGATGCCGGGCCCATTTACTAAAAACCCAAGACATCCTACCAAAATTTTGGCAGAGTCTCCCCTGTAAGATGCTCAAACCCAACAACATTCAACCTGCATAATTTACATAATATAAATCCCAACTGCCAGCATGCTTTCAACATACATCAATTCGAAGTAAAGTGGCCTCCGGCCTCAAGTAACAGCCTAACATGGGCGATAACAGAGCATCTAACAGAATTTGATTACAACAACAGCAGAGTAGAAGGAATTTACACGAACCCTATCTACAGATGAAATGTTTGGAGCTCGCAACTTGCTTGAGCGCTTCCAAAAGCCACTACTGCCTGGGGGGCGCAAAACAGAAATATGTGAGTGGACAAAAATAAAGTTTGCATTTAAAACAACATAGTAACCCCACCATGTAAAAATAATGCTCAAGCATGCAGTCTCCACATCCATAAATCAAATACTCAAACATAAAATCTCAAAGTCCAATAACTCTCAAAAATCTCAAACCACAACTCCATTCCCACAAGTATGCAACTCTCACCAACCCATACATATGTATACCTATATAAGTATATATTTATATATATATCTATAATATAACGTATACTTCTCTCCATACTAATGTACCGGGGAAGACAATCCAACCGGGGGATTGTTGGCTGGTACGCAGGATTTTCGAACCAGAACCCGCGTCCAGGGATGAGTAGTCCAACCGGGGGACGGAACTCCATAGCTCACACGCCGGCACTGCCAACGCCACGTGTAGCTCACAAATCTCATATCAAGTCCTACGCGCGCAGACAGTATCATCCCCACACCGGCACTGCCAACGCCATGTGTGATGATACTAAGCAATATACATACTCTTCCCATACACCGGCACTGCCAACGCCATGTATGGGACCAACAATCTCATGACCTTCCCACCACACCGGCACTGCCAACGCCATGTGTGGGAAGCCTAGTAACCAGGGAATGGTACTCACCTAACATACTCATACATCTCACAACCATCCCTCAAACTCATATCTTTCCACAATCTCATAACAACAACTCCTCATACTCCATACATAGCACAATCTCACAACATCAACTCCTCATACTCTATACATAGCAATATAGATAGACATCCCAAAATCCATATAAACATATCCATAATACTCAAACATAGCCATACTCAAAATATATTGCCAATACGTATATGAATATCCAAAGTCATCAACCAAATACTTAATAAATCACATTTCCATTTAAAACACATGCACAAATCTTTTATCAATAAAACCATGCAAATGCTTGAAAACAAAGTCCACTCACAGGTAATCCCACGCTGCCCGGCCCCGAGAGGGTCCTGCCTGCTGCGAACGATCGACAGAAGTACCTATTTCGAGATACAAACCCTTGATTAATATAATACACTTCGAAACGGGAATTCACAAAAGAGAATACTTAAATCCCCAAGATCCCGGTGCGTGTACGTCCAATAGGATATCCTTACAGGTTTGGGAATCGCTTCCCATCCTACGGTTATCGTTAATCCCACAAACTTGAATTATTGAATCGGAACATCCGGGGCTCCGATTCACGATCCACGAATTCCTATAGGATTCTAAGAGTACCTAAATTAACATACTTCAACTTGGAAACGATCCAACGGTTAGAACTTATCGAACCCGAATAACGCACAATATGCGAAATCCGTTCGATAGTCAAACGACATCCAAATTGAGATCCGTAAAATCCTACGCACTCGTGACAACCTAATGATCTCGTCAGGATAAAAAGCAACTTCACCAGCCTTGCCCACGCGCCGCCACACGCGCCGGCAGCGCGTGGGTGTGTAGAGTAATTTCCGGCGACGGAAAATCTCCACACCAACGCTCACCCTTCCTACCCTAGCTTCTTCTCAAGGTCAGGATCACTTTATTCAACTACCCGAGGTCCAATTCGCACGGGAACTGGCCGGAATTTCAAATTGAAAACCGGCCAAAACCTAGGTTTCCAATTCGGTTCCAAAACTCAAAATCGATCCAAACCTACCCCAAAAACAGCTAGAGCACGTAAAAAGAAGAAGAAAACTCACCAACTTTACTTGAAACAGACGGCGGAGGCGGCGGCGCAACGATCGGAAACTTCCGGTTCGAACCAGTCGGAACTGATGTCGGGATTCGAGGTTTCCGGCGGGGAAATGGGGTGGGTTGTGATCGGGGCTTCGAGACAAGTCGAACGGAACCGGTGCCGGCTCTTCCCGTTGCCGGAACAGAGAGAATCGAAGAGAGAGAAAGAGAGAATCGGGGAGAGAGAAACGGAAGAGAGAGAGTATACGCGGGAGAGAGAGAGAGAAAGTGAGGGGTAAATGTGAAAAATCTGATTTTACCCCAAACTCACTTTGAAATAATTACGGTTCCGCCACAGAACTTATTTTGATCGCCAAAACTTCATTAAATCTCTGATTCAAGCCTACCGCCTGTCTACGGATTCGTCTCAGTACCACCTACGCAACCAAACCACTCGTGGTCCCGAAATCCTTCCGGATAAGAAAATGACCAAAATTACCCTTAACCCAAGAGTAAATTAATAATTCTCTTAATTTAATTAAAATAGGAATAAATTTGGAGTCGGGGTGTTACAAAAATTGTAGGGAGAAGATCTTTATTTTAATTTCTTGTGTATTTTAATATTTTCGATAGCTGTAGGGCATTATGGTTATCTATCTTTTTCAAGTTAACTTAATTTCTTTTTCTTTTTTACGTTGGTTACATTTAATTGTTACTTCAATATGTTGTATTCACTAAATTGTTACTTTGGTTAAACTGGCAGGTATGAAGCTATATTTATTAACAACATTGTTGATCAAATCATAAACCGAGTATTGAGACCCACATATTGGAATGTGGCCAAGCACCCAATTGGAATTCAATCTCATGTACAAGATGTGAAAAAGCTTTTAGATGTTGGTGGGAATGGTCGTCGCATGGTTGGGATATGGGGGACATCTGGAATCGGCAAGACAACAATTGCAAAAGCTATATGGAATGCAATTGCCCATGAGTTTGAAGGAAGTTGTTTCTTGCCAAATGTTAGAGAAGGAAGCTTAGTCCAGCTACATGAGACTCTTCTTGATAAGGTTCTAGGAAAAAATTGGAAAATTCAGAGTGTTGATGAAGGAATCAGTGTTATAAAAAAACGGCTGAGGCATAAAAAGATTCTATTAATTCTTGACGATGTGGACCAGTTGGAGCAGTTAGAAAACTTGGCTGGAGATGATTGGTTTGGTGAGGGTAGTAGAGTAATCATTACTACAAAAGATAGGGGATTGCTAGACAATCGTGAAATTGAGTTGATATACGAGGTGAAGAAGTTAGAATACAACCAAGCTCTTGAGCTTTTCAGTTGGCATGCATTCGGAAGAAGTGAACCTCCAAAAGATTATTTGAAACTCGCACAACGTGCAATAGCTTTTGCTGATGGCCTTCCACTAGCTCTAACAATTTTAGGTTCTCATCTTCGTAATAGAAGTATAGGACGTTGGCAAGTTATATTAGATGGTTACAAAGGAGAACCTTATACACATATTGAAAGAATACTTCAAAAAAGTTATGATGCCTTGGATGATGACGCGAAAGAAGTTTTTCTCGACATTGCATGTTTCTTCAAGGGTGGAAATAAGAACTCTCTGCTAGGAATAGTCCCCAAAAATTGCATTGAAGTACTCATTGATAAGGCAATGATAACTATTGAATTCAATCATAGGATTTTAATGCACGACTTGCTAGAAAAACTGGGCAAGGATATAGTTCACAAAGAATCTGACAGGACCCGCCTCGAATTTCCCAGAACCCGAGACGAACCCTGCGGAGACCCCGGCATCACACCCACGCCGGGTTCACTCCTTAAAACTATGTCCTCTTTTACCAGAGAGGATTTAGGGCACGAGACTTTCTGCCAAAATTTCGGCAAAGTCTCCCCTGTAAATTGAACATTCCCCAAAATTTCCACCTGCATAAAACACATTTTATAACCCAACCAGCAGCACGCACAATATAATCTCATGCAATTTACATAAATGGCCTCCGGCCTTCAATGATTCTACCAAACTGCCCACACGGTTGTTAAAATATCTTATTGCATCAAACATGCATATAACAAATTCCAAATCTATCTATACACACCTTCACTCACTCAGTCCACCGGACAAGCCTCAATTCAACCAAGTTTCGGGACCAACCACGAGGTCCACATCATACTCGATAAAACCACCTAAGTGGTGTCTAGGTCGTGGCTGCACCTAGGCGCTATCCCAGGCTGCCTACGTACCCTACTAAGGGATCAAGCCACACGTAGCTCTTTCCTATCAATCCTGGCTCCTGATATCAATTAAACCATCACATCCATATAAATTCATACATTCTAGGGTTTATCCATCACAACACACCCAACATAATCACATAGCTCCCCTCATACGTCGGGACGCACCCGGCCACGTACGGGGTCTGTCAACACGCCGGCTAATCCAAAGACGCGTGCGACCTCACACTGGGCCTGGCTACATTCTCACCAGCCATCATACCATCATATCTCCCACTCATACGTCGGGACGTACCCGGCCACGTACGGGGTCTGTCAACACGCCGGCTAACCCAAAGACGCGTGCGACCTCACACTGGGCCTGGCTACATTCTCACCAGCCATCATACCATCATATCTCCCACTCATACGTCGGGACGCACCCGGCCACGTACGGGGTCTGTCAACACGCCGGCTAACCCAAAGACGCATGCGACCTCACACTGGGCCTGGCTACATTCTCACCAGCCATCATAACATCACATCTCCCACTCATACGTCGGGACGCACCCGGCCACGTACGGGGTCTGTCAACACGCCGGCTAACCCAAAGACGCGTGCGACCTCACACTGGGCCTGGCTACATTCTCACCAGCCATCATACCATCATATCTCCCACTCATACGTCGGGACGCACCCGGCCACGTACGGGGTCTGTCAACACGCCGGCTAACCCAAAGACGCGTGCGACCTCACACTGGGCCTGGCTACATTCTCACCAGCCCTCACACAATCATAACTCCCACTCATACGTCGGGACGCACCCGGCCACGTACGGGGTCTGTCAACATCCGAGGAGGTACATAGGGTAGTGCATATAGCACTGCAAACTAACATTCAATCATAAAATCCATACATACTTTTTATACATTAATTTCTAATAATATAAACACCTTAGTAAACAACTAGCATCCGATAATTCCCCATAATCCCCATAACATCAGGACCTGTCTCTATGGTCATTCTAACCCTCCTGGGAAGGTAGAACTATCCCAAAGGTCTCACAGTCAACCTAGGGTCAAACGGGCCTGCGGGGCCCACAACCTCCAATTTCCGATCCGAAAGTTCCAATAGGTTCTACAAGCTCTAGGATGCACGTCCTGCAAGTTTGGTCCAGATCGGACGGTCGGATCGCTCACGATCGCATCGGACGGTTACTAAAACCCTAACCCCAGGGTTGGCATTTCCAGAGTATCCGGGACTCCGTTTTACGATCCGTCGAATCCTACACGATCCTGGTAATACCTAGATCAACATATTATAACTTCAGGACCATCCAACGGTCCAAACCTAGCAAACCCGGAAAATACGCGATATGCGATATCCGTTCGGGACTCTAACGGTACCCAAATTGAGATCCGAGCACACCTACGCGCTCGTGACATCGAGAGGATCACAATGGGACAAAAATGCCCCTCAGCTACAGTGCCCACGCGCCACCACACGCGCCGGCAGCGCGTGGGTGTCCAAAGCGATAACCCATCGCCGGAAAAACCACGAATCACGGCTCAAGACTCCTACCCTAGGTAAAACACCTAATTTGGAGTCACTTTTGTTCTTGGACGTACCCCAAAATCTGACCGGAAGTGGCCGGAATCTCATCCCGAAATCCGGCCGAACCCTAACTCGAAAATCAGATAATCTAGGCTCAAAATCGATACAATCCTACCCAACCATCAGCTAGATCATGCAGAAGGGATGAATTTCCATACCTTGATCGCCAAAAATGGCGGCCGGACGACGGAGAACGAAGCCGGCGAAGTTTCGGGTGAAACCGAGCTTTTCTCTTCGATTTTCCGGCGAAATCTCGACGGCTGACGGCGAGACCTGGCTGGGGTAGGAAGAGGACGGCGGCCCGGTCATTTTGGTACCGGCCCCGTCAACTTTGGTGGCCGGACGAGAGCACGGCCGGCCAAAACGTGGCCGGCTGTGGTGGCGGTCGCGAACCAGAGGAGAGAGAGAGGGACGCGCGGGAGAGAGAGAGTGTGTGAGAGACGGGGGCAATTCCGTCTTTTAACCAAAATTCCATTTTCCAAATATTTACGATTTTGCCACTGAGCTTCTTTTGATCATATCTCTCTCGTTACAACTCCGATTCGAGTCCACTACGTGTCTACGAACTCATCTCACCGTGCTCTACGCAACGGTACAACCGGAATTCCCAAATTCCTTCCGGATAAGAAAATGACTAAAATACCCCTATCTCACGGGTAATTTCTCAATTCCACTTAAATAAATTAAAACATGGGATAAATTTGGGGTCGGGGTGTTACAGAATCCCCCAATGATCCCGGCAAGCGTAGTAGATTGTGGTTTTACGAAGATGTCAAGCAAGTTCTAACGGAAAGTACAGTAAGTATTACATATGTTATTATATTCAATTTGACAAAGAAAGAATAACTTATGTAACCTATAATTTTCTTAACAAAATGTGCTTGCATTTTGGTTTGTACAATGACTTCGTTTTTTTAATGTTAATGCTTTTCCATCTTAGGGAACGAGAAATATTAAAGGCATCATGGTGAAGCTTCTAGAACCAGCTGAGATAATTTTGAATCCAGAATGCTTTCGTAATATGGTAAATCTTCAAATTTTCATAAACCATAATGCATCTCTACGTGGGGACATTAACTATCTGCCCAACACGTTAAGATTTATTGATTGGCCTAGTTGTCAGTTACAATCTTTGCCACCCAATTTTCAAGGAAATCGTCTTGTTGCGTTCAATATGCTTGGCAGTCATATCAGACACTTGGAGGGATTTAAGGTATGTATTTGAAATTATTTTCATCTATTATATATAATTTCAAATAGAGTTGTTAATTCAGAAGGAAAAAAACGAAAATTGTTTTCTAAGTTTTTGTCTTTTGAAGCGTGTGATTAATTATTTTCTGTTTTTGTGTTCTTATCTCATAGCATTTGCCAAACCTGACATCCATGGATTTAAATGGTTGTCAATTCTTAGAAAAAATCCCAGACTTATCCGGAATCCCAAACATAAAATACTTGATTCTAAGTGGCTGTAGACGTTTGGTTGAGATTGATGATTCTGTTGGACTCCTTGATAAACTCGTTCAATTGAATCTTAGTAGATGCGTTAAGCTTACGAGGTTTGCAACAACACTTAGATTGAAATCACTTGAAGAACTTGATCTTAGTGATTGCAAAAGGCTTAAGAGTTTCCCAGAAATAGAAGTCGAGATGGAATCACTATGGACATTGAATATGGCAGGAAGTGGCATAAGAGAATTGCCTCTATCAATTGCATATCTTACTGGGCTTCTAGATTTGATTCTTAAGAGATGCTTCAATCTTACTGGGCTTGAATTACGGCTGCTTTATTTCTGGTCCACATTACGATATCTTGATCTATCTAGAAACAATTTTGTCACGCTTCCGGAATGCATTAGCAAATTTGTGAGCTTGGACCAGCTTGACTTGCGTGATTGCAAGAGTCTTCTAGAAATTCCACAAGAAGTGCTTCCACCAAGAGTATATACGGTATTACTGGATAATTGCACATCATTGGAGAAAATTCCAAAACTGCCACTATCATCGGAGGTTGAGTATCTGCGTTTGATAAATTGCGTTAGACTACGTGGCTATGACATCACAGAAAATAGTATTCTGGATCAGGTTTCTGTCTCTTCTCTCTCTGTGTCTCTGTGTCTCTCCCTCTATGTTATATGGTTAAGATGATGATTGTTGTAACCAATTGTATTGTAGGTATCTTCTCATCCGCATTCTGAATTTACAATTACTCTTCCAGGCGATGAAGTACCAAAGTGGTTCAGCTGTTGTAAAGATGCAACACTAGTTAAAGAGGAATTGGTTATAGCTCGATGTGAAGTTTGTTTTGAAATTCCTCCAAATTTAGATTGGGAGACGTTAAGATTGGTTCTATGTGTTGTTAATAAAGGAAAGTCATATTTTCGTATTGATAGAGGCGAGGTAGAGTCACGTGTTCATATCAATGGAAAAATGGTCCAATCGACACATATGTTCGTATTCCGATCAAAAAACAAAAAAACAAAGATAGAGGAAAGTCATGTGGCTCTTAAGTGTATTCCATTATTGAATCTGAGCGAGTTAGGTGTGGGGGAAGAACTGACGCGGTTGCAGCAGGGTAATATGTGTCAAATTATATTTGAGTTCTATAGAATGCCCACACCCGTTAAAATCCTCTGCGGGGTCCACCTATTAGGCCACCAGGTTGCTGATGTCGCAGTTGATTGTGGGCAAAGGCAGTGGTTGTTGCCTGATGCGATGGCAGTGGACGATGATATTCAGGATGATCAACACCAAGACAACGAATTGCTTTCCTTACCTTCAGCATCAGAGACTAGTCTTGGCAAGAGGCCTCGGTTATCAGATTTCTTGGCACTTGATGATGATCATCGTGCTAACGTCGTCGACGTTGGTGATCATGAAGCTCAAAGAGGAGAGGCTGATCACCCAAAGAGGAGGCACACTGATCTTAACGAGGAGCCAAAGTATGTAAATCCATTAAATTCTGAATGATATCTTTGCATTTTCTGGTCATATATCTGCGTTTTGTGTTCAATTCAAATTGAGCAATATTTTGCTGTGCGTCTCTGGGGTATATGTTGTAGTTTTCAGGGTGTGAATTTTTTTTCTTTTTGTTTTGGGTTAAATCCTTTTTCTTAGCGCTCTACGTTCGATATTAAATTTTCAGGTAATGAAGTTCCAAAGTGGATTATGTAAGCCCTAGGTTCAGCTGTCGAAATGAACCAAATTTCCAGGCAATGGTCTAGCAATCAAGAGGTGTGTTAAGGCGCCAGCAGTTTCTGAGATTCCATTTTAAGTTGCATAAGGCAATACCTTTCTTCTCAATTGATGCATCCAGCATTTATCCACAGATGAACAAAACTGGTTGCAAGCCGGATTTATCTAATGCTTTCATTCCACACGTATACTTTGTCTATGATTCTTCTATCTCATTCATTGGAATTGATGTATGTTGGGGATGAAATGTAACACATTTATCTATTTCATAATTTCCAATCAAGGTTTGTTGAAAATCAGACATTAATTGTAAACAGGCATCCAAATATGCCCAACATATTTTTGTTGAAAGATTGTGTCTCATTATACTAGTGATGTTGCTGGTATTGGCAAGGTACAAGAATCCTAGCATGTCTAAATCATGTCAAGTTGCTGCAACTCACGTTGCTGGTATAGCATGTTCAATATTTTTTTTATAATCCTGCAAGGACATGAAATGAAAAGCTTGATGAGCAGCAATAGTGTCATGCATATTATGTTGTTTTCGAACTCCTGTCTAGTTTGCGAATAGATTTTGGTTCTTTGAATACCAGTTGCTGTTTGAACAGCCCTGGTAGAGCTAACATCTCCAATGGCTCCATTACCCAAAAAGAATTTGGCTTTAGAAACTAAGAAAAAGATGTCAGGAATTATAACTTCTTTCTTTATTGTTCACGAAAGCGAATTATGATTGTCATTGCATGACCGGATAGCTATTGTAGATGTTAAATGTCCAATTTTATCCACCAAAAATTACAAGGGGCATCTCATAGTCAAAAAGATAATTATAACTTACAATTTGAACTGACACCAAGTAAAACTTATGACAAACAGGAATAAATGTCCAATGTATAACAAGAGAGAGGCACACATCTGTGTAAATGTAGAAAAATATGCACGGCAGAACCATGTGTCCGTGGAGCTCTGCAAAACCGCCACATTGCCGCGAAGAAAAAGCTCCGCATTGAAATGGCTCAAACCAACATATTCAAGCATCACCAACTTGGTTATATATTCCTACATAAGCCACTGTCCAACAAATACAAAAGCCTATACCTCATTTTTGCCACCATTCTTGGTGTATGGTACCTTTACAGCTCTGCATGGTGGCGTTGAAACTTGTTTGAATTGAGTTGTATTTCCTATCATATAGCCAGCCACACCGAAAGACCATGCACACATACAACGAAGCAAACAATCTCGAACAATCATGATCGAAAGTTTGCCATTCTGAACAGTTTTAGCCAAGCAAATCTTTAAACAAGTTGGGATTCTGACTTGTTGGGGTCACACCCATCTGCCTTACAAGTGCATCCTTATTCAATTGAGTGTTACCCCACTTTGAGCAGTTCTTGATAACTTAGATGCAAGATTAAACTCATCCCTATTGGTCGGCAACACACTGCTACTAAGCCTGCTGAGAGATGTATCTGCATGTAATCCGATAATATCATGTGTCTTAGCCGCACCAGCTGCACCATGATTTGCAGTTAATGCTTCAGTTTGATCAAGAAGCTCTTCTAACTGCTTGAAAGGATCTACAGTGGAAGCAGTACTACCAGTTGAGTCACCCAAATCGAGCAAGTCTGGAGCAGGTTCATGATTAACTTCAGTGTGTACAATTGCTGCCTTTGGTACCCGGGTCTTCTCTAAAGCATGGATATTCGCCTTAGACACCTTATCATAAGGTCCTTATGGTTGGCAAAAGATGGCCTCCTCTCGGTTTTTGATGATCCCCCAAACAGTGAACTGGCTTCTGCTTTTCTGGAGAAATTTCAACCTGGGGCCTCCTTGACTCATAAGAATCACGTGCTTTGAAATTTGAAGTGCTCATGCTATCTATTTGTGTGACCCCATTCGCTGATTTCTGGGAACAACTCGAGGAATTTGAGATCGAAAATGCTGGGGAGGATTATGTTGGCATACCCCATTTTCTTTGAACGCCATCTAGTCGTAACTTAAGTTCCGATGATCCTGCATCTGACATAGGTGGCAATGATGCAGGCTGGCGGATCTCCCTAGCATAAGATGGTTCAGGAACTGGAACAAGCTCGGTTGAGGATGCAACTGCAGCTGGAGGAATTCTTGATGGCACTGCTGGCTTTGGAAGCTCATATGCCTCAAACCTAAGACCATGGGTTAAAGCTTCATGCTGATCTTGGTTACTGAAGTTGCTGATATTTAACATTCCAGAGCGCTCATTATCGGGAATATAGGGCTGAGCACCTTTCTCTAGTGCTTGTTGGACATAGCCATTGAGGAATGAAAGGCTTTTATCAATCTGCAAGAGAAGATGAATATTAATATTACACAAAAAATAATCTTATTCAAGAAATAAATAAATAAATGGTTTCGGCATGATTCAAAATCAAGGTTTTCAAGCATATTAGAGAAATACAATTGCAAAACCATGAAAAGAGCAACTTATAACTAAAGGGAAGAAATAAGATGCAAGGACCAGGGACGAAGAAGTCGGGAAACTAATTAAAGCATGTCGTGTAATACCGATTAGAATCACTTGATAACATCCAGGTATTACCAACCAAAGGCAGCTACATAAATTAAGTTTCGCCAGTATAATATGATGCATGTTGGTCAAATAAGCAATTTTAATCATTCCGAATTTTTTTTAATCTAAACCACAATAAAGCAATCTTTGTACTTTTTTTATACAAGGAAATCTACAATATACATACTAAATGTCAAGCAATAATAAGGCTTCAGAAAGATAATGTACCCATATGAGATAATGTACATTATCACGACATGGTCCTATTAGAACAATTTACAAGGCAACTGCATTTTTTAATGAGACATACATTAGTTCACTTTCCTTATACCTAATTTACATTCATCAAGGATTCTATTTGATATATCCAATGTTTTCAGAGGCGAGGCGTATAGGTGAGACATTTTTAGTAGCGCTATGTGAGGCGTAAGCCTTGAAGCGTTGAGGCGTAAGCTTTTGAACATTAATTTATTTTAATAAGAAAAATTTATGAATAATACAATACAATTAAATTGTACAACTAATTCTTATTCAACCATAACAATCTTTTAAATATAATCAAATATAAGTACTAATTGTCATTCAAAGCATAATAATCAATCCCAAAACATAAAATATTTATTCAACATCAAAACAAATTATACAAGTATGATGCATGTATGTAAAAAAAAATGACTTACTTGCAGTCGAAAGATGAAGAGAATTCTTGAAATTGATGGAGTTATATGGTAAGGGTCTAAATTAGGGTTCTACATGTACTATACAATATATATATATATATAGGAAGAAAAAAAAAAGAAAAAAAAAAGGTAAGTAGAAAAGCTACAGTGGGTTGGAGTTAGAAAAAAAAAAGTTATTAATTCTTGCAATAAGTTTATTACAATAAAGGTAATGAAAAAAAAACTGAAACAGCGTTTTTTTTTTCAACACCAAGTGAAACGACGTCGTTTCACTTTAAGATTTTTTTTAAACCACTGCAATCAAAACGACGTTGTTTCATGACAATAAACCTTTAAAAAAAAAGCAAGTTGTCTTCCTTGCGACGCCATCTTCCTCGCAGACGATTTGCAGAGTCGAAAATTTCTTCCGGTTCAGAAGTTTCCAAATATGGTGCGCCTTGCAACGCCTCGCTTTGCCTAGCCACGCCTTACAACGCCTTCTCATGCCTTCTCATGTTTTCCTCTCGCCTCGCTCTGAAGCGCGCTCCGACACGCGCGAAGGCATGCCTTTGAAAACACTGGATATATCTCAACAAATGCTTTCCAAAAGATACATTTTGTAAATATAAAAAAACCAGAGAAAATTAAATTTACAGTATATCATTTGGCATAAAACAATAAGAGGGTCACCAAACTTAATGCAATCACAAGGTTAAACAACCATTAGACTTTACCATTAGAAAACAGGAGGTTCAGACAGTAAGCCAACACCCACCAAATAACAAGGAAAAGAGAGATGCAGAACTACTACAGTTCTTAATACTTTAAAGGAGAAGAAAAAAAAAGAAGGGTGCGAGTAGATAATGCAATTAAATATGACCTCAATGTCTTCACAACTTGCGTCTGACGGCATAATACTCTCAACTGCAGGAGCATCTAAGCTAATGACAGCTTGCAATTCATATGCACGCTGCTTCAGATCTGTTGAGTGAGAAGCTGACAATTCTTCCACCAAAGATTGACACTGCAAGGGAAGAAAGATTTTTATCAATCGATATATACTTCCACGACAGGACAAAACAAAATGAAAATGACAATTATAACTAATCATTGATTAGATGAATGTCAACATTATAATGGTGCCCAGAAAACTTCAACTTAAAAAAGCATTAAACTGTCATCATGCAACTATAGAGCTCTGGACCTCAAAGCTAGGGCCACTGATCATTGACACGCACATGCACAGATCTATCAAAATTCATGTTAATCATAGAGCTCTGAACGTAGGAGAATTCTGCACTGCCACTCATCTATCAAAATCCATGTTAATCATTACATCTTTTGATTAAACATCTTATTCAGATTTAGCTCTGCTATTTAGAGAAATTCAACCCACTACTAAAAGCATATTTACATACAATGCAATTTCCATCATTCGGGAAGAATAAATTCATTCCAGTCATGACTGATGCTAATCTATAAAGAGATGCCTGTTCAATCTAGTGTGCAAACTGTACGGTGAGATTTGAACTTTCAATCTTTCAACTTAATTTTCAGTCAAAGATCTGCAAGTTAACAAATCTTATCTTCTCTCAGGGAAAGCAAAATAAAATGGCATAAGACCATCTCCAACCCTGTTGGGGCTAAACTCAAATTTTCACCTTCTAAAATACAACTATTCATGTATTTTCATGACTCAAATTTTTTTTCCTCCAACCTTGTAGACTCATAATTTGAGTCCGCAACTTTATTAAATTGTTTAAGAATGATTAACTCCTAAATTTTGTTTCTTGTTAATTTTTCTTGACATTATTTTTGTTTCAACACTCGTGATTTAATTTTCTAAATATTTTAACCTAAAAAAAATAAAATTCCAAAACATAATTGAATTTCACTTAAAAAATAAAAATAAGTACAATACCATACGTATGCCCGGAATAATTCGAACTCTTCATTGAATTATGTAAGTGTGTTTAAATTATCTAAGCATTTTTAAATAAACGACAATCATTAAATTTTGCCGTTGAGATTGCTTAAATTATTATTCATGATTATTGATTACAAATTATAATTGTTAAAAAAAAAAAAAAAAAAAAAAACAAACAGCAATATCAGATTTTTGGCACAAAGTTGCTGCCCAAATAGTGTAACCAAAACTGGGCCCAGCAAACATTGTGCAGCACATGGGCTTCAGTCAAAAAAAAATAATTAAAAAAGCAGATTTTGGGCCCACAAAATTATCAGTCCAGGCAAAAATGGGACTGGAATTCCACCAAAGATTTGAGATTTCTCAAATTTCCACCCTCCAGAATACATGGGTTGGAGATGGTTTTTGGAGGCTAAACTCAAAATTTGAGTTTCCACCCCAAGGGTTGGAGATGGTCTAAATACCAGTAGAACTCTTACAATTATGAGCATAATTACTAATCATAATGCATTATTTTTAGCAGGAAACTAAAAGAAAAAAACCACTCGTAGGAAAACAACTGATTCAACCTCAGATACAAATGCAAAAATTAGGACTATACTGAATAAACATGGAGCAATTTTTTATCACCCTAGAACAGTGAGGGTAAAACAGTAACTTTTGTGGCTTTAACAACCCCTACAGCAGCAAAGTTCTAGAAGATGGCACCTTGATAGCCAAGTACCATACTAGAGAAAACTAGTTTGTACCTCACTATTAGCGAACCATCACTTAGGAAAAGGGAGATGGCACTACTACATTTTATGCTTTGCGCAATGAAGGAATGTTCGTCGCGCAAAAGAGTGCGACGTAGCACTTTCGTTACAAAAAATGTTTCGGGACGACCCAAATGTCCGAGGCACAAACGTTTGCGCAGCGAAAGGCTGTTCGTCGCACCAAGAATGTGCGACGAGTGCTTCGTCGCCTGAGATACGTGAAATTTGCACAATGAAAACACTTTCGTCGTGCAATTAGTCATTGCACGACGAAAAACGTCGTCGTGCGACGAAAATATTCGTCGCGCATACACATTTCGCGCAACGAAACTCTTCGTCGCGCATGATTAAATGAAGTATATTAAAAATATATTTTTCAACTTTTTTATATAAAAAAAATGATTTTGCGCGAGAATATACATTTCGTCGTGCAAAAGTAATATATATTATATATAATAAAAAATTAATCTTATTTGTTTTTTAATTTTGGAAAAAAATAAATTTGGTTTTTTTTTAATTAAAATGAAATTGCAATAAAAAGATTAATCGTAAAGAAAACATTTATTATATAAAATAAAATAAATGTATACAAGAGAAATATTTTAAAAGTAATTATAAAAAAAAACTAATCAAATAATATTCCAAAATCTACTTGGTCATCTGCCATATGCGGCTCGGAGGTCTGGGCGTCTACAGGGGCCGTGGTCTGCTGGGGATGCTCGGGGTGGACGGGCTCAGAGGTTGGCGCACCAAAATTCAGGATTGGAATGCCGGACCGCGCGAGGGACTGCAGAATCACCGACATCTGACCCTCAAGCTCGGCAACCCGCGATGTCAAAACAGTCACCTGACTGTTTGCCTGCGACAATGACCGCGGTCGAGGTTCCCTCTGTCGGGCATTCCCCATCCCCCTACAATATGTTCCCGGACTCCTCCCCAGAGTCTGATCCAACGTCTGCGTCAAAATCTGAAATCCAGCATCCTGTGGAGGATCCACAGACTCGATCGGAGTCTCGGGAGGAAGTTGGGAGGCAGACTCCTGAAGAACCAACTGGCTCCTCTCCACCATCGTCGTCTGTTTAACATTACATAAAATATAAATTAAAACATGCATATAAATTGAAAGCGTAACATAAGAATTAAAATTAAATAATACTTACATGAAGGGACTCGGCCAACTCATTCCCAGGTCAAACATAAACATCACCAAAGACGTCGATCTCTGGGAATTTCGACCCCCCCTAAATTAAACAAGAGAAGGAAAATATTAGTATGAACAAAATAAATTAATAATAATGACGTATTAAAAATTAAATATAAATTATATTGTTCTTACCCGACGTCGTGCATCCATCCTATATGAGAAGGGTCTGGAGCCGGAATGGTGGAGAAGAGTCTTCTTCTTCCTATTGCCCTTATTCACTTGGGCTTTATTCTGTTATACAAAAAATAAAACGTATTTGTTGAAATATAAATAAATTAAATAATAATGACATATAAAAAATAAAATAAACATTAATAAGAAATATGTAATAATTAAAAAAATATTATTAAAAAAATACCACATAATCGGGGGCCTAAAAATGAGCGCAGAGCCATGCCCAACTATCCTCCCGCCCCTCAAGCTCCTTCGGGCAACCCTCCTAAAGAGCGACTTGCGAATCATCAAACGCCTCAAAATGGTGGTGCAAGTCGCTCTTCCACTGCTTGTACCTCTCACCGAAGAGTCTGTTGACGTACGCCATTGACTCCTCTTTGAGGTCCTCTAAGTGGTAGTTCGTCTGCAATAAATTAATTACATACATTAAGTAATAGAAATATATAAAGTTTGAAAGACAAATAATTAAAAGATAGGAAACATACCGACAACTGGCCGCGAACCTCCATCTTGATCTCGTTAGGCATGACCTTCCAAGACTTCCATTGCATCGGGCAATGGGTTCGAACGACGTGGCCAATGTCGTGGGCCAAGGAGCTATGCAACTCGGCCGTCGGTGTAGCCCGATGGCGCTCGTCGTATCCGATGCTAATATTTGCGCGACGAGGGCCATCGTCGCGAAAGACATCATTGCGCAACGATTTTACTTTCGTCGCGCAAAGAAGGAGAGAAAATGGCGCCAAATACTTGCACGACGGACGTTTGATTTGTCGCGCAAGGTTTGATGTCGGCACTATCTTGTGCGACGGAAAGTTTCGCTTGCGCGACACGTTTGCGAGTTTGCGCGACGACACATTTTTTCCGTCGCGCAAAAATCATTACAAAATGATTTTACTTTCGTCGCGCAAAGAAGGAGAGAAAATGGCACCAAATACTTGCGCGACGGACGTTTGATTCGTCGCGCAAGGTTTGATGTCGGCACTATCTTGTGCGACGGAAAGTTTCGCTTGCGCGACATGTTTGCGAGTTTGCGCGACGACACATTTTTTCCGTCGCGCAAAAATCTGATTTCTTGCACGACGAAAACATTATTCGTCGCGCAAAATCTGTCTTCTACATATCTGCAATGTGCCATTGCAGAGGCAGATTGCTCCATTTTTCTGCCATTTCGATTTGTCCTTTGTCTATGCTGCTGCCTCTACTGAGAATTCAATACGCTCATTGGGTAAGTACTATTTGTCATTTGTTTAAAATTATTAATGTGAATTCGTACTAACGGTATTATTATTATTTTTATTATAGATATTTGTAAATTCCGATTGTGGAGAACGATTGAGAAGGTATTTCATTCATTTTATATTAAATTCATTACATTATGTTGAACTTAGTTTGTTATATTTATATATTTTGTTGTTGAATTATATTTATATTATGTTGTTAAATTGTGCATGATGTAGCACAATGTGTTGTGATGTACGAAGTTAATTGAAATTAACTTCGTACTTTTATTATAATTTTTTAGTAACACTTAGTTTCCTGTTCGAGATTAGTTGGATTTCGTGCATGGATGCGTAAAGCATGACTGCGGTCCAATTAATTCTTGAATTGTCCTATTATTTGGACAGTTTGGTAATGCATAGTGTTGTCACGTAATCTACAGCTACAGGATTAGATTTCGATTGTGGAGATTTCGATGTCATCTCGGTACGTTCTTCGGGTGGTACGTAGGTATTTATACCTATGCCCACCTCAAGAACTGTATCGAGATGCTGCCGAAATTAATCCACGTCGAAATCTAATCTCATGTAGCGGTAGGTTATGTGACAGGACTATGCATTCCCGAATGGGATAAGGCCCTTACCGAAGGCATAAGGTGACATTATAACTTTGTATGAAGTTGTTGTGATACAATGTTGTGATTGTGGTTTCAGGAATCATGAGCAGAAGGTGGATACAGAACCCGAATAGATGCATATACGAATACTTGGATGGAATCGAGGATTTTATTGAGTTTGCACGTAGACATAACCCGGGTGCAACTAGAATCCATTGTCCTTGTAGAATGTGTAATAACACGTTGTGGGAGACAATTGAAAATGTTGGCTTTCATTTAATAAGGAATGGAATGATTGAGACATATAGCATTTGGAATCTTCATGGGGAACAATTAGACAATGCTTCATCTTCAAATGCCACAAGGGTAGACAATATTGAACCTATTGTGAACCCAAAGACCATAGACAAGTGCAAAAGGTGTTGAATGGTCTTGGATTGGGTTATGAAAAAATTCATGCTTGCAAAAACAATTGCATGTTATTTTACAAAGAGTATGAAGGTTCAAGATGACATCTCAGAATAGGACGACTAAGATCCCACAGAAAGTCATGCGTTATCTGCCCTTGAAACCTAGGCTACAGCGATTGTATATGTCGACTCATACTGCCACAGACATGAGATGGCATAAGGAGAAACGGGTAGACAACGATGTGATGCGGCATCCTGCAGATGGGGAAGCATGGAAAGAGTTCGATCGAACGTTGCCCGACTTTGCTGTTGATCCTCGAAATGTTAGATTGGGACTTGCCACTGACGGATTCAATCCGTACGGGGTTCTAAACCAACACCACAGCACTTGGCCGATTTTTGTATTTCCATATAATTTGCCGCCTTGGAAATGCATGAAAAAAGAGTACATGATGATGACTATTTTGATAACTGAGGATCCTGGCAGGTCAATCGATGTTTACTTACGGCCGTTGGTTGATGAGCTCAAAGATTTATGGACAAACGGTGTGTGCACGTACGATAAAGCCACTAGGAAGATGTTCACTTTGCGGGCAGCAGTGATGTGGACTGTAAATGATTTTCCCGCATATGCAATGGTTTCTAGGTGGAGCACAAAGGGTTATATGGCATGCCCTGTATGCAAGGAAAGTGTAACTTCTGGTTGGAACGCGGGAAAAGTTTGTTATCTTGGTCATCGAAGATGGTTGTCATGGGACCACGAGTGGTGGGAAAAGGATAAAGGGTTTGACGGGAACACAGAGCATCGCCTCAGACCTAGAGAATGGTCCGGTGATGAGATCTTGGAACAGCTAAACCGTTTGGATTTTTCTCCGTTCGGGAAAACAGTTACTCGGACCAGACCTTCTACACATTTGAACTGGACGCACAAGTCTATGTTTTTTGAGCTCCCATATTGGTCGAAACTAAAATTGAGGCACAATCTTGACGTTATGCATGTTGAGAAAAATGTCTTTAACACATTGCTGGGCACGATTCTAGATATCAAGGGTAAGACAAAGGACACGATCAAAGCTCGTCTTGATTTGGAAATAATGGGCATACGAAGAGGTTTATGGATGAACATGGACGGTGATAAAGCTAGAAGGGATCTGGCATTTTTTGCCATGAAACCGAATGACAAAAAAGATTTTATACAATTTGTATCGTCGGTAAAGTTTCCCGATGGGTATGCTTCTAATATTGCGCGTTGCGTGAATGTTGACGGGGGTAAATTTACTGGACTGAAGAGCCATGACTGCCATGTGTTTATGCAACGCCTACTTCCTGTGGGTATTCGACACCTTTTGCCAGAAGATGTAGTGAAACCAATCATGTTGTTGTCCAGATTTTTTTCCCAACTGACGGCAAAAACATTGCGAAAGACAGACATTAATCAGTTGCGCCATGACATTGTCCAAGTCCTATGCAAGTTCGAGATGATATTCCCTCCAGCTTTCTTCACAAGTATGATCCACGTGATGGTTCATTTGCCAGAAGAGGCATTACTCGCTGGTCCTGTAAACTATGGCTGGATGTATCCAATAGAAATGTATATAATCCTCATAATTTGTTTCTGCATCCTTAACTCACGGTCGCTAATTTGTATCATTTGTTTTTATTTTGCCAGGCTTCTCGGAGAGTTGAAAAAAACTGTACGCAACAGGGCGAAACCCGAAGGATCAATTATAGAGGCTTGGTTTCAATATGAGTCGCTTACTTTCTGTGGAATGTATTTAAAAGATGTGGACACGGCTTTCAATTGTCCTCAACGCAATAATGACGCAGGTCTGAGAAATGAGAAACTTTATGTTTTCGCCCAAAGCGCACGACCCTTTGGAGATCCGGTACGAGGAGAGTCGTTTTCCAGAAATGACATGGAGGTAGCGCATTGGTTCATACTTAACAATTGTGATGAGATAATGTCATACTTAGATGAGCATGAAGAGATGATGAAGCGAGAACATCTATCACATTTGTATGCCAAGAAACACCGTGATTTGTTTCCAAAATGGTTTTTGGAATATGTAAGTTATAAGTGTTTTGTATTTGTTATTTATATATATATATATATATATTGTGTATTATTTAATGTTATCAAACTAACATGTGAATTCATTTGTAAAATATTAGGTGAATAAGTTGAAATCATCGAATTCACCCTCTTACAGTGAAGAGTTATATAACTTGGCGTTCGGCCCGATTCGCACTGAATTATTCTCGGGTTGCCATGTTAATGGTGTAAAGTTTTTGGGGACTGCAAGAGATGACAAGTTGTGTACGCAAAACAGCGGTGTCCATGTTCCAGGTGGTGGCGAAAGTACTGACATTGATTTCTATGGCAAACTCACAACTGTCGTGCAATTGCTTTACAAAGACCGATACCAAGTGATCATGTTTAAGTGTCGATGGTTTGATACAAACCCAAATAGACAGGGAAGTGTTAAAATAGAACACGGCTTACTATCAGTGAACATTAACAGAACTTGGTATGATGACGACCCTTACGTTTTGGCAAACATGGCAAGACAGATTGTGTATCTAGATGACCTTAAAGCCGGAAGCGGTTGGAAGGTTGCTCAGCAGATGGATCAGAGGAACGTGTATGCTATACCAAAACTAGACCCAACTGACAACGACGTCGACAACGTCACTGACTAACGGTTGGAATCTTCCATGGAAACTGATGCAGAAACACTTCGAGATACAGATGTTATACAAGAACCGTTTCAGCTTCAAGGAGTGTCTTCAATCGAAATATCGATTCAGTCAATTACAATTGACCTCGGTGATCTTCAATGCTACGAAGTTCCAGTGGGCCCGAACAACGAAAGTGATGAGGAGGAGGATTGGGAGACCAAAACTGATGATAGCGAGGATAACAAAAGTTACTATAGTTCAGATGATAAATAATGCAATTCATTAGCAACTACCCATGTAAAACATAGGAAATGAAATTTGTTGTAATTTAATTATGGTAGTGTAAATATGGCAATCACAAATTAAAATGAAGTTGCACACAAAATTTGCAATCACAAATTAAATTACAACATATAATATATAAATTAAAATTTAGATATATACCTAAATTTGAAAACATATTTGAATATAACACATATATACCTAATTTGAATGTATCTATTTGATTTTCAATTGCCATTTATGAATATAAGAATTACGGTTTTCTCTTTTTTGTGTTTAAAATCTTCAAATTGAATGAATACCACATGTAGATGATTTTTTCATTTTTGGTTTTGTTTGAAGGATATTATAATATTAAACACTATTGTTATAAATTTATTGTAGAACCATGTATATATATATCCATATAATTTAATCACATAAATTATGTTAAATTTATTTTATCATAATTGATGTTAACATTTTAATCTAACTTACACCTTTCACCCAAAGAAGAATATATATTTTTTGCCAATAGTCTTAAATTAATATACTCCTCTGTTAAAATTAATCTATTGGAAAAAATTTGAGATTTTTGTAGAGAATAACATGTTAACATTTTATTTTTCTTTTTCAAATAGTCTTAAATTAATATACTCCTATGTTTAGCATATGAATATAATGTAATTATAATTAAATTAAAACATATATAACATATATAACACCTATAAACAAAAAATAATGTAGAGAATACTGACATAAAACATATATAACACCTATAAACAAAAAATAATGTAATTATAATTAAATTTTTGGAATTTTCAGAATTTTTAGCGGAATTACAATCTTGCGCGATGAAACAAAAACTTATTCGTTGCGCAAAGTTCACAGAACTTGCGTGACGAAACAGTGGTATATTCGTCGTGCAATCTCATTCAGCCCTTTTACAAATAGGGAACACTTAGCATAAATTTTTGCGAGAGGTTTGCACAGAACAAAGACCTGCGCGACGAAACAGTGGTATATTCGTCGCGCAATCTCATTCAGCCCTTTTACAAATAGGGAACACTTAGCATAATTTTTTGCGAGAGGTTTGCATAGAACAAAGACTTGTGCGACGAATATTATGTTTGTCGTGCACTCTAAACCCTAAACTCTAAACCCTAAACCCCACGGTACAAATGGTTGAGATTTATTATCTTTGCGCCACGAATATACTACCTCTTCGTCGCGCAAGATGCTGAGCTCAGCAGCTTGCGCGACGAAAACTTCAATGTTTCGTCACGCAATGTCATTCAATTCTTTTAAAATTGTGCAAAATGTGTATAAAGTGATCAAAATATAGTACCATGTTTGTTTCATTTAATTATAGTCTTAGATGAGATTGCTAATACCGGGCCCACCAAATTATTACCATATTATTACTACATACACATATACTATAATGTACATATATACACGTATATACACATATACATGTGTATATATATAAACACATATATACATATATAATATATATAAATACATATAGATACATACACGTATATTATAATAATAGCATACATGTATATATGTAATATATATATATATTATATATTATAATACATATATACGTATATATACATATATGTGTATATATAATATACCCATGTATGTATTATAATATACATATACACATGTATATATACATATATATATTATATATTATAATATACATGTATATTATTATTATTATTATAATTATCTATTATAATATATACATATATATATATTTATATGTATTATACCCATGTATATATTATAATATACATATATACACCTATATACACATATATATATATGTTTATATTATTTATAATATATAATATACATGTATACATGTATATACACATATATGTTATATATATATATATTATATGTATATATATACATATATATTATTATATATTTTATAAAATACATATATACATATATATATATATATAGATATTTTTGAAAAAATAAAAAAAAATCTAGTCCTAGTCCAAGCATGCACCAAACGCAAAATAAGTGTTATCCAACTTAGACCAAGCCAAGACAGTCCCGAAGTATAGTCTATGCCAAGACAGTCCTGACAAACGAGCCCTAAAATTTCTGGCAGCATAACAATCTTGCGCGACGAATACGTTATTTATCCGTCACGCAAGGTTGTCATACCTTTCAATAAACCCTAAAATTTCTGGCGGCATAACAAGCTTGCGCGAAGGTTTTACACATCGTCGCGCAAGGTTTTCAAAATTTGGGCGGAAAACAACCTTGCACGACGGTTTTTTTTATTTTTTCGTCGCGCAAGGTTCATTAAAACGGAGTATGCGCAACGCACTATTTCTTTCGTTGTGCAAGGTCTTCAAAATTTGGGCGGAATGTAGTAAAAATTTGGGCGGAAAAAAACCTTGCGCAACGGTTTTTTTATTTTTCCATGGCGCAAGATTCATTAAAACGGAGTATGCGCAACGCATTGTGTCCTTCGTCGCGCAAGATCCGAGAAATTTTCAGAAAAATCGCGACAGCCTCCTTTCTTCCTCACTTCCTCTCTCTGCCCTAAACACCCTCTCTCTCCGCCGTCACCCCAGCCCAGTGCTCCGCCGGAAAAAGGACCGGGCCGCCACCACCGTCGAAGCCCAGAGGTTCCCCTGCCGTCACCGTCGAAGATTCCGCCGGAAAAAGCTTCGTTTGGCAGATTCTGCGCCACCTGTTTTCTCTCTCCTCCAGCCACGAATTCCGATGCCTGAGGTATGGTTTCTGGACTACTTCTTGTGCTCTAGCTGATGGTTGATTAGGATTTGGATAATTGTGTGAATAGGTGTCTCGAATTTAAACCCTAGGTTTTGGCCGGTTTTTGAATTTAAATTCTGGCCACTTCCGGCCATTTTTTGGGGTAGGTCCGAGAACAAAAGTGCCTCTAAATGATGTTTTAAACCTAGGGTAGGAACCTTGGCACTTAGTTTTTAGAAATTTCCGGCGATTGTTATCGCTTTGGGAAATCACGCGCTGCCGGTGCGTGTCGTGGCGCTGCCGGCGCTTGTGGTGGCTTGTGGGGACTATGGCAGTGGGGCATTGGGTCCCAGAGCAATCCCCTTTTTGTCACGAGCACGTAGGTGTGGTCGGATTTTGATTTGGTTACCGTTTCAGTCTCGAACGGATTTCGCCCATTGTGCGATTTCCAGGTTTGATATGTTTGGACTGTTGGATCGAACTCAAACTCACCTATGTTGTACCTTGTATTGTGTAGGATTCAACGGATTGTGGATCGGAGTCCCGGATACTGTTGGTCACCCGGGTGACCTTCGCCGTCTTCAGCGAAGGGATAGGACAATACTGTTAAATAAATAACAAATTTAACCATTAAAAAAAAATGAAAGTGGAAGGGTATATATACTTGGCGGTGCCCCCGAGGCACCAATACCGTCGGTCGATGTGGTGTCGGTGGTGCTGGCGGGCCGGTACGGCCGCCTAGTGCTAACAGGCTGCACCACCGAAGAATCTGATGATGCAGGTGCCTGGGATCCCCCGGGACCAGCTAGCACGTGGTCCTGCTCCATCAGTGCTGGAGTAGTGGCAGCTAATGCCGGCTGAGCCGGGGGCTTCGAACTCGGTGTAGTCGTCACCGCCCTACGACGTTTGAACAATTTCATTAATACACATACAAATTAATCAAATTTAGCACATACAATATCATTAAAAAATTGAACTAATTAATTAAAATCATAGTTCGACCTAGGGTTTGCGATTTCGGAGTATCCGGGACTCCGATCCACGATCCGATTGTCCGAACATATCAAACCTGGAAATTGCACAATAGGCAAAATCCGTTCGAGACTCAAACGGTAACCGAATTCCAATCCGAGCACACCTACGTGCTCGTGACAACGAGGGGATTGCACTAGGACCCAATGCCCAATGCTACAGTACCCCACGCGGCACCACACGCGCCGGCAGCGTATGGGTGCCCAAAGCGATAACAATCGCCGGAAAATCCTAAAAATTAAGGGCCATGGTTCCTACCATAGGTTCAAAACATCAATTGGAGGCACTTTTGTTCTCGGACCTACCCCGAAAAGCGGCCGGAAGTGGCCAGAATTTCAATTTAAAAACTGGCCGAAACCTAGGGTTTCAAATTCACTACCCTATGGAAACAATCAATCAAATCCTACCCAACCATAAGCTAAAGCATCAAAAATAGTCCAGAAAGCATACCTCAATTGCCGGATTTGGTGCTCGGAGGAGAGAGAACAACGACGGCGAAGATTTGGCTTAAACGGAGGAAATCACGGTGGCAGGATGGACGGCGATGGCGGGGAAGCTCCGGGGTTCGACGGTTGTGGCGGCCGAGTCTGAATTGGGGCGGAGTAGGGGCTGAGGTCATGGCGGAGAGAGAGAGAGAGGTTTTAGGGCGGATTTGAAAAACTGGGGAAGAAGGAGAAGATCACGAGTTTCAGAAAACTTATTCAACTTTGCGTCGCGAGTAATGTCGCCATCTCCGCCAAAATTTGGGATTAGTGTTTAGGGTTTGCACATTTTACGCGATAGAAGAGTTTCCTACGTCGCGCAAGGTTCTGAAATTATCCACTTTGCGCGATGGAAAGTACTTGTTTCGTCGCGGAAGTTTGTCCATCCGCCCAAATTTTGGGATTCGATTTTGCGCGGGGAGATAAATGAAATGATATTGCGCGACGAAAGAGACATTCGTCGCGCAAGCTCTGATTTGCTAAAAAATTACTAAGTGTTGGGACGAAGAGGGGCTGAAATTTTGGGATTCGATTTTGCGCGGGGAGATAAATGAAATGATATTGCGCGACGAAAGAGACATTCGTCGCGCAAGCTCTGATTTGCTAAAAAATTACTAAGTGTTGGGGCGGAGAGGGGCTGAAATTCTTACTCAGATTGCGCGACGAAATTGACTCTGACTCGTCGTGCAAGACTCTGTCAGTAACCTTTGCGCGACGAATACTTGGTCCTTTCGTCGCGCAAGCTCTGATTTGCCAAATTTTTTTTACTAGGTTCGTCGCACAAGCCTCTTTGTGTAACCTTTGCGCGACGAATAATTGGTCCTTTCGTCGCGCAACTCTCTGATTTGCCACCACATTTTACTAAGTGTTTTTGTGTGTGCCTTTGTTCTGAGGGAGAATGCGCGATGAAAGGAAACGTGTTTCGTCGCGCAAGACTTTTCTGTGCACTTTGCACAACAAATATATAGTAGTTTCGTCGTGCAAACCCATACCCTTATACCCCTAAACCCTAAAACCTATACCCTAACTCCTAAACTAGTTTCAATGATCCAATCGGCAATCTTGTTTTTATAGTTCGAGATCGTATACATCGAAAATCGGAATAAATGAACATTCAGAGATTGAGTAACGGGACAAAACTTTTCGACGGTTCTAAACAAAAAGTCACGATTCAACGGTGATTGTAACCCCAATTTTGAAAAATTTTTATAGATGTATTTCTTGACCCTATATGAATACAGAGATTGAATTCGATCTTCAATTTCAGATATTTACAGTACGGGACATCACATAATTTTATGTTATATTGAAGGAAAGTATAAATAAATTCTTCATTTTTGGTTAATATTGTTTATACCAAAATGAACAGCCAATGAATGTCGGACACGTGGACTAAACCAGGGCCATGGATGCCTTCGGAACCCACCTTCGATACCAACCCTACCGATCGCAACATTAGGGCAACCTCACCCCCTTCGACACGCGGCAGGCCCACAATTGATGTCCACAGTCCTACATCGAAACTCTAAACAAATTGCACACCTCCCAAGGCCTATAAAAGAGGACAACCACCCCAGCTTGGAGGTAATCAATCAGAACTTACGGCATACTGCCTATTGATCTGTAGTTCAACTTTACTAAATCCGTGCTTACTTAAGCATCGGAGAGCCTTCGGCCGGTACCACACCGGTGCCCTAGACTTACCGAGCGTTTACTATCTTACAGGTGTAACGCACTACCGAGGCCATAGCATACCGAAGGTAGAACAAATCACTAAGTTGCGCGGGAAAGTGCCGAACCATTTTTCTGCGTCAACAATTTGGCGCCGTCTGTGGGAATCGATAACAATCAACCTACAATTCCTAAAAAACGTAATGGGAACCACTTCAGGAGCACAGTTCCTATCGGAGGATGGATTACCGTACGGTATGCCAAGTGGAGCAAGCCCCGCGCTGCACCCTAGCACCCCCTTCGGTAATCCTCCGGTGCTTCATACCACGGTCGAAGCAGAGCTTCTAGTTCAAATGACCTCCCTTCGGAGGGAAATGACCAAGCTCCAAGAACATAACAATCTCCTATCGTCCAAAGTAGACGAAACACAACGACTGCTTAACCAGCAGGAAACACAGAGTATTCAGGCTACCGAGTCTTCCCAAAGTCTGCAGACCCTCGGTCGGCAGAGGAAGGGAAAGAGGGGGGCAAAGGCAACGCCTGCGCCTTCCAAACAGTTGGTGGTCCCAGCTCCATAGGACCAGCCTCATGTACCGAAGAAGGTGTACGTCGTCATCGGATCAACGACAAGAAGGATGCCGAACGGCATAGGTCCCCAACCAGGGTTAACGCCAGCCTGCGGGACTCCCGGATGAAGGTCTTGGGAGATAAATCGCCCCTCCGGAAGGTCCAGGGTTTGGATTCAGTGCTGGAATCGGACGATGAGTACGTCCCCACCAAGGGCACCGAATCAAACTACCGTTCGGAAACTCCCCCGGAGTATTCGAAGGCAAGACCACCAAGTCCGAGGAGAACTTCTGAAGACTTCAGTTCCGAGGATGTCCCAAGCCGAGACCCCGCTATCCGCCTGCTCTTCCAAAGAATCCAGAAGATGAAGGATGACTGAACCCGGTCCCAGGTCCTTGACTGGGGAAAACTTCGGCCAGGACCATTTACCGAGCGCATCAAGAAGTCCAGACCGGACAGGGAGGTGCAGCCGTTGTGTATACCATTTTATACCGGCGTGGAGGATCCTTTGACGCACCTTCACTCCTTCCAATCGACAGTTGGATGCAAGGGCCTCAGCGACGAGGGGCAATGTCTGCTGTTCCCATCATCCCTTACCGAAGCCGCCCTGAAGGTTCTACCGTCTTGAGCCAGAGACGGTAGACTCCTTTGACGAACTGAAGCAGATTTTCCTCAATCACTTCATGATCCAGATAGACCGCTTGTACTCTGCCGATGATCTGTACACGATTCGGCAGAGAGAGGACGAACCCCTACGGGAGTACGCTGCGCGCTTCAGTCACGAATACTCGAGGTGTTCAGAAACGGATGACAGGGCAACCTTCGGCGCCTTCAAGAGTGGCCTTCGGTCAACTGGCGCACAGCAGCAACTGGCGCACATACGACGAGTTGATGAAGCAGGCGGCAGTTCATGCGAAAGCCGAATATTTCAACTCCAAACCCGGGCCTTCGACTCGGGAGGAGGAGTCAGGGACCAAGAGTTATCCGGGGCAAACTGATGATTCTATGGCAGGACACAAACGGAAGGACGATCGTGATAGTCGTCAGGGAAACTCGAAAAAGGGGCGTGGGAAATACAGTCGTAACGACCACTGTGCGCCGCTACCGAATCACGATCGTGCCCAGGAAGTCTTCACCCTGTTGAACACAACGTACGAGACCGTTCTGATGAACGAGCATGACCAAATACCGAAGCCGACGAACCGAAAACCCAATCGGCAGGATAATCGGGACACTGGTAAATTCTGCCGATACCACCAGCAGAACAACCACAACACCGAAGACTGCATCAGTCTGAGGAAGATCGTTGAGCATCTGATTCGGGAAGGAAAGCTGGATCATTACATCGCCAGGCCACCACAGGCACCGGCACCGAACGCGAATCGGCAGATCAACATGATCAGCACCATCAGGGGTGGCCCCACTCTGGCGAGACCCTCTAACCGTTCGATGAAACAGTATGTGCATGCCGCCCACTACCCTCAGGTCTTCGGCATAGAAGACGATCGGTGCCGAAAGATGCAGTATCAGTCTGCCCATCACCTTCGGCGTCGTCCCTAGGAAAACAATGACGTACGACCAATTCCTCATTGTCGATTGCCCAACGGCATACAACGTCATCGTAGGGCGAACGGCACTCACCAGGGTCAAAGCCCACTTATCCCCCCACATGTTGCTGATGAAGTTCCCAACACGCAACGGTACCAGCGTCATCCGGGGCGACCAGCTCAGCGCACGGACGTGCTATGCCACGGCTCTTAAGTCGGTAGCTAGCAAACCGCCAATGGAAGCCATGACCGTGTAGGGACTACCGAATGGTAGCGGGCCCATTGATGACCCCAAGGAGGAAACCCCAACGCCGATGGCGTAGCCTGCCGAAGAGCTCGAAACCGTGGTCCTAAACGAAGATTTCCCCGATCGGTGGGTGAAGATCGGCACCAACCTAGATCCCGACCTCCGAAGACAGTTCATCGACTTCTTACGGCAACAGGCGGAGGTCTTCGCCTGGTCTTATGACGACATGCCTGGCATATCACCTGACGTCATCAGCCACATGCTCAGCATCTCCACTGCCCACAAACCGGTCAGGCAGAAGCGCCGCTCGTACGATGCCGAACGGTACGAGGCGATGCGTGCCGAGGTTGACAAGCTCAAAGCCATCGGCTTTATCAGGGAAGCTACGTACCCTGTCTGGCTTGCCAACTCAGTCATTGTTCGGAAGGCCAGAGGAGGATGGCGGATGTGTCAGGACTATACCGACCTGAATAAGGCTTGTTCGAAGGACAGTTTCCCATTGCCGAGAATCGACCAGCTCGTCGATGCTACTGTTGGACACGAGCTGCTCAGCTTCATGGATGCGTATTCAGGATACAACCAGATCTTTATGGACCCTGCCGATGGAGAGCATACGACATTCATCACCGACCGCGGTTTGTACTGTTACAATGTCATGCCTTTCGGCCTGAAGAATGCGGGGGCAACTTATCAACGGCTCGTCAACCGGATTTTTGCCAAGCACATCGGCGGCATCATGGAGGTGTATGTCGACAACATGTTGGTGAAAAGCCGAACGGCAAGGGGTATCTGGAAAACCTGGCCCTCATGTTCGGTATACTAAAGGACTACCGAATGAGGCTGAACCCAGCAAAGTGCGCCTTCAGTGTATCTTCCGGTAAATTTCTCGGATTCATGATCAGCCAAAGGGGTATCGAGGCTAATCCCGAGAAAATGAAAGCCATAATTGACATGGAGACGCCGAAGACGCCGAAGACGCTTCAGCTCCAAGGCTACCGACAAGTGTGTGCAGTTCTTCAAAGCTTTGAAAGGGGGCAAACATCATATCGCATGGACTCCCGAATGCAACCAGGCATTTCAAAACTTGAAGAACTACATGAGCCAGGCACCGTTATTATCAAAACCACTCCCAGGAGAAGTCCTCCTCCTATACCTCTCGGTATCCAATACTGCCGTCAGCTCAGTATTGATACGGAAGCTAGAGAAGGCAGAGCGACCGATTTTCTATGTCAGCAAGGCTCTCCAGAGCGCGGAGCTTCGGTACCCACCCTTAGAGCAGCTAGCACTGGCCCTGGTCGTCTCGGCGCGAAGGCTTCGCCCATACTTCCAGGCGCACGAGATTACTGTCCTGACAAACCAGCCCCTTCGGCAAGTACTCCAAAAGCCAGAAACGTCGGGCCGATTGGTCAAATGGGCAATCGAGTTGGGAGAATTTGACATACAGTTCAAGCCAAGGCCTATAGAAAAAGGTCAGGCCGTCGCCAACTTCATCTCCGAGCTCACACCTGCACTATCGGAATCACCCTTTCCGAGCGCTATCCTTACTGCACCAGAGAGAATGGATGCCGAGCGCTTCGACACTTCCGTTCCTCTCTGGATTCTGCATGTGGACGGCTCGGCAAACCAGCAAGGCTGTGGTGCCGGCTTGGTGTTAACCACTCCGGACGGTAGCAAAGTCGAGTATGCCCTCCGATTCAACTTCCGGACCTCCAATAACGAGGCAGAGTATGAGACTCTCTTGGCCGGCCTTTGGCTAGCCAAGAGCATGAGCGCGAGGCAGATCAGCATTCAAGGATGCCTCTATGTGAATCAGATAACGGTAGACTTTGCAGCCAAGGATGCCTCTATGTCAGCTTACCTATCGGCAGCTCACCAACTACTGGAAAAATTTCAGGCGTACGAGGTACGGCAGATCCCGAGGTCAGAAAACAGCCACGCCGATGCGCTCTCCCGTTTAGCTTCGGCAATAAATGACAAGATCGGAAGGAAGGTACCGGTGGAGATATTATCCCAACCAAGCACGACAGCTAGTGAGGTGTGTACCGTTCGGTACGAGGACACATGGATGTCTCCGATCTATGCCTTCCTGACAACCGGAACCCTTCCTAAGCTCGAAAACTCCGTTACCGATCTGCAAGATACAAAGTCATCAACGATGTTCTGTACAAGCGAGGCTACACCACATCGTATCTAAAGTGCCTAACCAAGGAGCAGGGGGACTACATCCTTCGGGAGGTCCACAGCGGAGTCTGCGGTGACCATTCAGGATCCCGATCGCTCGCACACAAAGTCTTCCAACAAGGATATTTCTGGCCGACTCTGCACCAAGACGCGAGCATGTTAGTCAAGAAGTGTGAGCCCGTGGCCATTCGCCCAATGGGGGTTAGATCTAATTGGTCCGATGCTAGAGGGCAATGGTCAGGTCAAATATGCTGTGGTTGCCGTGGACTACTTCACCAAATGGGTAGAAGCCAGAGCCTTAGCGACAATAACGGCAGCCAGAATCGAAGATTTCGTCAGGACGAACATTTGTTGCCGATTCGGCATCCCCTACGCCATCGTCACGGATAACGGCAGGCAGTTTGATTCGGAAGTCTTCAGAGAGTTCTGCACCCGACTCAAGATCAACCTGTTCTTTGCTTCGCCAGCTCACCCCCAATCGAACGGACAGGTCGAAGCAATGAATAAAATTGTCAAGAAGCTATTGAAACGGCAGTTTGACAAAGCCAAAGGAACCTGGCCGGAAAAACTTCCAGAGGCGTTATGGGCCATCCGGACATCCTACCGAACGGCAACTGTGGAAACACCGTTCTCCATGGCTTTCGGCTCGGAAGCGGTAGTCCCAGTAAAAATCGGAGAGCCTTCCTACCGAACGGAAGCTTTCACACCGAACGCGAATGAGGAGGCGCTCGCCTTGAGCCTCGACCTGCTCGAAGAATGCCGAGCACAAGCCAACCTTCGGAATGAAGCTTACAAGCAACGCGTCTCTCGGTACTATGACTCCAGGGTCAGATCCCGCTCTTTCTGAATCGGAGACTAGGTGATGCGAAAAGTCTTGCTGGCAACCAAGAATCCTACGAAAGGAACCCTTGGACCTTCCTGGGAAGGACCATACGAAATCATCGGTATCCAGCGATCGAGGACTTATCGACTCAGAGACTCCAACGGAAAGACCCTCGGTCATCCTTGGAATGTAGAGCATTTGAAATATTATTTTAAATGAAGTCACCTAACCTACGGCAGGGTTACAGTAGAGTCCCAAAAGCCCTCAGCTTCTCTATATTCACAGCCTTCGGCAGTATAGTGTAACACCCCGACTCCAAATTTATCCCCTATTTTAATTAATTTGAGTGAAATTAAGAATTTACCCGTGGGATAGGGGTATTTTAGTCAATTTCTTACTCGGAAGGAATTTGGGAATTCCGGAGGTACCGTTGCATAGAGCACGGCGAGATGAGTTCGTAGACACGTAGTGGGCTCGAATCGGAGTTGTAACGAGAGAGATACGATCTAAATACCTTCAGTTGCAAAACCGTAAATATTTTGAAATGGAATTTTGGTTAAAAGACGGAATTGCCCCCGTCTATCTCACACTCTCTCTCTCCCGCGCGTCCCTCTCTCTCTCCTCTGGTTCGCGACCGCCACCACAGCCGGCCACGTTTTGGCCGGCCGTTCATTCATCCGGCCACCACTTGGGTCGGGACCGGTCCCAAAATGACCGGCCTGACTCCGCTGTTCTACCCCACCCATTCTCCGATGTCTGCCGGCAGCGATACCGCCGGAAATTGCAGAAAAACGGCCTGTTTTTACCCAGATTTTCCGGAGCTCGTTCCGGCGATTCCGGCCACCAAATCTTGCGATCAAGGTATGCTTTCTCACCTATTTTCCGTGATCTAGCTGATGGTTGGGTAGGATTGCATCGATTTTGAGCGTAGGAGGTCTGATCTTCGAATTTGAGCGTAGGAGGTCTGATCTTCGGATTTCGAGGGGAGATTCCGGCCACTTCCGGTCAGTTTTTGGGGTACGTCCAAGAACAAAAGTGACTTCAAATTAGGTGTGTTTTTCCGGCGATGGGTTATCGCTTTGGACACCCACGCGCTGCCGGCGCGTGTGGCGGCGCGTGTGGCGGCGCGTGGGCACTGTAGCTGAGGGGCATTTTTGTCCCAATGTGATCCTCAGGTTGTCATGAGCGCGTAGGTGTGCTCGGATCTTATTTTGGATACTGATAGAGTCCCGAACGGATATCGCATATCGCGTATTTTCCGGGTTCGCTGGGTTTGGACCGTTGGATGGTCCTGAGATTATAATATGTTGATCTAGGTATTACCAGGATTGTATAGGATTCGACGGATTGTATAACGGAGTCCCGGATACTCCGGAAATGCCAACCCTAGTGTTAAGTTTATATAAGTTGTCCGGTCGTGCGATCATGAGCGATCCGACCGTCCGATCTGGACCAAACTTGCAGGACGTGCATCCTAGAGCTTGTAGAACCTATAGGAACTTTTGGATCGGAGTTTGGAGGTTGTGGGCCCTGCAGGCCCGTTTGACCCTAGGTTGACCGTGAGACTCCCGAGATAGTCTTACCTTTCCTTGAGGGTTAGGATGACCTTAGTGACAGGCCTTGAGCGTTGTTGAGGTAAATGGATATTGTGGGTTTAGGATATAAATTGGTGAATTTAAATGTGGGAGTGTATGGAATGTTTTATTGGTTGATGTTATTGTATGATTAGAAATTACATGATATATTTAATTGATTGTGTGGATGTATAATGATATATAAGGAGATTGAATGTTAGTTTACAGTGCTATACGCACTACTCCACGTACCCCCTATATTGTGATTATGTTGAGACCTTTAAACCCAAGAGGGCTAGTGAGAATGTAGCCAGGCCCAAGTGACAGTAAGAGGGCTGGTGAGAATGTAACCAGGCCCAAGTGACAGTATGATGGCTGGTGAGAATGTAGCCAGGCCCAAGTGACAGTATGATGGCTGGTGAGAATGTAGCCAGGCCCAAGTGACGGTAAGATGGCTGGTGAGAATGTAGCCAGGCCCAAGTGACAGTAAGAGGGCTGGTGAGAATGTAGCCAGGCCCAAGTGACAGTAAGATGGCTGGTGAGAATGTAGCCAGGCCCAAGTGACAGTAAGATGGCTGGTGAGAATGTAGCCAGGCCCAAGTGACAGTATGATGGCTGGTGAGAATGTAGCCAGGCCCAAGTGACAGTAAGATGGCTGGTGAGAATGTAGCCAGGCCCAAGTGACAGTATGATGGCTGGTGAGAATGTAGCTAGGCCCAAGTGACAGTAAGATGGCTGGTGAGAATGTAGCCAGGCCCAAGTGACAGTATGATGGCTGGTGAGAATGTAGCCAGGCCCAAGTGACAGTAAGATGGCTGGTGAGAATGTAGCCAGGCCCAAGTGACAGTATGATGGCTGGTGAGAATGTAGCCAGGCCCAAGTGATAGTATGATGGCTGGTGAGAATGTAGCCAGGCCCAGTGTGAGGTCGCACGCGTCTTTGGATTAGCCGGCGTGTTGACAGACCCCATACGTGGCCGGGTGCGTCCCGACGTATGAGGGGAGATATGATTGTGTAAGGGCTGGTGAGAATGTAGCCAGGCCCAGTGGGAGGTCGCACGCGTCTTTGGATTAGCCGGCGTGTTGACAGACCCCATACGTGGCCGGGTGCGTCCCGACGTATGAGGGGAGATATGATTGTGTGAGGGCTGGTGAGAATGTAGCCAGGCCCAGTGGGAGGTCGCACGCGTCTTTGGATTAGCCGGCGTGTTGACAGACCCCATACGTGGCCGGGTGCGTCCCGACGTATGAGGGGAGATATGATTGTGTGAGGGCTGGTGAGAATGTAGCCAGGCCCAGTGTGAGGTCGCACGCGTCTTTGGATTAGCCGGCGTGTTGACAGACCCCATACGTGGCCGGGTGCGTCCCGACGTATGATGGGAGATATGATTGTGTAAGGGCTGGTGAGAATGTAGCCAGGCCCAGTGGGAGGTCGCACACGTCTTTGGATTAGCCGGCGTGTTGACAGACCCCATACGTGGCCGGGTGCGTCCCGACGTATGAGGGGAGATATGATTGTGTGAGGGCTGGTGAGAATGTAGCCAGGCCCAGTGTGAGGTCGCACGCGTCTTTGGATTAGCCGGCGTGTTGACAGACCCCATACGTGGCCGGGTGCGTCCCGACGTATGAGGGGCGATATGATTGTGTTTGGTGTGTTGTGATGGATAAATCCTAGAATGTATGAATTTGCATGGTTGTAATGGTTTATTTGATATTAGGAGCCAGGATTGATAGGAAAGAGCTACGTGTGGCTTGATCCCTTAGTAGGGTACGTAGGCAGCCTGGGATAGCGCCTAGGTGCAGCCACGACTTAGACACCACTTAGGTGGTTTTATCGAGTATGATGCGGACCTCGTGGTTGGTCCCGAAACTTGGTTGAATTGAGGCTTGTCCGGTGGACTGAATGAGTGAAGGTGTGCCTAGATGGATTTCGAATTGGATTTGTGCATGTGTGATGCATTAAGTTATTTTGAAAACAGTGTGAGTAGTTCTACTAGAATCATTTGAAGGCCGGAGGCCATTTATGTAAATTGCATGAGATTACATTGTGCGTGCTGCTGGTTGGGTTATAAGATGTGTTTTATGCAGGTGGAAATTTTGGGGAATGTTCAATTTACAGGGGAGACTCTGCCGAAATTTCGGCAGAAGGTCTCGAGCCCTTAATCCTCTTTGGTAAAAGAGGACATAGTTTTAAGGAGTGAACCCGGCATGGGTGTGATGCCGAGGTCTCCGCAGGATTCGTCTCGGGTTCTAGGAAATTCGGGGCGGGTCCTGTCATATAGCATTCCCTAGCCTACAACGGGTTTTTAATTGTAAAACGCACTCCAAATTGTATCTTTGCCTTCGGCAGTTTATCAATGAAAGGGCCTTTGGCCCATATATTCAAAACCTTTGTTGTACCCTTTAAGCTCTTTTCATTTTAAAAAGATACGGTAGAGACCATCGGTCGCAGTAAACTACGCATTTTGGCATCGCTATTGGCCTACCGATTGAATGACAACTTGAAAGGATCACCTTAGTTACCCATTAGACCAAAGGTTTCAGCTTTTATTAACCTTCGGTACTTAAAAGCCGTTACTTAGCCTTTGGCAAGTACGTCTGTTGTTCTCAAATCCCTACTAGTTGAAATTTTGCTTGAAAGGTAACTTTATTGGCCAACGACTAGTGACCTTTTTACATAGCCCTCGGCATATAAAAAGAAATTTTCCTAAGTGTCTTACCAATTCAGAAATAAGATGCAATCAAGTTTGAAATTAAAAACAACTTCGATTAAAAGATGCCCACGGCATCGAGATACAAAGAAAACATGCCCACGGCATCAGAGTTTCAATCAAAAGATGCTCACGACATCAAGGTTACATCAAAATTACATTAAAAAATGCCCTCGGCATTAAGTTACATAAGATAAAAGCAGGAAATGAGAAGAAGCTTTTGGAGAAGATTGACGCCTTGCCGTTCGAAATAGGACTATACCTTTGAGTATCATTGCAGAGCGTACAAAACTTCTTGTCGAGGATGGAGAGCTTTCAAGTAGCCTCCTCGGCACCAGTGGCGGTAGGCTCTCTCGGAGCATCCTCCCCTTCATACTCGTCTATCATTTCTTCCGTGACGCCTTCGGGAAGGGGAGGAGGATCCACAATGAAATTCAAATTTAGCTTCGTCCCAGGGTTGTACCGCTTGAAACGATAGATCAGATCCACCATCTCCGAGCCCACCTCCTTGTCGAGCAAGGTGGAGAAATCGGAAGAGTAGCGGTACTTCCGAACAGCCTCCTGGACAGCAGCCTCGATCTCCGAAGCCTTGGCCTGCTCCGACTCCTCCAAAGCCACCTCGACGACTTCCTTCGCCTCCAGAGCCTCTCTTGCCGATAGCCATGCCGACTCCAGGGCTGCAGACAGATCGGCGAACTTAGACTCATAAACCCTGACCTGCCGTTCAGCAGCCTGCAAATCCTTCGCCAGGTTCGCGTGGTCCTGGATAGCCTTGCCAGCCTCGGCAACCTTCGCCCTACCGTCCTCGTAGGCCTTCTTCGCTTTCTCGGCAGCATTGATGGCCCACTTAACGCAAAGCCACATGTCCATCGAAGCCTGGGGAACAAAGAGAATGTCAGATGGATTATAAAGAGAGCAATCAGAAAGCGCGACCCGCCTCCTCCCAAAGGAGCTTCTTCGGCAGCTCTTCGATCTCGTTCAGCTCCATTTGCAAACCAAGGATCATGTGGGTCGCAAATTGAACCGTCTTCGACGGACAGGCCAAGGTGACGGGGTTGGCAGGCTCCTCGTCATTCTCAGCGGCAAAGATGGCCCGAGAAGGCTCGGTCTGCCGCCCGCGCTTTGGGGCAGGCTCGGCATCCAGGTCGACTGTTACCGAACGCTTGCCGGCTGCTCGGGAGGAAGTCCCCTCGGCAGGAACGCTTCGACCTGGAGAGGGACCGACCGCTGCCGCCCCAGCCTGGGCCGAGTCAGCGTTGAGCTGGCGGAGACGGTCGGCCAGGGTTTGGTCCTCGGGGTCAGCTTCTGCCGAGGGCGCTGGCGCCGAGCCCTGCTGGTTTTTCTTCTTCTTCCCCTGGAAGCCCTTCATGAGATGGTGCTTGGAGGACTCGTTCATCTTCTTGGCCTCGGCAGCTCTCCTCTCTTCCATCACTGCACAATGAGGGATCGGTAAGACATACTACGGCCAAAAACAACTTGTAAATGGCAAAGCACACTTACTCTTGGCAGGATCGACCAGCTAGGCCTGGATCAGGTTGGTGGTGAAGAGGAATTGCGGATACACCCTCTCCACTTGCTGGATCTCCGCTTGCGTTGCGATCGGCTGCTTTAATTTACCTACAAGGGAAACAACAGGAAAATATCACTAACAGTAATCACGGACCCCAACGAAGGTGACCGAATGGCACGTTACCCTACCGGCTATTTGGAATATTGTGGGAATACGGAATCGGACAGGCTGTCCTGAAGGCGACTCCCAGTCACCCGAGAGGAGCACCCCCCGATTCCTCCATGACTTCTGTGAAGTCGGTACCCAGCTGACAAAGTGGCCACGATCGGCAGCCCTGAGACAGTTCGCCTGCACCCATCTGCCGTGATCGACACACTTGGACTTGGTGATGCTGTACAGGTGCGAGAATTGCTCGTAGGATGGACACCCTTCACCGGCCATGCCGAAGGCCGTTATCACTCCCATGAGGGCCACCCAGAAGTTCGGGTTAAATTGCCCCGGAGCAAAACCGATCTGGGCCAAAATCCTCTGTACCGCCGGCTGCAACGGCAACCGAACGCCTTGCACAAGGACGTCGGTAAAGAAAACCACCTCGCCGTCCTTCGGCTTGCTGAGGGATTCGGTAGGGCCCGGTATCCTCATTCGTACCGAATCGGGGATGCGGTATTCCGCATGATATTTGGCAATCTCCCGCTCGGTAATCTTGTTTGGCCCGAGATAGTCGACGCCGAACAAATTTTCCTTCGGCACCCCCATAGGTACCCTAGGGTTGCTGGGGTACACTATCGATACCCTCGGCCGAGATGAGGGTTCGGCGGCTGACTCTCCACAGCCGGAAGTGGAGGTCTCTGACTGGTGACTACCGCTCGCCTCCCCAGGCATTCCGAGGCCCACGTGGCGGCCGTCACTATAGACAATGGACAGCGGCACAGGAGCGGTCATTAGCCCCTTCCCGAGTATCTCAACATCGGTATCACTCCCACCCTCGGCATCAGGCCCCGCCGCTTCGCCGTCGAAGTCAAAGAGACCTTCCGATGACTCCTCATCGAACACATTGGGCTCACGCTCGGAGAATGACTCGCTATCAGACATCTACAAAAACAAGAAAAAAAAAGGAAACTAAGGCTCATGCCGGATACTATCCTACCGATCCCTACATCACTACCTATGGCGACTAGACTACCGAATGGAACCCTATGGTCAGTCTAGTTCAAACCAAGGAAGGACGTAACTCTTAAGGCATGCAAGAGGGTAAAGAGCAAAGTGCCGAACAGTACCTTAGTTTGCACTCTGAAGTGTAGACGCGAACTGCGCTTCAGATCACCCTTCCTACCGTTTGCAATGCCGAAAATCGCCCTTCCTACCGTTTGCAACGCCGGAAATCGCCTGGTTACCGTTAGCACTTGTCGGAAATCACCTTGAATACCGGAAACTCTCGTCGAAAATCGCCTCAAACAAAGCTCTCGCTTCTCACTAAATGCAAAGTTATTTCACCTCCGGGGTCATCTCTATTTATAGGGAAGGGGTTGAAAACGATACTCCTCGAAAAACCAAACGTCGCATTAATGCGCCGCGCGCCATCATTACTCTCGCCACGTGTCGCTCATCCTATGGGGGACTGACGGCATGCGAGGCGCGGAAGTCGAAGCGCTCAGATGTCCCTTCACCCATCCGCTCGACGCGACCTTCTGACTTCGCCAACGTCAGCCTCTGAACGAATAATGACGGAAGGCCCAAAATTGAGCCCCTCTCCCCAACTAGACTACCGAACGGTAGGACAACATTTCCTCCCGAAGACGACTTCAAATCCCCTTCCGAGAACTCTCGCAAGAGGACTTGGGGGACTCCTGTTTATACCAAAATGAACAGCTAATGAATGTCGGACACGTGGACTAAACCAGGGCCATGGGTGCCTTTGGAACCCACCTTCGATACCAACCCTACCGATCGCAACATTAGGGCAACCTCACCCCCTTCGACACGCGGCAGGCCCACAATTGATGTCCACAGTCCCACATCGAAACTCTAAACAAATTGCACACCTCCCAAGGCCTATAAAAGAGGACAACCACCCCAGCTTGGAGGTAATCAATCAGAACTTACGGCATACGCCTATTGATCTGTAGTTCAACTTTACTAAATCCGTACTTACTTAAGCATCGGAGAGCCTTCGGCCGGTACCACACCGGTGCCCTAGGACTTACCGAGCGTTTACTATCTTACAGGTGTAACGCACTACCGAGGCCATAGCATACCGAAGGTAGAACAAATCACTAAGTTGCGCGGGAAAGTGCCGAACCATTTTTCTACGTCAACAAATATTGTGTTTTGATGGCATACGCATTCTACCCAACTAGTTTCAGTAATCCAGCCGTCAAACTTGTTTGTTTATACTTCGAGATCGTATACGTCGAAAATTGGAAAAAAAAACATTTAGAGATCAAGTAACGGGATAAAACTTTTCGACGGTTATAAACGAAAAGTCATGATTTAACGGTTATTTTGACTCCGATTTTGATGATTTTTTACAGCTACACTCTTCGACCCTATATGAATACAATGAACTACTTCGATCGTCAATTTCAATTATATACGTGTGTATATATCAAATATATATATATGTTTGCGCGACGAGAGATCTTGTTTCGTCGCGCAAAATGTAATTACGCGACAGAAACATTTGTCGCGCAAAATTTGAAGTGTGCACGACGCGTATCTTCTCCGTTGTGCAAAATCCGCGCAACGATGGTTTCTTCGTTGCACAAGGTTATTTTCATTTACATATAATTAAACTGAATTATTGATCATTACATATAATTAATTGTGTGAAAGTGTGATTTATTATATTCTCTTTTGATTTGAGAATTGAAGGATTGTTGATATTGTGAGTTCAAATCAAAGAAAGTTTTATTATTGCTCCTTTACTTTCTTCCGTGAAATTAGTTAACTGGGTCTTGCATATTTCTATATCTCCCCAATTCTCTTTCTTGTTTATGATTTTCTTTTTTTAAAAGTGTTTTGTCAAAATAAATTTAAACTTTATTATTAAAATGATTTGGATATATTGATTTACCAATGGTTTATAACTACATTTATTTGAATAATGTTTCATTTCTCCACATATATAATGTTTGGATATAACAACTACGTATATTCAAACATTTGCATTACACAAAATATATCCACTAACATAATAAAATTACAGCAAAATTCATCATTCATCATCTGAACTATAATAACTTTCGTTATTGTCGCTATCATCACTTTCGCTGTCATCACTTGGTATCGATCTTTGTAAAGCAATTGCACGATAGTTGTGAGTTTGCCATAGAAATGAATGTCCGTACTTTCGCCTCCACCTGGGACATGGACACCGCTGTTTTGTGTACACAACTTGTCATCTCGTGCACCCCCCAAAAATTTGACGCCGTTAACATTACAACCCGAGAACAATTCAGCGTGAATCGGGCTAAACGCCAAGTTATATAACTCATCACTGTAAGTTGGGGAATTCGATGATTTCAACTTATTCACCTAATATTATACAAAACCATTCACATGTTAGTCTGACAAAATTAAATACTACAATTTATATTTCTCAAATAACAAATACTCATAACTTACAGAATCCAAAAATCATTGTGGAAACCATTCACGGTGTTTCTGGGCAACCAAATGTGATGGATGTTCTCACTTCATCATCTCTTCATGCTCATATAAGTATGCCATGATCTCTTCACAAGTGTTCAGTACGAACCAATGCGCTAACTCCATGTCATTTCTAGAAAACGACTCTCCTCGTCCAGGATCTACAAAGGGTCGTGCGTTTTGGGCAAAAACAGAAAGTTTTTCATTTCTCATACCTCCGTTATGATTGCACTGAGGACAATTGAAAACCGTCTCCACATCTTTTAAATACATTCCACATAAAGTAAGTGACTCATATTGAACCCAAGCCTCTACAATTGATCCTTCGGGTTGCGTACACTTTTTTTCAGCTCTCCGAGAAGCCTGCCAAAATAAAACAATATGATACAAATTAGCAAGCATGTGATAATGATGCATACACAAACGATAAGGATTATATACCTTTCTATTGAATACATCCAGTGATAGTTGACAGGACCAGCAAGCAATGTCTCTTCTGGCAAGTGAACCATCACGTGCATCATACTTGTGAAGAAAGCTGGAGGAAATATCATCTCAAACTTGCATAGGACTTGGAAAATGTCATGGCGCAACTGAAACATGTCCGTCTTTCACAATGTTTTTGCCGTCAGTTGGGAAAAAAATCTGGACAACAAAATGATTGGCTTCACTACATCTTTCGGCAATAGATGTCGAATGCCCACAGGAAGTAGGCGTTGCATAAACACATGGCAGTCATGGCTCTTAAGTCCAGTAAATTTACCCCCGTCAACATTAACGCAACGTAAGATATTAGAAGCATACCCATCGGGAAACTTTACATACGATACAAACTTTAGAAACTCTTTCTTGTCATTCGGTTTCATAGAAAAGAATGCAAGATCCCTTCTAGCTTTATCACTGTCCCTATTCATCCATAAACCCCTTCGTATGCCCATTCTTTCCAAATCAAGACGAGCTTTGATCGTGTCCTTTGTCTTGCCCTCGATATCTAAAATCGTGCCCACCAATGTGTCGAATACATTTTTCTCAACATGCATCACATTTAGATTTTGCCTCAATTTGAGTTTCGACCAATATGGGAGCTCAAAAAACATAGGCTTGTGTGTCCAGTTCATATGTGTAGAAGGTCTGATCCGACTAACTGTTTTCCCGAACGGAGGAAAATCCAACCGGTTAAGTTGGTCCAATATCTCATCACCGGACCATTCTCTAGGTCTGAGGCGATACTCTGTGTTCTCGTCGAACTCTTTATCTTTTTCCCTCCACTCGTGGTCCCATGGCAACCATCTCCGATGACCAAGGTAACAAACTTTTCCAGCGTGCCAACCAGAAGTTACATCTTCTTTGCATACAGGACATGCCATATACCCTTTGTGCTCCACCCAGAAACCATTGCATATGTTGGGAAATCATTCACAGTCCACATAACTGCTGCCCGCAAAGTGAACATCTTCCTAGTTGATTTATCGTACATGCGAACATCGTTTGTCCATAAATCCTTCAGCTCATCAACCAGCGGCCTTAAGTAAACATCGATTGACCTGCCAGGATCCTCAGTTATCAAAACAGTCATCATCATGTATTCTTTTTTCATGCATTTCCAAGGCGGCAAATTATATGGGAATATGAAAATCGGCCAAGTGCTGTGGTGTTGGTTTAGAACCCCATACAGATTGAATCCGTCAGTGGCAAGTCCCAATCTAAAATTTCGGGGATTAGCAGCAAACTCGGGGAACGTTCGATCGAACTCTTTCCATGCCTCCCCATTTGCAGGATGCCGCATCACATCATCGTCTACCCATTTTTCCTTATGCCATCTCATCTCTGTGGCAGTATGCATCGACATATACAATCGCTGCAACCTAGGTTTCAGGGGGTAGATAACGCATGACTTTTTGTGGGATCTTAGTCGTCCTATTCTGAGATGTCATCTTGAACCTCGACTCATTACATATAGGACATGTATCCAACGATGCTCTTTGTAGAATAACATGCAATTGTTTTTACAAGCATGAATTTTTCATAACCCAATCCCAGACCATTCAACACCTTCTGCGCGTGTTTATGGTCTTTCGGCAAACAATTGTCCGTCGGAAGCATTCTCTTGAAAACCCCCAAAAAGTAATCGAAATACAGGTTCGACATACGATACTTTATTTTTCTGTGCATTAGCTCCACAATGGCCGTGAGAACGGAAAAGCTCTCGCACCCCGGGTATAACTCTTGGTTGGCATTTTTTAACAATTTTTCATATTGTTCAAACTCCGCACTGTCTATTGGTGTAGGCACGTCATCTTCCTCTTCTTGATTGATGTTGGTCGATGCAAATGGAAAAAAATCATGTATAATATCCATGACTTGATTATTAACATCCACAATAGGTTCAACATTGTCCACTCTTGTGGCATTTGAAGACGAAGCATGCTCTAATTGTTCCCCGTGAAGGTTCCAAATGCTATATGTCTCAATCATTCCATTCCTTACTAAATGAAATCCAATATTTTCAATTGTCTCCCACAACGTGTTGTTACATCTCCTTCGAGGACAACGGATTCTAGTTGCACCCGGGTTGTGTCTACGTGCAAACTCAATAAAATCCTCGATTCCATCCAAGTATTCGTCTGCGCATCTGTTCGGGTTCTGTATCCACCTTCTGTCCATAATTCTTGAAACCAGAATCACAACACAACAATCACAACAACTTCATACGAAGTTATAATGTCACCTTATGCCTCCGGTAAGGGCCCTATCCCATTCGGGAATGCATAGTTCAGCCACGTAACCTGCGGCTACATGAGATTAGATTTCGACGTGGATGAATTTCGCCAGCATCTCAATACAGTTCTTGAGGTGGCCATAGGTATAAATACCTACGTACCACCCGAAGAACATACCGAGATGACACCGAAATCTCCACAATCGAAACCTAATCCTATAGCCGTAGATTATGTGACAACACTATGCATTACCAAACTATCCAAATAATGGGACAATTCAAGAATTAATTGGACCGCGGTAATGCTTTACGCATCCATGCACGAAATCCAACTAATCTCGAACGGGAAACTAAGTGTTACTAAAAAATAATAATAAAAGTACGAAGTTAATTTCAATTAACTTCGTACATCACACCACATTGTGCTATGACACACATAATTTAACAACATAATAATAATATAATTTCACAACAAAAAATATAACTATAACAAACTAAGTTCAACATAATGTAAATAATGTAATATAAAATGTATAACATACCTTCTTAATCGTTCTCCACAACAGCAAATTACAAATGTCTATAATGAGAACAAAATTAATACCGTTAGTACGAATTTACATTAATACTTTTAAACAAACGACAAATAATGCTTACCCAATGAGTGTATTGAATTCCCAGCAAAGACAGCAGCGCAGCACAGCACAGACAGATTTTTCAAAATTTTCTTTGCATTATGACTCTACAATGGCGAAATGCAGATATGTAGAAGAAGAAGTTTGCGCGACGAAGTATCTATTTCGTTGCGCAAAATATCGTCGCGCAACAACCTTTTCATCGCATAAAATAACCATTTTTAGTCGCTCAAAGACCTGTCAACATCGGAATTTTGCGCGACGAAAGAGTACACTTCATCGCGCAAAACAACTTTTTCGTAGCATAAAATAACCATTTTTCGTCGCGCAAAGATCTGTCAACATTGGAATTTTGCACGACAAAAGAGTACACTTCGTCACACAAACATTAAATGGCGTCACGCAAACGCAAATTTTCGTCGCTTGAGAACTTGCCGACATCGCACTTTGCACGACGAACAAATTTCCGTCATGCAAGAGTTTCCCGCCAAAAAATCCGTATCGCAGTTGCACGACGAAAAATGTAACCGTCGGGCCATGGAATCTTTCGCGACGAAATATATCGTCGCGCAAATGTTTGGTGCCAAAAAAAATTTCCAGGGTTTTTCTTCCCCCCTTTGCACGACGATTCGTTATTTTGTCGCGCAAAATTTCCCAGGTTTTTCTTCCCCACTTTGCCCGACGATTCGTTATTTTTTCGCGCAAAGTATCTTTGTGCGACAAAATTTTGCGTTGCGCAAGAGTTTGTAGTTTTGCGCGACGAATCTCTTCTTCCATCGCAGCAGTGATGCTTGTGCGACGAATTTATCTTCGTCGCACAAAGTTTCGTCGCGCAAATAGTAAAATGTAGTAGTGCGAGCAAGGGTTGTCTTGCCAACCCCACCCATTCCAACAATGGTGAGGACAGACACATCATCCTTGCTTGCATCATCAGATAGCAACACTTTTGATAAATTTTCTTGGACTTCATCTCTACCATATACACAAGGTTCATGAACCAAGGAAGTTGTTGGACTTCTATGTGAAACCTTCCTCCTAGCAACTTCTCCCAGACCAAGAGCAATTTTTTGTTGTACAAAGTTTTCTAATATTTGCAACAACTCTTGTATCTTAACATTCATGCTTTGATAAAAATGACTACGACAAGAAGGGAGTAAGTTCCACACCTTATTGGTTAATTTGTGGGTTTGATCCTCACCTTCCAGCTTGCATCGCAAAGCTTCAGTGTCGATCTCATCCAGTAAGTCCTCTGCATCAAAGACAGCATGCTTGAGCTCGTTTAGCCACTCTCTCACAGCAGGGTTCACAGGTTGGTTCTCCTCTGCATTATTGAGCACCACGAACAAAGTCAACAGTGTCGTCTTCAGGTTCATGAGGAGTGGTTCGTCGAGTTTCTTGTGCCGAAATAAGTCGACGAACTCGCGTGAAGTAATTCTGTCACACAACACCTGGATGGAAGCAGAGATAAGAGCCTCTCCAATCAAAGTCATCTTTTCTCTTCTCTGCATACAGACTTCAAGGGATTTGGATGAAGTAAAATATTCCAAGATTTTGCAAGTAGCTAGGCTAGCACAACTTGTATGGAAGCTTTTTGAGATTGTAAATAACACGAACTTGTAATCTTGGCCTTGGAAAACTCTCTTTCAAGGACTGTTCCTTCTTTGTTTGTGGGGCAACTTCTGAAAACTTTTCTGTGGCTTCACATGGGGATGCAATATAATATTGTGTAGGTACAATACAACAAAATAGCTTTTCATGGGGATACAATATTGTGTAGGTACAATACAACAGAATAGCTTTTCATGGGGATGCAATATAATATTGTGTAGGTAAAACACAATTGTCTTCTGTATACGCAAAAAGTTGGGCCCAAAAGCTTTTGCATAATAACGCAATTTCAAAAGGATCTAATTGCCTCGAACAAAAAAAATTGACCAAAAAAAAAATTGCCTCGAACACAAGGATAAACGGTTAATTAATTCTTCCACTCAAGCCTGTCCTCCACTCAAGTATTAATTAATTTGTTTCTTTATGTAATCAGCTATAGCAGCAAAGCCTCCAGATCCAGATCGATGCCCTTGGTTTCGATTTCACTTGATTTAAGTAGCAGACTTCTTCTATCCTATTTGCAAATTTACGTATTTGGTTTGTACAAATTTTCCAATTTCAATAGTAAGCCTCCCTCTTGTACAAATTCATTCTTCGATTTTGGGTTAATTCTACTTTTTTTCCTTTGTCAGATCTAAAATCTTGACTAAATAACAAGATAGAAGACAATTGTGGGTTTGTGTATTCAACGTCTTTAGCTTTGAGAAAGTTACTTCCTTGCACTCTTCCAAATTATATCAATTCCTTATATTCGAAACTGAGTCCATTTTCTATTTAAACTCCGCACTTCTCTTTGTTTACCACATATTCGAAGTTCATCTTAACTTCTAAATCAAATTTTCACACTTTCTAAGAAAACCCCACTATATTCTCAAACTACCTCTAAATACACACCTAGCAAAAGAAAAAAAAATTTTTAAAAAAAAACAACTCATCATGAAAAGCTGAAGGTACTGAATCTACGAAGGTGAGATAAAAATTGACGGGAACTTTCAAAAGTCAAATTATTTTACGAAGGAAAAATATGGGAGAAAGATATTAAAGAAATTTCTTTGGAAATTACATGGAAGTGAAGGAGTGGTGAGAGTAACCAAAGGAGGGTCGTGGCAAATTAAAGTGAGAAGTAGCGGTGTTGGGGGAGTATCATTTAATTCGCGTGGGCTTGAATGCCGCGATTGACAGGAGTGGAACATTAGGGTCCTTCTTCCTTGCTCTCTCACGCGAGCTCGCCATAGAGGGTATTTCTTGGCATGGAGTAGGCTTTGTCCGACCTTCGATTGCTGTGAATTTTAGCTCCAAAATTTCTTGAAATTCCGGCCACTGTGAGTTTGACCGGCGACTTGGGTTACTTCTGCCCATCTTTCTGGAAATGGAACCAATTTGACGAAGATGAAGACGAAAGATACATAGGCCGCTGAGACAGAAGTAGGGCCGGAGCTTGACAGGACCGGGTCATTACAATAACAGTGTTATTCATAATGCAACTGGAAAGTCATCGTTTTCCATTGTTTATACTGATGTGCCTTATCATGTTGTAGACTTGGTGAAGTTGCCTAGAGGAAAAAAAATCAATTGTCGTTGCGGAGAATTTGGGTGAAGAACTGGTTGCTATTTGTGATGAAGTTAAACACAAACTTGAGCAAACTAATGCTAAGTACAAAGCTGGGGCAGATAAGCATAGGTGAGTTAAAGTGTTTCAAGAAGGCGACTATGTAATGGTTTTTTTGAGGAAGGAGAGGTTCCCTGTTGGCACATATAGCAAGTTGAAACCTAAGAAGTATGGTTCATTCAAGGTGTTGAAACAAATCAATGACGATGCCTATGTTATTGATTTACCAGATTACATGGGTATTTCCAATACTTTTAATGTTGCTGATTTGTATGAGTTTTGTGAAGATGAAACTCTTTATCCTGAGCATAACTCGGGGTCGAGTTCTTCAGAGGCAAATGGGACTGATGTAGAACAAATGGCTGAATGGATTGAAGAAGAATTGGACCGAAGAATGGAAAAAGGACATAACAGGAATTTACAGATTTGGAGTCCAATATCTGAACAGGGCGCATGATACCTTCTAGAAAAGGGAATGACGCCATGACTTCAACTCACCGCTTTGCGGTGATATAAGGTGGGGCTTCTGAGGTCGTTTGGACTTCCAAACATTATTTAAAAGTTGTAGTTAATTTTCGACTTTTCGTTTATTTATTGTTTATCTTTCAATAACTCCCAAGAGTAGTCCAATGGGTGAGATTGATGTATTTAGACAGCCGTGTATGGTTTGTCTCAACTCATCTTTTATCAAATAATACAAACAGTGAGGAAGTTCCTCTCTAATTTTCTGGTGGATTCCAGGTTTATTTTCTTTCCAGAGTTACGCTTGTGCTGCTTCACCAGGTGGCAATGTTGAAACATCTGCAATACCCAAATACATTGAGAAGCTCTCTACCTCTCCTAAGCTTGTGTGAACCTTTGGATGTATAAGAGCAAGCCCAATGGGGCTCCAAGATGTAGCAACCTCAGCGAAAATTCCGTCCCCAATGGTCCACTTCCACATACATAAATTGTTGTTTTCATAATCTCATCCAAATTTTAATTTTCTTTGGTTGAAATGTTCAAAAAAGAAATATATATAACTTAAATATTCATTAACAAAAAATAAGTTCACAATAAAAAATTTAGCGCGTAAATTACAACATGAAAAAAATTTAGAACCTCAAACATAGATTCCCCATTGTAAGAAAGATTCCTTTAGAGCCTGAAAAATTCTATTGGAGCTCTAAATGGGGCTCCATCCACCATTTTTAGAGCTTCATTTAGAGCCTACTATTGGGCTTGCTCTAAGGATTTGCCTGATCAAAGCAAGAGAGGGTTTTTTTTTTTTAGACGAAAATGAATTTCATTAAGAGGCAAAAGCCACGAAAAGAAACAAACAACCTAAGCCAGCACACACTCAGTCAAAGCAAGCTAGTGGAGCGGCTAACTTAGTACAAAATATGGATAAGAACATTAGTTTGGTGGTCCTGGAAGGCCATCCGCTTCCAACACTCCCTGAAGAGACAGTGGTGACCTTTCAGCCCAGCAAATTTGCTCCACTGCTCTGATGCCAATACCAGCCGCTGCGTGAGCTGCTTTGTTGATACTTCGAGGAATCCAACTCCATTCAACTCTCTGGAAACTGTTGGCAAGCCTTCTAATTTCCAGAATTGTGGGAAGGATGGACCAAGCACCATTGTTAGTCATTCCTTCAACACTCTGCTTTAAAATAGTTGAATCTGTCTCAAGCATTACTTTTGAGAAACCCTTCCTCTTAGCTAAAGGTAAGCCGCGAAGGGCAGCCTCAGCTTCAGCATGAAGAGCAGAACAACAATACAAATTATCCGCCAAACCACCACGGACATTCCCTGCTGAATCTCGAATTACCACTCCCACTCCAGAGCGATTACTTTCCTTAATCCAGGCTGCATCCGTGTTGATCTTCACAAAACCATCACTTGGGGGAGTCCAGGCTCTCGCACTGCTAAGAGTAACATAATCAGAGTTGGTGGATTGGGAAACATTAGCTTCAATAAACTCATTTGCAGCTCTCATAGCCTGATGAAGCACATGAATGGGATGCAGTTGCCTTCCTTCAATCACAAACTTGCAACGGGCTTTCCAGATTTCCCATAAAATGAAACTAATGATGGTCATTAACCGATTCCTGTCCAAACTGGAAGTAAGGTTGAGTTGGAACATACTGTTCAACCAGTTATCAAAGGTAGTGATACTTTGGTTATGGACCCTGTAGTTTAGTGGGGAGCCAAACCACACAGCTGCTGTCCATGGACAAAGGAGAAATAGATGTTCCACAGATTCTTCATTATTTTCACAGACAGGGCACATGGGAGATTGGCTAATTTTCCTTTTAAAAAGGTTGAGATTGTAGCAATAGCATTGGATAATATCCTCCAGCAGAAAAATTTGATTTTCAGAAGTGATTTTAGTTTCCATAAGCCCTTCCAAACATGAGTAGACACGACATGAGATGTCTGAGGTGGACCAACAATTCTTGAATTTGTCATTGAATGAGTGATATGATACCCAGATTTGACTGAGTATTCCCCATTTGAAGTCCAAGGCCAAATCCATCGATCCGGCAAGCTTGAAATGCCAATAGGCAGAGAAAGAATGCATCTTATAGTCTCTTGGTCTAAATATAGGCTCACTCTGCTTAAGTCCCAAGAACGCTCAAGTTTATTCATGATCTCCTCCACAAAAATTGGAGTGTTAGCAGAGAGTGGTCTAGTGGGAACAATAACATCATTATGCGGAAGCTTAAGCCAGCGATCAACCCAGATATTAGTTTCAGCCCCATTAAAAATTTGCTTCCTTGCATGTTTGAGCACAGTGTCTCTCCCTTCTATGAGACTTGCCCATGCCCATGAGGCTCGGTGTCCCACCTCTGCATTCCAAAAGTCACTATTTAGAAAGTAACGAGCTTTTAGAAAACGAGCCCAGAGAGAATCCGGGTTATTGATAAGGCGCCAGCATTGCTTGCCAAGGAGGGCAAGATTAAAATCCAAGAGGTCACGAAAACAAAGCCCACCATTCTCCTTTCTCATGCCAAGTTTGTCCCAAGATCCCCAGTGAATCTTATGATCATTTTCTTGATTAGCCCACCAAAACCTTGCTAAATCACCATTTATTTCTTGACAGAGCCCTGCAGGAAATTTGAAGCAATGCATCGGGTAGGCTGGAACTGCCATAGCAACTGCCTTAATCAACACTTCCTTGCCGGCTAAGGAAAGACAACTTGCTTTCCACCCTTAAATTTTCTTCTTGACTCTCTCTCTAACGAAGCCCAAAGCCATTTTTTTTTATCTGCCCCATATTGTTGGGAGACCAAGGTGGGTTCCAGGATTTGAAACTTCTTTAATTCCCAGTAATGAGCTGATGCTGGACATAGTGGTAGCAGGGGTATTCTGGCTAAAATACATACAAGATTTATCGTAATTTATAGACTGCCCCGAAGCTAAACAGTAGTCATGAAGTAATTCACGGAACCGTAACAGTTTCGTTGATCTGCCCTTAAGAAGAAGAACGAGTCGTCGGTGAAGAAAAGATGTGATAGAGTAGGGCCTTCCACGAGCAATTCTAATGCCTTTGATTTCACCAGATTCAATACACTTCATAATATTTCTGGAAAGGGCCTCACTGATGATGAGGAAGAGGTATGGGGAGAGGGGATCACCTTGCCTCAAGCCCCGGGTTGGTTGGAAAGGTTGCCCAGGTTTCCCATTGACTAAAACTGAGAATGAAACAGTAGAAACACAAGCCATCACCATATTAATCCAGAAATCACTGAAACCCAATTTTTTCATTACTCCTACCAGGAAATCCCATTCGACTCTGTCAAAGGCTTTACTCATATCCATTTTCAAGCCAGCTTCAAGCTTGCACCCTGTTCTCCTTTAGGTAGTGGAAAGCTTCGTGTGCCACAATTATATTATCTTGGATTTGCCTATCTTGCACAAATGCCGTTTGGGATTCAAATATCACCTTAGGAAGCACCGATTTGCTCCGATTAGCCAAGACCTTGAACAAGATTTTGTGAGAACTGTTGCAAAGACTGATTGGTCGAAATTGGCTTGTGGTTTCAAGGGCTTGCACCTTCGGAATTAAAGCAATAAAAGTTTGGTTAATGATCCTCATTTGGGCTATGCCATTGAAAAGGTCTCCTGCTGCTCCTGCCACAGTTCCCTTAACATCTTGGGAAATATGCTGGTGTAATCACCTTTCACAAATGGTGTTCTAAAATGATCACGTTACAAATTGTGTGTTGATATAATCACTTGGGGACGTGAAATGACCAAAGTGCCCTCCATATAAAAGCAGATGTATCAACCCTTTAGCGCCTCTTTTCTGAAAGGCAACTTGTCTGAACATCTCTCTTCTCTGTTTTCGCAGTTTGCCAAAAAGGGGGGAACTCCAGGTTGAGAGACATGTTGCCACTGAGCAATCCAGTTTGCAACCCATCCATAGTCATAACCCAGATGTCCTAAAATTTGGAACCTTAGTTTGACCGTAGCGAAGCCGGTGGAACGCATCGCCTCCATTGTTGACCTCCAGATCGAAGTGATTGTTGCGACTCCACAGAGAAGCGAAAGTGGTGACTTCCGGCGTCGTTGTGAACGAATGTGAGTTCATATATTGGTTTGGTAGTGTATGTGTATTATAAAATCGTTCATCCCTTTTTCACCACAGAAGGGCAAAAAAGCTTAAATTTTCAGTTTGAAGGCGTTATGATATGTTGAATTCATAGTTTCTGTTATTATCTACAGTGGGATCTGTGCGGTCAACTTGAATTTTGTTAAAATTGACTGAATGCTTGTATAATATAGTGCAATGTGTTTGACAATGGGCAAAATAACAACACATAGAAAAATCATATGTTAACTTTGTCTGCCCTAAAAATAGGTTTGTTAGGGTAGTTTTAGGCTCAATTTAGATGCTAATCTGGGGAATTTATTGGCATTCTGGGTTTGTTTTGGTAAGAAGTATAGTTTGTGTGTTTTGGTTTCCAATTTGGTAATTGAGCTTATACTACATAATACGTTTTGTATCACAACCTGAGCCTTTTGTTGAAGGTGTTTAAATTTGTTCAAAACTCTTATAGGTTAGAGTCATATTGCTGCCATGGTATGTTTATGTGAGTTTGTTAATAACTTGGAACCCACAGATATGTACAAAATCAGAGAAAAGACAGAAAGGAATAAAAGTTCGTTGTTGAAGCAGCTACAATTTGAGTTTGAAGATTTGAGGATTTATAAGATGATACGTGTAGTGGAATGATTGTTGTGTATGCTTTTATTTGATAGAATTTTTTTTTTAGTGTTATTAATCGGTGTAGCAATTATTTATGTTATTTGCATAAATGGATACTGTTGGAATATTGGTATGCTACAATGGAAGTTGCGTTAAGAAGGATAACATTAAGAGTTATGAAGGTGGGGAGGCTAAAGGCATAATAGTGTCTCGGAACGTAACGTTGTCCGACCTTGTTTAGCGCATTTATAAGATCATGGATGCAGATCCCACGAAATATATTGTCACACTGAAGTATTCAGTTCCTGTGTCCTCATCTGTTTGTAAGCACATAAGGGTTGAAGACAGTGATGATGTTCAATATTTTCTAAAGTACAACACAAATGTTATGGCCTCTAAAGTAACCCCTTTAGTAGCAAGCTTGAAAAATATCAAAGGTCATGGTATTGAAGGGTGCAATGGCATTGTAAGCATTGAGAGTAGCAATGCTCTTGCTAACTTTGTTGTGGAACAAAGAAATGTGGTAATTTGGGACAATGAAACTGAAAATGGTGGGAATGATTTGAATTGGAGTGATTGGGTTGAAGAAGTTAATTTTGAAGGTGGTGAAAACATAGTTGCTGATTTCAATGAACCTAGCATCGAAGAGGAATCGCACTCTGCGCCAATTGTGCATCCTCATGAGGACAACAATGTCAACCCTCCACTGTGCAGTGTAGACAGGTGCAATCCGAACCTCCCCGCAATCAAGTTTGACCGAAATGCATACAAGTCGGGTTGATTTGAAGCATGGTCAGAGTTCGGAATATATTCATTATGGTGGAGGCCTTTCATGCATAAATTGGGAAGCAAATTTGAAGGTTGGCCGAGTTTATCCAAGTAAGATTGCCCTTTTAAAAACTATCAGTTTAGCAGCAATTAGAGACCATTTTCGATTGAGAACTGTCCAATCTGGAAAGCGTCGGTTGTGTGTTCGCTGTTGGCAGCTTCCTTGCCCTTGGAAAGTTCGAGCATATAAAGTTGGATTACATGAGTTTAAGGTTGTTAAATACGATCCACTTCATGAATGTGATCTAAGGTCTGTAAGTAGTCATCATCCTCAAGCTACGACCGAATTGCTGTCTAACTGTGTTAAGTGGAGATTTCAAGATTTGCGCAGCATTTATACTGCAACTGATATCAAGAAAGATGTGGAAAAAAATTTCGGTGTGAGCATAAGCTACTCTACAACGTGGAGAAGCCGAGAGTTAGCTTTCAAAAGAATTAAAGGGTCTTCAGAAGAGTCGTATTCCCTTCTCCCTTCCTATTGTTATGAATTGGAGCGTACAAATCCGGGAACTTTGACATACATTGAGACTGATGCAGCCGAACACTTCCTATATTTTTTATGGCAATTGGTGAATGCATACGAGGATTTTAAGTCGTCAATGCGGCCTGTGATTGCTGTTGATGCTACCCATTTGAAGTGCAAGTATAAAGGTGTTTTGTTTGTTGCGATCGCATTTGACAGAAATCGATATATCCGTTGCCTTCGGGATTGGGGATTTGGAGATGGATGCAGCTTGGGAGTGGTTTTTGAGAAAACTACATTGTGCAATTGGTGATTGCTCGAATCTTGTTGTCATATCATATCACAATGTTAGCATACAAAATGGGTTGCGTAGAGTTTTTCCTGCGGCAAGCCATGGTATTTGCTTTTATCACTTGAAAGGCAATATGAAAGCCTCATTTCAGTTGAAGCAACGGGATCCGATATTGGGGTATTTTGTAAGGGCAGCTAAGTCTTATCGTCTAGCGGAGTTCAATCGTCACTTTTCCATGACAAACAATGACCGAGTGCGAACTTATCTACTACGTGCAGGCGTCCATAAGTGGTCTCGGGCCCATTGTGATGGACGACGATATAATGTGATGACAACGAATATTGTGGAGCCATTAATTCAGTTCTTCGTTTTGCAAGGATGCTTCCGGTGCTACACTTGATCGACGAAATTACAAATCTACTTCTCTATTGGTTTAGACAACGTTGGGATTTAGCAATGAAATGTCGTTCTACGTTGTGCCCTGATTTAGGGGAAAAGAAGTTAAGGAAGAGGTTAGATGCTGCGTCAAAGATGAATGTGGTCAAAATCAATGATGTCGAGTATAATGTTCTGGATGGTGATTTGAACGGTCTAGTGCACTTTCAAAACCGTAGTTGTACGTGCAGGAAGTTTTGGAGCAACTCCAGTGCAAGCATGCTATTGCAGTATGTCAGCACTTGAAATTGAACCCCTACTCCTTTGCCTCTTCTTATTATACACGAGCTACATGGGAAGCTGCATATGCTGAATCTATTTATCCTGTACCACCTGAAGGCACATGGGTTATTCCCGAAAATTTGAAGAAGGTCAAAATCCGCCCTCCTCTTTCTAAGGTTATGCCGGGTCGTCGCAAAACGCAAAGAATAGCTTCTAAAGGAGAGGAGTCCCGTAAAAAAAAATGCTCAAGGTGTGGTGTGAAGGGCCACTACCGAAATACATGCAAACAATCTGTCCCTCTCACCAACAAGCAGCACGTTGTGTAGATGTTACAATTGTTTAGTTTCTACCTCTGTTTTCGTCAACTGCAAAGTTGATGAATAGCTTCGGTGATCCTGCACGGATGGAAGTCGGTCAACTCAACGGTCATGGGAAGCATATGGAACAAGGTAACAAGTCTCTTGCAATGAGAGCCTATTATTAGTACAAATGGGTGAACATGCAGTGCCATCACCATTGTGAAACCAGGTGTAAATTATCAATGTTCCACTGGCCAATGTGTGTTACAGATTAGCATTTTTGTTCGTTTGTTATGTACCTGTTATTTGAATTTGAATTGTATTCAATTTGGTGTTCTGTATTGTGATTGTAGTCACATTGGCATAAATTGCTTTCCTTTCCTAGACAACGTCATGTATTCTTGTCTTTATATTCACACTATCGTCATGTTGTTGTCCTTTTGTTGCGTCCAAAATGAAAGGGCCTAGAAGGCTAACTAAAATTGCATCCCGTACATAAAACTCCTTCAAATGCAAATCTTACGCAATTACTGTGATACTGGTAGTACTTCATGATTTCTCATTGTTCTCATTTGCCATAGAACACAATATATAGATAATTTTTGGGAAAGTATCCATGCAGCCACACATGGTCAACAGATCGCGATAGTATCTATAATATCGATACTATCGTGATGTGAACTTTAAATAAAAATTGTTATTCACTTCAAGTGACACACACAGAGGATGAACCCCTTTCCCTCTTCCTGGTTCTGAGCTACTTAACCACAACGGCAGTCATCGCTTTTTGATTAGTGACTATGGACTCTAGTATTTATAAGTCTTCCAACCTGTTTTGCAAAATAAAAATTCATTAGTTAGTGTTCTATATTGTTGCTCAAATAATTCATTACTTAATGTCATTCATTTCTTTCCTATTTAATCCATTTCATGTTATTGCTTATTTAATTCGAAGGTTCATTATAAGTACTGAAATTACTAACTATCCCTTCAAATTGTTGCTTCATTACTTAAATGTCGATAATCCTTTTATTTATTTCCTATTTAATTGTTCCTTTCATAACTGTATTTTTGTTTCACGTAAAAATTTGTATGTATTTATACTGTCCGTGGTTTGTATCCAATTGTTATTGGACTCGATATATTTATGATATTTCCATGGATATTTCCGTGCTTCAGAACCACCGATCTTTCTGAAACCCTTCATATTTACGACCTTTGCTACAATACAGCTTTACCATTACTCAAATGTAGAAGTTATATTTTATGGTGCCAAGCAATACATCATCAATAAAACCACAATATAACTACATTATGATTCTAGTATGAGGCAATAAAAAAGCAATACAAGCACAATATAAATACTTTACGCTTCCAATATGAGGGCAATAAACGTACAATAAGCACACATCCACTACACAGCACTTTACATTTATACAAACTGACTAATTTGCCACTTAACGGTGAGAATAAAAGGAAGGCGTAAACAAGGCACCACATTCATACAAAATCCATTTCGTGTCCACAAAATGCTTCACACTTACCCTGACCTAGCTACACAGACCCTACCAAAATCCAAATGGTTACAGGTCCATGAATAGATCCATGTCCTTGGTCTTCTTCCTCGCTGCATGCACAAGGCTATGATCAGCCATTCCCTGGCCACACCTATTCAGCACCTCCCAGACACCAGCAACATCTATTTCGCTCCAATTGTAGTCTGGTGAGATGACGGAAGCATAATCTCAGAACATTGTTAAAAGATTCAACCATTTCATGGTTAAATTCTTCAGATTCAGTGAATTTTTGGACAGCTTCTTTCTTTGTTTCTTCCAATTTTACCTTCAACCAGTCTAACGTTGCACTCTGACTTTTCGCTTCCATTGTTTGCTTCACTTCTCCAGAATATGCTTTGTTCAGCTTGTTCGTCAAGTTTCCCAACACCTGGCCATGAATATCACATTTCGTTTCCCACCAATCCGTAGCCGTACACAAATATTGGAGATGATGCTTCACTTTAGCTATTTTGTCTAGCGGATCATTGTTGTCAGCCTCACTTCCAGATGACGTGGGATCTTTATTTGGAGTCCTAGGTGGAGATGGGAAAGGGACATTCCATGGTTGGTCTCCCGGGTAACTAACATAGTCGTTTGGAGGGATTACGTCTGACATCTTCAACTATGGATGGGGAAAATGCACACATGCACCGTGCAAAACAATTAACGTTAGGTTCAGTCTGCAGTTTTTTTTTCGTAACCAACAGTGGGGTGAGCTTTAGTACAGCTTTGCTCTCTGATATATACGAAGTACTCTATTTTATATGGAATTGAATGAGTAAGTTAAACCCTCTTATATAGTGGAAGTTGTCTGTTTTATATTTATTTCAAATAGTACATTACAGGTCAGTCTGCACCCACTACTCCTCTCCCTTAGTAAGAGCATTGTAATATGGCCATTAAAGCCGGACCAAATACGAATAAAGGTATGTCAACAGTGGAATAATCGGCTGTACAAATATACACACCTGAACAACTGTGAATACACAAATTAAACAAAACCTTACTAAAACACTGTATACTATAAATATTCAAGGTCCTGACATAGGAATAATAGCTTATGAGCAAGTTCCCTAATTCTCAATTTACGAAATATACAGAAATGTTTATAAATTATTAAGTATTCCCTACAAATGACGAGCATAGGAAAGTCCATATGACAAAAATGAATAACACCAAAACAATCATATACAGTCCCGACCAAAATTTCAAGGCAAAGAAAACGTAAAGTGGGCGGAATACACCTAAACAGATTTGCAAATTTCAAAATTCACAATTTGGAATTTACCGATATATTAAAAAATGGAACTCATATACATCAGTTATTTGGAAGACAACAAAAAGGAAATTGGAAACACAAATAATTTCATGGTCCATTTTTGTAAATGTTTGCATTGGTACATTGTCAAATGACCGTACTCATAAATTTGGGACATTTTGTACTTTTGGTATAGGAGGGAAATTGGTCAAAGAGGACAAAAGGAATAAATTGCAAATAGAACAAAGGTCCCATACAACAAACACCAACCAATAACCTAATTACACAAACCCCAAGTCTAATGTGTTGCCCAACAATTGGACCTATAGGGGCTTTTTTCCTCCGGCAGCTGTAAATGGGCTGGGCTGCCATAAAGAGCAAAATGAAGAAATCGTCCCCTGTGTCTGAGATCGAAAATTAAGCCCCAAAAATGCTTCGAAAGGGCAGTAGAGCCTTAGGAAGCATCTTGGTTACCTTCACCGACTAAAACAACAGCAACTTACAGATAATTTATGCATTCTTATAGATAAAATTTTGAGCTTGGCATGAGAGGCATGTGGCATGGAAGCAAAATCAACATGAGTTTAGCACTAAGAGGAAATTTAGGCTTGCTTTGAGGGAAAAGGAAGTGTTAGGGTAAGAAAGGAGAAGTTTTGTGAGAGATTTGACTAAGAAAGAGGGAATAGAGAACAAAGTTCTTCCGACAGCTTGACAAATGCTCTGTCTGTCAGAAGAGAAGAATGGAGAAGAAAGGTGAATAGTGCACGAGGTTGCTGGGTTTTTGCAAGGAAGAGAGGAAGCTTTTTCGCCAAATGTGAGTTGGATTTGTTAGGTAGGAGAAGCCTCAATTTATAGCCGCTGAAAACCTCCATTTTTCAAGAAACCCTAATGGCTTCTACCCATTTTGGCCAAGCCTTTCTCTCCTTTCTCATCTCTTTCCTTGGCTTTTTCCCATTTTGATGAAATCCCTTCTGTTTATCAGATCAGAGTTTTTGAAGCTCAAGGCCCCTTTTTCCCGCAGTTGTCTCAATGGCAGACTTCCATTCCCAGCCATCTCTTTTATTCCTTTCTTCCCTTTTTTCCATGGCTAAGTCTGATGGGAAAAGGAGCTGGGATATATACATGCTGGTTTGAACAGTGTTTCACGCTAATACCCCTTGGTTCCTTGTATGTTTTGGCTTTGAAACTTGCTCCATCTTTGTGCTGGAACCTCCCAGCGGCTCTGTTCAATAAACCTGCAGACCCTTTTCTACGTGGCTTTTACTTTTCCAACAAAAGGCTGAGGCTTTTTCTGACTTATTGTAGAGTTTTGCATGGGCCAAGGTGGTTCATTAAATAAGTGGGCTATTTTGTTAAACATTGGGCTTTTGAGTCAATAGGCTATTTGGGGCTATTTGGGCTATTTCTTTTCCCTCTTGTGCTCACCCACATATTTGGGCCTAAGAAATGGGCTTGAGTCCCGAGGCTCCCAAGCAACCCGAGACTTTCCATTTCTCGGCCCATCAATGAGCCTCATGTTGATTCCTTACCGTCCATACCACAACCCACTCAAGCAAGCCACGGGTATTTGAGCGGCTTGGGCCCGCTTAGGCTTGTAGCGTGGTTGGGTGCGGAATAATAATTCCTTGCTTGGCATGGCATGTCGCTTGGTGCACTTCAATTTTATCATCCTTGAAGAGGGACACGGTGCTTAGTTTAGCATGGGCTTGTATTTTATAATATTATTTCAATCCTTGGCATGGCATATCGTTTGGCATGCTTTTAATTATTATGCTTGACGGGATAATTAGCATAGATTTGCAAAGATAATGCATTTTATAATCTTAATCTCGATTCCTAGCATGACGGATTATTTATTTGGCATAGCATGTGGAGTGTGACTCGTGCATGGCTGATTTTTGTGTGCTCCAAGTCGGGTTTTTTCTCAATAAGGTATTGCGCTGGGCCAAGAATTCATTTGGGCCAAGCCGTGGATTTTTTGGGCCTCAACAAAACCCAACAACTCCCTCCAAAAATTGGACCCAACAACTCCCGCCAATAACTCCCGCCACTTGCTCACTGTCATTTACTCATGCTGATTATTACCTCCCACTATTTAATTGTAACCCAGCTGCATCCACCCAACATTTCCATCACATTTACTCCGTCAAACCCCCTGCTTGCTCAGCAATTTCACCCACATCACAATTACTTCCAGTTTGGGCAAACTAATGGCCACACCAAACCGCAGTACATACCCAACACCCATGGACCCAAACCCCACACGAAACCCAACCCTTGCCATTATTGAAGGAGGGGACACTGAAACACATACCAAATCAGCAACAGAAGACACTGAAGATTGGGTCCATGGACTGCAGCAATGTTGAGCCAATACCATGTTCTGGAAAAATCTCCATGCAAACATAGTTTTAAAAATTGAAGAGGGCCAAGCTAGGTGGGGTGTCATAAAAACGCGCACAATTCGGGTGCGTTATCAAGCCCGGATGCATCTCCTACATATAAAGGCTGTGAGAGCTAAAATTGAAAATGCCCCTGTCACTACAGTTATTGTTTTCAAGGAATCTGACGAAATGGCTCAGTTGAAGCAAAAACAACTGGAATCTGGTTTCGAACTATTTAGGAAGTTTGAAAAAATTGTGGATGCAGAAGGAAAGTGGTACATCACTGTGGGAGGGGTCATGAATTTAATGGTTCGCGGTCGCCGCATTTGAAGGATATGCAACTCCAAACGTGTCCACAGACAGAAGGTATGACTTCTAATATTACCATGTCAACGATTGTGGACAAACTTTGTACAGTGGAAAGTATGACGTGGCCTTTTTTTGTATTATCTACATATGAGGTGCCCTGTTTATTTATTTATTTTGTATTATGTAAGTTTGAGGGGGCCTCTTTTGTAGATATGTATAATGTAAGCTTCAGCAGCCGTCTTTGTTAAGATTGTATTATGTAAGTTTGAGGTGACCTCTTTTTTTTTTCTTTTTTTTTTTTGTAAGTTTGCGCTGGGCTGTTATTTTATTTTGTATTCTGCCAGTTTGAGGTGACCATTGTATTCTGTACGTTTGAGGTGCCCTTCTTTTTTGTTGTATGCTGGAAGTTTTAAAACCGCGGTTGATGTAATTTGGATGCATTCATTTCAGTTCCGAAGTATAACGTAATTACCTTCCACATAGTTAAAATTTGTACACTTGTAAAAGGACCTTGCAAAACCAATACGTAAGACAGTATAAAACAATTTATAATAGCAGTACCAACCGAAAATAATGCATAGGTTACATTGCAATGCCAATATAAGTACAATATCAGGTATTAGAAAACCAATAAAGAGCATTAGAAAATCAATAAAGTAGCAATAGCAAACCAATATAGTTGCACTAGAACACCAATACGTCAGTAATATACCAATATACACGCAACGAAGAATAGCATGTACCGTATTTCCAAGTGTATACCATGCCGTATCTGTAATAAAATAAGGGTATGAATAAGATTCCAATTTTGATTAGGCCCTGAATGTTGCCAATGGTAAAGTTTGATATTTTTTTATAAAAACCACCCCATTAACTCCAGGTTTCATGTTTGTGCGCTCACACGCTTTTCCCTCAAAATTTTGCACATGCAAGTGAAACCCATTCAATACAAGATGACCCTCTTGAGCTCCCCAAATATCGCACAACTTGAACAACAATTCATACAGACAAAACAAGGAGATGAGTAGGAGGAGCCTCCGTAGCCTTGCGGCTAAGTCAGTGAGGTCTCGATGGCACTCTCAAGAGTCGACTTCAAGGTCTCGATGGGAAATGGAAGACGTGAGTTCAGTATGTTCACGGCTGTGCTACTGTGGAAAGTTGTCAAAATGCATACATCGTGGACGGTTTCTCATCCTGGAAGGAGGTTTCAAGTATGTGCAAGGGTAAGTTTATTTCTCTGTAAGTTTGAGCTGACATTTGGGATTTTCGTGGATTCCAATTGTGATGCTGCGCCTCTTTGTTTCAAAACATTGTATCAGTTTATGCAGACGAATGGATGTACATTTTGGGAATGGGCTGACCCAGAGATGTGTGACAGATCGAAGCACATAATTCCAGGGTTGCTTAGGAAAATAAACTGCTTGAAACAAGAAAGAAATGCTAGAAAAGGGAAGATGGAAAACCCATGGTTTTGGGTCTCTGTTTTCATGTTTAGAATGGTCATTTATTTGTCGTTTTCCAAATGTAATAGGTGGTTTGTTCATCTACAGTTGGCAGGTTAAAGTTGGTTAGGTTATGGATGTAGTGGAAGAGGTTTGATGTATTATACATCAGTTATGGCAGACATGGTCGTTTTCCATTTCATCATGGTTTCCATAGGCTAACACAAAAGGCATAGCCAAAAAACCCCTGCTCTCGTATTTTGGTACCAACTCTTATGCAGCCTCAATCGTCAGAACAATTATTCCATGTAAAACATGACAAAGAACAAAATATTCCACGGTGAGGGACCTCCCAAAACTAGAACTCAATCACGTGAAACAATAGGATAGTTCAGCTTGTAATTGCCCCAGCCGAGGGTTAGGGATATTGTTTCGGCTAACCAAACCAAACATTTCCGTCCGGATCGGATGAAAATAATTAATATACAAAAGTAAGTATTAAACCTAACCAAACAAAACCAAACAGTCAACACTGCACGGTCGTCTCAGCTGGAAAATTCAGATGACATAGCCACCCAATCTATACGTGCAACTGGAACGAAAATATCTCTACCACAAATATTGCCAAATGACATTGGAAATGTTCGCTACAATGGCGATAAATGAATGGAAAAAGCCTACAATGTCGGTGCCCCACAAAAAATTGAATATGGCTGCAAGTTCGGCCAAATTATGGATATTTTGTTATATGGCTGTACAAAACATGTGAAGTACAGAAAGTCAATAACCGCATTGTAAGAAAGGAAAGGTGAGTACATCCCTTCTACTATGGAATACAAGTACTGGTGAATTACTTTACAGAAAATAACACCCTGCAACCTACTACAAAATCACCACACTTTATCGCCATCTGTACCAAATGTCAAAAATGGTGCCATGTAAGGCAAAACCTCACATTAAGTTTTAGGATTGACAATACGACGAAACAGCCTGCAACTTCTTTCACATACGTGTACAGAATCTGTGATGTCAATATGGGTATGAACCTGGAAGGACCACTTGCATAAGAAGGCCATATGTGCCACTTCAACATTCATAGAAAGGGAAAATTGAATGTCGTAATAATTGGAGCTATTTTAATAAGTAATTCTATTAACCTTTCATAAAGTACATGAAACAAGTTTTGGATGATACACAGTCGGAGTTCAGAACATATGCCATACTTAAATCAGATGCCAGTTGCAAAACATATACATTACCATCTATAGTGTTGAAATCCCTAATACCCTAAACTTTGATTCACAACAGTAGGCATTTGTATTAATCAAACTTGGAAAAGTTGCCAAAATAATGTAAGTTGTCTTAAATGAAGACTGAAATCACTACTCAATACGTACGACGTAATTGAAATTAGGTAAATAACAAAGCAATTCCCAAGGCAGTCCTTAACACTGAATTGAAATGAGGTCAGATTTGGACTTTTACCTCATACATAGGCCTCCCCCCTGAAAGCCTCGATTGCAAGCTTCAATCGGTAGTAGCCAAACTTGGCTGGGTCAATGGTATGAAAAGGAATGCCGGCACTAAGATACTCAATATATTTGACGGTCATAATGCCACATGAGGTACTCTCCACCCAAGCAGTACATAAGTTAGAAGTGCACATATTGACAACATCCACAAAGTGCTTTAAATGAACACAGCTTACCATCACTTTGCTGAGGAACATCGGAAATTCTGCAAATTGTGAATGGGTTAAACATTGACATGTAAATCCCCTTTCTCTTCACCGCTTCAACCTCCGATTTCTCATAAAACCTCATTTCATACAATACCTTTGCAAGCGTATGGGTAATAGGCTCCATATATCAGACAAGCATAGTGTTGGAGGTAAAACCAGTATACGAGTCATAGACAGTGGCAGTATGTCTGACAAAGTCGATTTCTAAAGCCACCCAATGGGACTGTCGAACATTATACGGGAGATAGACCTTGCGCACTTTCGTCCATGCTTGTGCATACCCATGTTGCCATGAACTGTAGACAAAGTGGTGTATATTTCTGAGGTAGTTAGGCAGAGGGTCAACGGTCCTTGAAGCAATTTGTTTCCTCGTAACTCATTTCGCAATTGGCGGTGTAAACGGCGGTAAAAATTGCTGCAAACAATTGTGAAAGACACGTTACATCAACAGGATCCAATGCACTAAACACAGCCAACAACATTACTCCTACCAATGCAACAAATGCAATGACACATAATATGAATACAATAATACCTGCAGACAAAACTCGGCAGTTGTCCACTCCGTTCCAAATACTTGAGGATGAGAGAGTTGTCTTTTGCGTATTAGAAACATGGCCATGTCAAGGTGCTAACATTTCAGAACACAACAACGACCTCAATATAACAAAAAATGACACATACTCAAAGCCATCAAATAAGAAATTGATCGAAATAAAGCAGGGTTCAAATTGTTACCCTCAAGCTCATTCATGCAGTTTCATCTAAAAGTTTGTAAAAAAGATCTGCCCCAACTACAAATGGTTCGAGCTCCAGCTCCACACTACAAAAACAAAACTTGCACAGATAAATAAATAAAAAATTAACAATTGGAACACCTTGCATAATATGACAATGACACACACATGTATAGTATAGCTACCTATATATTGTTATTGTACATGACTGCATACATCAAAAAACATGTATATTGGTTTTGCGAACTTACAAATCCTAACATGATGTCAATTTTCCAAGCCCTGCAAACTTGTATGATAGCCTTCACATCGTCCATGGCCACGGGTTTTGTTGGATCAAAACGGGCCTCAGGTGTCTATGCATGAAAACTAGTAGCCAGCCTCTTTTTCCTGGAGGGATCAATGAATGGACTCAACAATGTTGTCGCGGGCCGCTTCAGTCTGCATCCTTTGCCTTCCGCATCTGGTTTCTGAACCGTGGCATTAGCCTCCTTGTCCCCTTCATCACCAACCAGAGTTATACTAGTTTTCATGGGAGGCCTCGGCTTGCGTCCCACCCCCTCAATTTCTGTCTTATCCAATCCTCTAACAAATGTAACATTGTTTTAGAAATAACTCCAAACCCATCCCCATCTTCCGGAGTAGGAAGGAGGGGATCTTCAAGACTAGTAACCTTCACATCTTCAGAAGTAGGAACCTTGTGAGGTTGTTGGTGCACTTGTTTGTCACCAACTGAAGTGTCAATTACAGCGTCTTCGACTTCCATGGCTAGGAAGGATTCCACTCCATCAGCAGGGACTTCTGCTTCCCTTTCAGCCCCTTCTATATGCATGGCTGGAAAGGCTTCCACTCCACCACAGACTGCTGCTTCCATTTCAGCCCGTTCTGTATGCATGCCTAGGAAGGCTTCCACTCTGTCACCTGGAACTTGTGTGTCCATTTTGGGCCCTGCTGTAGTCGGACTAGTAGGTTCATTCAAGGGTGACATTTCATTCTGCCCTCCTTCATTCATCTGAGCAGTACATATTTCTTCATGCCCTTCTCCACCATATATTTTTTTTAACTCCTCCATCTCCAACTTAAAATAATGTTCGATTGAAGCAATTGTTAGGGTCAAATCCCAAATAGCCTTTTTATTTCTGTCATACTCCTTCTCATGCTTCAAACAATTCTTGTCTACAATAGCTTCCAAGTCACGAACTCTGTTCCTAAGCCCCTGATTTGAACTAAGTACCTTTGCCAACTCATCCTTAGTGCTTTCTAATTGATGCTTCAAATTGCCAAAGTCATTAAAAGACCCTTTGCCCTGCATAAATTTATAATGCAACAGTTAGAAAGCTTACAAAAAATAAGAAAACTATTTCCACTTCATTCGTATCGTATTCTCTACATTTTCACAACATTGGAAAAAGGTCATGCTCACCTTAGAAGAGGAGGGAAGGGTAGCTGTTTCCTCAACATCCGCGGTATTTTCTTCATTAGAAGTGCTGGTTTTGTCTTCGGCCTCATCCCCAAACAATTGAACAATTTCTTCATTGTTCTCATCATCACCCTAACTCCAGTAAGGTTGTTGCTTCTCAATATCAGTCGGCCGGAGAAGTTGCACATCAGCCTCCAATTGAAACACATCTAATAAATCAATGAACTTTTTACTTTTTCCTAATCATAACATGACTAATACAAACTGAACTAACCTCAAAGTTTTCAAAAACCTGACTCATAACCTCCCGAAAACGAGCCACCGTGTTGCTCCTCCAATGTAATATTCGAGGGATGTGCCTATTGTCTTCATGGACCGTGAAATGCAATGCTTCCAATGCTGGGAAGACTTCAAAAGCCCAAATCTGTTCACAACAATCAAACATCAATATCTGTACATGTATTTAAATGAACTAAAACATTGTTGGATATGTGTTCACCTGAAGAGCGAAGCCAAACCCCCTTACGATGTACTCTCTTGCTCTACCACTTGTCATTCTTGTCTGCGCTCTATTTCCACTTTTTTTGGGCATTTCTCTTTTTTGGGGCACTTTCACTCGTTGGTAATCAGCAGAAATTGCCCTCAAAAGTGAAGCATTTGTCATCGCATATGACACGGTGCCCCATGGATACTTGTCAAACTCTTCTAAGTCTTCGGCCAACTTCAAATAGCGCATGTCAATAAGCACATGCTTTTCAGTACCCAATAGCACAAAAATGGCAAAATAGACCATTCCAAGCTTTAACGTATCCTCATCATCTGTGCACTCGATGAAATTGTTGCTGAAGTATTTTCTCTTCAAGGAGCAGTTTTCATTTGTCGCCTTCGGAATGAAAGGGAGCTTTCCGAACCTTAGCCCCGTGATGAGGAAAAAGTGTTGGGCCGTGAATTGTATCAACTTATTACCCACAATGAATTTTATCCCGTTCACCTGTGTAACTGTCTCAGGATCAGCCTTCCTCATCAACAACCCGTGGACAATTTGTGAATTCCAATTTAGGCCCTCTATCAGTAATAGATGACCACAACAACTCCCCTCGAACCTCTGTAACTACTGCGTATTGAACTTCGCCTTTATTGTTGTAATGGCGGTCCTTGCGTGTGAAAGGGCAAATGGCTTTCCTTCGTACTTCTCATCCTCAGGAATCATAAGCTTTGCTTTACAAGCCATTCTCGAGTTCCCTGCACAACAACATCATACATATGGATCATTTGTTACCCATATTTCATACGTACATTACTCAAACTAATACTTTCAAGCCATTTTAATATATGTATATACATATATGACAAAACCATAATTGTTTTTAAGCCTCTTTTCTACTCTCCAACTCTCTCCACACTCTGCTGTTATCTACATTCCCTTGTACCAAATGTACATTCCATTCCATCCAAAAACCAAATACCACCCAAGTGTGAAAACAATTTCATAAACCACGGATCCACTTGATACAGGGTTTGGGCGAAATGGCTACAACAATTACTCCAAATGCATCAATGCCTACTAAAATCTACTCATTACCATAGTCATATGCAATACAGTAGCACACATGGAACATCAGTATTGACAGTTATGGACTCTGTGCACAAACTAGACACGTCAAAATGTTACTGCAACTGTAACTGCTAAACCTAGATGGATGAACATGAAATTTCTAAACAGATACTGAAGCCCAATAAAATACAATTTTCAAACGTATATGAAAAGCTGCAAGTAAGGAATAACAACAAAATTTAGCAAGTTTTATAGCACAGGGAAGAGAAAAATCCGACGCCCACTTACATTAGTATTTCAAAATCACATAATTAACCATTAAGATTGGAAGGGTGCAAAATATGCTTCTAGGTGCTGAAACAGCAATGATACTAACAAATTTACTTATGCATTATTACTCAACAGCTAATTTAGGGCCTAGTGAGGTAAGGCTGTGTTATAATGGAATAGCCATTGCCACCAGAATAAATTCCCACACTAAATATGCATCATAAAATGGAAGTGAAAACACGCATCACAAACAAACCAATCCTAGATGACAAATAGCAAATTGAGGCACTTCATCGTCCATAGAGCAAAATCAATAAACCAATACAAGTTTCATCCAAGCATGAAGTAATTCACTGTTAAAATACATTATTATTGCAATCTCTCTAATTACTAAACTTCACAAAATCAGTCACAGGTTAGTGCAATTATCCTTCTCAAATGAAAACCATACAAATACACAAACTAGTCAATAACAAATACAAAACCCACCTTAGAATCACTCGTTTTGTGCACATAACCGAATTGGAAATCCCAGCAACACCTACAGAAAATCACGAATTTTGTCTGTGACAGGATTGAGAAGGAGGAGGAAGTATGTGAAAAAAGTCATAACCGAAACCAAGATTTATGGTTTTTTGCGGCCCTAAAGGAGCAGAGGAGAAGAGAAAGACGTCAATTCCAGACATGAAAAGAGAGGGAACTGAGACATTGTTTAAGGGAGATAGCATTTAACGAAGAAACCCTCTCTTTCACCGTCAAGAACCCCCTCACCAAACCCTAACATTGACTGCAGAGAGAGAACGAGAGAGTGCTGCTTAGGTTCTCACGACAGAGGGAGAAATAGAGTGGTGGTGGTCGATGGAGAGAGAAAGCGCCGAGAGAGGAAGAGAAAACCGTGATAGAGAGCTGAGAAAGAGAGAGAAGCCAGAAGCGTTAGGTCGGCAATCAATGGCCAATAACTCCCCAATAGATATGTTTTTATATGGAGGGCACTTTGGTCATTTCACGTCCCCAAGTGATTATATCAAAACACAATTTGTAATGTGATCATTTCAGAACACCATTTGTGAAACGTGATTACACCAGCATATTTCCCTAACATGTTCCCAAAATTTATGGTAGAAGGCACCTTGGAAGCCGTCAGGTCCAGGAGCTTTAAAAGCTCCTAGTTGATGAGCAGCCAATGAAACTTCCTCCTCAGAGAATGGGGCAGTAAGCAAGGAGATCATTAGTACTGTTCGCCAACATTGAGTTATCAAGTTGATGGGTTGACTTGTACCTTGGTGAAAGAAGCCTTTAGCTTCTAGATAGTTCCTATTTTCATTTTCCTTTCTTTCAATCTGCAGCTTTAGCTCGTTGCTCAATCAGCCATAGCTTCTAGTATTTTGCATTTTTTTTTGGGGTGATGAATCCGTAAATGACACTGGATCTGAAAATGGGAAAGAAAATGCAAAATATACAATCCAAATGGGACACCACTGCATGTTTGGTATCCAAGAAAATGAGTTCCAAAAAACTCAGCCAAAGAGAAAAAAATTCAATCTTGAAGGAAATGACATCACCACCTCGTAGAACATCAACTAAAAAACTCATCTTGGAGGAAATGGCACTACCTCCTTGAAACCCATCAACTAAAAAAGTGATCTTGGCTACTCTTCTTAGTGACCAAGATGGTTTTTCACTAAATAAAATTGCACCATGCTAGCCTAAAATGGGTTTAACTCAGTTTTCAAGATGGGCCTTTTAGCACCCACCATTAGAGACTTTTGAGTTCAACCAAAAATGAAAAAAGGTTAAGCATATAGTTAAAAATAGGAGAGGATATCAATACCATTTGAGACCACCAATGACGAAAACATCAGAGTAATGCATGTTGTCGTTGTTCAATTTTGAGAAGCCTTCGATTCTCCAGTGAAAGGCCCAGTGAGGAAAAGATCATTTTCTACCTTGGTCTTCTTCATTCTACTAACAACAACAAAAACCCATAAATGTTTAGCAAACAACGAGAAGTTCCCAGGAACCAAATATCACATCAGACCCACAATGGTTTTGAGAAAGCTACCTTCCAATGGCGATTTTCTTATCAGACAAAGAGAGAGAATTTTCGGATAAAGACGTTGGAAAAGAAGGCCAGCACAAAACTACAGCATTTGTGGCAGTGCGGATTAAAAAGCTTCATGTTTATTTGCCGGTTCAAACACAGGGGAGTCAAAGCCGCTTGTCTTATTTGTTTTATAGCTTCGAAAGCATTTTTTTTTCTTTTAATTTCTTTATTTTTGGATATAAACATGTTTTTATTTTATTTTTTGAAAACTGAAAACATTACATATGCAAGTAATTCACAAATATGTTTTGTTCCACTAATACGAAACTAGAAACAAAATGTATTTAGAAACTACTCCAAAGGCGACACATCACCAGAATAAAACAAAATGTATTTAGAAACAATAATGTTTGTGAGCAATGGAAAATCAACTTATCTTTCAATGCACCACAATTTCATACAGTCGATAAGTATTTTTCTTTTTTGTCGAATTCAATAAGTATTTAAATTAAGGATTGATTATCTATTTTAAAGATAACATGATATACAAATTGACTGAGAAGAAACCAAGTATTATAATGGCCAGGAATCCAAATTGCAATTTCGTGTCATTCTCCAAAACTTTTATGCAGTTGGAGCATAATTAAAAGATATTTAGAGGTGTAAACAAAAACATGAAAATCAATTGGGTTTAAAATTGTACTGTTACTGTGCTGCCCATGCTTTCAAGAGCCCCTGAATATGATCATCATCATTTCTATAATTGTAGGGGGATATCAACTTAAAACTTCAGGTCCTGTTTGGTAAGCTGGACTAGACCGGACCGGACTAGATTTTTTAATTAAAATGGACTAAAATTCTATCCGTCGTTTGGTGGGCATAAATGCACTCTTGGACTGCTTGGGCTTGATATTTAGCTTGGGATACCAATCCAGCAAATGGGGGTATTATAAACCCAAGAGAAACCATGGGTTTGGAAGCCTCCGCCTCCCCCGTTCGCTGCGTTTGCTCTTCTCTTCTTCCCATCGCTCTTTTTCTTCTTCGGGAAATATGCTGATATAATCACTTTTCAAAACTTGTATTCTCAAATGATCACTTTCAAAATCTTATTCTGATATAATCACTTGGGGACTTGAAATTACCTAAGTGCCCTCCATATAAAAACATATCTATTGTGGAATTATTGGCGATTGACGGGTAACCAAACATTTCAGACTTCTCTCTCTGTCTCAGCCCTCTCTCAGAGTTCTCTCTTCTGCTGTGAGCGGTTTATCTCTCCGTCGATGGTCGACGAGTAGCAGCACTCTCTTGCTTTCTCTGTCACGAAAGCCATCTCATTCTGCCATCTGTCTCTTCTTAATAGCGAAACCCAGCATCAACTCCATCATTGAGGACTCTGTTCGGAATTGGCTACAGTGGCACGTTTTCCAACCACGAAGGTGAACTCCATTGCCGACGTCTAAAAACTTGTCTTGTTTTGTGGTGTACTTTTGTAAATGTGTGCAGGTTTGTATAAGATTTGTTTTGTTCTGATTGGTTTCATTTCCTAGAGTTACTGTTGATGGTGATTTTGTTACTCTGTGTGGGTTTTGTCTGAAATTGGTATTTGATTGGCCTTCATTAACTGTTTTGGAATTTCATGTTCATCCATGTTGATTTTGCAGTTGCAGTAACATTTTGACGTGTCTAGTTTGTACACATAGCCCGTAACTGTTAATACTGATGTTCCATGTGTCCTACTATATTTCATATGACTAAACCTGTATATAACTATGGTGATGAGTAAATTTTAGGAGGCATTGATTGATTTGGGGTAGTAGTTTTAGCCATTTGGCCCAAACCCTGTATGAAGTGGATCCCTGGGTCATGAAATTGTTTTAACAGTTGGGTGGTATTTGGTTTATGGATGGAATGGAATGTAGATTTGGTAGAAGGGAATGTAGATAACAGTACAGGGTGGTGAGAGTTAGAGAGTAGAAAAGAGACTCAAATTTGGTCTTGTCATATGTATATACATATATTTAAATGACTTAAAAGTATAGGTTTGAGTAATGTACGTATGGAATATGGGTAACTAATGATCCATATGTATGATTTTGTTGTGCGGGGAAATCAAGAATGGCTTGTAAAGCTAAGCTTATGATTCCTGAGGATGATAAGTATCAAGGAAAGGTGTTAGCCCTTTCACACCCAAGGACCGCCATTACAACAATAAAGGCGAAGTTCAGTAGGCAGCAATTACAGAGGTTCGAGGGTAGTTGTTTTGGTCATCTATTACTGATAGAGGACCTAAACTGGACAGCACAAATTTTCCACGGGTTGTTGATGAGGAAGGCTCATCCTAAGAGTGTTAAACAGGTGAATGGGATAAAATTCATTGTGGGTAACAAGTTGATACAATTCACTGCCCAACACTTTTGCCTCATCACGGGGCTAAGGTTTGGAAAGCTCCCTTTCATTCCGAAGGTGACAAATGAAAACTGCTCGTTGAAGCGAAAATACTTCAGCACCAATAAACCTGCCACTGTTTCAGACCTACACAATGCCTTCATCGATTGCATAGATGATGAGGATGTGGTAAAGCTTGGAATGGTATATTTTGCCGTTTTTGTGCTATTGGGTACTGAAAAGCACGTGAACATTGACATGCGCTATTTGAAGTTGGCCGAAGACCTAGAAGAGTTTGACAAGTATCCATGGGGGGCCGTGTCGTATGCGATGACAAACAATTCACTTTTAAGGGCAATCTGTTCAGATTACCAACGAGTTAAAGTGCCCCAAAAAAGGAAAATAACCAAAAAAAGTGGAACAAGAGCACATACAAGAATGCCAAGTGCTAGACCGAGAGAGTACACCATAAAGGGGTTTGGCTTCGCTCTTCAGGTGAACAGATATTACAAAATGTTGTTGTTCATTTAAATACATTTACAGAGATTGATGTTTCATTGTTCTAAACAGATTTGGGCATTTGAAGTCTTCCCAGCATTGGAAGCATTGCATTTCGTGGTGCATGAAGACAATAGGCACATCCCCCGAATATTACATTGGAGGACCAACACGGTGGCCCGTTTTCGCGACCTCATGAGTCAAGTTTATGAAAATGTTGAGGTTAGTTGAGTTCGTATTGAGAAGCAAGTTCACTGATTTAATAAGTAAGGATCATGTTACGCATAGGAAAATGTAATAAGTTCACTAATTTATTATTTCTTTCAAATAATAATAGGTTGATGTGCAACTTCACCAGCCCACTGATATTGAGAAGAAACAACCTTACTGGAGTTGGGGTGATGCTGAGAACAATGAAGAAATTGTTGAATTGTTTGGGGATGAGGCCGAACAAAATACCAGCAGTTCCAACGAAGCAGCAAACAAGGAAGTTGAGGACACAGTACCCTTCCCTCATCTTCTAAGGTGACCATGATCTTTTTCCAATATTGTGGCAATTATTGAATTAAAAGTGGTTGTATATAATCAGTTTGCTTTGAAAATGTAGAGAATACGATATGAATGAAGTGCGAATATTGACTGTTGCAATTTATTTTATGCAGCACAAAGTGTCTTTGACTGAGTTGCGCAGTTTGAAGCATTAATTACAAAGTAGTAAGGATGAGTTGGCAAAGCTACGCACTTCAAATCGAGGCCCTAGGAATAGAGTGCGTGAGTTGGAAGGGATTGTAGACAAGAATTATTTGAAGCAAGAGGACTGTGAAAAAAATAAAAAGGCTATTCGCGATTTGACCCGCACAATTGCTTCAATCGAACACTATTTAAAGATGGAGATGAAGGACCTAAAAAAACAATATGGTGGAGAAGCAGATGAGGAAGTGTCTACTCCTCATATGAATGAAAGAGGGCAGAATGATATGTCACGCTTAAATGAACCTATTAGTCCGACTACAACAGAGGCTGAACTGGAAGCAGAAGTCTATGGTGATGGAGTGGAAGCGTTCCCAGCCATGCATACACAAGGGGCTCAAACGGAAGCAGAAGTCAACGGTGATGAAGTGGAAACCTTCCCAGCCATGCATACAGAAGGGGCTGAAATGGAACAAGAAGTACCCGGTGATAGAGTGGGAGCCTTCCCAGCCATGGAAGTTGAAGGCACTAAAATTGAGACTTCAGTTGGGGACAAACAAGTGCAGCAACAACCTGACAAGGTTCCTACTTCTGAAGATGTGAAGGTTCCTAGTTTTGAAGATGCCAACCTTCCTACTCCGGAAGATGGGGATGGGTATAGAGTTATTTAGAAAAAACTTTTAAAATTGTTAGAGGATTGGAAGAAGACAGAAATAGAGGCGGTGGGAGGCAAGCTGAGGGCTCGCAAGAAAACCAAGTTAACTGTGGCTAGTGATGAAGGGAACAAAAAAGTTACAGCCACGGTTCAGAAACAAGATGCGGGGGGCAAAGGGTGCAGAGTGCAACAGCCAACGACAACATTGTTGAGTCCATTCACCGATCCCTACAGGAAAAAGAGGACGCTTACTGATTTAGATGCACCGATACCCGAAGCTCGTTTTGATCCAAGAAAACTCATGGCCATGGACGATGTGAATGCAGTAATACAAGTTTGCAGGGCTTGGCAAAGTGACATCAAGTTAGGATTTTGAACTTTCCAAAACAAATATACATGTTTTTTGTACTATGCAATCATGGACAATAACTATATCTAGGTAGCTATAACATACATGTGTAAGTCCTTATCCTTGCAAGTTTTGCGTTTGTAGTGCGGAGCTCGAGCTCGAACCATTTGTAGTTGGGACAAATTTTTTTTACAAACTTGTAGATGAAACTGCATGGATGAGTTCAAGAGTAAGAATTGAAACGCTGCTTTATTCCTATGACTTTATTCTTTTATGCCCTTGAGGATGTGTCATTTGTTGTTGTATTGAGGTTGTTTTTTTGACCTCTGCCTGTTAAGCACCTGGACATAGCGATGTTTCTAATATGCAAAAGACAACTTTGTCATCCCTTGGTGTTTGGAACGGAGTGGACTACTGCTGATTTTTTTTGCAGGTATTACTGTTGTTTGTGCCTAATAAATCACGGTCATGAACTGATTGGAGGGACTTCCCTGCGGCCCTGGCGCCTACCGTTTCGTCAAGCATTTCGCCTTCCTGAAAACAAAAGAAAAGCTGCAAAGGCAGAATCCTCTCGGCCTCGCGACCACAGTATTGAAGGCCGAGGCCGAAGGCCATAAAAGACACGGCCTAAAGAAGCTATGGTTAAATCGCCACATGGCCTCAGGGCCCCACGCTCCATTTAATGAAGTAATGCCTCTGACTTCGCAGCAAACCCACTAGTTGCAAGAAGCATTTAATGCACAAGGGAAGTGACTGAAGTCAGGATTTGGTGATGGAAATCAGGGTGGTTAGGCGCAGACATTCTCACAAGTAATCTTGCGACTTGAGGTCAGAACACCAACCACCAGACCAGGGCATTAAATGCGTTCCCACGGCCAAAGGGGCAGAACCCACGATCAGGACAGTGGCAGAGATTTACCAAGATTTATGGGGGTCACACCACCATGCTTCTCAACCCCAAACCACCATGCTTCATGATCCTAAATGCCGATTTGACTACCCACTTGCCCTGATCAGGCTCCACCACGCAGGTCTTTTCAGCCTCGATTGTCTCTCCAGGACTCCTCCTATAAATACTAAGCTCAGGACTACATTCAAAGGGTTCAAACACCAAACCAAAAGCCTCCCACGGAGGAAATTATATTTTTCTGTAATGCACTTTCAATACCTTTATTCGCTTTCCTAGGAGTAGTGGTAGATTGTAAGGAAAATCCATTCATCAATATATCATACGACCCTTGATTTTCAAGGCGCCGGAGCACCATCTCTGTTATCGTCTCACTCACCCCATATATCATACGACCGTCGCTCTCTGAGCAACGCACCGGAGCACCGCCTAAAACCCGCCACCAACACCACCACTAAACGGCCTTGTAGCTCAGGCCATGAACCTGACAGCCGAGATCAGTTCCTCTCTCGGCCACAATCATTTGATTAGGAGTCGAACGCAAAACGGGCGCAACATTTAAACCATCTTCTACCCGAACCTCATCATCATCTCGACGCACGGTAGACCGTGCTGGCACGCCCGCGTACAACCGCACCACATTCAAAAGAAGGACGTCACGTGTTGACGCACATCACCTCGGCCTGGGGCACCAGGCCGTGAGATTCGCAACAGCCAACAACTGTGTACCTTTTTTTTAAATTGCATTTGTTGGATTCAGTGTGAGTAATGTTGTTGGATGTGTTGGGTGCATTGGTTCTTGTTTATGTAACATGGCATTCACCCTTGTTTGCAGCAATTTTTACAGCCGTTGACAAAGCCTCGTACGAAACGAGTTACGACGACACAAGCTGCTTCAAGGACCGTTGACCCGCCACCTAACTACGTCAGAAATATACAGCACTTTGTCGACGGTACCTGGCAACATGGGTATGCGCAAGCTTGGACAAAACTGCGCAAGGTCTATGTCCCATATAATGTTCGACAGTGCCATTGGGTGGCTGTAGAAATCGACCTTGTCCGACATACTGTCACTGTGTATGACTCATATACTGCTTTTACCTCCAACACGATGCTTGGTAGATATATGGAGCCTATTACCCATATGCTTGCACAGGTGCTTTACGAAATGCGATTTTATGAGAAATCAGAGGTTGAAGCGGTAAACAAAAAGGGGATTGACATGTCCAAGTTTACTCCTTTCTCAATTTGCAGAATTCCAGATGTTCCTCAACAAACTGATGGGTAAGCTGTGTTCATTTAATGCAATTTGTGGATGTTGTGCACTTTTAATCTGTGTACTTCTTTGGTGGACAGTACCTCACGCGGCATTATGACAATCAAATTCATTGAGTATCTAAGTGCCGGCATTCCTTTTCATACCATTGACCCTTCCAAGTTTGGGTACTACCGATTGAAGCTTGCAATCGAGGCGTTCAGGGGGGAAGCCGGTGTATGAGGTAAAATTCCAAATCTCACCTCATTTTAATTAACTGTCAAGTACTACCTTAGAAATTCAGTATTAATATACATCATTTTAATCACGTCTTCAGTAATGAGTTGTGAATTGAGTCTTCATTTAATACAACTGATATTATTTTGGCACCATGTCCAAGTTTGATGAACAAAAAAGCCTCCTTTTGTGCATCAAACTGTAGTGTACTTTTTGAAAACTATAGATGGTAACGTACATCTTTTGCACATGGCATCTCATTTCAGTATGTCATATGTTCTGAACTCCAAGTGTGTATCATCCAAAACTCTTTTCATGTTCATTACGAGAGGTTAATACAATAACTTATTACAATTAGTAGTTACAATTTTGGATGTTAAACTTTGCCTTTATCTGAATGTTGTTGTGGCACATGTGTCCTTATTACGCTGGGCTTCCTTCCAGGTTCATACACGCATTGACTTCACTGAATATGTGGACGTACGTGACAGAAGTTGCAAGCTATTTCCTCATTTTGTAAATGAAGCCTAATGTGATGTATTGCCTTACATGCCACTATTTTTGACCTTTTGTACAAATGGCAGATCAAGTGTTGTCATTTTGTGGTAGGAATATGGTCCTTGTCTTCATTTGTCTAACGTAATTCCCCACTACTTGTAATCCATACCACAATGGCTGTACTAACTTCTATCTTACAATGCATTTTTTGACATTCTGTAGTTCACATGTTTGGTACAACTGCATATTTAATCAGATGTACAGGTTATCTTTCATGGATGTACAAAAGTCGCCCATCCTTGCATTCCAAAAGTGTATTCATGTTCATTCCCTACTGTATTTATATGGATTTCATATAACCATCGGCTTTCATATGTAGTTATTTTCCAGTAACTGGATATAAGGAAACCAAGAGCTTTGTGAAATGATAATGCTGTTCTCAACGTTGTGAACTGGTATTGTAAAACCAATGGCTCCCCACACAATAAAGCAGCAAAAAAAAGCAACATACGTACAATATGGTGCCAATATGAGGGCAATAAACTTACAATACGCACACATCCAGTTGACAGTACTTTTAATTTTTACAAAGTTAATAATTTGCCACTCATCCATTACAATACGAGTAACGCCTAAACAAGGCACCACATTCATTCACATGATAGCAACCCCACAAAATGATTCCAACCCACTCTTATGTTGCCCTAGCTGGTCTAACCCTCCCAAAATCAAAATGTTTACAGGTACATCAATAGATCCATGTCCTTGCTCTTCTTCCTTGCTGCATGCACAAGGCTATGATCAGCCATTCCCTGTCCACACATATTTAGAACCTCCCACACACCAGCAACATCTATTTCGCTCCAATTGTAGTCTGGTGAGACGACCGAAGCATAATCTCGGAACATCTCGAACCCATTGTTAAAACATTCAACCATTTCATGGTTAACTTCTTCAGATTTAGTGAACTTTTTGACAGCATCTTTCTTTGTTTCCTCCAATTTGTATTTCAATGAGGCTAACTCTGCGCTTCGACTTTTCACTTTCATTGTTTGCTTCACTTCTCCAGCGTAGGCTTTGTTCAACTTGTTCGTCAAGTTTCCCATCACCTGGCCATGAATACCACATTTTGTTTCCCACCAATCCGTAGCCCTAGACAAATATTGGAGGTGATGCTTGACTTCAAATATTTTGTCTAGCGGATCATTGTTGTCAACCTCACTTCCAGATGAAGTGGGGTCGTTATGTGGAGTCCCAGGTGGAGATGGGAACGGCACATGCCATGGCTAGTCTCCCGGGTAACTGACATGGTCGTTTGGAGGGGCAACGTCTAACATCTTCAAGCATCGATGGGGCAAATGCCCACGTATTGCCTGCAAAACAAAATACGTTATATTCAATTTGCAGTTATGATTTGGTAAACAACAATAATGTGAGGTTTAGTACAGCTTTGGTGTCTTATATATAGGAAGGACTGTTTTATATTGAAATATTTTTATTTTTTGGTCAAACAGTACTGTTTTATATTGAATGAAATGAGTAAGTTAGCCCCTCATATATTGAGGAAGTACTGTGTTCTATATTGATTGCAAACAGTGCATTACACGTCATTGTGCACACATTACTCCTGTCTGTCAGTTAGAGCATTGTAAAAGGGTTATTTACAGCTGCACCAAATGGGAGTAAAGGTATGTCAACATTGACATAATGGTCCATACAAAAATACACACCTCAACAACTGTAAATACACAACGGAAAAAAAAACAAAACAAAACTCTATACTATATTCATATTCAGGTATATAACATCGGAATAATAGCTTACTACGAAGTTTCATAATTCTCAATTTACGAAAAACAATGTCATGTATAGTTGCTCGCCATTTTTTTAATTCAAAGAAAATGCAATATGCCTGGAAAACACATGAACAGATTTGCAAAAAACTGGACAATTCGGAATATCCCGAAATATTAAAAAAGGGAACTCATATAAAGGAAATTGGAAGAAAGCAAAAAGGAGATTTCGAACGCAAACAATTTCCTAGTCCACTTGTTTAAAAGTCAAAATTGGTACATTGTGAACTGACCGTACTCAGAAATTGGGACTTTTTGTAGTTTTATTACAGGAGGGAAATTTTTCAATGAGAACAAAAGGAATAAATTGAAAATACAACAAGGACCGTATACAACAAACAGCAACCGTGTGCACCAAATAGTGACATACCCATTCACACAAACCCCAAGTCTGACGTCCCGCCCAATAACTCCCGCCAAAATATCCACCCAACAACTCCCGCCAATAACTCCCGCCACTTGCTCAGTCTCATTTACTTAAGGTCATTATTACCTCCCACTATTTAACTGTAGCCCAGGTGCATGAACCACCATATTTCCATCACATTAACTCCTGTAAACCCTGTAAACCTCACACCTTGCGCATAAATTTCACTCACATCAGAATAACTTCTAGTTTGGGCACACTAATTCCTACACCAACCCGCACTAAATACTCAACAACCATGGAGCCAAACCCCCCACCAAACCCAACTGTTTCCAATACTGAAGGAGGGGACACTGAAACAGCTACCAAATCAACACCAGAAGTGACTGCAGACTTGGTCCATGGACTGCAGCAATGTCGAGCCAACACCATATTTTGGAAAAATTGTCGAGCCAACACCAAATGTTGTGGAGATAGTGTGTAAAATGGAACTATGAGGTGGCCTCTTTTTGTATTATTTAAGTATGAGGTGCCTGTTTATTTAATTTGTATTATGTCAGGTTGAGATGCCCTCTTTTGAAATTGGTTTTGTATTATGTAAGTTTGAGGTGCCCACTATTTTTATTTTTTATAAAGACAGTTTGTAAAAGGTAGTACATGTTATTTCGATGCATTATTTTGTGTTCTTAAGTACATGGGTTCGTTTGTGGAACAACAGTGAACCTTGCCTGTTAAGGGACTCATGTTGTATATATATACAAGGGATGCCTTTCGAATGTATCCCACTAAGACAACAAAGATGACACCACAAAATCTCCTGCTGTTTCCTCTTACAGCCCCTAAATTAAGCATCGGATTATAAGTATGATATAATATGAATAGTAAGCAATAATAATACATAGCTTACAATGCAAAGCCAATAAAAGTACAATACAAGGCAATATAAAATATATAAAGTGCCACTAGAACACCAATAGCTCAGCAATATATGCCAATCAAAAAGCAACGAAGAAGGGCATGTACTGTATTTGCAACTGTATACCATGTCGTAGTTGTAATAAATTAAGGGTATGACTCAAAAGTAAATGTGGTAGTGGGCCCGACCGATGACAATGGAAAATATTGAAGAAAAAAAAATTACTCGGAAGAAAATTGACGTGGAAGGCGCAACACCACATTTTGGATCCCCAGTCAGTCCATTATTAATGTTGGTGCGCTCAGAAGGTTTTCCCTCCACTGGGTGCACACACAAGTAAATCCCATTCAATACAAGCTGACCCTTTTTAGCAGCCTCAATATCGCAGATCTTGAACAAGAGTTCATTAAGACTAAATAAGGACATGAGTAGGAGAAGCCTCCATAGCAGTGCGGCTAAGTCAGTCAGCTCTCGGTTGCACACTCAAGACTCAACTTCAAGATGTCGACGGGACATGGAAGATGTGAGTTCACTATGGTCACGAGTCTGCTACTGTGGTAACGTTGTCAAAACGCATACATCATGGACAATTTCTCATCCTGGAAGGAGGTTTCAAGTATGTGGAAGGGTAAGTTGATTGAAGTTTAGTTTTGTGCTTAGGATGCTGAAATTTGGGATTGTTGTGGATTAAAAAAGTGATGGTGCGCCTATGCGTTACAATAAATTGTTTTCATTTATGCAGAAGAATGGATGCACATTTTGGGAATGGGCTGACCCAGAGATGTGTGACAGATTGAAGCACATAATTCCCGACTTGCTTAAGAAAATAAATCGGTTGGAAGAAGAAAAAAACTGTGGAAAAGGCAAGATGAAAAACCCCTGGTTTTGGGTATCTCTGTTCATGTTTGTAATGGTATTTTATTTGTTGTTTGGCAAAAGTAATGGGAGGTGTGGTCATCTACAATTGGTAGGTTAATGTTGGTTAGGTATTGGATGTAATGGAAGAGAAGAGATGTATTTTAGATATGTTATGGCAGACATGGTCCTTTTGCATTTCCTATTGATTTCCAATTGCTATTCAAAAGGCATTGCCAATATTGTGCACCTATCTAATTTTGGGTAGGAACTGTAATGTACCTTCAATCGTCATGACAATGAATCCACCTCAAACATGACAAATAACAAAATAAACGACGATCACTCCCCTCCCAAAACTAGAACCATATTAGGTAAAACAATAGCACAGTTGACCTTGTAAGTGGCCCACATTTCCCCCTTGTGTTGTCTAAAGTTGCAATGAGAAATGATGAAGTACTACCAGTGTCACAATAATGGTGTAACAAATGCATTTGAATGAGTTTTATGTACGGGATGCATTTATGGTTGGCCTTCTAGGCCCTTTCATTTTGGACACACATTTTACTTTGCGATACCAATATGACTACAAAAAAGGTACAATACAATATGAATACAATCACAAGAAAAATACAATACCATGGCGATAGTGTCAATATAAATAGGGAATACATGACATTCTGTAGCAAAGGAAACCAATATAAGCCAATGTCACTGAAATCACAATACACATAACACCAAATGCAATACAATTGAAATTGAAATGAACGGTACATAACAAACAAACATAAATGATAATTTGTAAGACACATGTGGCAGTGGAGCAGTATTTTGCACCTGGTTTGATTGTGACCCGGGGCACCGCATGTTCAACAATGTGTACTAATACTGGCCGGTCATTGAAAGGGACTTGTTACCTTGCGTTTGTAAGGCTGCCATGACCGTTAAGTTAACTGACTTTCATGCTTACAGCATCACCGAAGCTATTCGTCAACTTACCAGTTGATGAAAACAGGCATAGAACCTAAACAATTGTCACCTCTACGCAACCTGCTGCTTGTTGGTGACGGGGATAGATTGTTTGCATGTATTTCGGTAGTGGCCCTTCACACCGCACCTTGAGCATTTGTTTTCATGCCGGTCCTCTCCTTTAGAAGGTATTCTTTGTGTTTTACGACGCCATAGTATAACCTTAGAAAGAGGAGGGAGGATTTTTATATTGTGCAAATGTTCGGGAATAACCCATGTCCCTTGAGGTGGTACAGGATAAATGGATTCAGCATATGCAGCTGCCCATGTTGCTCATGTGTAATACGAAGAGGCCAAGGAGTCTGGGTTCAATTTCAAGTGTCGACATACCGCAATAGCATGCTTGCACGGGAGTTGCTCTAAGTCAAACTTCATGCATGTACAACTATGATTTTGCAAGTTCACCAGCCCATTCATATCACCATCCAGAACATCATACTCCCCATCATTGATTTTGACCACATTCATCTTTGAAGCAGCGTCTAACCTCTTCCTTAACTTCTTTTCGCCTAAATCAGGGCACAACGTAGATTGAAATTTCCTTGCTAAATCTCGACGTTGACTAAACCAATACAGAAGCATATTTGTAATTTCGTCAATCAAGTGTACCACCAGAAGCATCCTTGCAAAATGAAGAACTAAATTTATGGACTCCACAATATTTGTTGTCATCACATTATATCGTCGTCCATCACAATGGGCTTGAGACCACTTCTGGAGGCCTGCACGTACTAGATAAGTTCGCACTCGGTCATTGTTTATCATGGAGAAGTGACGATTGAACTCCCCCAGACGATACGAGTTCGCTGCCCTTACAAAATACCCCAATATTGGATCCCGCTGCTTCAAGCGAAATGAGGCTTTCATATTGCCCTTCAAGTGATAACAGCAAATTCCATGTGTTGCCCTAGGAAAAACTTTTTTCAACCCATTTTGTATGCTGACATTTCGATCAGATATGACAACAAGATTCGCGCAATCACCAATTGCATAATGTAGTTTTGTCAAAAACCACTCCCACGCTGCATCCGTCTCCAAATCTCCAATCCCAAAGGCAATAGGATATATATTACGATTTCCATCAAATGCGGTCGCAACAAACAAAACACCTTTATGCTTGCACTTCAAATGGGTAGCATCAACGACAATGACAGGGCGCATTGACGACTGAAATCCTCTTATGCATGCACCAATTGATATAAAAAAATATAAGAAGTGGTCGGTTGCATCAATCTCAATGTATGTCAAAGTTTTAGGATTTATACGCTCCAATTCATAACAATACGAAAGGAAAAGGGAATATGACTGTTCTGCAGACCCTCTAATTGTTTTGAAAGCTAACTCTTGGCTTCTCCACGTTGTAGCATAGCTTATGGTCACCCCAAAATTTGTTTTCACATCTTTCTTGATATCAGCTGGAGTATAAATGGTGCGCGAATCCTTGAATCTCCAATTCACACTGTCGGACAGCAGTCCAGTCGTAGCTTGAGGATGGTGACTAGTTACATACCTTGGATCACATTCATGAAACGGATCGTATTTAACAACCCTAAAGTCATGTAATCCAATTTTATATGCCCGAACTTGCCAAGGGCAAGGAAGCTGCCAACAACGAACACACAACCGACGCTTCCCAGATTGGACGGTTCTCAATCGAAAGTGGCCTCTAATTGCTGCTAAACTTATGATTTTTAAAAGGGAAACCTTATTTGGAAAAACTCGGCCAACCTTAAAATTTGCTTCCCAATTTATGCAACAAAGGTCTCCACCATAATCAATCTGTTTCAAACTCTGACCATGCATCAAATCAATCCGGCTTGTGTGCATTCCAGTTGAAATTGATTGTTGAGAAGGTTCAGATTGCACTTGTCTACACTGCACAGTGGAGGGTTCGAAATTGTTGTCCCCATGACGATGCATTTTTGGCGCAGAGTACGGTTCCTCTTCGTTGCTAGGTTCACACAAATCAGCAACTATGTTTTCGACACTTTCAAAATTAACATCTTCAACCCAATCCGTCCAATTAAATCCATTTCCACCATTTTCAGTTTCGTTCTCCCCAATGACCTCATTTCTATGTTCCACACCAAATTTAGCAGGATCATTGCTACTCTCAATGCTTACATTGCCATTGCACCCTCCAATACCATGACCTTCTATATTTTTCAAGCTTGCTATTAAAGGGGTTACTTTAGAGGCGATAACATCTGTGTTGTACTTTACAAAATATTGGACATCATCATTGTCTTCAACCCTTATGTGCTTATAGATAGATGAGGATAGAGGAACTGAATACTTCAGTGTCACAATGTCTTTGTTAGGATCTGCATCCATGATCTTATAAATACGCTAAACAAGGTCGGGAAACATTATGTTCCGTGGCACTATTATGCCTTTAGCCTCCCCACCTTCATAACTGTCAATGTTATCCTTCCGAACCCAACTTCCATTGTAGCATACCAATATTCCAACAGTATCCATTTCTGCAAATAACATCAATAATGACTAGACCGATTAATAACATTTAACCACAAAAATTAGGTCCAATAATAACATACGCAACTATCATTCCACTACCCATATCATCTTATGAATCCACAAATCTTCAATTTCAAATTGTAGCTGCTTCAACAACGAAAATTTATTATTTTCTCTATTTCCTATGATTTTGTATATATGTCTGGGTTCCAAGTTATTAACAAACTCAACTAAACATACCATGACAGCAAGATGCCCCCTCTAAGCTATAAGGGTTTTAAACAAATTGAAACACCTTCTACAGAAATATCATGTTGTCATACAAAATGAATTTTGCAGTATAATATGAAACACCCTCAACCATACTCAAAAATCATTTTGTATCACAACCTGTGCAGTATAATATCAATTACCAAATTGGAAACCAAAACACACAAACTAAACTTCTTACCAAAACAAACCCACAATAGCAAGAAATTCCCACTAAAATACCTCAAATTCTCTATTTAAGCATCTAAATTGAGGCTACAACTAACCTAACAAACCTATTTTTAGGCCACACAAAGTTAACATATTATTTTTCTATGTGCTGTTATTTTGGCCATTATCAAACACATTGCACTACATTATATAGAATTCAGTCAATTTTAAACAAAATTCAAGTTCACCACACAGATCCCACTACAGATAATAACAAAAACTACGAATTTCATCATATCAGAACTCCTCCAAATTGAAAAATTTAGCTTTTTTGCCCATGTGTGGAGAAAAGGGGATAAACGAATTTATAAGACACATCCAGTACAAAATCAATATCAGAACTCACATCTGTTCACAACAACAACTGAAGTCGCCACTGTGGAGTCGCGACAGTCACTTCGATGTGAAGGTCCACAATGGAGGTTGTGTGTTGCGCCGGCTTCGCTACGGTCAAACTAGGGTTCAAAATTTTTGGCCAACTGGTTTATGATGATGGATGGGTAGCGACCAAGAGCTGCTCAGTGCTCGCAACTTGGAGTTCAGCCACTATTTGGGAGACTACACAAACAGGGACGAGAGGACTTGGGAGAAGTTGCCTTTCAGAAAAAAAGTGCTAAAGAGTCTTTTATATGGAGGGCACTTAGGTAATTTCAAGTCCCCAAGTGATTATATCATAATAAGATTTTGAAAGTGATCATTTGAGAATACAAGTTTTGGAAAGTGATTATATCAGCATATTTCCCTTCTTCTTTTCATTCTCCTCTGTGAGTTCATCACTGCCATTTTGAACGTAGATTTCTTTCCTCTGTAAATCTTTTTTCTTCTATGGAGGTGTGATTCTCTCTTCTGTCATCTCTTCTCTCTCCTCTCCTTTCAACTCTCATCTATGATATCAGATTTCTCTCTTAATTTTATTAATTTAATTGTTAAATATTTAGATGACTGCCATCTCTTTTTTCAGGATTAGAGCTCGAGTGCTATTGTTTTTTTGGGGGGGCTTTGATTGTTTGTTGATGGTTCATTATGCTAATATTCTGCATTTTTTTAGGTTTTGATTTGGGGTTTTTGGGTGTGGGTTAGTTGCATTTGCTTTTTTTTTATATGTTTGGAGAGTGCAACACATCAATAACAGCAAATCTTTTCTTTTCTTAATCAGGACCCTGCCCTAGAATACATGACCCCAAGTTGAAAGAAAGGTGATTAACTGGATATTTTGTGTAGATTAGGATTTTCTTGTGGGAAATGTTACTCGGGTTTCCATCTTGCGTTTTTTCAGTGCATCCAAATTAAAGTCCTTCCCTTCTTCGCATGTCAACTTAATTGCATTCATGATTAATTGCTAACAATCTCCATTTTTATGAATAATTATCTGCTTTATATGCGTGGAATGATATGTTAGTTGCTTGCTGATGTTTCACATGTTATGATGTGCCGCTTTTTTCACTATTTTTTTAAAGGGTTCTGTTCCTGGTGCTTGAACCCTTTGCAAGATTATTTTTTTTATTTTTCTTATTTTTCTTACCTGTAACAGTTGATGAATAAATTTTTTTACACTACATGGAAAAGGGTATATCATTGCTCCCATTAAGCTTTCAAAAGTTGAAGTTTTTTTTAAAATATCTGATTATCATCTGAGTTCATTTAATACACTCTCTTCCTTTTCATTAGACAATTTGAGAACTTGCTGTTTTTTCTTATTTTTGGATTCATATTCCTTTGCATCACTCTTTGTTTCTGAAAATTTTAAACAGTTGCTGTTTTTTCTCATTTTTGGATTCATCTTCTATAGGTCTTAGCAAATGAAGTGAACATAAGGTATGAGGATATGAGCAATCAGCAGGCAAGTTATCTGTTTCTGTTTACAACTTTGACATGTCTCTTCCAACAATATGGCTGCGCTAACGAAAAATTATTTCAGGTTTTGAAGTTAAATGGAACACAAATAAGGAACATTCAGCATTTGGCGTACCTTGTAGATTGTAAGTGGTAGCACCCCTAAAATGATTTGGGCTTTTATTAATTTACTTGGCTTTTGTTTTGTATTTTTTTGAAGGCTTTTAAAAAAAAGTGATTTCAATACCAGATTTGGTTGGTTGGTTGGTTGGTTGGTTGGTTGGTTGCAAGCGATTTCAATACTTTGGTTATCTCAAACTTCAGTTATATCATATGTTTCTGAAAGCATGTGACTTGAGGTGTTGCATCTGGGGTGGGGGAGACGGTACACTCTGAGGGAGCTTGAGGCGGCCACCAATGGGCCCTGTGAAGAGAATGTGATTGGGGAAGGTGGGTATGGGATTGTTTACAGTGGGATTCTCAGTGATGGGACTAAAGTCGCTGTTAAGAACTTGTTGAATAACAGGTACTCGAAAAAAACTCTGTTATTTATTTATTAAAGATGAAAATTTAATGTGTGCTTTGTGGTTTCTGGATTAGGCAAGATTTGATGAGAAATTTTGGTTTTCTAATTGGCCATGGATTGGAATTCCTAGTTTGTAAATCTCTGTTTCGGTTGCTGAATATGCAAAATTGAAAATTTTGAGAGTTTTTGGCCTTTTCATTTTTGGGTGTTCAAATTGCAGAACCTTGCTAAAACAGGAAAGCTCAAAACTAAAAATAGAAGGTTTGTGGTTTGATTCCCTTTCTGCTTGTTATTCTTGTCTTGCGTCTGTTAGAATTAGAGAAACAACGTTTATGTTTGAGTATAAAAAAGAAAGTCACAGATTATGATTTTGTTCTTGCCAATATTGTTAATGGCCAGGGTAGACATGGATCGAAAGAGAAAGAGGAAGATTGTGACAACTCTAGTAGATCATGGCACTATTGATACCATTGCCACATCCGACCGATGGTCTGTATGGAGGGATAATTTGGCTACTGAGATGTTTAATGAGTGGATGGGAAATAGAGCAACATAACATAAGTATTTGTTGATCATTTGAATGTACTTAAAAGAATTTTCATGTTATTATTAATTTTGTGAATTTTTGGACTATTTTTATGGTATCTTCATGTGATTTCTTATTTTTAATTTTATGTACATGTTTTTTATTAAATTTAATTATTTCTGATATTAAATAATTTTAATAAACATTAAAATAAAATTTAAAAATAAATTTTGGTTGAAGTCAATGTAGTCCAACCCATACTTGTACCAAACAACGGACTAGACTTTAGTCCAGTGCAGTCTAGCCAACCTAATGTACCAAACAACTTATTAAAGTCCAACCCAATCTAAACCAAATCAGTCCAACACTCCAAGTCCAATCCTAATCAGTCCAGTCCAGCTCACCAAACAAGACCTCAAAGTACTATATCCTGCGGCATCAACTTAGTCATCCGATAGAAAAATTTGAGCTATGTATGTTAACAATCTATTTCCCAGTTAAGCATAGAAAATAAGGAGAAAAAAAGACAATATAAGAAAATAAGGACAACCAAGCGAAACAGGACAATTGTCGTGAATACAATCCATTAACCACGGAGGCGCCTCATCCATCCAAAACTATACGAGGAACATGCTGGACACATTAAGCACCTTTCACGGAGACTAAACAGTGCAATTCGATGTGCAGCCACATTAGAAATACGAGGAACATGCTGGACACAAATTTGGGTATTTGACGCAATGAAGCTGCAATTTTGTCACAAGTGATTGCTTAGCCATGAGTGATTGCTTAACAGAAACTGGACTTGTGATGGGGTAAAATGATGCAGCCTGACAAAAACCCTCAGATGGTCTATTCAAGAATTGTCAAGTCATGTCATTATCTCATGTCAATCCAAATACGCCATATCCAGCATTTGCAAACAAGAAGTTTGAGAACAGGCTGCAAGAAGAAATGGCATCCATTTCACCATCAATCATCCCCGTCTCGACCTCGACCTCGACCAATTTCTGAAGCTCATCAGGGATTGAATTGCGAGAACCAAACATATGTTGCAACAACAGTGGCATCAGAGACCTCAAGATCAGCTCTGATTCCTTCACCATCTATCTCACTTTAGAAAAACTGAAAAGAAAATATTATCATGAAAATTCTTTCAGAAGAAAACACCAAACAAACAACAATAAAGGACCAAAAAATACAATATCTATGAATGTGCTTGGTCAGATCCTTACATAATAAAACAGTGAAAGGCATTTACAGTGAAGTAAGCAGCTAAGCTGACATCTATGATTGAACCATGGGCTTCGACTCTGAAATCATGCATGGGAAATTTTTTTCAAGTCTGCAAGTACACATACAACAGAAATATTGCATCAAAAGGATCTAAACTACAGCAGCTTGTCTATTTAATAAGATGACAGATAAATAAAAATCCCTAAACTCTGAGGATAAAGAGTCCAATAAGGAGCCCAAGAAATGAACCCTCCCCTCCTCACCCTCTCTCCTTTCAAATCATGAAAGACCCTCATATCCCTATCCACCAAACAGCCTAGTAAATTGTCATTACATCAAATCTTCCCAAGAACATAGCCCTTTTCTTACCTCCCAAGAGTTTAAGCTTCAAACACAACAATGCATTACATGACGCAGGGTTAAACCAGCTGAATCTTACCTCCTTAACTGGCCGCAAACATACAGTTAAAGCTACTAGGCAGTGAAGCAGCAGATGGACCAGAGAGATAGGGCAAAGGAAAGTCGCCTCCTTTGAACCATGTGATTAGTATAAATTCCTCCATTGTTGAAGAAGAAATCGATCTTTGTGATCAGAATTACAAGAGTATAACATATCTACACAAGCTTCAAGCTGGTAACAGAATAACTGATGGGGAAGGAAGTACGGATGTGAGTTTGTGCCATGCCACCTATGTCAAAAAGTATCAATGAAAACCAATTTTTTATATAACAAACAAAACAGGGGAAAGACAAATGAGAAGGATAGAAAAAAAATAAAACATTACAATTTACAAAACAGGGGACAAGTTAACTTTTATCTTACAACTATGAGCTCACAGGTTATCCATAGACATTGATTACAATCTAAACTAGCTCAAATGAGACTCAAATACATTCTTTTTATGGAAAGAGTACCTAAAAATGGTGAGCATTCGATGCCTGCATGTAGGAATGTGTCGCTTGAGATATTCCAGCTAAACCTTTACGTTTCTCCTCATTGTGACAATTGTTTCGTAGAAAAACAAAGAGCTATATACAACATTAAATTCTCCTCCGGAAATGACACATAAAGAAACCTTACATATGAAAATATCTCCAAGAGAAGATATGCTGTCCTGCAAAAAAACAGATAATTACTCAGCATTTGAGACTTAAATAGGATATAAGTTGCGATCAGCAAAGCAACCCCAATGAGAAATAAAGTAAATAGAACCATAATTACTGAGCATTAGAATAATACAAATCAGATTGAGTTTTTGACAAAAAACGTTTATGGGATTGCATACCTGAGTGTTATCTGAGTTTTCTCATATCATATCATATAATGATGACTTGGTCATTTATCTTGATGGAAGGAATGTGAGATATCTTGGCCCAATCTTTTCCCGTCTTATTCTGATACCTTTTCTCCAGGGCAGAACAATTGTAGATTTCAAGAGAAGAAAGAGATGGCGGCAAACCCTCTTCTGGCAGGAATTGGATACTGTTACACTCACTAATCATTAGCTCTTGAAGAGAAGTGAGGTGTTGAAGTCCCTCTCGTGGCAGGAATTGGAGGTTGTCACACGCGTCAATTCTTAGCTTTTGGAGAGAAGTGAGGTGTTGAAGTCCCTCTCCTTCTCCTGGCAGGACTTGGATACTGTCACACGCACTAATAACTAGATGGCGAAGAGTGGTAGGGAGCAGGTGTTCCTTGAGCAATGTCTCAAAGATACTGCCACCAATTACAAAAAATTGAAGGGAAACAAGTCCTTCCAATCCCCAGTACTTTACCACTGGAGCCCTCAGCCTCTCACAACTACGAGTTAACAAATCTCGGATGTTGGGAGGCAAACCCCCTTCTGCAAATGACTCCAGATTTGGAAGATCATCCACCTGCAACAGTCGAAGGGCTGTGAGGGTGTGAATGCCTTCGGGTAATGACTTTAAATTCTTGCAGTCGCCGACTGTAAATTCATTCAAGTTGGGAGTGGGCCATCCTCCCTGACATTGAAAACACATCAAATTTGGACAATCATCGATAAACAATTCTCTGAGATGACTGAGATTCTCATTAACTCCTTCTTCAATGAAGGAAAGGGATTCCAGATTCTCACTACCCCTAATGTCAAGCTTCTTCAATTTGGGAAAAATGCTCACCCGGAAGTTCCTTAGTGAATCACAGCTATTCTCTATCCACAAAGATTCGAGCGATGTTAATTTGGCCAACGTCTCGTCAGGTAGGAATTCTAATCTCTTACAGTTCTGTATATAAAGTGTTGTCAAAGTAGTGGGTAACCCATCTTTAGGGAACGAAGACAACGTTGGACAATTCCGGAGACTCAAATGTTGAAGACAATTGCGATTGGGCAAGCATTGTGTGTCAACGAAATTTCCAATTTCCACGAGTAATGATAACAGACCCTTTTGGCATCCACCTTCTATTTCCAACTCTTCAAGAGATCTGTAGTTAAGACTACTGGTTGTTGTAGTACTGTTCCCTTCACCGTGTAAAACCTCACACCCAGACACCGTAAGCTTCTTCAAGCAAGGCAGATGACAAGGCAAGCTTCTGCTCAGCTTCGGACAGTTGGCTAGAATCAGCTCTTGGAGACGAGGGAAATCTGGACCATATTCGCTTCCACTTGCACTTGGTACCCATTCCTCCCACTCTGCCATCTCCATAAACTTTAGCTTCTCCAGTGATTGAAATGGCTGAATAAGAGAAGCTCCATTTCTGCCATAGAATTCCACGCCAATCATCTTAACAGACTTCATTCTTTCTATACAGAGCTCTTTGAGAGAGGGTAGCCGCCCAACTGGTGGCAGTGACCAACAATAACTACAATCACTCAGATGCATGACTTGTAAATTAGAGAAGGACGAGTCTCCTAACCAATTCGGGAAGTTGGTTCCACCGTAGAATCGGATGGTTAGTATCTCTATATTCATGCAAGGGTGGAGCTTGTCAAGTACATCTTTCTCCTTTTGGGAATCATCAGCATCCTCTGCACCCCATGCCAACTCTAACTCCTTGAGATCTTTTTTGTCCTTCAAATTGGCTTGCAATGCATCCCTAGCATCAGCTACATTTTGTAGCTTCAAAATTGCAAGTTTTCCTTGAAGCTGCGGGAACTCCCTCAATTCTCCTATGCTTGACCCAGCAGATCTGCCCACAACAAAAGTACTCAATTGTCTCAAACTTTTCAGCCTTCCCATTTGCACCGGCATCTCTTCAATTTTAGTTCCACTGACATCAAGATGATGCAAATTAATCAACTCCCCCATTCCTGCAGGCAATTTAGTAAGAGAGCTACAACTTGCCAACGTTAATTTTGTTAAATTAATCAATTTTCTGATGTCTGCAGGCAATTCAAGGAGAGAGGAACAATTTGACAATAGTAACGTCTGCAAGTTGTGGAGATTGCAAAGTACCCCAGGTAACCTTTCAATTGCGGTATGGGAAAGATCCAAGTAGCGCAAGTGAATGAGGTTTCCAATAGAATCAGGTAACTCAATGACATTTTGATAACGTGACAATGATAGCACCCGTAAACATCTTAGTGATGGCAACAAATGTTGTAGAACCTTTTTACTTACATAAAATTCTTCATAATATCTATTTTGTTTTAAAGAGGTAGGTAGGAAGGTCCTCAAACACTTAGCCCCATATAATGGCTCAAATTTTGAAGCAACATCAAATTCTCCCCTAGCATATGACAAATGACGAGCTCGTTTAACTTCACGTGATTCCACCCCTTCCAGCCTAAGGCAAAACCCCTTAGAGATGAACATAGCCAAGTCATGAATGAGGTCATGCATTGTGAAACTGAATTCTCTTGACTTTTGAAACAGTGACCGAGATAATAGCTCATCAAAGTATTTTCTAGCCACTGATTCCATAATCTTCCCATTATCAACTTGAGTAACTAAACCTTCTGCCATCCATAATTGAACTACATCTTCCTTTTCAAACTCATAATCCTTCGGAAAAACTGAACAATAAACAAAGCATCGTTTTAATTGAGCAGGGAGATAATGATAACTCAACCATAGAGCCGGAAGAATGTCAGCTGTACCATAGGGTAGGTACCAAATATTACTATTTAGTATTCTATTCCACTCCTCAGAATCTATATTGCAACGTAACAAACCCCCGAGTGTTTGTGCAGCTAAGGGCAACCCTTTGCACTTGAGTGCAATTTGCTTGCCAATGCCTTCCAAGTTTGAATTTGCACTATAGTTTTCATTTCCAAAAGCATGTTTAGCAAGTAACAACCAGCAGTCTTGATGTGACAATGGTTCCAAGAATTGAATGGGAACATTTTTCATTAAAGATGCCACATTTTTGTTCCGTGTTGTTACAATAACTTTGCTTCCCCTTGCCCCTGAATTAAAAGGAGTTTGGAGGCGCTCCCAATCACCATAATTTTCATTCCACAGATCATCCAACACAAATAAAAATTTCTTTCCCCTCAACTGTTCTCTTAATTCAACTTGAATCAAATTCAGATCTGTCATGTTACAAGGCTTTGAAGTGACTGACTCAAGAATAGTTTTAGTTATTCTAACAGCATTATAGTCTTCTGAAACACAAGCCCAAGCTTGAAGTGTAAAATGCCCTTTCACCTTATTGTTGTTGTAAAGCATTCGAGCAAGGGTTGTCTTGCCAACCCCACCCATTCCAACAATGGTGAGGACAGACACATCATCCTTGCTTGCATCATCAGATAGCAACACTTTTGATAAATTTTCTTGGACTTCATCTCTACCATATACACAAGATTCATGAACCAAGGAAGTTGTTGGAGTTCTTTGTGAAACCTTCCTCCTAGCAACTTCTCCCAGACCAAGAGCAATTTTCTGTTGTACAAAGTTTTCTAATCTTTGCAACAACTCTTGTATCTTAACATTCATGCTTTGATAAAAATGATTACGAGAAGAAGGGAGTAAGTTCCACACCTTATTGGTTAATTTGTGGGTTTGATCCTCACCTTCCAGCTTGCATCGCAAAGCTTCAGTGTCGATCTCATCCAGCAAGTCCTCTACATCAAAGACAGCATGCTTGAGCTCGTTAAGCCACTCTCTCACAGCAGGATTCACAATTTGCTTCTCCTCTGCATCATTGAGCACCACGAACAAAGTCAACAGGGTCGTCTTCAGGTTCATGAGGAGTGGTTCGTCGAGTTTCCTCTGCCGAAATAAGTCGACGAACTCGCGTGAAGTAATTCTGTCACACAACACCTGGACGGAAGCAGAGATAAGAGCCTCTCCGATCAAAGCCATCTTTTCTCTTCTCTGCAAACAGACTGCAAGGGATTTGGACGAAGTAAAATATTCCAAAATTTTGCAAGTAGCTAGGCTAGCACAACTTGTATGGAAGCTTTTTGAGATTGTAAATAACATGAACTTGTAATCTGGGCCTTGGAAAACTCTCTCTTTCAAGGACTGTTCCTTCTTTATTTGTGGGGCAACTTCTGAAAACTTTTCTGTGGCTTCACATGGGGATGCAATAATACTGTGTACATACAACACAATAGCTTTTTGGTGGCCTCGCATGGGGATGGGGTCCCCATGTATACGCAAAGTTGGACGCAAAAGCTTTTGAGAAATTGTAGGTGGAGTTCTTCAAATCACCCAAAACGTCCATCCACTCGAAATGCCAAGCCCCCTTTTGCCAACCGCAAATTTCAAATGAATGCATGCACCCACTCATAGGACATTGAGCTCGAGTAAATACAATATTATACGCTAGAGTAAATACAATATTATACGGGGCCAGCATAGGCCCACTGGGTGCACATGCCCCCACTCACACACGAGAAACCATTCACCCAAACCCATTTAAACTGATAAAAACATTCCTTTTACACTCCCCAAACCCACTCAAATTTTTTATTTAGTTTTCCTTTCCTTTTAATATTATATTTTTTTTGTCAAAAAGCATTACACTTTACAAAGGAATATGATTTCGCCACTCTCATTTTCTCCATTTACACTCCCTTTTGCTTTTTAATATTTTTTAATCAATTTTGTTCATTCTCTTTTCTATTTTACCCTTACCCTACATTCATTTCTTTTTACTTCACTTTTATATTAGTTATTTTTATATATACTTAACTTTTTAGCTTGCACTCCATTTTCAGTATTATTTTTTTCCTTTAATCGAGTAAGAAATTATTATTATTTTTTCCTTTTACTACTGAAAATGGAGTATAAGTTAGAAAATTAAGTATAAAGAAAAATAAATAATATAAAAGTAAAATAAAAAAGAAATTAATGTAGGGTAAGGATAGACTAGGAAATAGAAAGAACAAAAGTGATTAAAAGTACTAAAAAGCAAAAATGAGTGTAAGTGGAGAAAATATGAGTGGAGAAATCAACTCCCTTTACAAAACCCAATCCCACATCACCCACCCCCACCCCCACGACTCTTTCTTCTCCTCCTCCTCTAAACAGTTGCTTGCTGGTCTTTCTTCTTTTCTCAATGTCACGGTGGTAAGGTAAATTTACTTGGTTTTCCCTTACAATCCTAATGTTAGTGATCAAGTTAGGAGAGCATATTTGCAAAAAGGTCCTTGTCAGCTTAGAGTCCATAATTTCCCTTACAAGCAATTTGGAAAAACATTAAGAAGATTTAATCCTGCTTGGTTTGATGATTTTTCTACTTTGTTGGACTATAGTATAGAAACAGATTCTGCATTTTGTCTTTGCTGCTACCTTTTTAAACCAAATATTGGAGGAAAACAAGCAGGTGGTAATTTGACCCAAAAAAAAACAAGCGGGTGATAATTATTTCGTGGGTGAAGGTTTTTCTATTGGAAGAAGAAAAACATTATACATTAATGTATGAACTCTGTTTTTAAGTATGTTGTTGAAATTTCTACTCTTACTTTATTGTTTGGAGATGCCCCAAATTTTTTTTTTTTTTTTTTTTTTTTTTTTTTTTTGTCCCTGTTTGTAGGTACATATTATTGTTGAACTCTGAACATATATGTATGTTAATATATATTACTGCAATGTATGTACAAGTACATAAATTAATATTAAATATTAATGTGCGAAACTCGTTGAAATTCAAAATTTAGTTAAAAAAGAAGAAACAAAAGTTGGAATGGATGATTCGTTTGTTGTGCAGAAGCGTCAACCAACGGTGAGTGAAAAATAAACAACAACTCCACTTGGCAAGTGCTCCACTCAATAATTATTATAGCAGCTCACTTACCATGCAAAGACAAGCCACTTATCATGATAGTAAACAAAATCACCGAAAGTGATTTCCACTTTTGACTACTAATTGAGCCACTAATCAACAATCTCCGCATTGGCTCTGTACCATCATTAATCAATTCTTCCACTCAAGCCTGTCCTCCACTCAACTATCACAATGCAAATTCCAATTTTGAAGCTTGTTGAGACTGTAAATAACATCCTTGTAATCTTTAGCCTTGGAGAACTCTCTCTTTCAAGGACTGTTGTTTGGGGTAACTTTTGAAAACTTCTATTTTTTTCAAAGTTGGATGCAATAATATGGTAATAGCTTTTGAGAAATTGTCAAATTATGACCCACACTGGAAAAAAACTGGTACAAGATGTTGGAAACTTTTTTAGCTGATATCAAGTATGACCAGCAAATTCCAATTTTGAATAATACACAATTTCAAAAGGAGGACACGCTCATGAAACTCTGCAGTTAATTCAAAGAGAAATAGAACAAAACACAAAAAGAGATACAGATGTCGTTATTTGATTGGTTTTGGTTGGGATACTCATCTGAGATGCTGAACTGGCATCCCTTGTCTTTTTTTTGGATCGAAGGCATCCCTTGTTATTAAGTACATGGGAAGAAGGGTAGGTGGAGAAGTTGCTAGCTGTGCAATTTATTAATTTATTTTCATTTTTCTTTTCAACAAGAAACAAGGAAAATTTAAATACCCAACATAAAATGAAAAGGAAATATATCAGATTTAGGTGTAGGATTTTCTTTTTTCATTCCAGTTTTGTATAGTGACGCAATTTCAAATGGAGGACTTTACTCATAGATGTAAGCGGTGAACAGTATATTTTATCATCTTTTTTTATTTTTGGATTGGGTCGGATCAATAAAATAAGGATACAAGATAAACTTAGCAATTGTCCGTGTTCTTTTTGTGTGTGATTTCATGCTTTTTCATTGAATGTGACTTTATGTTGGGAGTCATCTCATTTGTGCAAATATTCAAAACTAGAATAACCAAAGAAATAAAGACGTTGCCTCATAAAGGCATAGATTTTAGGGACCTGTACCAAATTAGTAATAGAGCATTCTAAAACAAAGTCTTGAACAAAAATATATGAAAAAGATTGGATCATATATAATGTTATAGTTCACTCCAATTTATAATGTTTTAATCCCGTAATTACATTTAAATAGTCATATCTATGACAAAACATCCGTTTAATGACTACAAATGCCTAGTTTATTATACTTTTTTGTTGTTGTTAAAGTAGTGTCATAAGGACCATGGGCGGAACCACATTAAAGGCTACAGTGGGCTGTAGCCTAGTGTATTTTTTAAGAAAAAAAATATAAAACCTATATATTTAACTTATTTTCAATATAATTTGTGACCAGCAACCATAATTTACTGAGCAACAAAATAACAAAAAGCGTGAAATTATTAGGAATTTGGGCAATGTCCAACTGTATTTGGGTTTTTGGAAGAGAAATAGAATATGTGTTTTGGTTTTTGTATTCAATTAGAAGAAGAGAAGCAGTTTTTTAAAGTAAGAGAAGGCACATTCTTCACCTGACTTTGATTTGAGAGTTGAGGGTTGAGAGTAAAATATGGAATAGCTCATATTATATGATCACTTCGTTGCCTATCTGGATGCAAGGAATGTGAGATATCTTGGCCCAATCTTGTCCCGTCTTATTATTACACCTTCCCTCCAGAGCAGGACATCCGTGGATCTGTAGCCTTTGAAGAGATGGCGGCAAACCGTCTTCTGGCAAGCATCGGAGACTGTCACACCAAATAATACTCAGAGAAGTGAGGTGTTGAAGTTCCTCTCCTGGCAGGAATTCCAGACTTGGACACAATGTAATTTCTAGCTCTTGAAGAGAAGTGAGGTGTCCAAGACCCTTTCCGTCCAAAGATTTCAGAGTTGATAGAGAATAGATGATGAGAGTGTGAAGAGTGGTAGGGAGCAGCTGTTCCTTGAGCAACGTCTCCATGACACGGTCATTTCCACTGATATGAAATTGTTCAAGGGAGACAAGTGCTTGCAAACCCCAGTACTCTCCCACTGACGAAGCCCTCAGTCTCTTACAATTCCCAATGCTAAAATATCGGAGGTTGGGAGGCAAACCCCCATCTTCTGCAAATGACTCCAGATTCGGAAGATTCCATATAAACAAAGATCGAAGGGCTGTGAGGGTGTGAAGGCGTTCGGGCAATGACTTCAAATTCTCGCATCTACCGACATCAAAGTGACTCAGGTTGGGAGTGGGCAATTCTCCCTCGTGAAAACACACCATTTTTGGACATTCATAGACTTGCAAGTGATTGAGATGGCTGAGATTCTCAACAGCTCCTTCTTCTTCAATCAAGGAAAGGGATTCCAGATTCTCACAAGAACAAATGTTAAGCGTCGTCAATTTGGGAAAAATGCCCAACGGGAAGGACCTCATTGAATCACAGCTTTTATTTATACGCAAAGAGTCAAGCGATGTTAATTTGGCCAACATCTCATGAGGTGGGAATTCTAATCTCCTACAACGGTCTATAGCAAGTGATGTCAATGTAGTGGGTAGGCCATCTTTAGGGAACGACCACAGCGTTGGACAATTCCGAAGAGTCAAACTTTGAAGACGATTGCAGTTGGGCAAGCACTGTACGTCAACAACATCTTCAATCTCAAGTCGGGACAGGAGCTTTGTCTCTAATAATGATAACAGAGTTTGGCATCCATAAATTATTTTCAATTCTTCCAGAGATTTATAGTTAAGACTATTAGTAGTTGCAGTAGTGGCCCTTCCATCATGTAAAACCTCACACCCAGACACCGTAAGCTTCTTCAAGCAAGGCAACTCACAAGGCAAACTTCCTCTCAGCTTCGGACACCTAATTAGAATCAGCTCCTGGAGATGAGGAAACTCACAAGGCACCCACTCCTCCCACTCTGGCATCTCCCTAAACTTCAGCTTCTCCAGAGATTGAAATGACTGAGTCAGATAAGCTCCATCTCTGCCATAGAATTCAACGCCAATCGTCCTCACAGACTTCATTCTTTCTATACAGAGCTCTTTGAGTGCCAGTAGCCGTCCAACTGGTGGGAGCGACCAACAATAACTACAGTCACTGAGATGCAGGACTTGTATGTTAGAAAAAGACGAGTCTCCTAACCATTCGGAAAATTGGTTCCACCATAGAATCTGATGGTTAATTTCTCCAAATTCACACAAGGCTGGAGCTTATCAAGTACATCTTTCTCCTTTTGGGAATCATCAGCATCCTCCGCACCCCATGAAAACTCTAACTCCTTGAGATCTTTCTTGTGCTTCATATTGGCGTGCAGTGCATCCCTCGCGTCAACTATATTTTGTAGCTTCAAAATTGATAGTTTTCCTCGAAGTTGCGGGAACTCCCTCAGTTCTCTTATGCCTGACCCAGTAGATTTGCCCACAACAAATGCAGTCAATGTTCTCAAACTTTTCAGTCTACCCATTTGCACCGGCATCTCTTCAATTTTAGTTTCACTGACATCAAGATGATGCAAATTAATCAACTCCTTCATGCCCACAGGCAATTTATTAAGAGACCTACAACCTCTCAACGTCAATTTCTGTAAATTAATCAATTTTCTAATATCTGCAGGCAATTCAAGGAGTGAGGAACAATTTGACAATAGTAATGTCTGCAAGTTGCAGAGATTGCAAAGTACCCCAGGTAACCTTTCAATTGCGGTATGGGAAAGATCCAAGTAGCGCAAGTGAATGAGGTTTGCAATAGAATCATGTAACTGAGTGACATTTTGATAATGTGACAATGATAACACCCGTAAACATCTTAGTGACGGCAACAGTTCTTGTAGAACCTTTTTAGTTACATAAGAAGGGAAACCATTTAAAGATATGGGTAGAAAGGTCCGCATAAACTTAGCCCTATTTAATGGCTTAAATTTTGGAGCTGCATCAAATCTTTCCATAGCATATGAAAAATGCCGAACTTTTTCTACGTCATGTGATTCCCCCCCTTCCAGCCTACGGCAAAACGCCTTACACATGAACATGGCCAAGTCATTAATAAGGTCATGCATTGTGAAACCGAATTTGCTTGACTTTTGAAATAGTGATCGTGCCAATAGCTCATCAAAGTATTTTCTAGCTTCTGCTTCTATGCTCTTTCCGTTCTCGGCTTTTGGAATTAAACCTTCTGCCATCCAGAATTGAACTATATCTTTCTTTTTAAACTCATAATCCTTTGGAAAAATTGAACAATAAACAAAGCATCGTTTTAACTGGGAGGAGAGATAATGGTAACTCAACCCAAGAGCCGGAAGAATGTCACATTTATCACAGGGTAGCTCCCAAATACTGCTATTTAGTATTGTATTCCATTCCTCTGAATCTATATTGCAACGTAACAAAGCCCCAAGTGTTTCTGCAGCTAAAGGCAACCCATTGCACTTGCGTGCAATTTGCTTGCCAATTTCTTCCAAGTTTGGAGCACTGCAATTTTCATTTCCAAATGCATGTTTTGCAAGTAAGAACCAGCAATCTTTGTGCGACAAGGGTTCCAAGTGATGAACATGAACACTTTGCAGGACAGATACTACATGTTGGCTCCGTGTTGTTACAATGACTTTACTTCCCCTTGCCCCAGAAGTAAAAGGAGTTTGGAGGCGTTTCCAATCACCATATTTCTCATTCCATAGGTCATCCAACACAAATAAGAATTTATTTCCCTGGAGTTGTTCTCTTAATTCAACTTGAAGCAAATTTAGATCTGTCTTATCAGAAGACTTTGAAGTGACTGACTCTAGAAGAGTTTTAGTTATCCTATTAGAATCATAGTCTTCCGAAACACAAACCCAAGCGTGAAGTGGAAAATGTTCTTTCACCTGATCGTCGTTGTAAAGCAGTCGGGCAAGCGTTGTCTTGCCAACCCCACCCATTCCAACAATGGTGAGGACAGACACATCATCCTTGCTTGCATCATCAGATAACAAAATTTGCAATAGATTTTCTTTGACTTCATCTCTACCATAGACACAAGGTTCATGAACCAAGGAAGTTGTTCTTCTTTGTGAAACCTTCCTCCCAGCACCTTCTCTCAAACCAAGAGCACTTTTCTCTTGTACAAATTGTTCTAATCTTTCTAATAAATCTTTCATCTCAACATTCATGCGTTGATAAAAATCACGTTCTTTCATCTCAACATTCATGCGTTGATAAAAATCACGTACCTTCTTGGTTAAATTGTGGGTTTGACCTTCACCTTCTTCCAGCTTGCATCGCAAAGCTTCAGTGTCGATCTCATCCAGTAAGTCCTCCGCAGCCAAGACATTATGTCTGAGATTGTCAAGCCAGTCTCTCACTAAAGGTTCCTCAATTTGCTTCTCCTCTGCATCATTAAGCACTACGGACAAGGTCAACACCGTCGTCTTCAGCTTGTTGAGGAGTTGTTCATCGAGCTTTTTCTGCCGAAATAAGTCGGTGAACTCAGGCGAAGCAATTTTGTCACACAACGTCTGGATGGTAGCAGAGATGAGGGCCTCTCCGATCAAAGCCATATCTTTCTCTTCTCTGCAAGGGATTTGGATAAAGTAATATTCCAAGGTTTGCAAATAGCTAGCACAACTTGGAAACACAGGGTAAACGAAGTATGAAAGCTGTTAGGTAGCCTCACATTATATATATCAAGAATGACCAGAAAATTCCAATTTTGAATAACAACACAATTTTAAAAGGAGGACTTAGTCTGAGATGGTGACCTTGCAATGGCATCCCTAGTTGCGAAGAAGGGAAGGTGGAGAAGTTGCAAGATGTAGGAATTTTATTTTTTTTCTTTCATTTTTCTTTTCAACAAGAAACAAGGATAAACTTAACAACAGCACCCAGCATAAAATGAAAAGGAAAAAAAATGGAAGTATATCAAATATAGTAAATTATTTTTTATAATACATGCGATAATCTAAACTTTAAGAGTGAATGAGATTTCACACTCTACAAAAGTGTCATGAGAGTTCGAATATAAAGCCACTAATATAAATAAGGACTTTTCCACTCCGCTAAACCTATTGGCCAAATTTAATCACTTTATTTGTTAGAGTATCAGAATGTATAAATATAAAATGCTTTCACAATCAAATGTTATTGTGAAAGCAAATACAAATGACTCTATACATAGCTTCGTTTTGAAATATCATATTTCGTTTTGGAAACACTTCTGTAGCCTCACATGGGGATGGGGTCGTATATGCAAAATAATATTGGTTTAGCTTCACACTCACGCAATAGCTTTTGAGAAATTGCCGGTCGACTTCTTCAAATTGTTTGGGCCCACATTGGCACAAATGGTACAAGATCCTATCAACTTTTGATAGACTATTATCACCAGCAAACCGACAAAAGATGGTAGACTATTATCACCAACAAATTCCAATTATGTATAAGGCAAAACGTCATTTTTGTCTTTGTAGTTTACCATTTTTATCATTAAAGTGAGGTTTCAATTTGGTGTTTTTGCCTATGTGGTCTTCAATTCCAAGTAATTTGAGGATATTTTTTAATTTCTATCAAATTCTTCAAACTATCATTATTTTTTTAGAGGCATTTCAATTAACAAATAAGTAAAAAATTCTTTTATTTTAAAAATTTACCAAAGACCAAAATTGACGTTTTGTGCAATTTCAAAAGGAGGACTTTAGTGCTCATAGATCTAAGTAGTGAACATTATATATTTTCATCTTTTTTATTTTACAGTTAGGTCGGATCAATAACGCAAGGATGAACTTAGCAATTGTCCATGTTCTTTGTGTGTGTTTGTATGGTTTTACCCTCGTTGCCCATACTTTTCACATCAAACCAATAAATGGTATAGTACTCACGCTTGGAGTCATCTCATTTGTGCAAATATGTGTGAACACTAAGGATAAACTTAGCAATTGTCCGTGTTCTTTGTGTGTTTTGGGGAACTTTATGGTTTTATCCTCGCTAACCAAACTTTTCTCATCAAACCAACAAATGGTATTTGCTAGTATCAGATATTCATGCTTGAATCACACAAATTGCAAATTGCAGTTTGCTTCGATCTCTTTAAAGAGAGCGACATATTCAGCTAATGAGCAGCTGTATGTCTTGTAAGATTCCACCTTCGATTAATTACTAGGGAGATGTCCGAGCCAAGGCACCACCTTTCAAACCACCAAGGAAACAAAACCAGCATTCCTAAGAAACTCCAAGTGCCAACAAGTAATCTTTATTAATTAATTTGTTACTTCATGTAAAATCAGCTATAGCAGCAGCTGTATATAATTGGGTTCACATCTTTTGTCCCCATTTTCTCTGTATCCTCGTCGTCCCTTACCTAAAATCTTGACATCTGTTCTCTCAGAAAAAAAAAAATATTGATATCTGTCCATTCACTTAACATCAATATTTCGTTTGTTTGTGGGGCAACTTCTGAAAACTTTTCCATGGCTTCACACGGGGATGCAATATAATATTGTGTAGGTACAATACAACACAATAGCTCTCATGGGGATGCAATATAATATGGAGTAGGTAAAACACAATAGTCTTTCGGTGGCCTCACATGGTGATGGGGTCGTCTGTATACGCAAAGTTGGACCCAAAAGCTTTTGAATAATAACGCAATTTCAAAAGGATCTAATTGCAGTGAACACAAGGATAAACGATTAATTCATTCTTCCACTCAAGCCTGTCCTCTACTCAAGTATTAATTAATTTGTTACTTTATGTAATCAGCTACAGCAGCAAAGCCTCCGTCCTCTCCTGGCCTTCCAGCAAAGCCTCCAGATCCAGATCGATGCCCTCGGTTTCGATTTCACTTTATTTAAGTAGCAGACTTCTTCTATCCTATTTGCAAATTTACGTATTTGGTTTGTACAAATTTTCCAATTTCAATTGTATGCCTCCCTCTTGTAAACAATGGCGGACCCAAGAATTTTTCAGAGAACGGGCAATATTCGAAGAGGAATGCTAACAACCTTCTCTCTAACCTTCTCCTTTGGACATTCTCCTTTTTTTGCTTGACATGTGTAATTCTCCTTACACTTAAAACGATGTTATTAATATATTATACAAGCTAACTTTTGTTTTCCAAGTTTACCCATATTAAATTATTCAATTTATCCAAAAAAATTCCACAACTTTCTTACCATCTTATTAAAAAAAGGGACATTTCCTCTTAAAAGCATATATTTTCTTTTAAAAAAATAATTGACGTTAAAAAAAAATTAATAAGATGGTTTTCTAAGAAAACCTCAATATCTTCTCAAACTATCCCTAAATACATACCTAGCAGAAAATAAAAATAAAAATAAAAATTTATAAATAAACCCAATCCTAGACATGTATTTATAAAAAAACCCAAGCACTATTTAAATATAGAAACACACCCAAAATCAACCCCAAGATCAACAATTGTATATTTTTTGGGTGTGTTTATAAATGGGTTTTGAGTGTGTGTAATGATGGGTTTTGGGTGTGTTTATAAAGTGTTTTGGGTGTTGGGTTTTTTTATAATTTCAGTCCCCATTTTGGGTGTTTTAGTGAAACTCCCAAATAAAAAAACTCATCAACCTCACACCCCACACCCTGTGAACCTTTTTCTTTTTTTTTTTTTTTTTTTTTTTTTTATTCTCTCCACATACACTTCCGCTCGGTTTTTTTTAAAAAGAAATTTTAAATTTATTTTAAAATTAGAAAAAGATAATGGGTAGTTTTGTCAAAAAGCATTACAATTTACAAAACCCAATCCCACATCCCCCACTCCCACGACTCCTTCTTCTCCTTCTCCTCTAAACAGTTGCTTGATGGTCTTTCTATCTTTTCATAATGTCCACGGTGGTAATGTAAGTTTATTTGGTTTTTCCTTACAATCCTTATGTTAGAGATCAAGTTAGGAGAGCATATTTGCAAAAAAGGTCCTTGTCAGCCTAGCGTCCATAATTTCCCTTACAAGCAATTTGGAAAAACATTAAGAAGATTTAATCCTGCTTGGTTTGATGATTTTTCTACTTTGTTGGAATATAGTATAGAAACAGATTCCGCATTTTGTCTTTGCTGCTACCTTTTTAAACCAAATATTGGAGGAGAACAAGCAGGTGCTAATTATTTCGTGGGTGAAGGTTTTTCTATTGGAAGAAGAAAGACATTGTGCATTAATGTATGAACTTTGTCTTTAAGTATGTTGTTGAAATTTCTACTCTTACTTTATTGTTTGGAGATGCCCCCAATGAATTTTTTTTTGGCTCCGTCCTTTGTTTGTAGGTACATATTATTGTTGAACTCCGTACATATATGTATGTTAATATGTATTACTGCAATGTATGTACAAGTACATAAATTAATATTAAATATTAATGTGCAAAACTCGTTGAAATTCAAAATTTAGTTAAAAAAGAAGAAACAAAAGTTGGAATAGATGATTTGTTTGTTGTGCTGAAGCGTCAACCAACAGTGAGTGAAAAATAAACAACAACAACTAGCAAGAGATAAAAGAAAACACCAACAAAAACACCAAGATTTATGCTGGTTCAGTAATGCCTACATCCATTTTGGAGAGGACGGAGTATATAATCAAATGAGAGAATACAATAATGTTTAACATTCAGAAAACTCAAGCCCCACCCAAACATACCCAAGCTCACATACTCAAGAATACAAAGGGAATACAAATTGAGTACAATTTGAACAATGGAAAAATTCACCAACGGCAGCCACAATTCTTCTGCTGTACAACTCTGATTTTTCCTTCTTCCTGACTTCTCTCTCTCAATCTACATCTACTGGAGCAAATGGAGCTGCAATATATAACCAGAGATTGTCAAGACAATATTATTATAAGTTAATATAATAATCAAAATGGCTCACGCAGAAATCAAAACATAATGTAAACAATTCCATTGGTTAACTTATCATCCAATATCACAAAGTGATAGTCATCATGTAGTTATCGGCAAGTGCTCCGTTCAATAATTATGATAGCAGCCCACTTACCATGCAATGACAAGCCACTAGTCATGTGTAGGGGCTTTTTTCTTCCGACAGCTACAAATGGGCTGGGCTGCCGTAAGGAGGAAACTGAAGAAATCGTCCCCTATGTCTGAGTTCGAAAATTAAGCCCCAAAATACCTCGAAAGGGCAGTAGAGCCTTAAGAAGTATTTTGGTTACCTTCACCAATCAAAATAATGGCAGCTTACAGGTAATTTCTTCATGCTTACAGATAAACTCTCAAGCTCAGCGTGAGTGGCATGTGGCATGGGAGCAAAATCAACATGAGTTTAGCACTAAGAGAAAATTTAGGCTTGCTTTGAGGGAAAAGGAAGTGTTAGGGTAAGGAAGGAGAAGTTTTGTAAGAGATTTGGCTAGGAAAGGGAAAATGAAGAGCAGAGTTCTTCCGGCAGCTGCCAAAAGAGCAAAATGGAGAAGAAGATGAACAGTGCACGAGATTGCTGGGTATTTGTAAGTTAGAGAGAAAGCTTGCTCTCTGGGTCTGAGTTGTGGCTAATGGTGAAGTGTTTGGTGGTTTGGGTAAGTTTCCAGCAGCCTGACAAAAGTTATGTCAGACTCTAGAATGGCATGGCAGAATGGAAAGTGGGAGGAGATGGAGGATTAGGGCACGAAATTGCAGAGATTTCCTGGTGAGAGATGAAGCTTGCTCTCTAGATGTGGGTTGCTTCCGTTGGGTAGAAAAGGCCTCAATTTATAGCCGCTGAAATCACCATTCTTCAAGAAACCCTAATGGCTTCTACTTATTTTGGCTAAGCTTTTTCCTCCTTTCTCCTCCTCTTATCTGACTTCCCTATCTTGGCAAAAATTGCCTCTGTTTATTTGCTCGAATTCAGGAGATTTGGGAGCTCAATGTCCCCCTTTCCCGCAGCTGCGCAGTGGGAGCTTCCCTTCTTGGTTACTGTTTTTTCTTCTTTCCTTCCCCCTGCCTTGGCTAAATCTGATGAAGGAAAGGAAGTGAAAATATATGCTGGTCCAAAGGGTGCTTTTGACAGCGTGCAGGCCAGCATTCCTTGGTTCTTTGGGCGTCTCTGGCTTGGAACTTGCTCCCAGCAGCTTTGCTTGATGAGTTTGCCAACCTCCTTCACGTGTTTTCTGTTTTTCAAAAGAGCTGAAGCTTTTGTGGGCTATTTTGGGATTTTATAAGGGCCAATGTGGTTTCCTAAGCAAATGGGCTTTTTGTGAAACATTGGGCCTCTTGATTGGGCTTATTTTTTTGGTTGGGTTATTTCTTGGTTAGGTTATTTTGCTTGGGCTTTTGGGCTACTTTTCTCTCTTGTGCTTACCCACATGTTTGGGCCTATGAAATGGGCTTGAGTCCCGAGGCTCCCAAGCAACCCGGGACTTCCATTTCTCGACCCATCAATGGGCCTCATGACAATTTATTACCATCCATACCACAACCCACTCAAGCAAGCCTCGGGCATCTTGCGTGGCTTGGGCCCACTTAAGCTTGTGGCGTGATTAGGTGCGGAATAATAATTCCTTGCTTGGCGTGGCGTGTCGCTTGACGTGGCATGTGTGCAAGCGCATATGATGAACTTTCGCGTGCCCAAATCAGGTTTCTTCTTGGTAAAGCATCGCATTGGGCCGAGAATTTATTTAGGCCGAACCGTGAATATTTTGGGCCTCAACATCATGATAGTAAACAAAATCACCAAAAGTGATTTCCATTTTGACTACTAATTGAGCCACTAATCAACAATCTCCACTTCGGTATAGAAATATGGGATAAAAATATAATAAGTGTAGTATTACTCGACCAGCAAATTCCAATTTTGAATAATACACAATTTCAAAAGGAAGACACGCTCATGAAACTCTGCAGTTAATTCAAAGAGAAATAGAACAAAACACAAAAAGAGATACCGATGTCATAATTTGATTGGTTTTGGTTGGGATACTTATCTGAGATGCTAACCTGGCATCCCTTGTCTATTTTTTGGATCGAAGGCATCCCTTGTTGTTAGTACATGGGAAGAGGGATAGGTGGAGAAGTTGCTAGCTGTGGAATTTATTTATTTATTTTCATTTCTCTTTTCAACAAGAAACAAGGAAACCTTAAAACACCCAGCATAAAATGAAAAGGAAATATATCAAATTTAGCTGTAGGATTTTCTTTTTTCATTCCAATTTTGTATAATGACGCAATGTAAGCGGTGAACAGTATATTTTATCATCTTTTTTTATTTTTCAATTGGGTCGGATTAATAAAATAAGGATACAAGATAAACTTAGCAATTGTCTGTGTTCTTTTTGTGTGTGATTTCATGCTTTTTCGTTGAATGTGACTTTATGTTGGGAGTCATCTCATTTGTGCAAATATTCTAAACTAGAATAACCAAAGAAATAAAGACGTTGCCTCATAAGGGCATAGATTTTAGGGACATGTACCAAATTAGTAATAGAGCATTCTAAAACAAAGTCTTGAACAAAAATATATGAAAAAGATTGGATCATATATAACGTTATAGTTCACTCCAATTTATAATGTTTTAATCCCGTAATTACATTTAAATAGTCTCCAATTTATAATGTTTTAATCCCGTAATTACATTTAAATAGTCATATCTATGACAAAACATGCCAATGGGGAAGGAAATGCGGATGCGCGAGTTTGTGCCATGCCACCTATGTCAAAAAGTAGGCTTCTGCAGTTCAAGATAAGTAAAACCTGCTTTCATTAGAGGAAACAAAAACATTACAAAACAGGGGACAAGTTATCTACTGGATAAGCTAGACTACTCAAGCTAAACATCCAAACATTACAGGAATGAAATATAAAATACAGCAGCACTCCACTAGTAACATAAATGAATTCTAAAAACAGAGTGTGGTTGAAGACTGACTACGACATCAACATATAAAAGCTTTCATCTCCTGTCTTATAAAAGCATTTTTTCTTATGTCTAATAAAAAACCAAGGCTTAACAAAGAAAATGAGAGGGATGACAAACAGAGCTGAAACAAGCTTAATTCACTAAGAAGATTTTGTAATTCCTCAATGTTCTCTCTCGTCCACATAAGACCACCTGTTGATACTAAGATAATATACATGCAGTACCTAGGAAAGTACAACTTCAGCTCACCTGTTGAACCCTAAACCCTAATAATATACTGTGAGTTTTATCTTACAACTTAAGCTCACAGGTTATCCATAGACATTGAATACAATTTAAACTAGCTCAAATGAGACTCAAGTACATTTTTATTACAAAAATAGTACCTCAAAATGTTGTGCATTCAATGCCTATATTTGGGAATGTGTCAGTTGCGATATTCCAGGTGAACCTTTCTATTAAATAGTAAACCCTCCTCTGGAAATGACACATAAAGAAACCTTGCAAATGAATATATCTCCAAGAGAAGATATGTTGTCCTGTGAAAAGACTGCTAATTATTCAGCATTTGAGATTTAAATAGGATATAAGTTGTGATCAGCAGAACAAGCGCAATGAGAAATAAAGCAAATTTAAACAAAATTTACTGAGCAAAATAATAATAGAAATCAGATTGAGTGTTTGTGTTAAGTACTTTGTATGTGAGTGAGAGGGAGAGAGAGCTCATATCTTATGATCACTTCTTCACCTATCTTGATGCAAGGAATATGAGATACCTTTTCTACATGGCAAAACAATGGTCGATGCACAGATAAGAAAGAGATGGCAGCAAACGCTCTTCTGGCAGGAATTGGATATTGTCACACCCACAAATATGTAGCCTTTGCAGCGAAGAGAGGCGTTCAAGTTCCTCTCCTGGCAGGAATTATAGACTGACAGGCCATAATATATAGAGTGTGAAGAGTGGTATTGAGCAAACGTCTACAAGATATTGCCACCAAGTCCTTGCAAACCCCAGTAATCTCCCACCGAAGGGCTCAGTCTGTCACAATTCAAAATATGAAAATATTGCAGGTTGGGAGGCAAATGACACAAGATTTTGAAGATCATATTATCCCCAAATGTCAAAGGCTGTGAGGGTGCCAATGTGTCTGGGCAATGACTTCATTCTGGCATCTACTGACTCTGACAAAAGTAGGCTTCTGCAGTTCAAAATAAGCAATGAATATCGATGAAATCTTTTTTTTTATTTTTTTTATAAGAAACGTGCTTTCATTACCAGAGATATAAAAACAATACAAAACAGGGGACAAGTTATCTATTGGATTAGCTATACTACTCAACTACCACCACATATCAGAGATTAAACATCCTAACATTACATGAACGAAATCTAAAATACAGCAGCAGTCGAATCACAACATAAATGAAATCTAAACAGAGTGGAATAACACAGAGTTGCTGTGAAATGCGGGGACAAGGGTTTAACCTAGAACAACAAAACTTAACAAACAAAAGGAGAGAGATGATAAACAAGCTAAATTCACTAACAATTTTGTAATTGCTGATCGATCTCTCTCCTCAACGTAAGACAACCTATTGATACGACAAATATCAGGCCACAACATTAATTACAAACCCGCAGTACCTGGGAAAGTCCAAAGATTAATTCATGGCATGAACCTATTAACAGACTATCCATAGGCATTAAATTCGATTTAAACTAGCGCAAATGAGACTCAAATACATTTTTTTCCATATAAAAGTACCTAAAAATGGTGTACATTTGATGCCTATATGCAGGAACGTATCAATTGAGATATTCCAGGTAAACCTTTTCTGTTTCTCCGCCCTGTGACCCTCCCTCTGGAAATGCCACATAAAGAAACCTTGCAAATTTTGAAAAGCTCCCCAAGGGCCAAGAGAAGGTATGTCCTCCTGCAAAAAGACTGCTAATTATTCAGCATTTGATACTCCAAGTAGGATATAATTTGTGACCAGCAACAAAATAACAAAAAGCGTGAAATAATTAGGAATTTGGAGATCAAATTTGGGCAATGTCCAACATGTATTTGGGTTTTTGGAAGAGAAATAGAATATGTGTTTTGGTTTTTGTATTCAATTAGAAGAAGAGAAGCAGTTTTTTAAAGTAAGAGAAGGCACATACCTCACCTCACTTTGATTTGAGAGTTGAGGGTTGAGAGTGAAATATGGAATAGCTCATATTATATGATCACTTGGTTGCCTATCTCGATGCAAGGAATGTGAGATATCTTGGCCCAATCTTGTCCCGTCTTATTATTATACCTTCCCTCCAGAGCAGGACATCCGTGGATCTGTAGCCTTTGAAGAGATGGCGGCAAACTGTCTTCTGGCAAGCATCGGAGACTGTCACACCAAATAATACTCAGAGAAGTGAGGTGTTGAAGTTCCTCTCCTGGCAGGAATTCCAGACTTGGACACAATGTAATTTCTAGCTCTTGAAGAGAAGTGAGGTGTCCAAGACCCTTTCCGTCCAAAGATTTCAGAGTTGATAGAGAATAGATGATGAGAGTGTGAAGAGTGGTAGGGAGCAGCTGTTCCTTGAGCAACGTCTCCATGACACGGTCATTTCCACTTATATGAAATTGTTCAAGGGAGACAAGTGCTTGCAAACCCCAGTACTCTCCCACTGATGAAGCCCTCAGTCTCTTACAATTCCGAATGTAAAAATATCGGAGGTTGGGAGGCAAACCCCCATCTTCTGCAAATGACTCCAGATTGGGAAGATTCGAAATCGACAAAGATCGAAGGGCTGTGAGGGTGTGAAGGCGTTCGAGGAATTTCAAATTCGCGCATCCCTGGACAAAAAAGTAACTGAGATGGCTGAGATTCTCATCAATGGAAAGGGATTCCAGATTCTCACAATCCCAAATTTGAAGCTTCGTCAATTTGGGAAAACTGCCCAACGGGAAGGACCTCATTGAATCACAGCTCTCTATTATACGCAAAGAGTCAAGCGATGTTAATTTGGCCAACATCTCATGAGGTAGGAATTCTAATCTCCTACAATGGCATATAGTAAGTGATGTCAATGTAGTGGGTAGGCCATCTTTAGGGAAAGACCACAGCGTTGGACAATTCCGAAGAGTCAAACTTTGAAGACGATTGCAGTTGGGCAAGCACTGTACGTCAACAACATTTTCAATCTCAAGTCGGGACAGGAGCTTTGTCTCTAATAATGATAACAGAGTTTGGCATCCACCACTTATATCCAATTCTTCAAGAGATTTATAGTTAAGACTATTGGTAGTTGTGGTAGTGGCCCTTCCATCATGTAAAACGTCACACCCATACACCGTAAGCTTCTTCAAGCAAGGCAACTCACAAGGCAAACTTCCTCTCAGCTTCGGACACTTGTTTAGAATCAGCTCCCGGAGATGAGGAAAGTCTGGACCATATTCACCTCCACTTGCACTTCCACTTGGAACCCATTCCTCCCACTCTGGCATCTCCCTAAACTCCAGCTTCTCCAGAGATTGAAATGGCTGAGTCAGATTAGCTCCATTTCTGCCATAGAATTCAACGCCAATCGTCTGCACAAACTTCATTCTTTCTATACAGAGTTCTTTGAGTGCCGGTAGCCACCCAACTGGTGGGAGCGACCAACAATAACTACAGTCACTGAGATGCATGACTTGTATGTTAGAAAAAGATGAGTCTCCTAACCAATTCGGAAAATTGGTTCCACCATAGAATCTGATGGTTAATTTCTCCAAATTCACACAAGGCTGGAGCTTGTCGAGTACATCTTTCTCCTTTCGGGAATCATCAGCATCCTTCGCACCCCATGAAAACTCTAACTCCTTGAGATCTTTCTTGTGCTTCATATTGGCGTGCAGTGCATCCCTCGCATCAACTACATTTTGTAGCTTCAAAATTGATAGTTTTCCTCGAAGTTGCGGGAACTCCCTCAGTTCTCTTATGCCTGACCCAGTAGATTTGCCCACAACAAATGCAGTCAATGTTCTCAAACTTTTCAGTCTACCCATTTGCACCGGCATCTCTTCAATTTTAGTTCCACTGACATCAAGATGATGCAAATTAGTCAACTCCTTCATGCCTGCAGGCAATTTATTAAGAGAACTACAACCGCCCAATGTCAATTTCTGTAAATTAATCAATTTTCTAATGTCTACAGGCAATTCAAGGAGTGAGGAACAATTTGACAATAGTAATGTCTGCAAGTTGTAGAGATTGCAAAGTACCCTAGGTAACATTTCAATTGCAGTGTGGGAAAGATCCAAGTAGCGCAAGTGAATGAGGTTTGCAATAGAATCAGGTAACACAGTGACATTTTGATAACATGACAATGATAACACCCGTAAACATCTTAGTGAGGGCAACAAATCTTGTAGAACTTTTTTACTTACAGAACATCTTTCATAAGATCTATATGGATTTAAAGAGGTAGGTAGGAAGGTCCGCAAACATTTAGCCTCATATAATGGTTCAAATCTTGGAGCAGCATCAAATTCTCCCCTAGCATATGACAAATGACGAGCTCTTTTGTAACACCCCGACCCCAAATTTATCCCATGTTTTAATTTATTTAAGTGGAATTGAGAAATTACCCGTGGGATAGGGGTATTTTAGTCATTTTCTTACCCGGAAGGAATTTGGGAATTCCGGTTGTACCGTTGCGTAGAGCACGGTGAGATGAGTTCGTAGACACGTAGTGGGCTCGAATCGGAGTTGTAACGAGAGAGATATGATCAAAAGAAGCTCAGTGGCAAAATCGTAAATATTTTGAAGTGGGATTTTTGGTTAAAAGACGGAATTGCCCCCGTCTCTCTCACACTCTCTCTCTCCCGCGCGTCGCTCTCTCTCTCCTCTGGTTCGCGACAGCCACCGTGGCCGACCACGTTTTGGCCGGCCGTTCGCTCGTCCGGCCACCAAAGTCGACGGGGCCGGTACCAAAATGACCGGGCCGCCGTCCTCTTCCTACCCCGGCCAGGTCCCGCCGCCAGCCGCCGTGGTTTCGCCGGAAAACGAAGAGAAAAGCTCCGGTTTTGACAGAAAATCCGCCGGCTTCGTTCTCCGTCGTCCGGTCGCCATTTTTGGCGATCAAGGTATGGAAATCTATCCTTTCCTCATGATCTAGCTGATGGATGGGTAGGATTTCGTTAATTTTGAGCCTAGATTATCTGATTTTCGAGTTAGGGTTCGGCCGGATTTCGAGGGGAGATTCCGGCCACTTCCGGTCAGATTTTGGGGTACGTCCAAGAACAAAAGTGACTCCAAATTAGGTGTTTTACCTAGGGTAGGAGTCTTGAGCCGTGATTTGTGGTTTTTCCGGCGATGCGATATCGCTTTGGACACCCACGCGCTGCCGGCGCGTGTGGCGGCGCGTGGGCACTGTAGCTGAGGGGCATTTTTGTCCCAATGTGATCCTCTCGATGTCACGAGCGCGTAGGTGTGCTCGGATTTCATTTTGGTTACCGTTAGAGTCCCGAACGGATATTGCATATCGCGTATTTTCCGGGTTCGTTGGGTTTGGACCGTTGGATGGTCCTGAGATTATAATATGTTGATCTAGGTATTACCAGGATCGTGTAGGATTCGACGGATCGTAAAACGGAGTCCCGGATACTCCGGAAATGCCAACCCTGGGGTTAGGGTTTTAGTAACCGTCCGATCGCGTGATCGTGAGCGATCCGACCTTCCGATCTGGACCAAACTTGCAGGACGTGTGTCCGAGAGCCTATAGAACCTATAGGAACTTTCGGATCGGAATTTGGAGGTTGTGGGCCCCGCAGGCCCGTTTGACCCTAGGTTGACTGTGAGACTTCCGAGATAGTCTTACCTTTCCTTGAGGGTTAGGATGACCTTAGTGACAGGTCTTGAGTGTTGTTGAGTAAAGGATATTGTGGGTTTAGGATATAAATTGGTGAATTTAAATGGTGGGAGTTTATGGAATGTTTTATTGGTTGATGTTATTGTATGATATATTTAATTAATTGTGTGGAGGTATAATGATATATAAGGAGATTGAATGTTAGTTTGCAGTGCTATACGCACTACCCCACGTACCCCTCATATTGTGATTATGCTCAGGCCCAGTGTGAGGTCGCACGCGTCTTTGGGTTAGCCGGCGTGTTGACAGACCCCGTACGTGGCCGGGTGCGTCCCGACGTATGAGTGGGAGTTATGATTGTGTGAGGGCTGGTGAGAATGTAGCCAGGCCCAGTGTGAGGTCGCACGCGTCTTTGGGTTAGCCGGCGTGTTGACAGACCCCGTACGTGGCCGGGTGCGTCCCGACGTATGAGTGGGAGATATGATGGTATGATGGCTGGTGAGAATGTAGCCAGGCCCAGTGTGAGGTCGCACGCGTCTTTGGGTTAGCCGGCGTGTTGACAGACCCCGTACGTGGCCGGGTACGTCCCGACGTATGAGTGGGAGATATGATGGTATTATGGCTGGTGAGAATGTAGCCAGGCCCAGTGTGAGGTCGCACGCGTCTTTGGGTTAGCCGGCGTGTTGACAGACCCCGTACGTGGCCGGGTGCGTCCCGACGTATGAGTGGGAGCTATGTGATTATGTTGGGTGTGTTGTGATGGATAAACCCGAGAATGTATGAATTTATATGGATGTAATGGTTTAATTGATATCAGGAGCCAGGATTGATAGGAAAGAGCTACGTGTGGCTTGATCCCTTAGTAGGGTACGTAGGCAGCCTGGGATAGCGCCTAGGTGCAGCCACGACTTAGACACCACTTAGGTGGTTTTATCGAGTATGATGCGGACCTCGTGGTTGGTCCCGAAACTTGGTTGAATTGAGGCTTGTCCGGTGGACTGAGTGAGTGAAGGTGTGTATGGATGGATTTTGAATTGGTTATATGCATGTGTGATGCAGTAAGTTATTTTGAAAACAGTGTGGGCAGTTTGTTAGAATCATTGAAGGCCGGAGGCCATTTATGTAAATTGCATGAGATTATATTGTGCGTGCTGCTGGTTGGATTATAAAATGTGTTTTATGCAGGTGGAAATTTTGGGGAATGTTCAATTTACAGGGGAGACTCTGCCGAAATTTCAGCAGAAAGTCTCGTGCCCTTAATCCTCTTTGGTAAAAGAGGACATAGTTTTAAGGAGTGAACTCGGCATGGGTGTGATGCCGAGGTCTCCGCAGGGTTCGTCTCGTGTTCTGGGAAATTCGGGGCGGGTCCTGTCAGCTTGGTATCAGAGCTTAAGTTCAATTTCTTGCGGACCCCGCACCTTGTGTGCATCCTTAAGTTGTGGGATCATGATGGGTTCCGTCATGGGACGTCATCATTTTGACTCGGCGGACTTCTTTGACATGGATGGATTTAGGGTATTGATGAGTACACTTAAGGGTGCCACGTTCCTAGAAACGTGTCTATCCAAATTGTCGTATCTCAATATCCTATGGAAGGAAATGGAAGAGCTGAAAGTGTTGAATCTGCTGAGATGAGATGAAATTGTCAGAGGAAGTTGATGGACAAGTTACAAGCGAATGGAGGAGTTGTGAGTCCGACCAAGGAGGGTCGTGACAAATTAAGTTGAGAAGTAGTAGAGCTGGGTGAAGTATCATTTCACTCGCGTGAGCTTGAATGCCGCAATTGACAGGAGTGGAACTTTATGGTTCTTCTTCCTTACTCTCTCACGCAGTGAATTTGAACTCCAAACTTTCTTGGAAGTTCGGCCATTGGGAGTTTGACCGACGACTTGGGTTACTTCTGTCTACCCCTCTGGAAAGGGGACCAATATGAGAAAGAGGAAGAAGAAAGATACAAGGCCGTTGAGGCAGAAGTAGAGCTAGAGCTTTACCACAGACAGAGGTTGTTGAGTTCTTATGGGCAGGAGAACATGGAGTTGATAAACTTGTTTCTAGAGATCCTCCATTGCCTGAACATGTTGCTAATTCTCGATTGTGTGCTGTGAGCACGTTTGAGCAGAAATCTTTCATCGGAATCAGAAATGGGTCATGGTAGAGAGAGGAAGATGATGATTACAATTCGGTAAAAATGATCCTTTCTGACATCCCTCTAAAAGAATCGTGTTGGAAATATTGCTTATCGATTCTAAAGAAAGAAGGAAGATATCAACAAGTCAAAGAGTTTGGATTCTCTTCATGGGAGAGCTGGAAGAGAATCAAATCACAAATGGAATGACTTGGCTGCCAACTTGGTTGTGGAGGATGAAGTATGGGAACTCGAGCAGTAGATGCGGGCCCAATACCCACACCCTTTGGAGTGGCAGGTATGAAATTTCGGGGACGAAATTTTTATAAGGGGGGTAGTATGTAACACCCCGACCCCAAATTTATCCCATGTTTTAATTTATTTAAGTGGAATTGAGAAATTACCCGTGGGATAGGGGTATTTTAGTCATTTTCTTACCCGGAAGGAATTTGGGAATTCCGGTTGTACCGTTGCGTAGAGCACGGTGAGATGAGTTCGTAGACACGTAGTGGGCTCGAATCGGAGTTGTAACGAGAGAGATATGATCAAAAGAAGCTCAGTGGCAAAATCGTAAATATTTTGAAGTGGGATTTTTGGTTAAAAGACGGAATTGCCCCCGTCTCTCTCACACTCTCTCTCTCCCGCGCGTCGCTCTCTCTCTCCTCTGGTTCGCGACAGCCACCGTGGCCGACCACGTTTTGGCCGGCCGTTCGCTCGTCCGGCCACCAAAGTCGACGGGGCCGGTACCAAAATGACCGGGCCGCCGTCCTCTTCCTACCCCGGCCAGGTCCCGCCGCCAGCCGCCGTGGTTTCGCCGGAAAACGAAGAGAAAAGCTCCGGTTTTGACAGAAAATCCGCCGGCTTCGTTCTCCGTCGTCCGGTCGCCATTTTTGGCGATCAAGGTATGGAAATCTATCCTTTCCTCATGATCTAGCTGATGGATGGGTAGGATTTCGTTAATTTTGAGCCTAGATTATCTGATTTTCGAGTTAGGGTTCGGCCGGATTTCGAGGGGAGATTCCGGCCACTTCCGGTCAGATTTTGGGGTACGTCCAAGAACAAAAGTGACTCCAAATTAGGTGTTTTACCTAGGGTAGGAGTCTTGAGCCGTGATTTGTGGTTTTTCCGGCGATGCGATATCGCTTTGGACACCCACGCGCTGCCGGCGCGTGTGGCGGCGCGTGGGCACTGTAGCTGAGGGGCATTTTTGTCCCAATGTGATCCTCTCGATGTCACGAGCGCGTAGGTGTGCTCGGATTTCATTTTGGTTACCGTTAGAGTCCCGAACGGATATCGCATATCGCGTATTTTCCGGGTTCGTTGGGTTTGGACCGTTGGATGGTCCTGAGATTATAATATGTTGATCTAGGTATTACCAGGATCGTGTAGGATTCGACGGATCGTAAAACGGAGTCCCGGATACTCCGGAAATGCCAACCCTGGGGTTAGGGTTTTAGTAACCGTCCGATCGCGTGATCGTGAGCGATCCGACCGTCCGATCTGGACCAAACTTGCAGGACGTGTGTCCGAGAGCCTATAGAACCTATAGGAACTTTCGGATCGGAATTTGGAGGTTGTGGGCCCCGCAGGCCCGTTTGACCCTAGGTTGACTGTGAGACTTCCGAGATAGTCTTACCTTTCCTTGAGGGTTAGGATGACCTTAGTGACAGGTCTTGAGTGTTGTTGAGTAAAGTAGATATTGTGGGTTTAGGATATAAATTGGTGAATTTAAATGGTGGGAGTTTATGGAATGTTTTATTGGTTGATGTTATTGTATGATATATTTAATTAATTGTGTGGAGGTATAATGATATATAAGGAGATTGAATGTTAGTTTGCAGTGCTATACGCACTACCCCACGTACCCCTCATATTGTGATTATGCTCAGGCCCAGTGTGAGGTCGCACGCGTCTTTGGGTTAGCCGGCGTGTTGACAGACCCCGTACGTGGCCGGGTGCGTCCCGACGTATGAGTGGGAGTTATGATTGTGTGAGGGCTGGTGAGAATGTAGCCAGGCCCAGTGTGAGGTCGCACGCGTCTTTGGGTTAGCCGGCGTGTTGACAGACCCCGTACGTGGCCGGGTGCGTCCCGACGTATGAGTGGGAGATATGATGGTATGATGGCTGGTGAGAATGTAGCCAGGCCCAGTGTGAGGTCGCACGCGTCTTTGGGTTAGCCGGCGTGTTGACAGACCCCGTACGTGGCCGGGTGCGTCCCGACGTATGAGTGGGAGTTATGGTTGTGTGAGGGCTGGTGAGAATGTAGCCAGGCCCAGTGTGAGGTCGCACGCGTCTTTGGGTTAGCCGGCGTGTTGACAGACCCCGTACGTGGCCGGGTGCGTCCCGACGTATGAGTGGGAGATATGATGGTATGATGGCTGGTGAGAATGTAGCCAGGCCCAGTGTGAGGTCGCACGCGTCTTTGGGTTAGCCGGCGTGTTGACAGACCCCGTACGTGGCCGGGTGCGTCCCGACGTATGAGTGGGAGTTATGGTTGTGTGAGGGCTGGTGAGAATGTAGCCAGGCCCAGTGTGAGGTCGCACGCGTCTTTGGGTTAGCCGGCGTGTTGACAGACCCCGTACGTGGCCGGGTGCGTCCCGACGTATGAGTGGGAGTTATGATTGTGTGAGGGCTGGTGAGAATGTAGCCAGGCCCAGTGTGAGGTCGCACGCGTCTTTGGGTTAGCCGGCGTGTTGACAGACCCCGTACGTGGCCGGGTGCGTCCCGACGTATGAGTGGGAGATGTGATGGTATGATGGCTGGTGAGAATGTAGCCAGGCCCAGTGTGAGGTCGCACGCGTCTTTGGGTTAGCCGGCGTGTTGACAGACCCCGTACGTGGCCGGGTACGTCCCGACGTATGAGTGGGAGATATGATGGTATTATGGCTGGTGAGAATGTAGCCAGGCCCAGTGTGAGGTCGCACGCGTCTTTGGGTTAGCCGGCGTGTTGACAGACCCCGTACGTGGCCGGGTGCGTCCCGACGTATGAGTGGGAGCTATGTGATTATGTTGGGTGTGTTGTGATGGATAAACCCGAGAATGTATGAATTTATATGGATGTAATGGTTTAATTGATATCAGGAGCCAGGATTGATAGGAAAGAGCTACGTGTGGCTTGATCCCTTAGTAGGGTACGTAGGCAGCCTGGGATAGCGCCTAGGTGCAGCCACGACTTAGACACCACTTAGGTGGTTTTATCGAGTATGATGCGGACCTCGTGGTTGGTCCCGAAACTTGGTTGAATTGAGGCTTGTCCGGTGGACTGAGTGAGTGAAGGTGTGTATGGATGGATTTTGAATTGGTTATATGCATGTGTGATGCAGTAAGTTATTTTGAAAACAGTGTGGGCAGTTTGTTAGAATCATTGAAGGCCGGAGGCCATTTATGTAAATTGCATGAGATTATATTGTGCGTGCTGCTGGTTGGATTATAAAATGTGTTTTATGCAGGTGGAAATTTTGGGGAATGTTCAATTTACAGGGGAGACTCTGCCGAAATTTCGGCAGAAAGTCTCGTGCCCTTAATCCTCTTTGGTAAAAGAGGACATAGTTTTAAGGAGTGAACTCGGCATGGGTGTGATGCCGAGGTCTCCGCAGGGTTCGTCTCGGGTTCTGGGAAATTCGGGGCGGGTCCTGTCATCTTTTAACTTGACGGGACACCCCATCTTCGAGCCTAAGGCAAAACCCCTGAGACATGAATATAGCCAAGTCATTAATGAGATCATGCATAATGAAGCTGAATTTCCCTGACTTTTGAAACAACGATCGTGATAACAGCTCATCGAAGTATGTTCTAGCCACTGATTCCATAATCTTCCCATTATCAACTTGTGTAACTATGCCTTCTGTCATCCATAATTGAACTACATCTTCCTTTTCAAACTCATAATCCTTTGGAAAAATTGAACAATAAACAAAGCATCGTTTTAACTGGGAGGAGAGATAATGGTAACTCAACGCAAGAGCCGGAAGAATGTCACTTTTATCATAGGGTAGCTCCCAAATACCGCTATTTAGTATTGTATTCCATTCCTCTGAATCTATATTGCAACGTAACAAACCCCCAAGTGTTTCTGCAGCTAAAGGCAACCCATTGCACTTGCGTGCAATTTTCTTGCCAATTTCTTCCAAGTTCGGAGCACTGCAATTTTCATTTCCAAATACATGTTTTGCAAGTAAGAACCAGCAATCTTCGTGCGACAAGGGTTCCAAGTGATGAACATGAACACTTTGCAGGACAGATACTACATGTTGGCTACGTGTTGTTACAATGACTTTACTTCCCCTTGCCCCAGAAGTAAAAGGAGTTTGGAGGCGTTTCCAATCACCATATTTCTCATTCCATAGGTCATCCAACACAAATAAGAATTTCTTTCCCTGGAGTTGTTCTCTTAATTCAACTTGAAGCAAATTTAGATCTGTCTTATCAGAAGACTTTGAAGTGACTGACTCTAGAAGAGTTTTAGTTATCCTATTAGAATCATAGTCTTCCGAAACACAAACCCAAGCGTGAAGTGGAAAATGTTCTTTCACCTTATCGTCGTTGTAAAGCAGTCGGGCAAGGGTTGTCTTTCCAACCCCACCCATTCCAACAATGGTGAGGACAGACACATCATCCTTGCTTGCATCATCAGATAACAAAATTTGCAATAGATTTTCTTTGACTTCATCTCTACCATAGACACAAGGTTCATGAACCAAGGAAGTTGTTGTTCTTTGTGAAACCTTCCTCCCAGCACCTTCTGTCAAACCAAGAGCACTTTTCTCTTGTACAAATTGTTCTAATCTTTCTAATAAATCTTTCATCTCAACATTCATGCGTTGATAAAAATCACGTTCTTTCATCTCAACATTCATGCGTCGATAAAAATCACGTACCTTCTTGGTTAAATTGTGGGTTTGACCTTCACCTTCTTCCAGCTTGCATCGCAAAGCTTCAGTGTCGATCTCATCCAGTAAGTCCTCCGCAGCCAAGACATTATGTCTGAGATTGTCAAGCCAGTCTCTCACTAAAGGTTCCTCAATTTGCTTCTCCTCTGCATCATTAAGCACTACGGACAAAGTCAACAGCGTCGTCTTCAGCTTGTTGAGGAGTTGTTCATCGAGCTTTTTCTGCCGAAATAAGTCGGTGAACTCAGGCGAAGCAATTTTGTCACACAACGTCTGGATAGTAGCAGAGATGAGGGCCTCTCCGATCAAAGCCATATCCTTCTCTTCTCTGCAAGGGATTTGGATGAAGTAATATTCCAAGGTTTGCAAATAGCTAGCACAACTTGGAAACACAGGGTAAACGAAAGCTGTTAGAGATAAACGCAGGGCAGCCTCACATGTTAGAGATTATATATATCAAGAATGACCAGCAAATTCCAATTTTGAATAACGACACAACTTTAAAAGGAGGACTTAATCTGAGATGGTGACCTTACAATGGCATCCCTAGTTGCGAAGGAAGGGAAAGGTGGAGAAGTGTGGCAGGGTGTTTTTTTTTTTTTTTTTTTTTTTTTTTTTTTTTTTTTTTTCAATTTTCTTTAAAAGAAACAAGGATAAAACTTAATTAACGGCACCCAGCCATAAAATGAAAAAGAAAAAAAAAGGAAATATATCAAATTAAGCCAATTGGTTTTTTTTTAAATACATGTGATAGTCTAAATTTTAAGGGTAAAAGGGGTTTCACACTCTACAAAAGTGTCATCAAGTTCAAATATGAAACCACTAGTTTATGAATAAGGACTTTTCCACTTGACTAAACCCTGTTGGCCAAGTTTAGTCAATTTATTTGTTAGAATATCAGAATGTATAAATATAAAATGCTTTCACAAATCAAATGTTATTGTGAAAGCAAATACAAATGACTCTATACATAGCTTCGTTTTGAAATATCATATTTCGTTTTGGAAACACTTCTGTAGCCTCACATGGGGATGTGGGGTCGTATATGCAAAATAATATTGGTTTAGCTTCACACTCACACAATAGCTTTTGAGAAATTGCCGGTGGACTTCTTCAAAGTGTTTTGAACGAGACAATAAACTAGCAGTATTATTACCCTAGACTAGAACATTATAGCCATTAATCAATGTGACAGTAAATAGTAGTGTTAATATCCTAAACTGGAACATTACTGCCCTTAATCAAAATGACAGTCAATAGCAGTGTTAATACCCTAGACTGTAACATTACCGTCATTAATCAACGTGACACTAAACTAGCAATGTTATTACCCTAGAATGGAACATTACATCCATTAATTAACATAACAGTAAATAACAGTGTTAATACCATAGACTGGAAAATTATAGTCATTAATCAATGTGACAGTCAACTAGCAATGTTATTATCCTAAACTGAAACATTACAGCCATTAATCAACGTGACAGTAAGGTGTGGTTTTTAAATGTTTTACCTTTAAACTCTTTTCTGCTTCAAATTCTTCAGCCTTTTGTGTCTTCTCTTTATTTTTCGTGATTTTGTAGGTGGTGGTTAGTGGAAGGTGTGGTGGTGTTTTTTGAAAAAAAATATAAAATAAAGGTTTTCGAGACGTTTTCTTTGTAATGAATTGTTTCGGTTTTTTTATTTTATAAAATTGGACTGGGCTTGTTTTCGGTGTTTTTTTTGTTGAGTTTTTTGTGTTGGGGTTCTTTCAGTGGCAGTCACGTAATTTATACGAACTTCAACACCAATTTCTTATATAATAAATCGGTTTTGAGTGTGTTTCTAAAGTGCATTCCATGTGTTATTTATTTATTTTATAATTTCAGCCCCTATTTTGAGTATATTAATAAAGACCCCTTTAAAAAATTATTACAAGAAAAATGTCTTATGCACAATTCATTTTCAATAGATCAAACTTATTTTCCATAAAAAACAAAAAAGATCAAACTTTAACACCCTACAGAAGAGAAAATAGGGCTACAACAAGAAATTAATGTAAAGGATAAAACTATACTGAAAATTTATCTACTCAATATTTTTGTCCAGAAAAACAAGATACACAAATTTATGAATTTCCTTTCTTAAGTCCACCATTTCATAAAAGTATAATGTTATGAACACAAGAAACTAATATTTTAATCACGAACCAAACAATTTATACTAGAAACTAATTTTTTTTATACTAGAAACTCAATCCGAATGTAAATCATTCCATCCGAAGGGACCATAATTTGTTACAACAGAAGCGTATAGTGCTACCATAATTAATGACATCAGAATACTGTTTGATAACAAAGTTAAATTCCTCTAAACGAAAAAATGTGTACAATTTGAAGGGATCACAAATTCCATTTACAGACTTGGCGTTGCCATAGAAGTTGGATCTTTGGAGACTGCTAGAGACATATGTTGACTTCCCTGATGATAATCTTGATTTGCCAACATACATTTCCTACAGGAGCGACCAGTTATGTAATCGTTACATGCTCTATGCAGTTAGTAATCACTATGGAATCTCCGTATGTTTTATACATCATGTGAAAACATGCAATAATAATTTCTACACGATATGGTTGGTAACTAGACATTACAGCTGAGGCATAGATTCTTATAACTTTGCTACTTAATCTGGTAGCATCAAGATTTGACCGGATGCTTGAAGAAATTGAAATAATTATAGTTACTTAGTTATTCCTTTTTGTTTTTAAATCTCTCTTCCATGTCTAACCTGAGAGGCTTTGCACTTTGTTGCAAAATTTCACTGTGGGGTTCATTTAATGTCTCTCATACTTAGTGAAAAATTACTAAAATTGTCCTCATACCATCAAGGCACTGCAAGCCATGCAAGAGAACTTGATCTAGTTAATCTAGTATCTGTAAAATTGGAGGCTTATTTTCCCTTTCTTGTAATTTGGTATGATTTGATGCATAGGTTAACTTGTGTTGCTTCATACTGAAGTTCAACTGTTTTTTTTTCCTGGCGTAGCATGGGGCTGATCGGTGGTATGACTTTGATGATAGCCATGTTAACCCTATCAGCCAGGATAAGATAAAGTCTTCAGCTGCTTATGTTCTTTTCTACAGAAGAGTAATAGAAGTGTGACATCAGAGTTGAGATGCATCTTTGGAAGCCCTTTTATCGCGGTGAGTGAATTTTTCAAATCAGTCCTAGGACTGTAACCCCAAAGTTTCATTCTTTTAGTATTCAGCGTTCTTTATTTCGGATTGAGAGTTTCCGTCGTGAATGAAAATGGGGGAAATTCAGAAAGAGTGACGGTACTGACCTATATAGAGGAGGTGCTTAGAGGATTGTAACATAGTGACAAATGACAAAAAGAGGGACCTAGGATACTATATAGAGTTATAACCATTTGATGAAGAGAATTGAACTCCCTGGATTAGAGAGATTTCTTAAGTGCTCTATGAAAGTGTAATTTTTTTTACTGGGATTAGATATTTGATGGGCAATTCATTAATTTGTAACTTTGTATTAGCATTTTGGCGATCTTTATTTTTCAACGCTCAGTAATATTTTTAGCTTTTGAGCTTGGCTTCTTTCTCATTCATCTTGTAAATATGATCTGCTGGGTGCGGTACTGCCAATGACCTTGGGGTCGTGTGTACTTCTTCCCTTTGGTCATATGGAACTTCCTCTCCAGTCTTAATTATAATTTTTTTGGTGTATTTTTTATTGGTTGGTGATGAAATAGGGTTTGGTTTGGACAACTGTCTGAGCCCTGATATCTAATGAAATTTATTGTAATCTTTTTCATCTATAATTTAGTGAAAGCTGATTTTGTTTACTAGAATGCTGCATCTTGTCTAATTTCTGTTATTATATATGCCATAAACTGGCATGGGATGTTCTGATGCTAGCCTTTTTCACCACTCAAATTTGTTTGCTTCTGTTATCTAAAGATGACAAAAAAAGGGAATGAGAAAATCGAGATGATGGATGTGAAGGTGAGAGGAGAAAATATATACAATAAAAAATTAAATAGTCAAGCACAAATTGTTGAGTCCAGTTTTGAGTTTCTCACAAATGGGCAAAAGCACGAAACATCTTTGGCAAATGCATATCCAACAACAAATATTAAAGGGGTGTTGACACCATCTAGCCATTAGGATTTTTTTGGGCCTAAATTAAACACACCCAGCCCAACACGGAGAAAGCCCAGAATAAAAGCCACAGGACTCAAGCAGTTTGGGCTTTTGCAAAAACGGAAGCCAAAGCCCAAAATCCAGATAAGCCAGCCCAAGACTCATCAAAATGTGGCAAGAAAACTTGGGCCCCCAAAAGAAAAGCAGCTACCTTAAGGCTCCAGACAAATCAGAATGGGTCCAGCATGATTAAAAGAAAAAAGGAAGAGACTTGTTTTCAGAACCCACGTGACTACCAAAATGAAAAAAAGTCAACAACCTCAACTGAGTTGATTGAGAATTAATCAAAGCATGTCAGTGGCAAAAGACTTCTCTGAATTTCTGCCACCAGAAGATCAAAATCCTTCTTATATATTCAAAAATATTGATTCCACTCCAAGAAAGCACCATCCTTTCAAGAGATACGCAGGCCATATTTTCAAAGAAAGAAAGAGACAAGCAGGAGGACAGAGAGTTGTTCATCTGGGAAATCAAACTAACCATCACAGTTGAAATCTCACAAGGGGCAGTTAAAATTGGGAAAGGAAATTAGGTTCTTTTTTCAAGAAAAACAGGGAAGTGATCTTAAGAACTGACTATTGAGAGCTTGTCTACTAGAAATTGATCAAAACCCTTTTCTTTACAATTAAAAAACGAAAGATTTTTTTTAAGAAATTGCCGCCCATTATTTAAAAAGAATTGCCCTACTCCAGATAACATCTCTTATAAATACAAGAAGGAGTAAACAGGGCAAGAGGACACTCAATTTTCAACAACAATCAATCCAATATTCAAGTCATCAATCAAACAAACAACTCAAATTCAACCAAAAGCTCACTTGAATTCCAAGTGAAAACCAGCTTTAGATCAGAATTCCCAAGGTTCAGACTTAGAAAATAAGTCATTCAAAACGAGATTTCTCTCGTTACAAATTTGGTTCAGCAAAAAACCAAGACAGGTGGAGCTTGAGCTTTTCCCAAACATGAAAACCTCAACAAATTTTACAGTACAGTCTCTAGCCCACTGAAGTCCTCGAGAACAGCCACTACTGCCCTTATAGATTAAAGAAGCCGCAGTTCTGCCCACTTAGAAGCCTCACAAAGCTTGAAGTGTATTAAAGCTCTGCCAAAATTAACCTTTGGTATCAATCTACAGCTGAAGCTTAGTAGCAGAACTTGTTAACAGTCCAGTCCAGTCCAGCTCAGATATTTCCAGACCAGCCCGGATCAGAACCCTCTATCCAGGTAGAAATGGAGTTTCAACTGTCCTTCCTTCTTTCTAGCTTGGATGTTTATGTTTATAGTTTTGTAAAAGGCAGTTCTGCCCAAGACAGCTTAAATCCATTAACCATTCTGGCCAGAACAACCTCTTTATACTGAGATAAATTGTTAAAGTCCTCACCAATCTGAGGCAAGAAAAGAACTTACTTGGGAGATATTCATCACCCAAATTCACAATCGCTTGTTTATGGAAATCAGTAACTTGGGGCGCAAGTTACCTATTCTAGAATAAGTCTGCTAGAATCTTCATTGCTAGCAGTGGCACGCTCATACACCAAAGAAAGCTGACTTGCTGACCAGCCAATGGTTCACAAAGCAGCGGGGAACTTTGCCCTTCCACCACATGAGTGATCACAAAACGGGTGAACAGGATTTTTTATAAAAATAATCTTTTTAAATGTTATCAACGTATACGTGTCATATGGAATATTGTCTCTAAATAGTAATTTAATTAAATTAAATAATACATAGGTGTGGAATATATGAGTGTTGTACCATAGTTTTTCTCAAAATAATAAAATATGAAGGATCCTAAAATATAACCCTGCATGGCGGGAGATAGAAAAATTTTGCCATACACTGTTCTTTAAAAAATTAATATTTTAGAGGACTAAATTTATAGCCTTGGACTACATTTAGCTCTATGATTGGAAATGACCTAACGTCGATTTGGTAGAGGTGGGCAACAATCTGGCTAAATTGCCTATTTAAACTATATTGACTGATTTGGTTTACTTTTATCGTGGTTTTTATTTTTGTAAATTAGCCTAAAACGAATCCAAATAAAGATGCATTTTGAAGTTTAATGAAATTTCAAAGTTTTTGATCTTTGGGTTAAACTATATTAGTTATTAAACTTTAAAGTTTGTTGACATGTTGGATTTTAGAATGGTTGCTATAAAATGAAAATTATGTAGCAAGTTAAGGATTTTTGTTGTTGTAATTGGGCTAATTGGTTGTATTTGCTCCCAGGGAAATACAAAAAGGCTTGCAGCACATTCCTGTGCAGTATAATTGGTTGGCAGCAACGGGATAACAAACAGTCCATCACTTTGCTTAATATGTTCGCATATCATGCTGCAAACAAGCTCTTTTCACTTTGGCAAGCTCGTTCCTTTCATGGCAGAAGGGAAAGCACACAAGGAAAACAATTTGCAATTAACATTTGGTGCAAAAATAGGATATAAAGATTCTTGACTCACTCTATTCTAATCCTAGGTATAGTACAACTTCAAAATTTGATATCAGAGAAATCTTAAATATCCTACATGTCTACACCCCACTCAATTACGAACACGCTTTTTGTTAGTGACATAACGCATACATTTTGATCCCCGTAGTCTATTATATAATCTCTGACATATCAATTCTCAGTAAACTGGTGCTGGCAATTGATGCACATGTAGAAAGTAGTTGCTCCTTCATCTGCTGATCGAATCTATACAAAAAGATATTAAAGAAAGAAAAGAAGGCAACATAGAAGATAATTAGATGACGGGAAAAATATGAGGCAGAAGAAGATAATTGGGCGTTTGTAGAATACCTGTCTGGAATAATATGTATGTTCATTGTGGCCACATTTTTCACATGTTTAAGCATCTGTTTGTTAAGAGGAAAAATAGTACAGAAAAATTAAAAGCTGATTCCCAAACAAATACCACACATTAAATGAAAACAGAAAAGCACAGCTACCTTTTGCAATTGCACTTTTTCTTCACAAATTATTGATATGCCTAGCTCCCTTCTAATATCCTGCAACAAGGACACGTATAGAGTAATGCCTTGGTTTGGTGATACAAACAACTCAATTCAAGCATCACCATCTCTCCCCACCCCGAAAAAGGAAAAAAAGGGGTATAGTGTGCCAATACACAAACAAAAGCACACATCGATTAAGATTAAAATGATTATGAACTTTCTTCTTAGGCAGTAAGACAGACGTGTGTGTGTGTGTGTGTGTGTGTGTGTGTGTGTTGGGGGGAGGGTAAGGTAGCTTTTGCATCAGTACATAATTAATAATAATATCAACCAAATGCAGCCGCTATGAAAGACATAAGAACTTGTCACGAAACACGGGCATACCTCAACAGTGACTGTGTAAGATATTTGTCTTCCGGAGATCTCTGAATACAATGGTAATCATTTTAGGAATATACAAAAGTAAGGAGAGGAAATATTAAGGGTTAATATTTAACAGTCATTTATAAACCTACGAAAATAGTATTTATGCCATACATAACAAACTGTCCAAACACCGTGAATTTGGCAAATGTGGTACCGCACAAGTTTGTAAACTATGAAGTAATACTTGCAGCACAAATAGTACTGCTCAGAAGAATACAAAGCCCAATACCAACATATGATTAACATCTATAACATTTAGAATATAAACCAATTCCAAAAAGTAAATTCAATTTGGAATTAGTATATATGATTAAAATATAGTAATACACATGTGCTGACATGGGAATGCATGCATGCATTCACATGCATTGCTGCATACAGAGAGGATTTATTTATCCATAAATCATCTGAAATAAAATCTAAAACTTGAAAACAGATTAAACATGCAAGTCAACGTGAAAGGCTGAAAGCTCAAGTTTCCTCTACCTTTCACACTTCTCTTACGCTTGCACAAGGGGCATTGAGCATGCTTAGTTGAACTCAACGTTCGCATAGTCCCACACAAGTCACAGAACATGAAATCACGCCCTTCAGAATATGCCATGAAATGCCTCTCCAATGAACCGTTCACTATCGTTGATGAGCCTGCACATAGACTTTTAACGATTAACAAAGTAATACCCAAACATGTCTGGAGAGGTGCATTTGAGAATGAGATTTTTCCAAGAAAATGAATGAGTTCTGTTGAGCATTTCATCAAATAGCTAGTGTGGCACTTAATTTGTCCATGTTCCATTCCTAAAAAGGTCTGCCAAATCAAATACATATCTGATAATTTCATTCATATTACCACAAGCCGAACAACGAATTCAACAAACAAACGAATGGAGATAAAGACTAAAGAAAGCTTATTCACAACACAAGGCAAATATTAGCAAATGAAGACCCTGAAATCTGACCTGAAGTGTATACAAACAAGAACTCTTCGTTATAACATGAATTTGGCAGATGAAAACAATTAAAAACAGAGGAAATTTATCCACAAAAAACAATTAAACAATTTGCAGAATTTCGGCAGAACATCAAAATCTGAGAGAGAGAGAGAGAGAGAGAGAGAGGAGAGAGAGAGAGAGAGAAATGAAAAATACCTCAAAGGGTGGCAAAACTGATGCTGGAAGTTGCAACCTGCCCCAGAAATTTCCTGCTGATCTACATGAACTGCTGTTAATCAAACCTAAATCAATTTGAATCAATTTGATAAATTTCTAAGGCTGCCATTTTATTTTAATAAAAAATCAATCAATTTGAATCAATTTGATAAATTACTAGGGCTGCCATTTTATTTTAATCAAACATATATCAATTTGAAAAACACCCTAAATCAATTTGAACCACAACCCTAAATCAATTTGAAAAACACCCTATGCAAACAACAGACAATAACAAAGCTAAGAACCGCAAGCCAGCTAGGTAAAGAAATAATCTAAACTTGACAGCATAACAAAGATTCGAAGGGGGAAGAGAAAAAAATCTGCGAATTGCGAATCATACCGACAGAGAAAAAGACAGCTACATAAAATGAAGATGTGGCTACGAACTGCTGTGCTGAATCTGCGAATTTTAGATAGATAGAGTTAGCCAGAGATTCAAAGGGGGAAAAGAAAAAAAAAGGAGACAATCTGACCTGTGATGGCGGCGACTGAGAGAGCTGGCAGTTGACAGAGCCGCTGTTGATAGAGAGGTTTGCCTGAGATGAGGTTTTGCGTAGAGAGGTTTGGCGCAGAAAAAGCCTCTATCAGAGAGGATGAGAGAGAGGAAGGCTGAGGGAGAAGAGGTTTGGCTGAGAGAGGTTTGGCGCCGGCAGCCGAAGGAGAGAGGAACGAAATTGGAGGAAAGAAGGGAAAAACCTAATCGGCTGAAGGGAAAAGCCTAATTGGGTTATAAGTTTTGTGCTGATTGTGTGCATGCACGCCTATGGTAACACCATATATAACCAATAAAAAAGAGCCATGTGTAAAAAAAATTTATAAATATATATAATATAAAATATATATAAATTATGGGGCCAAAATACCCATATTTAGGATATATATACACACACATATGTATACTCTTAAGAAAGAAAAGTCATATGCCACCTAGTGAACAGGAACAACACTAAGACTTGCCACAGACAAGCTCCAATTAGTATCGTTTTTAAACCAATATAGCCATTCAAGCTGGCATTTAAGGGCAACGCATCCCACATAAACATAAGATAATTAAACACATCTAGGCTGTCCCATACCAGAAATGAAGCACAATGGACATGCCTCAAACACATGAACTGTGTATGAACCCAACCATTTGTGAGAAACTCAAAACTGGACTCAACAATTTGTGCTTGACTGTAAGGATTTAGTTCAGTTACTTTTCATGCACATAAAGGGTCTATTGATTTTGGAAGTATTTTATGATAAGTTTTGGACAATCCATTTTGGTGTAATTTGATTTGGTTGCCATTATTTTAGGAATTTTAATTATGTCATCATTTGATTTTATTTAGTTTCCTTCTATATTCGAACCTCTTTCCACTACTAGGGCCATGAATAAATTGAGAGATCACCATGATTTGGCCTCCCTCTTGGTCTTCTTCTCGTCTCCCTTTTTTTTCTCTCTCTCTATAATTTCCCTTTGGGTCCTACATCAAAGACTCTAACAAACTCCAAATTCCATACAATAAGATGTTGAGGCATTAAAGTTCAATTAAACTTATTACCATTAAAACCATATATAAGCAAGAAAAAAAACATTTCATTTGTTTAATCGAACCTAGCTGGAGCTGATCTTGAGCACATATAGATTTTTCAACCCAATCTAAAGCATGAATTTTTAGCTCATCATACCAGAGTTTACCAAGCTATCAAGCCAAAGTTCAACTTCAACCAGTTCGTTTACAGCTGCAATGTTTAATTTTGTACAAGCCTAATAGTCAACTTTAAATTGGACAAATATGAGGTACTTATAAAATGGCATTTAGACATAATTGAAACACATTGAAGGCGTATAATCAGACCATTCAGTACCCTTGTACCATCCCTAACCATGAAAAGACTTGCCTGGCCTCATTTAATACAAGGACCAAAATAGTTAGGAGGCTTTAAATCAACCAGAAAATAAATAAAGCTGAAGGGAAAAAAGCAACACACAGCAACTAAGGCTATTATGAGATACGGCAGTGGGTAGATCATGAGTATAGCTTACTTAATATCAGATGGAAGATAGCAAGAATAGTAATCCAACTGAGAACACGAAACAAATTCTGGAGTATGCAGAGTAGCAGAATGGTTGATGACAATGAATTAACAAGTGTCCATATCAACCTGTCACTTACCCCTTCTGACTGCCGTTCATAACTTGGAAACTTACTTTTCTCATTTGTAAAAAATAAGTTTGTCTGCCCAGAAAAGTCCCAGATGCGCAACTGGTGCAATAACAGAAGTTAAAAATCCAACCACTTTATCCTGATAAAATAACATACTCAAGTAAAGAGCTTAATTACCATCTCAGACTCCACACTGAAGATTTTGCAGGCTCTCTTGAAGAACTCAACTGCATTATCCTAACATAGAAATACAAAAATGAGAAAATAGAACATCATATTAACATAGGGAAGACAAAGAAATCCCGCAACAAGCAGAATCACCAGAACCAATTGACCATGGGTGGAGTGGCCAAGGACATTATATGCTACTATGCAAGGCTTTACATTCCCAATGTGGGATTCTCTCAACACGCCCCCTCACATGTGGTGTGACTTAAGCCAAGCACATGGATAACTTCTATTGGGTGATGTGTGGAGCACATGCAGCCATTGGGCCTGACCTGCATATAGCATGCTCTGATTCCACAAAAGAAATAAAGCATCCAACTCAAAAACAATTGGCAATGGGTGGAGAGGCTCACGACATTATATAATACTATGCACAGCTTTAAATTCCCTGTGTGGGATTCTCTCAACAATAAGTGATTCTGATAAGGTGTAGGTTTTTCATCAAAAGAATAAAAAGAAAAAGTGCACTCCGACGAACATGTCAATAAAACAAATAGTTACTGATCCATCCTTTACTTTTAGTTCCATTTTAAGACTTAAGTATATTATCAGTGAATAACTGACCACAACACATTGTTGGACAAATGTTTAAAAACATATGTCTGATCATAAGTTCAGCAATAAATCACTTACTAAACGTGTGATCATGAGCTCAGTCTCATTAAGCAAGTTCCACTAGGAATCTTGCAAAATTCAAATTGTATCCTTTAAATCAGCTTTTCCCTTTCTCTTATATTATCTTACTACCTCCATGGCACATTGTTTCCATCAATAGCATGCAGAAATTAAGTTTCAAAATAAAACCCCTACCCCAAGTCACTGAAAAGGAATTTACGGGATTAAAAAAGAAAAAGGGAAAAAAGGGAAGTGCTATTACCACCCACCAATTTAATCACCATATCTACCAACGTTTCTCACCCTCATTAAAAATATGAAAAACTACTGATGCAGGATGCGTAGGACCTGATTAGTTTCCTAGGTTCTCTAGTTTTCCAAAATCTAGTAGGATTTCTTTTCCAGATTTCTAAGATTTCTAAGTTTCCTATTTTATTTGGGTTAGGATTTCTGTTTTAGCAAGAGATTTTATCCTATTATCTCTAGGTTTTAGTTCGCTATAAATACTCCATGTAGTTGTTTAAAATTCAGATTTGAATGTTGAGTAAACCTTTTCCTAGAACTCTACTGTTTCTGCCCTCTCTTTCAACTTTTTGATCTACAATTTCTTCATCTCTTATAATCTTCCCTGTTCTATTGTTTAAGTGCTTAATCTAATACCGGCAGGCTGTACTACATTAGTCGACCACCACTGCAGAACCCAGCCATTACCTTATACATAGGTAACCAAGTGCCAAAGAGAATTATAAACCTCCGATTACTGCCTTAGAAGGGCCCTATTTAAAGAAATCAAATTTCCAACCCCAAAACCCCATTTGACAGGAAGATGAGACACTACCTCCCATCTCACTAGATGATCTTTCTTCCCCTCACCATGATCACGCATGAGCTTCTTAATCCTTTTTGCGACCTTACTGAGTAAATCAAACAAATAAAAAATAGATAGTACTAAACAAAACGCACCAAGGTAAGTATCCTGCTCCTAGACAAAAGACAACTTTCCAACTTCTTTCAACCTTCTCAGCCATGGAGACTGTAGGATTGCTCTATGTTTCCCTCCCTAGAGGAAGCCCCCACACTTCATCGACCAACTACTACCAAGGTCTACTTATATAGGAAATCCGAGAATAATCAAATGCCAAAAATAATCAAAATTCTACAATGGCAATCCCTAAATTCGGAATATAAGCAACTAAATAATTATTTAATCCCTAAGAAAGCAATAATATATCAAACCTGAGTTAACAAGTTCAAATATTCTGAACCTGTCTAAATAATTTGAAATTTACTTTGTCCAATACTTAATATATAAATTATGGGGCCAAAATACCCATATTTAGTGTATTTAGTCTCTCTTCTACCAGACCCGACAAGCCCAAACTTTGTGTCATTTTGTTAAATGAAAGAGCCCAAAGTGCAAAAGGGGATTGAGATAATAGTTGTCTGGAAAAGGTATGAAGCCAGGACCTCATCATTAATGAACGGTAATCATTTAATCAGTAAACTGAGTAGCATTTCAACAAAAATGAACATCAGCGGAGTTGTAAAGTTGTTCTCATTTCGTCATATCAAAAAATAACACTTTTCGCTAAAATGTTGAAAGGAAATAATAGGGAAATAAAAAAAAGAGAGAGACAGAGATACAAAGTGAAAGTGAAAAGTGGAAGGAAAATTGATGATGATTCAAATTATTATCAAAGCTTGCACCATTAAGTATATACTTTTTTTAGTGACGACCATTAAATTTATGCTTCTTAAAACGTTTGCATCCGCATGCAATATAAATCCATTGCTTGAAATTTCAAATCTTAGCCTTCTACACATTAAGAACGCAAGGCCAGAAGAGAACTAAAAATAAAAAACAGGAACAAGACATAAGCTACATATACTGACCTTTTTAGTAATCCTTACTCCCAATGAATTTGTTTCTCGCGGAGCAGAAAGTCTGAGTTGTAGAGGATAGACATCGGTCATGTCATCTTCCGCAGCTGAAAAACATTTACCATCCTTCACTGCCGCCTTAGAATCACTATGCCTACATGTATACAACAATCATACCATGGATAAGAAACTTGGCAAACTATGAGTAACAAGTAAATAAGTTAAAAGTATTCCATGAGTTGCAACGGGAGGAAAATGCATCATCTTCAGCAAAGTGTCTAATTGAACATATTAATTACAAGAAATACTTTTAAACTATTATGAGTGCCTGCACATCTGGAAACATTAAATGATTTTTTTTCCTTTGAACTATGCAAAACCCCATTATGCATACCTCAGGTGGGTTCCAAAGGTTGCTCTTCTGAATGTTAATGCTAGAACAAGCTTTAATTGTTCTCAAATTATTAACAGACGAGGCAGTATTCTCAAACTGCAGAATTTCAATGACGATATTGTTAAATGAATGAAATCACTGCAGTCTTGTCAAAGAATTATGAATCACTTTAATTTTCTTCTCTTTTAAAGGCTTAAGATCTGCAAAGGTTCTAGCATTGTTCAGGGAGTAGGACACAATCGAGCAACCCCAAGAAGGCAAATCCGAAATGGCTTAAGCACATCAAACTTTAGTAACTTCTGCAAGGTGAAAATTATACTACATAATATTCCTAATTTAAAGGCTTTGAGAGGAATTACTTTACCCCAATCTTAATGTGAAAAATAAATTAGCGGCTCAGGCTAGATTTGCTCACGGCTGCAGGTTTAAAGTATAGATGGTGGAGCTCCCCAAAATTCATTGTAGCTTAGTTTTTTCGACAGGAAAAAGAAAATCAATGTGCCCTGGTGGTATATAATAAATGCTACTGTGTTAGACCAATTCAAAGCTCAACTAAAAGGAAAATGTAGGGAGCCAAAGTAATTACAAGTAATTGCTTACGTAGTCAGTCCACTTTCACAACTTAAAAAGAATAAAACTATTAGTTGTGCAATGCAACAAATATATATAGTTATTAACTGACAGGCATCAGAGGCATACACTCTGCCCTGGAATGTATCTAACTTCCCAAAATCATGACCAAATGTATCAAAGAAGTCATAGAGACCATGCAGATCATTGAGACTTTTAGAGCACAAGTCGAATCAAACGCACAATATCTCACATCAAGGCACCAATTAAAATCCAAAGAAGCAGAACATCTGATTCTAATCAATCAAATATTAGCAAGAAGCTAGAATCCATCAGTCATTCAATCAAATAGTGGAAATGTAACTGCCCAATCTAGAAAGTAATGAAGCAAGGGTGAATAACCAAACAGTTAGAAGCCTGCAAAAGGGTTACATTCCTTGCAATATTCATGGGCATAGAAACAACTCACTTCAATCCACTTCCATATAAAACAACAAAGCGTCATTTAAACGTGAGATACCATTACGGCCCTACAAAAGCATGTCAAACGTAACGTATAATGTACAACAAAATATCAAGTTCTAAAACACCAGAAGGACCTAGAGCCAGCTATTCACATCATTAAACACCATCTAAACCTCAAGTGCAGCATCAAGCACTGATCGCTCTTGGCACAAATTATATCAAATCCGAATTGTTTTTCAGTAGCACCTTTCTCTTTTTTCATTGAAAACACATTCAAAAGACCCCATATCATAAAAAATGGCCCAAATCGAATAAAAACCACTCACCATCTGAGTGCCTGAACCCACATTTCTGCGGGGACCAATGCATAGTCTCGGCCTGAGACACCCACTTCGCCATTTTCACCACTGTGCACAGTATCCTCCTCCCGCTTGAGATTAAATACAAGATTTGAGTTGAAAATGTTGTTGATAATCTTCATAGGTCCAGCATACGAGGAAGTTTGCGAGGTCACATACAAAATCCCTCTCTTTCCATCCGAATCGCCCAAAACTGAGTCTTGTGCATCTCTCCACCAACTGAAAACGCAATTCACATATGAACATGAGATACATGAATTCAATCAAAACCCTATGATTCAGACACTCCCAAATCTAATACTTTGAAAAATAACAATACAAGAAGAGAGATTAAGAACCTTATTTCTAATTATATAGTTAAGACGCCCAAGTGACACTTCTCTCTAATTTCCTTTGCTCATTTCTAATTCCGGAAAATTCACAGAAACCAAAATGCATAGAAAATTTGAGAAGAAACTTCATTGTGGATTGGTGAAAGTTGTGCAGCTGTGGAAACTGGAAAAAATGAAGCAAATCGAGAAGTGAATGAGTTAGACCTGTAGGGAATGAAGTAAATTTGCCGGTTGCTGTCTGAGTCGGAACGCTGAGTGGAATCGGACAGATCTTCAGAGAGAGCAACAGCCTCCATTCGCTTCTTCGATTGTGTGTATATTATGTATAAAGAATGAGAGAAAGAGCGAGTGAAGAAAGAGTGAGAAAATGGGTTCGGAAAATGCAGATCATCAGAGAGAGAGAGAGAGAGAGTGTGTGAGTGAGTGCGTGAGTGAGTGAGTGAGATGGAGATGGAGATGGCGGATTTGCAGAGAAACAAATGGAGCTTTTTCTGTGAAGAGGATTCCATAAGGAGGGAAAATATATATATATTAATGCGAGTTTTTAATATTTATTGGTGTTCTTACGTGGAAAATGAATATTGGACTTTGAGCAGCTGAGTAACATATGCGGAGAGCGAATCTCATGTAAGAATTAGAAGAAGATCGCAGGAAGAGTGAATCTCCAATCCGAATATCCGATTATCAAACGGGTCGAATGAGTCGTCTATTTATTGGAGTGGATTGAATTTTACTTTAGTTTAATTTATTTAAAAATTGTGCTCTACATTTCATGTATCAGTCAATCAGTTTTTTTTTCTTTATATTTATTTTATAAATACGAATGAACATGTCACTACTGTAGAGATACATAAAAGCCCAAAACAAAAGTTAGAAAATAAAAAACAAGAGCTCAACCATACAAAATAAAAGTCCAATCCAAAATATAAATAATTTAGGCTCAAAACACAAAAACCTATAATTAAACCCTAAAAACAACAAGCAATTGCCGCCACCTAAGAGAATTTCCACCTACCAGCCTTGCCCTGAGCAGAAGGGGCCCCAAGAACCCAGTTCTATGTTCCAGCGGGCTTCAACAGCCCGGGCAACACATGGGTCCCAGCAAACTGGGACAGCCCAAAGGTAAAACGAGCACGTGCTCTAGCCTAAGGGTTGCTGACGTTAGAGCTAACGACAGTTTGACGTCAGTACTCGGGTTAAAATTTTTGTTTACCATTGCTGCGTGCTGACGTCAGCCCTGATATACGCCAACGACTAGAAGCCACTTGGCAAGTTCTGGGTTGTCCAATCCTTTTTGTCCTCTAATACAATGGCTGGCTTTTTTGTGTAAAAAAAATTTGAAAAACAATTTAAAATTTTCCAAAAAATTATGAACTTTTTTTTTCTATAAATACCTACCAATATTCTTCACTTTCAACACCAAATCTTCATACATTTTCTTCTCCTTCTAATATTATTCATTTTCTACACAAAATTTTCTTCACTTTCAAATTTCTTTTTTATTCATCATCTTATGGCATCTCTCATCAAAGTCGGAGGGGCGTAGATAACCATGGAAGATGTTATGTTGTGTGAGTGTTGGGTCCAAGTTGGTCATTGTCCGACCACGGGCAATGAGATGAAGTTCTCTCATATGTGGAGAAAAATTCATGGCAAATTTTGTGAAGATCGGGTTTGGCTCGTACGGAAATGGCCTTGGCTAGTAGGTGAAATTTTTTGAATAAAGAGTTGGGGAAATGAAGAGATGCGTTTGCAAAAACAAGGAACAACCATCGAAGCGGCAAAAATCTTGGTAATGAGGTAAATTATTTGTAATTTCCATTTTATTAAATTTAATGTCCTAATTTTTTAAATGTTTCTTGCATTTCCAATATTATTTTTTTAATAGATTATGCTAGCACAAATGTGGTTTGGTGCCATTGGCCAAGGCAGAAAATCTTTCAACTATCACCCATGCTGGGAGGTGGTGAAAAATTGTTCGAGATTCAAAATTATTCTCACGAGTCCGACCGTTGTGTTGAATGAGACACCGCTCTATGATTCAATGACATCAGATGCGCCTTTGGATTCCCCGATGAGTCAAGACTTACCAATCCAAAAGGAGCTGAGGCTTATTGGGAGAAAGGTAGCGAAAGCCAAGAGAGGGAGTACTTCCACCAATGATACAGCAAAACATTTGGAGCAAATTGCTCTGAACAGCACCATGAAAATTGGGAGAGACATGAAAGAGAAATGGAGTATATACGCAAACAAGACATGGAGAAGAAGGATCGAGAAACCATGGTCATGGATACAAGCCATATCTTCTCATGGTCCTATCTTCTGACAGCATTGTGCTCATCTTAGGTTAAGAGAGTTACCTAAGTCGGGAAATTGTTAACTATGGTTAGTATGTTAACTATGATTAGCAAGTCAATAAGTTTGTTACAAGTCTGGTACTTAGTGTTGGAAAATTTAATATTAACTAATATTGATTTTCCTATTTGAATGGAAATTAATAAAATCCATTGGGTTAATGACATGACCCTTGGGTTAAAAACATCTTCACATGGGGAGTAACAACTCTTCAAACTAAGGATGCATTGTTTAGGGTGACAACTCTTCAGACCAAGGGATGCATTGTTTGCCTTTTTCAGATTGAGATACCTTTTTAGAAAGGGTATTTCATCATCTATAAATAGAGCAATCCTCCTGCAGTTTTATTCATTCAGTTTAATTATCTACATACAGACTTTTACATATAGAAAGCATTAGAGTTTTCATAAAGAGAGGTTCCTGCATAATTTGGTTCAAAGTTCCTTGTGAATTGTAGTGCTTCTTTCACAAGGAGGGGAGTCGTTGTATCTTGGGAGGCGAACACTAGTGAACCATAAGCACCGGTGTGGGGCGTAATTCGTCTTAAGGTCAGAGTGTCCAACACTTGCCTCGACTCAATTAAGGTTCTTCTAATTCAATTCTCCTTTTGTAAAAATCTGTTTTATGTGCAGTATTTATTTTGTTTATTTTATAGCAATTTAGCACTCACATTTTCCAACAATCTTAAGACGAATATTCTCTGTGTTAATTGCTATATATATTAGTCTCTGTTTATGCATTTAAATGAAAAGGTGCAAAACAGTTTTATTTTGATGCGTATGACATTGACGGCCTTATTGCATTACTGATAATTAGTTGTTTATTTGATTGAGTTGATTTCCTTCAATTAACATTAAAGTTAACATTGATGATTCCACTGTTAAGGTGTGGGATTCTAGAAAGTTGTAGTTGGAGTATGTGATGGCATGATACATATGTTTTCTGTTGATTACATCTCCAGAGGTCTTGGTAATGTTATTGAAAAGTATTAGGGTGTTACTGATATCAAGAAGAAGGATATTAAGGAAGGTGCCATAATTGTACAAATCAGATGGTTATGTACAGCACCCCAAAATTGTGGGATCCATCTTTGAGATACAAGAATGAATACCAATTCTTGGACATTGAGAGCAACTCCTGAAGAGGGCTAGTTTCTTCACTGGTAACAGGACTTTGTGAAAATTGGTTTGTTTTGGATCTTCAAAGGGGGGAAAGCTAATTAGTAGTTCTATTACAAAGAGCTTAAGAAGTGAAGATATTTTAAGAATAAATATCTCCATTGTATTGCCTATAGAATGAGATTCATATGGACAAAGGGTACCAAAGCCTTACCCTATGCATAAATTGATATGCACTTTATAAAGGAAAATTAGTTTTATAATGATTTGCTTTAATCAATTAATGAGGGTATGGTAACTAGAACATGTTAATTATGTTATAAACATGGTTCTATTACTAATGCAACATTAATTGATTTAAAGGAAAATTATAAACTAATACTATAGAACCATTATCTCATTCTTTAAGGATAAAGTAAAAGTTTTCTACTTCTTAGGCATATGAAAAAATGATTAACAGATTGCTCAATACCTTCAACAATTATGTGAAAATTGTGGGGGTGACAGACATGAAGGAAAATTTGGAATTCTATTTCCTAACAGAGAAAATGGAAGTTTTCTAGCACCACGTTTTTGTGGAGAGAGGCTTTGGTGTTCATAAGAGTTTAAATTTCTCTTATACAAGGTATGAGAAGGTTAGAGACCTTCCAATAAGTACCACAAATGTGGGGGTGTCTAACTGAGTATTAGAAGGTTACCCAGTTAGCACAATTATTAAGTCTTAACGAAATAAATTAAATGCTCAACTACTCTTGAATGGAGACCTAGTGGATCCAATTTTTAAAGGTCAGACTAGAGAGTTAGTTGATCATCGAGGGGAATGGGAGTATAAGCCTAAATATTTAAAGTCTCCATAGTGGATACCCAACCTAGCTGACTGGAGATCCCAAGATCTAGGTTCAAAAGGGACAACCAAATTATGGATGACTAAGTAGTAGCACTGTCGAGATTACATCTCCTACCCATGTCCTATGATGAAACAGTGCTGCTTGTAGAGTGTTTTAGGGTAATCTTTGATTTTAATGATTCCTATAGGAAGTCACCTATGTGAGTGTGAAATGAGGCCGTTTCTATGAGAATTTTTTAAGGCTTGAATTCTTTAAAGCTCTCATGAATACCAGGAATGCTCAGGGCCAAAACGAGCACAACCGATCGAACCAAATATGTTTAGAAGGGTATTGTGTGAGTGCTATTGTCTGGGTTTACACAAACGGCTGAACAGTTCAAGACATCACGTTCACTGATTAGCCAAGTAAATCCGATAGTATTCCACTATGGAAGGTTCAAGGCCAAAAGCTACCTATCCAGATGCAGTATTCTTCTAATAAGGACTCTCTCTAGTGTCTTCATTTTTTGCATGTTGTTGAGTCAATTTCCATTCATGTGGGGGATTGTTGGAAAATTTAATATTAACTAATATTGATTTTCCTATTTGAATGGAAATTAATAAAATCCATTGGGTTAAAGACATGACCCTTGGGTTAAAGACATCTTCACATGGGGAGTAACAACTCTTCAAACTAAAGGATGCATTGTTTGGGGTGACAACTCTTCAGACCAAGGGATGCATTGTTTGCCTTTTTCAGATTGAGATACCTTTTTAGAAAGGGTATTTCATCATCTATAAATAGAGCAATCCTCCTGCAGTTTTATTCATTCAGTTTAATTATCTACATATAGACTTTTACATATAGAAAGCATTAGAGTTTTCATAAAGAGAGGTTCCTGCATAATTTGGTTCAAAGTTCCTTGTGAATTGTAGTGTTTCTTTCACAAGGAGGGGAGTCGTTGTATCCTGGGAGACGAACGCTAGTGAACCATAAGCACCGGTGTGGGGCGTAATTCGTCTTAAGGTCAGAGTGTCCAACACTTGCCTCGACTCAATTAAGGTTCTTCTAATTCAATTCTCCTTTTGTAAAAATCTGTTTTATGTGCAGTATTTATTTTGTTTATTTTATAGCAATTTAGCACTCACATTTTCCAACACTTAGCACGTGTATTAGTTAGACAGCTAAGCTGTGTGGTTAGTCTGTTATGCCCCTCTGTGATCTGTTTACATAAGAGTGGGCTATGCTTTGTAAGAGTGAGTTGATTGAAATCAAAACTCAGAAATTCTCTAGTCTTCTCCATTTATCTTTCTCTTCTATTTCTGAAATTCTTCTCTTTCTTTTATGTCATCATTAAGTACAGACCTGCAAAATTCCAACAATAAAAAGGACCAGAGCTGAAAACCAGTTCCACACGAAAACCCCTTTGGTTGGCTCAAAGGGTTCCAGTTGTGGAAATTTACAACAACAGGCTTCCAATTGAGGGTTTCTCATTACAGATTCTGGGAAATTTTAGATATTTATTTTCCCCAAACCATATAACTAAAGTATATACGGTTTTCCCCAAGCTTATTGTTAGTAATCAATATTTTGAGGATGTTTTTTTTTTGGGTCCAAATATACTTCAATAAAAGGCCCCAGAAAAGGCAGGCAGAGGAGAAGCAAAGCATGCCCAAAGAAAGGCAGCACCAGAAGTAACTAACAGAAAAAGAGCACACAAAAACTAGAGACTGGACTTCCAGCATCCAACAGAACCATGTTTAAGACTCTGTGTAGATCAATCCGTTAATTTTCCGCTGCGCTTAAGATATCTCGAAAAATCTATTGGCTCATAAGACAATTCAAGGTCCATTTTCAGTCTGAAATACTGACGACGTGACGCATGCAATGTATGAACCTGCTTAGTCTGATCCTACCAATCCAAATTGGAAGTTGATGTTAATAGGATTTTAAATGAATATGCAACAAAAAAGTTAATTATTTACATCTTGCTGACAAATTAATCTATGAACCCTCTCAGCCTCACCCCTCTCCTTTCAAATCGTCAAAGACCCTCCTATCCCTATCAAACAAAACAACGAAGTAAACTGTCATTACATCACATCTCCCCAAAACCATATAGCCCCAAGAGTTTAAGCTTCACACACAACAATGCATTACAGGACGCAGGGTTAAACCAGCTGAATCTTACCTCCTTAACCAGCTGCAACCATATAGATAAAGCTACGCGATTAGTATAAATTCCTCCATTGTTGAGAAAGAAAGGGATTTAAAAATAGTATGAAATAAGATGGCTCCCATTCGTAGTTTCTTATTCTGTGTGGCTGACTCCTTTAACAGTACAAAAAAGAACAAGAGAAAAATTAATTACATAATACAATAAAAAAATCCTTGTTGGTTAATTTGTGGGTTTGATCCTCACCTTCCAACTTGCATCGCAAAGCTTCAGTGTCAATCTCATCCAGTAAGTACTCTGCATCAAAGACAGCATGCTTGAGCTCTTTAAGCCACTCTCTCACGGCAGGGTTCACAATTTGCTTCTCCTCTGCATCATGGAGCACCGCCAACAAAGTCAACAGTGTCGTCTTCAGGTTCACGAGGAGTGGTTCGTCGAGTTTCTTCTGACGAAATAAGTCGATGAACTCGGCTGAAGTAACTCTGTACAATTACAAATGAGATGAATAATTTTATCTGAAAATAGCAAATTACAAATGAGATGAATTTGATCAGATGCAGTGACAATGCAAATGACAAAAAACTGTGATTATTAGAAATTTGATCAGATAAGTTATGTACAATATGATTTTGATCAGATGCGTGAAATTATTAGAAATTTGGAGATTGAATTTGGGCAACGTCCAACATGTATTTGGGTTTTTGGAAGAGAGAGAATATCTGACCTGACTTTGATTTGAGAGTTGAGGGTTGAGAGTGTAATATGGAATACCTCATATTATATGATCACTTGGTTGCCTATCTCGATGCAAGGAATGTGAGATATCTTGGCCCAATCTTGTCCCGTCTTATTATTATACCTTTTCTCCAGTGCAGGACAAAAGAGGATACGCAGATAAGAAAGAGATGGCGGCAAACCCTCTTCTGGCAGGCATTGGAGACTGGGACAGTTCCAAATGTATAGATTTTGAAGAGAAGTGAGGTGTTGAAGTTCCTCTCCTGGCAGGAATTCCAGACTTGGACAGCTGTTAATTTCTAGCACTTGAAGAGAATTGAGGTGTCCAAGACCCTTTCCATCCAAAGATTTCAGAGTTGATAGAGAATAGATGCGGAGAGTGTGAAGAGTGGTAGGGAGCACCTGTTCTTTGAGCAACGTCTCCAAGACACGGTCACTTCCACTGATACGAAATTTTTCAAGGGAGACAAGTGCTTGCAAACCCCAGTACTCTCCCACTGATGAAGCCCTCAGTCTCTCACAATTCACAATCCCAAAATATCGGAGGTTGGGAGGCAAACCCCCATCTTCTGCAAATGACTCCAGATTCCGAAGACTCTGTATATGCAAACCTCGAAGGGCTGTGAGGGCATGAAGGCGTTCGGGCAATGACTTCAAATTCTCGCATTCACCGACTTCAAACCGAATCAGGTTGGGAGTGGGCAATTCTCCCTCGTGAAAACACACCATTTTTGGACATTTATAGACTTGCAAGTCATTGAGATGGCTGAGATTCTCAACAGCTCCTTCTTCTTCAATCAAGGAAAGGGATTCCAGATTCTCACAATCCCAAATGCTAAGAGCCGTCAATTTGGGAAAACTGCCCAACGGGAAGGACCTCATTGAATCAGAGCTTTGATATATACGCAAAGTGTCAAGCGATGTTAATTTGGCCAACATCTCATGAGGTAGGAATTCTAATTTCCTACAATTGTTTATATTAAGTGATGTCAACGTACTGGGTAGGCCATCTTTAGGAAACGACGACAGCGTTGGACAATTCGAAAGAGTCAAACTTTGAAGACGATTGTAGTAGGACAAGCACTGTACGTCAACAACATTTTCCATCTCAAGTCGGGACAGGAGCTTTGTCTCTAATAATGATAACAGAGCTTTGTCTTCTATTTTCAATTCTTCAAGAGATTTATAGTTAAGACTATTGGTAGTTGTGGTAGTGGCCCTTCCATCATGTAAAACCACACACCCAGACACCGTAAACTTCTTTAACCAAGGCAGCTCACAAGGCAAACTTCCTCTCAGTTTCGGACAATTGTTTAGAATCAGTTCCTGGAGACGAGGAAAGTCTGGACCATATTCACCTCCACTTGCACTTCCACTTGGTACCCATTCCTCCCACTCTGGCATCTCCCTAAACTTCAGCTTCTCCAGAGATTGAAATGGCTGAGTCAGATAAGCTCCATTTCTGCCATAGAATTCAACGCCAATCGTCTTCACAAACTTCATTCTTTCTATACAGAGCTCTTTGAGTGCCGGTAGCCGCCCAACTGGTGGGAGCGACCAACAATAACTACAGTCACTGAGATGCACGACTTGTATGTTAGAAAAAGACAAGTCTCCTAACCAATTCGGAAAATTGGTTCCACCATAGAATCTGATGGTTAATTTCTCCAAATTCCCACAAGGCTGGAGCTTGTCGAGTATATCTTTCTCCTTTTGGGAATCATTAGCATCCTCTGCACCCCATGAAAACACTAACTCCTTGAGATCTTTCTTGTGCTTCATATTGGCTTGCAGTGCATCCCTCGCATCAACTACATTTTGTAGCTTCAAAATTGATAGTTTTCCGCGAAGCTGCGGGAACTCCCTCAGTTCTCTTATGCTTGACCCAGTAGAGTTGCCCACAACAAACGAAGTCAATGTTCTCAAACTTTTCAGTCTACCCATTCGCACAGGCATCTCTTCAATTTTAGTTCCACTGACATCAAGATGATGCAAATTAATCAACTCCTTCATGCCTTCAGGCAATTTAATAAGAGAGCTACAACCTCCCAACGTCAATTTCTGTAAATTAATCAATTTTCTAATGTCTGCAGGCAATTCAAAGAGAGAGTAACAATTTGACAATAGTAATGTTTGCAAGTTGTAGAGATTGCAAAGTACCCCGGGTAACCTTTCGATTGCGGTATGGGAAAGATCCAAGTAGCGCAAGTGAATGAGGTTTGCAATAGAATCAGGTAACTCAGTGACATTTTGATAATGTGACAATGATAACACCCGTAAACATCTTAGTGATGGCAACAAATCTTGTAGAACTTTTTACTTACAAAAAATCTTTCATGTCTATATGGATTTAAAGAGGTAGGTAGGAAGGTCCGCAAACATTTAGCCTCATATAATGGTTCAAATCTTGGAGCATCATCAATTTTCCCCTAGCATATGACAAATGACGAGCTCTTTTAACTTCACGAGATACCCCACCTTCGAGCCTAAGGCAAAACCCTTGAGACATGAACATAGCCAAGTCATTAATGAGATCATGCATAATGAAGCTCAATTTCCTTGACTTTTGAAACAACGATCGTGATAACAACTCATCAAAGTATCTTCTAGCCAATGCTTCTATCCTTTTTCCATTCTTAGCTTGTGGAATTATACCTTCTGCAATCCATAATTGAACTATATCTTCCTTTTCAAACTCATAATCCTTTGGAAAAATTGAACAATAAGCAAAGCATCGTTTCAACTGAGCAGGAAGATAATGGTAACTCAACCCTAGAGCCGGAAGAATGTTAGTTGTATTATAGGGTTGGTCCCAGAAACTGTCATTTAGTATTCTACTCCAGTACTCGAAATCTATATTGCAACGTAACAAACCCCCAAGTGTTTGTGCAGCTAAAGGCAACCCTTTGCACTTGAGTGCAATTTGCTTTCCAATGTCTTCCAAGTTTGGATGTGCACTACAGTTTTCATTTCCAAATGCATGTTTTGAAAGTAACAACCAGCAGTCCTCATGTGACAGTGGTTCCAAGTATTGAATAGGAACATTTTGCATGACGGATGCTATATTTTTGTTCCGTGTTGTTATGATGACTTTACTTCCCCTTGCTCCTGACATAAAAGGAGTTTGGAGGAACATCAGTTCAGTATAATCCTCATTCCATAGGTCATCCAATACAAATAGAAATTTCCTTCCCCTCAGTTGTTCTCTTAGTTCAACTTGAAGCAAATTCAAATCTGTCGTATTACAAGGCTTTGAAGTGACTGACTCAAGAAGAGTTTTAGTTATCCTAATAGCATCATAATCTTCTGAAACACAAGCCCAAGCTTGAAATGTAAAATGACCTTTCACCTTCTCGTCATTGTAAAGCAATCGGGCAAGGGTTGTCTTGCCAACCCCGCCCATTCCAACAATGGTGAGGACAGACACATCATCCTTGCTTGCATCATCAGATAGCAACACTTTTGAGAAATTTTCTTTGACTTCATCTCTACCATAGACAGAAGGTTCATGAACCAAGGAAGTTGTTGGAGTTCTTTGTGAAACCTTCCGGCCAGCATCTTCTCTCAGACCTAGAGCACTTTTCAGTTGCACAAAATTTTCTAACCTTGCTAGTAACTCTTGTATCTTATCATTCATGCTCTGATAAAAATGATTACGAGAAGAAAAGAGCAAGTTCCGCACCTTGTTGGTAAATTTTCCGGTTTGATCTTCACCTTCGAACTTGCATCGTAAAGCTTCCGTGTCGATCTCATCCAGTAAGTCCTCTGCATCAAAGACAGCATGTCTGAGCTCGTCGAGCCAATCCCTCACAGCAGGTTTCCTAATTTGCTTCTCCTCTGCGTCATCGAGAACTGCATATAAGGTCAACAGTGTCGTCTTCAGATTCATCAGGAGTGGCTCATCGAGTTTCTTGTGCCGAAATAAGTCAACGAACTCGGGTGAAGTAATTCTGTTGCACAACACCTGGACGGAAGCAGAGATAAAAGCCTCTCCGATCAAAGCCATCTCTTTTATCTTCTCTGCAGACTGCGATTTGGATGAAGTAAAATATTCCAAGATTTGCAAGTAGCTAGGCTAGCACAACTTGGAAATACAGGTTTGTAAACAAGTATGGAAGCTTTTTAAGACCGTAGATAACATGAACTTGTAATCTTGGCCTTGGAAAACCCTCTCTCTTTCAAGTACTGTTCCTTCTTTGTTTGTGGCTGAAAACTTTTCAACGGCCTCACATGGGGATGGGGTCGCAAAGTTGGACGCAAAAGCTTTTGAGAAATTGTCGGTGGACTTCTTCAAATTACTCGTATGGGGTGGGTGGGAGCCACACTGGCAGAAGTGGGGCAAGACAACTGTGTTTGAAAAAAAGAAAATTAAAAACTAAAAAGGCAGCATACTTATTATTGCTCGTGGGCCGTTCAGATATAGGTTTGTAACTGTATATGTTTTCTTCAGAACTTACCTATGGTACACAGCCCGCCACACCCTTTATTGTGGTTTCGCCCTTGACCTTTGCTTCTCCTAGCAATAGCCCTGTTTGAAAGACCAGAGAGTTGCAGTTGAAGTTTCATGCTAGAGTTGACGACCCCTGTCTGAAATGGCTTGCTAAGGGTTTCAGTTCAAATTGCCCAAAACCCAACCATCCAATCGACACAATGGAGGACCTCGCAAATGCATTTTCTGTGCTGGAGCTTGACGTTGAAGACGACGATCAAGCGCGAGAGGCCTCTTATGTTTCCAAAAACAAAGATGACACTACAAAATCTTCAGGTTAATTCGTTTCCATAGTTACTGTAAGTGCCAGGGTTAGGGTTTAGGGTTTAGGCATTTCTGAAAGCCATTGCTTATCTGAAATGCTAGCTTATGCTAAATGCAACTCCTTTTCTCTATCTTCTAAGAGTTGCTTTGGATTATTCAGCCCCCAAAATTGTGAACAAGTTGGAGAAAAGCTTAACGCTTTTTTAAGTTTTCTGGATTGGTTGTATATAAGATTAAGCTTCCTGAACTTACTGGTTACTAGTGAAGCTTCCTGAACTTATTTGGCTGTGTATTTCTAGGGGTATTGATTGATCCGATTAGGAAGGATTTCTAGGCCTACGGATTAAGCTCAACTAATTTCTGGGGACCCCTAGGAAATTTTTATTGACTTTTATACTTTTTATTTATGTTATTTATTTATTTATATTCATGGATGTTATATACTTACATATACAACTCAATTGAAGATGTCCCAAAGCCAACAAAGTTCTTATTTATATTCATGGAGGTTTTGTTTTGTATTGTTTGACGATAGTGTTGTACAGTGGATATCTTGTCCACTGCATCTTTTATTTTCATTTAGCTGTAGTAAAAGTTTGTTTCTCACGATTAAAATTCATAATTTTTTCTTAATATTTTCCTTAAACGGAAGCCATGTTCATGATAGACTATAAACTGGGTATTTATTTAACCATATATGGTTTACTCTAGGTGAACTATTGGTTGATATCTAGCTGGGGGTGATTGCAGTATATTAATATCTTCATACTAATGATTTATCTTTGAGACAGGCAAGAAGATGGAGAAGAAAGTCAACAACTCTGATAACACGTTGCTAGTAAAAGAGAAAGAGAGTCAGCAAAATTCAGAGATGCCTCTAGAAGAGTACAAGTTGCCCCTGGTATGGATTGACTTGGAAATGACTGGTGAGGATAATATTGGTTGGTTGGAATATAACAATGTCTAACTAAATAACAATGATAATTCGTTTGCTACTCTTTGGAGATAAACTCTATGGGAAATATTTATAAGGAGTAAATACATGTTACAGGACAGAAATTAATTGTTGTTAATGCCCATGGAAAGGCATCTCTCAGTTTCTTTCCATGTTCTCCTCTAATCTTCTCCCATCTCTGTAGAATCTCTTTGCCACATAACGCTGCTAGTATGTTTTTTTTCCCTCTTCCATCTTTCCATGGTTGAGATATCCGGACGTTGTAAAGCTTTCTCCCTGTGCTTCTTGATTGAGAACATCATTGTCAGTCTAGACTTGACAGAAGGCCTTGGTGTCTTGAGTCATAGGTATTCTCTCCTGTAAGTCCTTTTTCAATACATTGATAATCAATCACACCGTTCCAATGTTTAGTCCATCCCTTATTATTTGGAAGACCAAAGTTCCTGGTCATGGTTGAATAAATACTTATGAGGTCCTTACGGGCCATATTTTCATTTATCCCCTCACTAGTTTACTAGGTGGAAAGGGGTTGCAGGGAGCATTGATCATCTCTTTCTTCATTGTCCAGTGGCTTTGAGATTGACTTGGATGCTCCCCTTCTTATGTAATCCCTTATTTGTGATGCTCCCGATATTTGGTGTGTTACTCATAATTTTGGCGATATGGACTGAGAGGAGCAACTTAATATTTAGGGGAAGGATGGGGAGTCTGTCTATTGCCTATGGGATAAGGCTAGATTAATGGCTTTGCTTTGGGCACCAGTTTCTGTTGCATTCTTTGACTGCCCCTTCTTTCTTCTAAATATTTGGATTGAATGCTGCTGTTTCTTAGGTTTTCTGATTGTAGTTGACTGGTTCTTGTTCTGTTTTGTTTGGATAGGAGTCGTTTTGACTGTTTTTCCTGCTAAGGATGTTCGGCCTAGATTGAGAGTTGTTTATTTGTGGACTAATAGTCGACTATGATTGTAGTTTTCCGATTTTTTACTTATTACTATACTCATTCTGTTTCCTATCTGAAAACGAAAATAATGAGGCACATAGAATATGTAATGCTAGACCTGTACTTAAATCAAAGTTAACATATTCTTATGTTGTCTGTTTAGACCAATTAATAATTTCTATGGTAAATTTGCCCTTAAAATGTGATGACATGAAGATTTTCAAATTTATCTTCTCTTTTACTTCTGTCATGCAGGTTTAAATGTTGAAGTTGATCGGATACTAGAGATTGCCTGTATAATTACTGATGGAAAATTAACCAAATCAGTAGAGGTATTTTCTCAACATCAGATTTGCGTAAATATTTTTATTTTATTTTAGGGTTATATTGTCTCTATGCCTCTGTTTGTGTTTTTCCATTTTCATATTTTGCAAGTGTTGTTAATTACGTCATATATCAACACCATTAAATCTTCTCATTTATCTTTCCATTTTTAAAATTCTGCAACTGCAGTTGTTAACTACTTTATTGATCATCACCATTTAGTCTTCTCATTTATTTGTATCTTTGTCACTGCTTGCTATTTAAAAGATTGTAATTTTAAAGGAGTGAACTTCAGTAAATGGTATCATATTCAATATTTTATCTTTTCTTATTAATAATTATCTTTTAGCACACATAATTTTGTTTGTTCCATATATGTTTTATTGACGTTATCCACCGACAGAAGATATACATTCTTTCATTTTCTGCCCTGTGGAAAGATTTAATGAAATCTTGTGTTCACATGTAAATCCTGTCAGTGAAAGAATCTTTTCAAATTCTCACTCTAGCCCCACACCCGACAACAAGTTTCAGAAGACCAAAATATCTCATATAGGTTCATTACTAGGTTTCAAAGGGCAGATTTGAGTTTTGACAATCCTAAAAGAAGCTTCAGGACTGATATTCACTAGCATCTTAACTATGATGAGAACACTCCAAGGCTTCTTCATTCTCCCATTTTCTTCCTTAAGAGACTGGAAATGGGTTGTCTTCATCAAATCTGTTCCTGTCATCATATTTCTAGTGGAGGGGTACCATTACCTCCCTCAGGGATCCACCCACTCATTGAACCAAATTCATGAGTACTTGGGAAGGCTGGATCATTATTTGATAGCTTTGTCTTCGTAAGCTGCCATTTGAGCCTTCTTCTTGGTTCTATTATCATCCTGTGGAATATTCATAGACATGGTTGCTGTAATTAATAAGCTGACAGGATACAGGGCATAAAAAAGATAGTAGGTGTAAACTAGGACCTGTTGTTTAACTTACCAAGATAGCACATGACTGTTCAACTTTTTCAGTGTCTTTTTCCCCAACTCTTGTTTAACTCAAATTGTTGTTTTTGGGATTGTAAAGGCTACATCCTTTAAATTCGAAGATGTTAAACAGAACACCTGACTGAGTTAAGGATGTTTATTTATGTGAATTAAATGAGATGTTATCCTTTTCCTTTATTCTTATTCTTATTCTATTTTGGTTCACTTGTTTATTTTATTTTATTTTTATCATTTGTGCTCAATTTCAAAATGCATCTTGATTCCCTTACTATTATTGGCCCATGGTTTCCTTATCTTCTTTTTTTTATTTTTTATTTTATTTTATTTATAATTTTAAAAAAACTCCTTTTTCCCTTTTATCTTTCAGGGCCCTGATTTGGTTATTCATCAAACTAAGGAGTGTTTAGATAGGATGGGAGAATGGTGTCAAAGTCATCATAAAGCTAGTGGTAAGCAGGGTGTTATAAACCACCGTCCAACATTGTACACCTCTTAGTAACATTATGTATGCAGATACGTTCTATTTAGCTCCATGCATCATAACATAGGCATGAATGTATTATCATTTTAACATATGGTGTACGATTTCACGACTAACAAAATTTATTAAATTTAGGGTTGACAAAAAAGGTGCTCGAAAGTACAGTCAGTGAAAGAGAAGCTGAAAAGCAGGTGTGTAAGAACTCTTTTTAGACGTAAGCTTTTGTTTGTTGTTTTTGCTTCTAGCATATGCACATTTCTGAACTGTGTGACCATGTTAAGCAACACCACTAAATTTTGATAAAGATGTTTTGTAATTTCTGGAGTGTTGCTGGCCTTTCTGTAATACTTCCTTTCTATGACTCTGCTACTCTTGAAGTCGACTTTTGGTATTCCAAAACAGCTTCAATAACCTCATCATTAAATTTTCTCCTTTTCCTAAGCAACCCTTGGTATTTCTACACAACCTTTATTACTTTATTACAGAATCTGAATGGCTCTTTAAGTACGACCGACTCTTATAACTAGACCCCGGAAAAAGTGGAAGTTAATAATTATCTACATCAGGATGTAATTAAGAATATAATGCACTCATGGAACTTTAGTTTTGGTTGGTATCATTAATAATTATTCTATACTTGGATAATAGTCTGGTTTTTTTCTAATTAACATGCATGTGATTCTAATAACATGTGTTTAATTATAGGATTGAATATATAAGATAATCTTTTCCATGGAATTACCTTTAAAGAAGTCTGCCTCTGAGTTTCTCGTTGTTTAAATAACAAGGAACCTGGAACCTTTGGACATCCCCTCGTGCAGAGAAGAGAATTTGGTATCCATTGTGCTTTTCCTTAGTTGTTTTTGAATAAGAATTATTCAACCTATTTGTGATGAACAACTGAGATTATATTTTGTACATATATACTACTTATTCAGTAATCATCCTCCTTTTACTTCAATTGTGACCTTTAGCTACACTCTAGTTATATACGTTATTGATATTCCAGTTGAGTACTTTTTCTTTATATTTCTGTGTAAACAAGTGTATGTTTCAATACTGCAGGTCATAGAATTTGTAAAGAGAAACGTAGGAACATATACACCTCAGTTAGCAGGCAATTCAGTTTATGTGGATTTTGCATTTTTAAAGGTAATGTGAATCACCTTTCCTGGATTTTATTTATAATTAACTCAATTTGAAGTATTTGGTTATTAATAAAACGTTGCTGTATGGAAGTCTCGTCTTTCATTCAAATGAGATGCGTCTATATATTTTGTAAGCTAATGAGCATGCAAGGAAATACCACACTACGCAGCAGATCTGTTATGTCCATTTTTCACTTATTTAGCTGTTTTTTTCTGTTATGTCTGAAGTTGAAAGCTTTTCATGCCGCTATTGTAACTTGAAATCTAGAATGGGCAAATCATGAGGGCAGGGGAGCTTCGAGAAGGGTTTTTGTAAAAATAAGGAGAGAATAAGATGAATCAATCATAACTCATAGAAATTTAGAACAATTTTAGTTGGGAACTTCTTCAAAGTAAGAAACTAAATAAGAAGCAAATCTCTTAATTTAGGCAACTAAGTCGCACCCTTAAACAAAGAATCCTAATTATAGAGCATAATTTTACCCTCAGGCAGAGAATTGGTGGCTTGATATTACAGTTGGGGATTACACCATTATAACTAGAACATGATTTTATTAGACTTGGGAATGATAACAACATGAAGAGAAGATAAGGCACTCTACTGGGGTGGTGGTCTTCCCACAAAAGTGGAAGCAGTAAAAGTTCTGGACGTTAGGCCTATTAGCCCAGTATCAAGCTTGTATAAAATTTAACTGTTTTTCCCAAAGACTGAGGAAGGTACTGGGAGATTCTATTTCACAAGAGCAAAGGGCATTTGTAAAAAGATGTCAATAATTTTTTCCGGTTACAGGGAGAAAGGACAGCAGATTTTAGATGTGGTATTTTTAATTGAAAATGTGGTTGTGGAGGAAGTGAGAACAAAGAAAGAAGGATTAGTTTTTAAAGTTGATTTGATTTTTGAAAAAGCCTATGACTGTGGATTGTGGTTTATTGGAGTTTGCTTTGGAACGAAAGGGGTTTCTTGGGCTGTTTTTAGCAAGTGGATTAGGGGATGTTTGTATTCGGCTAATTTTTTCAATTTATCATTAAGAATAAAGTACGTATTCTGGAAGATAAACTTGAGCTATTGCCTTGATCACCTATGTTTTTTCCTCAATAAAAATGAAGGGTTTGTGCTTGTATGTGTTTTGAAAGATAAGCTTGGGTTGTGCCTTTGGCTGCCCGTGTTTTTCCTCATTTTGTTATCGTAGTCTATTTGAATTTAATTAGCCTGGTTGGATTTCTTAACAGTTTTTTTCTTCTTTTTCTGGCAGAAATACATGCCAGATTTGGCTAACCTTTTCTCCCATGTAATAGTGGATGTTAGCAGTGTTAAAGCTTTATGCATTCGCTGGTATCCTAGAGGTAAAAATTCTTACACTACCTGGTTAATCCTGTAGTTTATCTCTACCACTAAAAAGACAAGTAAATTCTTGGTTTTAATTTTTTCTTCAATTGTTTTAATACTCTCTTCCCATGTTGATATGCTTGAAACTTCATACTAGACAAGTTAAAGTGCTTTCATGCTATGTAGCCACTATGACCACTTTAAGGCCATCAGAACTAGTAACACGGTATACTAAAACCTTTCTTTTACTACAACAATGTACGGCCTTGTAATTCGCCACCAATTTTTAGTTGACTAATAGAAACTGTGTTTGTATATGAACAACACTGGTGACAAAGAGCTTAACAATGATGAGGAATATGGTGGTTAAGAAATATTAAATTGAATAATTTTCTAAAGTTGTTGGAATGACCTTCAAAACTGAGCCCATGGGAAAATGTGGACAAGCCACCCACCTCTACATGATATGTGGAATAGTATTAAAAAGGTTTTCAAGCAATGCAAATTTTAATCCTTTTTGTCTTCATCGTATTTGTTACCTTAGCTTGTTATGTGGTTTCTCAGAACTTGGTTGGGCATTTTTTTTGCTGCTCTGTATATTGAAATGTGTTTGCCTGGAAACTTCATTTGTATTGTCATTGTTTTACAGATAATAAGAAAGCCCCTTCTAAAGAAAATAATCACAGAGCCATGGATGATATTAGAGAAAGTATCAGGGAACTTAAATACTACAAGGAGAATATATTCAAAGCATTTAAAAAATGATGCAAGGAGGCTCCAAAGTTCTGTCCATTGAACTGTAACGAAAACTACGTCGATGCATTGAACTATCAAGGATTAATTTGTGTCGGGAATCCATCATGTGGTGATTGTTTTTAATCTTAAATTTCATTAGAGATTTGGTTGTACCTAATGTTAATAGATCTCATTCCTCGACTCTTTAATTGTATGATTGTTTTTATCCTTTTGTCTTAAATCTAATTGCAAGTGTTGCTTTTGTTTCTTAAACACTGAAAAGCATCTGAAAGTAAGCAATTTGACAATTTTTCAGTGCCCTTAGAAGGAACTGGGTTGCCTAATCTTACACAACTCAAATTGTTGGTGTGTTTAGACGGTTTCAAGTTTTTGAGATTCTTGTTTTTTCGTTTTCCGCAATAAGATGGTTGAATAGGATTTAATTTGTCTTTGATACATTTTTTTTCCTCCTACTGTAAAAGGGAGCTCATTCCCTCATTTGTGATCAACCCATTTCAGAAATCAATCAAAGATCGTAGAGGGTTGAGATGTTTTCATACTGTTAATTGTTCTTTACTATTCTCTTTCTATTTGTTCTTTAAATTATATTCCCTTCACAAAAACAAAAAGGGACTGTGTAAAGATATTTACTAGCAACAATAAGATCCACTATGCCAAACAGAATAAATTGAAGTTGATAAAATAAAAGCAATTTTTATTGTACGGAACGCCTTAGAGAATTGCTAGTATTCTAGTTTTCTATGTGTGTACTTGGGCTTTCGCTGCCCATTCCTCAATTGAAGTAATGCAAACGAAAGTAACGAGTCCCTAATTTTATGCATTTATTGTTCTTTAAATTTAAATTTTGAATGTATGTAATGCTGAAAATGAATTTTGAGTTTCTCGATTATAAACATGTAGAATTCATTTTTAGCAATACATATATTCAAAATTAAAATACATCAGTTCAAACCCACATGATATCTCGATAGTGTAATTTAGACCCCTACATGAGAAATCCCCCTCTCAACATAATTTAGACCATTGCTTGTACTTAAAAAAAACACACACACACGCATATAAGCAATGGCTTATAGTAAAATGGTTAAGAGCAAATATAAGGTCCTATGTTCGATTTCTCCTCTCTCAATATTACTTGTATAAAAAACAATTTAAAAACATAAATATCCTACTATGGAGACGTAAAGTAATAATATACCTACAGAACTCGTACACTTGGGCATGAGATTTTGTCATTGTACATCTCATACAAAATATACTTACACCATATGTTATAGTAAGAAAAAGATATTTAAACCAGGTGCAAACATATTAAACTAAAAAAAATAGCATCCTCCATTTGATTGACATAAAAGAAACCTTTTGCATCTTTGGAAGCCCTTGCATCATCCAAACTATATTTACTCATATTCTTCTCAAACTTGACCAAATGCATTAACATGTGTATCACATGATAAATGGAAGGACTCGACCACTTACCCTATAACCAACTGAAGTTTGCATTCTTCTTAGGGATTTTTGTAGAAATGTCACTTGAACTTATACCTCAGTTTCAATTTGTCACCCTAAAGAAAAACTTAAGAGAAATGTCACTTTAAATTTTCAAAATCCATGATTTGTTAACTGACTTTAACATCATCCGATTTTCCATCTATTTTGAAGGGTATTTTAGTCTTTCCATTTTCAAGGGTATTTTAAAAATAAAAAATTCATAAATTTTAAAAAAAGTGTATTAAAAAAAATCTCATGTTTTTCTACTTGTTGGTATAAGATATATTCGAATCTGTCACAAGTTCCAGTCTTCTGATTTGATTTGTATATGCCGATCGGATATACTCTGTAATAAAACACCCAATAAGACACAACAAAATAGGATGTCCCATTGATTTACTTTTATTGTTAGATCACATGATCTTATCTAAATAAATATATACCATAAAATAATAATAATAATAATTAAACTTGAACGAATTAAGGAGGGATTTTCCGAGTCATATTTTAGGCTTATCCAATCCATCCTTATAGTATTCTCAAAAGCATTATCAAAGGTGCTATAAAAAGGTTTATAGGTGTTTTCTTGATTTAAAAAGGGGCTCAAGTGATTTTTTTTTTTTTTTTTTTTTTTTTTTTTTCTTGAAAATAGAAAGACTAAAATACCCTTAAAAATGGATGGAAAATTGGATGGTGTTAAAGTAAGATGATAAATCATGGATTTTGAAAAACCAAGATGACATTTCTCTTAAATTTTTCTTTAAAATAACAAATTGAAACTGAGATATAAGTTTAAGTGGCATTTGTACAAAAATCCCTTCTTATAATGCGGTCAAGTCCACATCAAACTTAAACTAATATGAATTGACCGTTATAAATTTAAAAAACAAAACAAAAAAAAACAACTTGCAACTTGCAAGTATTTGATAACTCACCTTCAATCCCAATGTCATATCGCTCTTCGTCTCCAAACTCACTTTTTTCTACCCCTTAACTGGAGCTTTGTCGTGAGTGATTATCACAATCTTTTAGATGAACAATGATTGGGCCTTCAGGGTCGTCCACTTTTTTTTTTTTTTTTTTTTTGTGAACAAGCGGAGAAAAACCCCAAAGACAAACTACTCAGAATGGTTTAAAAACCAAACGAGCTTTAGCAACTACTAACAAATCATCAACAATTTTCGAACCAAGCCAAGAGGGAGCATAAGCAAAACTGCACAGACCAAGATCCATACTGTAACTCCAGTTAGCAGGGTCGCCACTACTTTCGGGGATGCATCAATGTGGATTGGAATTCGCTGCTTGATCTTAGTGGCAAATTGAAGAACATTCCTTGTGAGGGTCAATGTATAAAAGCTCAAAAAATTTTAGACAAAGAGAACCATAAAAATGAAACAAAAATATGACCAAATCAACAAAATATCTCCTATTACAAAAGGGTAATGCTAGGCTTACCACATTTATATACTACATTGTATATCACCTCTCTAATGGAGGTGGAGCCCACCAATACAGATGGAGCACACTTAGAGAGATGGTACACAATGTGGTACATAAATATGGTATGCCTAGCATTTTCCATTACAAAATAGTCATGGCAATTTCTTCCTTTCTCACTAAAACTACATTTCTTTAGAGCACTTCCACTCATTTGTCATGGCAAAGAGTAAGGGCAAGTAAGTGTAGTTACTCCTTCATGTGAATAGTATCAGAATAGTATCAGCCCTAGTAATTGTTTTTTGTGGCTTTTCCACCCATTGCCATGGCAACCCAATGGCAATTACTAATTATATGGGATTAATTTATTTATATTATGAGATTAATAAATAAAAAATTGCTAGGTATGTATTAAAAAAATTATGAATTTTTTGGTTATTATTATTATTATTATTATTTTAAAATTTCTTTGCTCATGCCAATTCTCTCAGGCAAGAACTCGAGCTGATATTGCCTTCCGGCCTGCCCAATCTTGATGGAGCCTATGTCTTGCCTGGACTAGAATGCATTGGTGGAGAGGCTTCTCAGCCCAAGAGGCATGGCAAAAGGCCATGGGTGGAAATACTTAGTACAAAAAACAAAAAGGGATATAATATTATATTAAAATGGCAATTTGTCATTATAAAGAAAAATTTATGAGAAATGTTACCTTAGTTTCAAATTGGAACCTCATGTTATAATATTATATGGCAATGGATGCCTACCACACTCATATATGCCTTTATAGCTCATCCCATTCTCCATATTTAGAAATGTATAAACCTACCACTATAGTAATATTTTATGTATTTCCTATGCCTATAAATAGGCTTCAAGGATGAATAAAGAACATACAAGACCAAGAGAAATCTTTGAGTATCAAAGATCGGTTTCTTCCATATCCCAAGCTTTGTGTTCCTTAATATCTATATATATTTTATTTAAGTTTTATAACAATATCTTAATTCTCAAATACAACAAGAATGCAAATTTAGGATTTCATTGCTTGGAAATTCACACTTGTCCAATTTAGCATATGCATTGCACATTGCATATCTCGGCTCATATCTAAGAGTTCTGCAATAATAAGGCGAATTAAGGCATCCCATAGCCTAGCTCTCTATCCATATCTGTCTCCACAAAGCCCTCTTCCTCCTTAGCCAAGTCTCTCTTTGCCATCCCAAGATCTGCCTCTGTAACAGCTAGTACAGCACTCCGCCTCTTGTTCTCACTATCCAAAATATCCACATCTTCTCTCAGTCTTTTCAGTCTCCCTGCCCTTTCCAGAAACTTCTTCATACGCAAAGCGGATTGAACATGAGGTTCCAGCCATGCCAAGTCAAATCTGAAGATCTCAACATCCTCCCATAAATGTTGAAGGCGTACACAGTTATCCTCTGTCATATCCTTCACTGTTGTAGTCTTCAGAAAATGCAGGAGTTCCCCCAAAGCTGTGAATATACATTTGCTAACTTTGCAACTTCTCTTCTGTTGGCATGCAATCAACGAAGGATACCATGAACAGACTGTTGGCAAGTCCTTACTTAATTAGGATTTTGGTTCCTTACTATGTTAGGATTTTAGTTACTTACCATTTATCTAGTCCTATTATAATTGAGATTTATTTCCTATTGTAATTTATATTTATTTTCTATTGTAATTTGGATTTATTTCCTATTTTATTTAGGGTTGTACTTCTCTATAAATACCTCCATATTGGAGAAGAATAATAATATGAGTGAATATGAGTCAAGATGAGCGTATCTTAGCATAACTAAATATTTGCCCTACTTTGTTTGACATGGTATAAGAGCCTAGGTTTTCTTGTGACCTGTGTTTGCGGTCTCCTTGAGAGTCGTTGCTAATCCTTGAGATCCTCTGACAAATTGAGAGTCGTTGGCGTTAAACCCATCATGGGTCTTCACCTTGCTATAAATCCCCGTTTCTCCTTTCCTTAATAATCAACATATATTTCTTCTGCCTTAGCCATAGCCGCACCTTTTTGCAATTTTATCCTTGTCTCTGTCCGTACCGTGTTTATGTTGAGTCATTACCTTTCTTTTTCTCTACCTTTCTTTTTCTCTACCTATGCATGTTGTTGCCTTTTTCTCTTACTTTTCATCTCTCTTTGAGCTTGCTTTATGTTAAAATCAGATTGAGCTTAGTTAGTTTCAGTCTCTTGCGCTCACAGCCGAGCCTCTCTTTTAAATGTATAGCATATGGGCAACACGCCCTTGGGCATTGATGGCCTGATCTTTTTCCTCTGTGAGCCTAGTCACCGTTCACCGAGCCATCTTAAACCTCCGCGAGCCTCGTCACCGCTCGCCGAGCCTTCTCATAGCTGGCCTTTGTCTCTCTCTGTCCTGCTGAGCTACACTGCCGTTGTTCCCTTTGCACAGCCGCTCTGGTCCTCTGCACGCCTATATGGCCATTTTTCCCATTTGATAATGTGTTTCACTTCCTGCCCAGAAACATCTGTGTTTTCTTACTCTCTATTTATTTGGGTGTTACTTTCTTCAAATCTCGACTCTCATACATCGTCGGATTTGAGGGGGAGTGACACTGCTGCTCATCTATTCTGCTGCAATTCAGCTACCCATCTGTCATGGCTGATTCTTTTACATCCGAGCGTCAGTCCGTTTTTGTTTCTTAAGTGCCACTTTTCTTATGGTTCCGACGACCTCTTCTCTTCAGGGGGAGAGAGAGAGTGAAGAGAAGTTGTCTCTGCAATAATGGAAGTATTTGTCATTGTTATTACTGCTGACTACTATGTCCTTTGCTAGTGCCAGTACCGTTGCTCATACCTGTTAGGTCTCTTGCTGGGGACAATGTTATTACTCCTGCCTATTATGACTCTTGCTGGGGACAGTGTTGATTATTGTTGATGATGCCTGTTATGTCCCTACCTTGTTGCTCTTGCTGGTGCCAATGCCTTGTATTGCTGTTGTTGGTACCAGTATTGTTGCTCCTGCCTGTTATGATGCCATTATTGTTGCTCATGCCTTTGTTGGTATGTCTCCATTGTGGTCACACCCATTGACCTTGCCTTTGCTCTTGACTTTCTTTGTCTTGCCTTACCTTATTTTTTTTCGAGGTTTGGCTTTACCTTGCCTTACCCTATTTTTTAGGGTTTGGTTTTTGCCTTACATACTGCCGTGCTCACAGGGTTTCTGTGTTATGCCTTACATACTGTCGTGCTCACAGGGTATCTGTGTTCTGCCTTACCTATTGCCGTACTCATAGGGTTCTGTGTTCTGCTATGTGCCCTATTTTTTAGGGTTTGCTCTTGTGTTTCCACTGCAAACTTTGTTTTAGTTTGTCACTTGTTTCACTCGTGGTTGACTAAAAGACCTTCTCTACAATTGGTGCTTTCTCAAGTATGGTGTTCTGTGACTCGCTTGTCAAGTTGGGCCTGCGAAATATCTTTGCCCAACTTGAGGGGGAGTGTTGGCGAGTTCTTACTTAATTAGGATTTTGGTTCCTTACTATGTTAGGATTTTAGTTACTTACCATTTATCTAGTCCTATTATAATTGAGATTTATTTCCTATTGTAATTTATATTTATTTTCTATTGTAATTTGGATTTATTTTCTATTTTATTTAGGGTTGTACTTCTCTATAAATACCTCCATATTGGAGAAGAATAATAATATGAGTGAATATGAGTCAAGATGAGCGTATCTTAGCATAACTGAATATTTGCCCTACTTTGTTTGACACAGACTTCCTCTAATAGTGGCACAAAAGCTTGATCTATTAGTCCTAAACCCCTAAAGTCCAAATGTTGGCCAGTCGGCGTAAGTTCCTTGAGTGCAGAGGGGTCAACAAGGCTACCAATTTCAGAAGGTGGTGCTGAAAGGTTCCCGTCCATTGTATTGTTTCTCTGTTTGCCCTAAACTCCTTAAATCCATCAGTCAACTAGTTTCTGGGTCTTTTAAAATCTTACCTTTAACGTTATGAACTGAAACTTCAGCTTCAGCTTCAAAAATACATGTATCATTCACGAGATACCCTTTATCATGGTTACAAAGCTCACTTAGACGAATGAATAATGGAAAGCCCCAGTCCTTCTCAGTTGCCACAAACTCATGTCCATTGCTGTCTGTAACATCAAAAGTAACAAGAATCACAAAAATATAATCAAGAATAAAAGCAGATGAACACCAAATAGGAAAATAAAATGTAGAGGAGAGGAGGGCTGTTGAAATGTAAGAAATAGCGCATTCAGTTAAGTTGTCAACGATCAAAACTCAATAGACAAAATATCACAGTTCGAACAGATAGGAGACAAATATCTTAACTGGACTTAAAAGCCTAGATGATTACAATATAGATGGAGCATAGATGATAAAAGGATCCCGAGGCTCTGCATTTACAAAGTGCACTTATGTATGATTAAAGATGTTTAACTTATAAGTAACTTTTTCTTCAATAGTAGAAGAAATTAAGATAACATATTTCAAAACTTAAAACACTGTAAAAGCATTTAAAAAAAAATTGCTCTAATGATCTTCAGAACTCTAAACGCTCTTCCATATATTGAAGGGCTTCTTAGACATAGGTCCATTTTCACTTAGATACAGTTGATCCAATTGACTCTTCTCAATTGCAGTTCACCTAGCAAATTGTGTGGCCGGGTAAGCAAACCTTTGTAGCCATATTTGTTGCATTTTGTGATCTGTAACAAATTTTTCATAATATATATTCTAATGAAGAGCGTTGGGGACATGTTTTTACGATAGACATGGTCACATTCACGGCATTTGCGCGACTGTGAATAGCAGTTATCTGCCACATATTTTGAACACAAACTCAAATTTGTTGATGCTGATGAGTAATATAGATGTTGAGTTTAAACACAACATAAACGTTGTGTGATAAGCATACGTCATTAGATAATGGTATATTTCAATAAAATAATGACAAGTGTTTACACCATAATTAACCAAGCGTGCCTAGCACCAAAGTGACTAACACCAAGGCAGACATGCCTTCTTCCCTGCCAAAGGGAGATGCTCTTCCGAAGGGACAACCACCTGCCGAAGCTCCGAACTGCCAAACCTAAAAACAGGAGACACGTGCCATCATCACAGCAACTTGCACAAAGTCCCACACCGGAACTTTGTGCAAACCTCCTACTTTTACTTCCCTATAAATAGGGAACAGTAACCAAGAAAAAGGGAACTTCTCTCTCACTATTACTGTTACTTTGCAATAGTTACTACCCCTAGCTGACTCAAGCATCGGAGAGCCTTCGGTCGGCACCACACCGGTGTCCGAAGCTTAACGACTGCTTCTCCTGTTTTGTCTTCTGCAGGCCAGCCATCTACTGAAGGCCCAGGCCCTTCTCTTGCTAAAGACAAACCCCTATCTCTAAGTTGACCCTCTCCGAAAAAAAGCATTAATAGTTTGGCGCCGTCTGTGGGAATCGAATACTTAAAACCCATTTTTCTCTACCAGCCCAGCTGGCTCCTTCACCTATCTGGCCCCGTCGCCTCTTCTTCACTCCACACTCAGCCATGCCTACTGAGGATAGCCACGATGCCCAACGTAATACCCCCCAGGAGGGTACCTCCCAGAGGGGACCGTCGGCGGAGGTCAATCTCCAGGCCGAGGTGGAGCTCCTCCACGCCAATGTCGTCAAGATGTCCGAGAGGTGTGACCATCTTCATTCCAAGAACGTTGAGCTGGAGCACGACTACCGCATCCTAAAGCGTAACTGGGAAAGGAACCAAGCCTAGGGCTCCCAACACAGCCTTACCTGAGCGCACACATCCAAACCAGCCGGAGCATTCCCACCATAGTCCCCCAATCCAGCCTAGGCCCAGCAACGGTAAAGGCCCCCTCCATCCGGAGATGACCAAGTCACGGCTTCTCCGTATCTCCCCGCCGAGGAACAGGCCTCATGAACCAACGAAGGTCTACGGGATTGCAGGGATAGTATCCTGGACCGTCAGACGGGACCCCTTCTTATCCCCGTTAATCTCCAAGACCCAAAGGTGACACACCTAGGCCCCCCACCAAAGCCAACCCATGTGCCTGTGGGGGAGGGTATGGGGGACTCGGATAACTGGGGGCATGATTACTTAGAAGAGCACGAGTCTCATCACACCGAGGAGTTCGGTGGACCTGACCTTTATCTAGCCCCTGGCCACCCACACACCAGACCTCCAGCACCCGAGACTCTCCCTCATGCCGACCCGGCAATGAGACTTCTCTTTGAGAAGGTCCGGCGCCTGGAGAATGAGCAGCAGCGCAACCACCAACCCCTCTGGGCGAAGCCACGACCTAGGCCCTTTACCGAACGCATCCTTAATTACCACCAGGAGAAGGAAATCCAGCCCCTCCGCATCGCCTTCTACACTGGCACAGAGGATCTCCTCACCCATATACATTCTTTCCTGTCTGCCCTGGGGTGCAAAGGCTTAACCGACGAGGGCATGTGCCTCCTCTTCCCATCCACTCTCAGCGGTGCGGCCCTGAATTGGTTCTACAGGCTGAGCCCCCACACCATCAACACGTTTAACAGTCTGAAGCAGGCCTTCCTGGACCATTTCATGATCCAAACTGATCGCCTCTACTCCGCGAACGACCTGTACATGCTTAGGCAAGGTGAGGATGAGCCCCTTCGGGAGTATGCAGCCAGGTTTAACCACGAGTACTCCCGCTGCCCAGAGACCGATGATCGTGCCGCCTTTGGTGCTTTCAAGAGTGGCCTCCGTGAGTCCAACTTTCGGTACCTAGTGCACAGCAACCCCTGGAACACATATGGTGAATTAATGAAGCAGGCAGCAGTTCATGCCAATGCTGAGTACTTCAACTCCAAACGTGGCCCGGCCACCCCGGCACATCATCTTTTCGCTGATCCCCCACCTGCTTCAACACCCAACTCAGCCCCGCCTCAACATTCTACTCCCGCCCCAAGTACCCAGGGTACCCAGCACCCCAAGCGGAAGGATAACTACCAGCATACCTTCAACAATAGCAAGCGGGGCAGACATAGCAACCACCACCAGTCCAGCGGGGGCAACCCACACAGGGCAGGTGATCGGGCTCTACTCCCATTCTCACCCAATCTTAGGTTCGAAGTCTTCACCACCCTGAACACTACCTACGAGAATGTCCTGGTGCACGAGGCACCTATCATACCTAAGCCTCCCCCCCGAAGACCAGGCAGCAAGCCCATGCCCAACACGGGTGTCTTCTGTCGCTTTCATCAGTTCGGTGGACACGACACCGAATCTTGTGTTGCCTTGCGCAACATCATTGAATGACTTATTCGTGAGGGGAAACTGGATAAATACGTGCACAATCTCCCACCCCCACCTAACCCTCACCAACGGCAAATCAACATGATCTCAACTATCAGTGGTGGTCCCACCCTGGCTGGAACCTCTAACAACTCCATCAAGCATTATGTCCGCTCCACCTATGCGCACCAGGTCTTCAGCGCTGAGCAGGGACGCTTGCCGAAGACCTATAAATCAGGCTGGGCTCCCATTACCTTCTGCGAGGAGGAGGAGCGCGGTGTTATTCTCCCCCAAGATAACCTAATCATTATCCGCGCCGACATTTCTAACTTGGTGGGGCGTATCTTGTTGGACACTGGCAGCTCGGTCAGTGTGATGTTTGCTGAAGCCTTCAACGAGCTCCAGGTCCCATCTCACCTGCTTGACCGAAGCATTACACCCCTGGTGAGCTTCTCTGGTGAGGTGGTCCAGCCCATTAGAAGCATTCATCTCCCAATCTCTATTGGATCGGCACCCCAGTGGAGGACAATCACCACTCCCTTCCTTATTATCGACTGCCCCACAGCCTACAATGTCATCCTCGGCCGCCCCGCCATGGCCCAAATGAAGGTCTTCATCTCCACCCATATGTTGCTGCTCAAGTTTCCTACGCCTTATGGCACAGGCACGGTGCGCGGAGACCAACTTGGCCCCCGAAGCTACTATGCTTCAGCAGTGAAGTCCACCAACCGTCAACATCGGGGTGAGGCCCTCGCAGTAACCCAGGCTCCAGCCCAGTTCAAGCTGGCACTGAGCGCCCAGAAGACCCCAGGGAGGAATCTGTCACCCCACAGGCCGAACCTGTGGAAGACCTGGAGCTGGTTACTCTCGATGAAGACATCCAGGACCGGCAGGTCAGGATCGGCACCTCCCTCTCACAGGAACTTCGTTCTGATCTTGTCGCCTTCCTTCGCCTTAATTCTGAGGTCTTCGCCTGGTCATACAATGACATGCCTGACATATTACCTGAGATCATATCCCATCGGCTAAGCATTAATCCTGCCGTCAGACCCGTTCGGCAGAAGCGTCGTGCTTATGACCCAGAGCAATATGAGGCTATAAGGGCAAAAGTGGACAAGCTAACTAGCATTGAATTTATCAAAGAGGTGGACTATCCCACCTGGTTGGCCAATGTGGTGATGGTTCGAAAGGGCACAAAGGGCTAGCGCATGTGTGTAGACTACACCAACCTCAATCGGGCCTGCCCGAAGGATAGCTTCCCCCTACCCCACATCGACCAGCTAGTTGATGCCACAGCTGGCCACGCCCTCCTCAGCTTCATGGATGCTTACTTTGGGTACAACTAGATTTTCATGCATCCTGAGGACTAAGCCCACACCTCCTTCATCACGGATCGTGGCCTTTACTGCTACAAAGTCATGCCCTTCGGCCTCAAGAGTGTCGAGGCCACGTATCAGTGTCTGGTGAACAGCATCTTCGATCCCCTAATAGGCAACACCATGGAGGTTTATGTTGATGACATGCTCATCAAGAGTCGCACTACTGACCAGCACATCCCCAACCTCTCAGCCATGTTCACCATTCTGAAGTAGTATAAGATAAGGCTCAACCCCACCAAGTGTGCATTTAGGGTGGCTTCAGGCAAATTCCTGGGCTTAATTAACCAAGCGTGCGTAGCATCAAAGTGACTAACACCAAGGCAGACATGCCTTCTTCCCTGCCAAAGGGAGATGCTCTTCTGAAGGGACAACCACTTGCCGAAGCTCCGAACTGCCAAACCTAAACACAGGAGACACGTGCCATCATCACAGCAACTTGCACAAAGTCCCACATCGGAACTTTGTGCAAACCTCCTACTTTTACTTCCCTATAAATAGGGAACAGTAACCAAGAAAAAGGGAACTTCTCTCTCACTATTACTGTTACTTTGCAATAGTTACTACCCCTAGCTGACTCAAGCATCGAAGAGCCTTCGGTCGGCACCATACCGGTGTCCGAAGCTTAACGACTGCTTCTCCTGTTTTGTCTTCTGCAGGCCAGCCCTTTACTGAAGGCCCAGACCCTTCTCTTGCTAAAGACAAACCCCTATCTCTAAGTTGACCCTCTCCGAAAAAGAGCATCAACAACAAGCCATCACCAGAGATACGAACATAAATTTGAATTAAGATACCCTTTCTTGTTGACTTGTTGGTATCAAGTTGATTAACTAGGGTGAAGCTAAAGTTGGCATATCTACTCCACCCATATGGAAAATGATGAAGCTTCTGCAACATCCAAATACACGGCCAAGTGCTACTTCTTTGTTCCCCTTAGGAAATATAAGGATCCGCCTAATCATATATACACCAACCAGGGAAATTAAGCCCAGAGCTAATCAACAATTACATTAATTATATCACCCTCATAAACAAATTAGTACGTACGTACCATTTATAACCACCAACGAAGAACACGGCGGAGCAATGCTTTGTGTTAGTCAACTTAGAGAAGTGATCAATTCTCCAAGTGAATTTCCCAGAGGACAAAAGGCCGTCCTCTCCCTCATTCTTCATTATTCTACCATGGAAGTTCAAACATGAAAATAATAGCCACCGACGCCGTCACACAAATATCACACAATAGATGCTAGTTTAGATTAAAATTGCATCTATAGCACATGTAGAGATGGAAAAAAAAAGCACCAATATTAATAAATATAACACTTGACCAATTCATATGTCAATATGTGAGAGAGAGAGAGAGAGAGAGAGAGAGTTTTGATAAAAAAGCAGAAGAAAAGGGAATTTTCACAGACGAAATCTTCCTTAAGCCTGTCTCTCAACACTATGGCCACTTAGGAAGAGAGACGATTAGTTGATTAAGGATTCCTTTATCTGTATCAGTGTTTTCAAAGGCATGCTTTCGCGCGCGTCAGAGCGAGGCGGCCGGAAATTGACCGAGGGAAGGCGTGAGGAGGCGTTTCAAGGCGGAGCGAGGAGGGGCAAGGCGCGCCAGATCTGGACACTGAACCGGAAGAAATTTTCAGCTTCTCTGCAAATTGGGTGCGGCTCTGCGAGGAAGATGATATCGCGAGGAAGACGACTCGCGTGTTTTTTTATAAGTTTTTTATAACGAAACGACATCGTTTCGATTGAAGTGTTTTTTTTAAAAAAACTTAAAGTGAAACGACGTCGTTTCACTTGAAGTGTTTTGAAAAAACAATGAAAAAAAAACACGCAAGTTTCTTTCTTTTCTTTTTTTTTCCCCACTTGTTGCTTCCCTTCATCCAATCTTCTTGCCTTTTCTATTTCCAGCCATTTTCTACTTACCTTTTCTTTTTCTTCTCTAAATTAATATATTAACACATGGAATTATATATATATATATATATATATATTGTGTATAGTACAACCCTAATTTCTACTCTTACCAAATAATCTCCATCAATTTCAAGAATTCTCTTCATCTTTCGACTGCAAGTCAGTATTTTATTTCTCTCTAATTCTTGGAAATATTTTATTTTTCTCTCTAATTCTTCGCAATTGTAATTTGAAGTTCCGTATTATTTTTTTTCAATTTTTTGAAAAATATATTAGTTATCTTACGTCTCAATGCTTCAAGGTTTACACCTCGTATAGCACTATTAAAAACGCCTCGCCTATACACCTCGCCTTTAAGTAACTAATCTGAACCAATCAAGGAGGGATAAGACGAACAAACTTCCTCTAGAAATGGAACAAAAGTTTTCTCTACACGTCCTAAGCCCTGAAAATCCATAAGCTCTCCAGTTTCTTGGTCTTCTAAAATCTTAATACTGTTACGGACTGAAACTTCAACTTCAATAACACATACAACATTCACAAGGTACCTTTTATCATGGTCACAAAGCTCTCTTAGAAGAATGAATTCAGTAAAGCCCTAGTCACTCGAATTTGCCACAAACTCATGCTTAATATCTGAAATTCAAAGGTATCAAGAATTACAAAAACATTAATATCAAGAATTAAAGGTAATGAACATGCAATTAAGCAATATTGGTCATAGAGTGGTCCTTTGAAGTGCAATAGGTAAAACTGTTGAAAATACCAGTGTTTTCAAAGGCATGCCTAATGGCGCCTCGGAGCGAGGCGAATGGAAATCACCTCAAGCATTCGTCTGTTTAGCTTGCTGCACGTTTAGTGGAGTGAGGTGTGGTGAGGCGGCCAGGCAGAGCGAGGCAGAACGGTGCCACTATTTCTGCGTTCTGCAAGCCTATAACGCGATGAAGAAGATGAAGTTTTTTTTTTATAGGTTTTCTTCAATGAAACGGTTTCGTTTTAAAGTTTTGGTTTCTGGATTTTAAGTTAAATGCACGTTTTGACTCCCCAACTATAACCTGGACCTATATATATATATATATATATATTACATACTATTAATATTATACCCAAGTTGGACCTGAAGGATAACCTGGCCACAGAAGATATAACCCTTACCCAATATTCTTGTCCACTCTTTTGTTCCTCTTCTCTCTAGTTTTATAAAGTTTCTATTAAACTCTTTTGTCTCTATAGGGTGGGATGAATGAATTGAGTTTTTCTTTCGATGTTGAATAAATATTTTTCAATATGAATTAGTACTACAATTTAGTTGTATTATTGTTTCCCTCTTTTCGGCCGGATAGGCCGATTGTAGGAGCTTTTGGTCCTTCTTCTTGTAGATTGCGTAGGCGTGCCACCACCAAGCCACTAAATGGCTTGAATGGAAAAGGTTGGATTATTGTGTTCGTGCTTCTGAATTCTAACCAGCCGATTGATCGGCCAAGCAAGGAACCTCCTCTTGGCCTAGGTTCTTTCACTTCCTTAGAGTCGAGGATGGTTAGGTTTCGTATAGTTATTTAAGTATTTTTGAGATTTTTAATGATAATGATGCAAATTAAATTAAAATATGCGATTAAGCTTAAAGACGAGAATTGAAGTGCGATAAAGTAAATCAAAGCGATAGATAAACTCAAATTAAACGAAGAACGAAATAAGAACGATATAAATGATAAAGGCAATAAAATAAAGCAATTTGAAATTAAATTAAGTTTAAAGCAAATTCGATAACAACTAGCAATAAAGCGATAAAATTGAATCTTAAGACAACGTAATGAAAAATACAAGAAATTAAACTTACACTAACGAAAGTGAAGAACTGATCTAGTCTACTTGCTTGGAAAATAAAACCCTAGTCTAGGGATAGAAAATTGAAAGACAAAAAGTAGGTTTTTGTGTCTGATGTCAGGTCTTTTGCTCTTTGTCTGATGTAGTTTATATAGAGGCATTCGTCAGCCCATGGGCTGGCCATTAAATGGCCAAAGGTCAACTTGGTTCAAAATCTTTCCTTGTGTGGTTTCCTAAATTCACGGAATTGACTCGAATGAAATCATCGGGTTACAAATCGGATCACTTGATTTTCTCCTTCTTAGGAATGTCTCGGATTGACATCACTCCCTTTGATTGCTTTCCTTGGATGGATCTCGTCACGTGAATGAAAACATCCAAAAGTGTTTGGTCCACTTTCGTGGGCTGGGCTTGAACCTTCGAGACTTGTCTTGAGATCTGGTGAGACAGACTTCCACTCTTGAGGAAATAATCCCATGATGTTGGAGTGGCTAGAAATTCAATGAATCTACATGCATTCTCAAGGTGTCTTAAAATGTAATATATTTATCAAATAGGCCACTTAATGGCCATTGAGAATCCCAGGCCATAAGGTCATGACTTGCATATAAGCATAAAGAGAATTCGAAGCACAAAGGCCTGTGGCCTAAGTCTACCGGCAAAGCCATTGTTTGGCCTTACCAATTATATAATAATAATAAAACCCATTTGAACAACCTAATAAATAAAAATAATAAATAAAACCTCAACCACACAGAGCCCAACTCCATTCGCACTAAAACTTATATATTGATTGCAAATCAGCCAACACTTTCATTACATCTAGCCAACACAAGATCAGCCTACTCCAAGACCAGCTGCCAAAGCTCCAACCAACTCCTCCTTCATTCTCCCAGCCAAGTCGAAATTGGCCTATCACATATATATAATATTATATAATAAATATAATATATGATATCATAAAGTTGGCATTCCGCCAACTTTTCAACCAAAGGATATAATATAATATATATATATATATATATATATATTTATATATACAGTCCCCTTCAGTTGAGGGATCCCTCAAATAGTGTTCTTTGAGGGATAGGGCGCTCAACCGTTGGATCTGTTTTAATGATCTTGTGAGGCTGAGATTGTTTTACATCTTTTCACCCGTTTTCTGCCAAATAACCCGACACATCCGATGCTGGAGAAGACCAAGGCGCGCGGGCTCTCAGATGGGAAACGAAGGAAGAGGAAGAGCCCCTTGCAAGCCTAAGAGAAGACCCACTCTCTCAAGATGAAGAGATGACACACCATTTCCAACTGAGCTTGTGAGATTTCTATTTCTATAAGGTATCCACTGTCGTGGTTTTTTTTTCCCTTCGAAATCTGGGTTGTGGTTGTCGATTTGGAGATGTACGAGGGTCTTTCGATCTGAGTTTGTAGATTTCTGGGTTTTTTAAAATCTAAGTTGAGATTAATCTCCATATTTAATATGGGTTTGGAAAAATTCATGTGAATTATTATTGTTATGTTGTTCTAGTATCTGACATAGGTTATTTTAAAATGGATTTGAAGCTTTCTGCTAAAAGTTGAGATTACATCTCCAGATTTGATATGGGTTTGAAAAAATGCATGTGATTTACCTATTATTTTTGTTGTTGTGGTGTTATCTGATATTTTGAATGTGGGTTTTAAAATTGATTGCAGCCACACGAATATTTAAAACAAAAAAATGCTATTGTTGATATGCATCCAACAGAAAATGCAATCATATTCAGCGTGAATTTGAAATAAGAATAATGTGTAGAACTTTCTGGTTGATGACTTAAAGTGGACTTCATGGACAATGGCAAGTGTAGCTTGTGGAATACTTGGGTTTCCATTTATGTCATGAATAGTGCAACCATCTGAGGAGGAGCTTTGAAGGACGGAGCAAACAAGATTGATATTTTTCTTCATTATGAATCATTTGCCAATCAAGAGCTTTGAAAGAGGCAACAAACGTGTTCTGGTTTTTGTCATTATAATGTCTGTAGTCTTTTTTGAGGTGGATGTAAGCTTTTCTATTTAGATGAATAGTTGTTGGGTCAACTTCTGCAATTTATTGAAGTTCATAATCAGCTTTCCATGATTAAATTTCTCATATATCTTTAATCACTGCCATGAAGGTTTAAAGTTATCAATTTGTTGTTAGAAGTAGAAAATATTTCATTTGTTCCTTACTAGCTTCTTTCACAAGGGTTTTTCCTTTTCTTTTTTTTTTTGGACAAAGGGCTTTTCCTTATGTGCTTGTTCACTACTACAAAAAGTGAAAAAGACGACTAGAAAAAGACGACGGTAGAAGAAAAAAACCATCGTTGTATTTAAAAAGATGACAGTAACAAAAAACCGTCGTGGATAAGTGACTTAAACAACTAAAAAATGGAGGTACTGTTGAATATTTTTTTTATAACGACGCACACAAATACAAAAGCGTTGTCTTATTAAAAAGGTTTTCTTCAGAGTTAAAATCTTGACCAAAAAACAACGACAGCAGGTATGACAAGCGTCGTCTTTTATATGTAAAGATGACGCTTTTTATAAAAAAAAAGGTCGTCTATTATGAAGTAAAGATGACGGTTTTTTTAAAAATGGGTCGTCTATTATATGTAAAGATGATGGTTTGTTTAAAAAATGGTCGTCTATTATATATAAAGATGATGATTTGTTTAAAAAATGGTTGTCTATTATGAAGTAAAGATGACGGGTTTTTATTTTATTTTTAAAAGGGTCGTCTATTATATGTAAAGATGACGCTTTTATAAAAAAGAGTCGTCTATTATGAAGTAAAGATGACGGTTTTTTTTTAAAAATGGGTCGTCTATTATATGTAAAGATGATGGTTTATTTAAAAAAAGGTCGTCTATTATATGTAAAGATGATGATTTGTTTAAAAAAGGGCCGTCTATTATGAAGTAAAGATGACGGTTTTTTTTTAAAAGGGTCATCTATTATATGTAAAGATGATGATTTCTTTAAAAAATGGTCGTCTATTATGAAGTAAAGATGACGGTTTTTTTTTATAAAAAAGGGTCATCTATTATATGTAAAGATGACGCTTTTATAAAAAGGGTCGTCTATTATGAAGTAAAGATGACGGTTTTTTTAAAAAAATGTGTCGTTTATTATATGTAAGGATGACACTTTTTATAAAAAAAAGGGTCGTCTATGATATGTAAAGATGACGGCTTTTTTAAAAAATGGGTTGTCTATTATATGTAAAGATGACGCTTTTTATAAAATAAAATAAAAAGGGTCGTCTATTATATGTAAAGATGATGGTTTGTTTAAAAAAGGGTCGTCTATTATGGAGTAAAGATGACGGTTTTTATAGAAAAAGGTCGTCTATTATATGTAAAAATGACACTTTTTATATAAAAAACAGGAACGTCTATTATATGTAAAGATGATTTTTTTTTTGGACAAAATTATATGTAAAGATGATGGTTTGTTAAAATAACTGTTAAATCATGATTTTTCATTTATAACCGTCGAAATTTTTGTCCCGTTACTTGATCTCTGAATGTTTATTTTTTCCGATTTTTGGCGTATATGATCTCGAAGTATAAACAACAAGTTTGACGGTTGGATCATTGAAACTAGTTTCTTAGAATGCGTATGCCATCAAAACAATATATTCACTAACAATTAAGAGTTTATTTATACTTTCGTTAAATATAACTTCAGATTTTGTGGTATCCACTAGTGTAAATATTTTAAATTGAAGATCAAATTCAGTCATTGTATTCATATAGGGTCAAGGAGTGTAGTGGTAAAAAATCATCAAAATCAGAGTTAAAATAACCGTTAAATCATGATTTTTCATTTATAACTGTCGAATTTTTTGTCTCGTTACTTGATCTCTGAATGTTTATTTTTTCCGATTTTTGGCGTATATGATCTCGAAGTATAAACAAACAAGTTTGACGGTTGGATCGTTGAAACTAGTTTCTTAGAATGTGTATGCCATCAAAACAATATATTCACTAACAATTAAGAGTTTATTTATATTTTTGTTAAATATAACGTAAGATTTTGTGGTACCCACTAGTGTAAATATTTAAAATTGAAGATCAAATTCAGTCATTGTATTCATATAGGGTCAAGGAGTGTAGCGGTAAAAAATCATCAAAATCGGAGTTAAAATAACCGTTAAATCATGATTTTTCATTTATAATCGTCGAAAATTTTTGTCCCGTTACTTGATCTCTGAATGTTTAGTTTTTCCGATTTTTGGCGTATACGATCTCGAAGTATAAACAAGCAAGTTTGATGGTTGGATCGTTGAAACTAGTTTCTTAGAATGTGTATGCCATCAAAACAATATATTCACTAACAATTAAGAGTTTATTTATACTTTTGTTAAATATAACATAAGATTTTGTGGTATCCAATAGTGTAAATATTTTAAATTAAAGATCAAATTCAGTCATTGTATTTATATTGGGTCAAGGAGTGTAGCGGTAAAAACTCATCAAAATCGGAGTTAAAAAACCGTTAAATCACGATTTTTCATTTATAACCGTCGAAATTTTTTGTCCCGTTACTTGATCTCTGAATGTTTATTTTTCTGATTTTTGGCGTATACGATCTCGAAGTATAAACAAACAAGTTTGACGGTTGGATCGTTGAAACTAGTTTCTTAGAATGCGTATGCCATCAAAACAATATATTCACTAACAATTAAGAGTTTATTTATACTTTCGTTA